AGACCCTACTAAATCCTAACTAATATTATATAAAAAAAAAAAAAAAAAAAAAAAAAAAAAAAAAAAAAAGAAGGGAAAAAAAGAAATAATAATAAAAAATAATAAAAAACTACTACTTACTAATAACTCTTCTTTAATTCTAATTCTATAAATTAAAAGAAAAAAAAAATAAAAAAAAAAAGAAGAAAAGAAAAAAAATTAAAAAATCTCTTATTTCTCTAAATTAACTAAAAAAAGCTTTACTTAATCTAATAAAAGAAATTAGCTACTACTAAACTAAATTCTATTATATACTATATTTAGTTAGTTAATTCTTTAATAATATTATAAGAGAAAGTAGTAATAGCTGTAGACTTATACTTAGACTTATCTAGATTATAGTATCTATAATAAATACTATAATTCTTCAATTTATACCTAGTATAAGTATCTTTCTATTATTTAGATAATTAAATAGTCTATTAAAATTTTATTTAATTATTATATTTATAGTAATATAGTACAACTAAACTATAAGATATAATTAAAAGACTATTAATATAAGAGAAGTATCTAGTATATATCTAATAATATTAGTTTTTTATATAGAAATACTAGATTATCTTATCTAAGTAATAGTAAGAGTATCAGCTCTTATCTTAAATTTATAATAAGAAAAGTACTAAATATACTACTAGTCCTAAGTATAATAAAGTTAGAATAAAGTCTTATTTCTATATACTAAAAGTTATATAGTAATCTAATACTTAGAATTACTAATATAAGTATTATAGATAATTAAATAGTATATAGAAATAAAGAGTAAATTATAATTAGAAATAGAAGTAGAAGTTTAAGAGGAATTATAGTAAATAGAATTAAGAGAATTATTTAATTAGTTAGACTTATTATTTTTAGAATTAGAAAGAGAAAATATTATATAGTAGAAAAAGAAGATAATAGTAAATTATATAAGTAGAAGAAGAGTAAACTAAGAAGAAAGAAAAGATATTTAAAAAAAAAAAAAAAAAAAAAAAAAAAAAAAAAAAAAAAAAAAAAAAAAAAAAAAAATTTAAAAAAAAAAAAAAAAAAAAAAAAAAAGAGAACTAACTTAGAGGAGGAATAGTCTTCTTATATAATACTTTATATATTCTATACAAAGCTAATAGCTAAGCCTAACTATATCCCTAGAACTAATTATATAAGCTGTATAAAGAAAGTTTTATTTACTAGATTAAGAGAAATTATATAATAGAGGGAATAATAGTAAATAAAATAAGTCTTATCTATACTTATATTATCTACTAATCAGCTATAATACTATCTAGAAAGAAAACTAAAATATAAAACTATTACCCTGAACCTATACTACTAATCAGATAAATATAAACTATAAAGAGAGATAAGAAAGAAGAGAAGAACTTTTATTATAGAATTAAAACTCTAATATAGAGCTCAGCTTTAGATACTAGTTAGTATCTAAGATCTTATATACTATATACTAAACTAGTACTAGCTTAGTTTATATATATCTAAAAGAATTTTATATAAATAGATAAAATAGCTTTTTAGCTATTTTTTCTTATTTAAAGGTATATTTTAATTAGTATAATTTATCTATTCTATAATATCTACTCTAATAAGTAGATTCTATTAAACAAATACTCTAATCTAAAAACTATAGATCTTTAATCTACTATAATCTAAGGGTTTATTATATATTATACTACTATTTAAAAGATAGTAAATAAGTAATACTTCTATAATCTAGTATAATTTTAAGTAATTTAGCTAGTTACTTTCTCTCCTGATCTATTATATTATATTAGTCTAATAAATTATATCTGGAGATATACCAGTCAATCAGAATACCTACCAGGCCCCATCCTAGGTCTGATGAAGGTCCATCAGACCAACCCTTGTGGATTAGAATAAGGAACAACTCAGTAGGAGCATTGTCGTGCTGCAACCCATGTGGAAGACAGTCTTGTACGGTCTTCCTCCTAGGTTGCTTCTTCCCTCGCGGCTTTCATTCTCGTTCTTTTTTTAGTTCCTGCATTTGTCCGCGCGATTGTCTTCGCCGCGAGGTGCGCACTGCCTTGAGAGTCCGCTTTCCGCTGTGGAGTTGTTGACCATGTAGCCCGTCAGACCCATCTGGTAACAATCTGCGGGCGGCTGTTTCATATTTAGTGCTTAGCAGGCGGAGACTAAGCCTTTTGAGGAATCTTCCACTAGCCCAGTCTTTTTCATACTATCCCGGCTTTTACCAGTTTTAGCTCATGTGGAGAGCCCGGAGATGCAGAATCGTTTTCTCCGAGATAGCCCGTCATTCATAGTCTTTACCCTCCCTTATATTGCTCGTGAGAACGATAGCAACCCATTAACAGGGCGCGGCCTTGCCCTGTCAGCCGCCGAAAACGAATACTAATTTGACCGGACCAAATCATCTTTTTCTCGAAGACTGGCGCCAGCTCGCACTGAGCCGAGGAGAACAGAAAGCCTGTGACTTACGAATGACACTCCCTGCTTCAGTACTATTCCGTGCTTTCCTCTGTTATCACCCAGCGCTTTCCCAGCAGGACACATCTACTTGTGGATCAATTGAAGGAGATGGGTCCTGAATAAATGATGTACCCACCATCTTTATTACCCTTAGATGCGGTTCTTCATCTTCATCCCCACCAGTGCTGTTACCGGCTTCAACCTCGCGCGAATAGATCGTGTGTTCAGCACAGTTCTACTCATCCGTCTGGACAAAGGTACAGTCAAAATTATTATGTCTACAATGCTACATCAAGTATGCAGGATTCTCGGAGTTTACCATCATGCTTTGTTGTTGCAGCTGCCGACGACGCCGCAGCCTAGTTGTTCAACCATGTTCTTCCTCTTAAGTCCTCCCCGCTAACATTTTACCTTTGCATTCTCAAGATATCACGAGTTCCGTAATTTTAAGTTATCGACTAGCCGCTAGTACCATGGTCTGATGTAGCATGTGGTGTTGTTATTTGTTATTTACAACTAGAATACGGCTTCCCCGGGAACACGACTCAAAATGATCTCTGATAATCCACGAGGACGTTCTTGGGAGAAAAGAATATGTTCTGGAAGCACACAGCATATGTTCCAAAACCCACTCAACCACCGGGATACCATTGGGAACGGGGAAGTTGTTTTTAAGGCGGCAATCGTTTGGTGAACCCCACAATGTCCAATGAAAGTTTGATTCGATTTAGATTTCCAAGGCGTAAGCCCGGCCCGGGGCAGCGTTCTGCTCTCGTCTCTGGAACCAACCAGCAACAGGCAATGTTCTTCCCTACGCCGCGACCCACAGCTGGCTTATGCATTCTTGTTCTTCCTTCAGCCAGTGCAGGGCTAGTATTGCCCCTTTATCCTGGTTCGAGGCTTCTCAGACAATCTTTTTTGTTCCGTAGGAGCGTGTATCAGCAGTATATATAGTACATCTGTCCGTCGCCAACACACTTAGGTTATAGATCCCATGAGCCGGACATCCATTCTTTTTTCCCTCAATCAACCCTTCTGCACTACGCTTATTCATTCATTTCTCTTTCTTTCTCGTGCTCTCTCATCATGAGGGTCCCTCTCTTTGCTGTTTTGCCCGCTGCTGGCTTGGCAGCTGCAGCTGCAGACAAGTGTAATCCCGACTTCTTCACTCCTTATTTGAGCTCCAATGCCAGTATTGTCTACGCCCGGACCTTCACCTCCACCGACGTGTTCGAAGGGCCATTGGGTAACTACACTGGTATGCCAGAGTACTGTGCTCTCTACGTGAATGTCAGTTCTTCTGCGGTCTCCTCCTACGAATTCGGCCTTTGGTTGCCCACCGATACCTGGAACCAGCGGTACATGGCCTACGGCAATGGTGGATTTACTGGTCAGGTCGCCTTCGCGGACATGGCGCCGGGACTCAACTATGGCTTCGCTGTTGTCTCGACCAACACTGGCCATAACTCGACTGTGATGGAGGCCGGAGACGCCGGGTGGGCGCTGAACCGCCCCGAGACCCGAACTGATTGGGGTTGGCGTGCGCTTCACGGCAGTGTCGCCCTTGGAAAGGTCTTGACGGAGGCGTTTTACGACAAGTCGATCGAGTACTCCTACTATGCCGGTTGCTCCACCGGTGGTCGTCAGGGTTTGAAATCTGTTCAGATGTTCCCGGAAGACTTTGATGGTGTCTTGGCCGGAGCTTGTGCGTGGTGGACGAGTCATCAGCAGAACTGGGATCTGAAGGTGGCCCTCGACAATCTGCCCAACGATGCTCCCCACCACATCACCGCCGATCTCATGGACGTTCTTGCTGCTGAAGTGTTGAAGCAGTGCGATAGCGCCGATGGTGTCAAGGACAATATCATCATGGATGGTTATGCCTGCAAGTTCCGTCCAGAGGCCCTGCTTTGTGATAGCCCTAGCGCCAACACTAGCACCTGTTTTAGCGCTGATCAGATCAACACCGTCTATCGCATTTACGGGGACTGGATTGATACCAACCAAACCTTGGTCTTCCCGTCCTTTGCCTGGGGCTCTGAAGCCCAAGTCTCTCTGATGATTATGACCGACGAGGCCGACGTCGATGCCCCTAGTGGTGTCGCCTACCCCCGCGACTTCGTCTATAACAACGCGGACTGGCCTGCTCAAGACCTGGACTTTGAGACAATTCTACTCTCCGACTACCTCGATCCCGGTAACGCTACCGCTGATGACTTCGACATTCGCCCCTTTTACCGCCGCGGTGGCAAGCTTATCCACTATCACGGGTATGCTGACGGAGAAATCCCCACTGGTTCCAGCATTTACTACCGCAAGCAAACCGAGAACACTCTGATCCCTCACGGTATTGACTTGGATGACTTCTACCGGTTCTTCCTGATCCCTGGTATGGAGCACTGCCTGGACTCAGTCCATGATGCTCCCTGGTACTTTGCTGGTGCGAACCAGCCCGCTGGTCTGACCGGCACCAACGTCTGGGGTGTGCCCGGATACCGTGACGCTAAGCACGACGCCATCCTCGCCTTGATGGCCTGGGTTGAGAACGGCACCGCCCCGACCGAGCTCATTGCTACCAAGTTCATTGACGATACCCCCGCTCTCGGTGTCCAAGCTCAGCGTAGAGCTTGTCCCTACCCCAAGGCTGCCAAGTACGTTGGCGGTGACTGGAACAAGACCTCCTCCTTCGAGTGTGCGTGAACCGGGTAAATAGCTTTTATTCACTGATCGGCCAGTCTTTCTTGTCATTTAATTGGAGCCTGAACCCTGTGTGACATAGTCCCAAGGAAGGTGTCAAGTAGAACTATTACTAGATCAAAAAGTCTACAGATATTTAGGGATAATTATTACTTGTATAAGCTTCTGTCTCTGTTGTCCGTCCGCCTACTGTTCAGCTAGTTGTTGTGCCGCGCCCTATCTACAAATCTATTATTCTACAGCTACATATTGCACTATTTAGGCTTAATCAAAAAAAGAAAAAGATTAAGGCTGGTCAAGAGACGGATATGGAGACTGTGTTTAATGTGCTCTAGTCTGAAGAGTAGAGCTCCTAAATACTTGAATAGAGCCCTGGCTCCGGCTCGGAAATTAGTCTGAAAAAGTCCTTGTCACGTCTGACTAAGGTTGTTTCTTATTTCTTCTTAATTTTAAGAGAAGGCTTGCCTTTCTCAATAACTGCATCTTATCTTTCCGAGCCGGAGCCAGGGCTCTATTCAAGTATTTAGGAGCTCTACTCTTCAGACTATCGTGAAATCCGCTGGCTGACCCTAGCGATATACCAGCTGTACTATATATTTTGATGTTTTCAAATCACATTCAAATATATAGTATGATATTACACCTTCGAATAGCTACAAAGAAAATATTAGTGTTCATCAGCCGAAACAGATATAAAATAAAAACAAAGTCAAAAAAAAAAAATCTTCCGATGCAGTTGCGGAAGAATGTCTAACTTATTTACACAGTTGTGGTTATTTGTATGACTGTTGCAACTTTCGCTTGCAGCGTTTCAAATGTCCGCCGCTGGTAAAAATCTTGAGAGGGTTGCTAGATAGACAACTATAGGAGCTAATGTTATTATCGGCAGGCAGTTGTACGTCTGATGGGTAGTGTAAGAGGCAATCCGAATGACAATCTCCTTCCTGTGCTTTGGAATATGTGTTAGACTTTCTATTCTCGGCACGCACGTCGCGGAGAAGTGGTGGAGGTTCAGGACATTAACAAAAGGTCTCTGAGATGCCGTATCGTCCGGGTGATTGTGCAGGTGTTCATCTTCTGTCCCCAGGGGCTAGGCTGGTAAGGATCATTGGGTCGATCGAAATGGAATTCTGTTTATTTGCCGGTTGGAAAAACTCTTGCCAACTCTCAGAAACTGTTCCAGCTGCTCTGCGTGCTGCATGTCGGATGTCGTGGCGGGCGGGAGGCAGGTATCGTGGCAGGTATCGTGGCAGAGTGCAGCCTGGATGGATTCTGGGACTGAGAATGAAAGCCCCAGAGGGTGCCAGATGACGTCACGGTAATTGAGTGAACACAAACCTCAGCTGGAGGCCGCACTGGGAGCTGAAGTTTAGGCAATAGCAACGCTTGGGGAGAGGGGGACTGAGCAAGTTTAGTAGCAGGAAGCTTACCCAGAGAAATAGTCTTTCTCCTTTATAAGGGCTCTAAGTATTCCTTTGACCTGATCATCTTTCTCATACGCGTGTTAGAGGTTTTCTTATATCTCCGGTAATAGCTAGAGTTCCTGTTCATCCTTAAATATGATATTCCGTCGGCTTCTAGTAATAGATACTAGTATCTCTGTTTTTTACTCAGGTACATCTTTATATTCGGCCGGTTTAGGAGTAAGAATCAGTCTATAGAAGCCTTTCTCAGGAGCCTCTTAGTCATCGATAAGAACCAGGTCTATGTTCTTGCACTTTAGAATAATCTGGCTCTGGTATAGTAGATACTTATCTCCCTCTTTTAGGAGATCCTCTAATCTCCTGGTCAGACTATCGGGTTTCTTACTGTATTTTCCAGGACAGTATATAATTTTAAAGTTAAATCTTGACAGGAATTTAAACTAATAGGCCTCTTATTAGTTAAGCAGCTTAGTAGATATAGAATATTCAAGATTCTGATAGTTAGAGATAACTTAGATTAATAATAGTATTTCTTCCAACTCAGAGCACTATTGTTTAAAGCAATAGATAATAGTAAGAAGTTCCTTGTTTTATATCGCATAATTATATTCCGTGGGTAAGTATTTTTTGATGAAGAATATAACTAGGTATAGTAAGCTGTTGTCTTTATATTAGGACAGAATTCCTCTAGATATATAGCCTGAGGCGTTAGTTTCGAGGATAACCTCTTAGATGTAGTTAAAGAGTTATAGAATCAGGGCCTCTATAAAGATCTTCTTTAGATTATCTAGAGGATTCTGGTAAGGCAGTATCTAGTTAAAGAGGACCCTCTTTTTTATTAAGTTAACCAGTAGTATGTTGAGTTTCGAGAAGTTGTAAATTATTAGTAGAAGTTACTAAAGTCTAAAAAGACTTAGATATTAATAATACAGATTAGGATCAGCTACTGAGTAATTATCTTAATTTTCTCAGAGTTTATCCAGAATCCATTGCAGCCGATAATTAGGTCTAGAAACTTCGTCTCACTAACTGCAAATTCACATTTTGAAGGTTTAGTATATAGGCCCGGCTTGGCGGAGCTTCTATAGAATGTACTTAATATACTTAGAGTATTCAGAGCACATCCAACTATAGATCAAGATATTATCTAGATAGATAGTATAAAATATATTGAGGTAGTCACGTAGAGTATCATTAATATATCTCTAATAGATAGTAGAGACTCCTGTCATTCCAAGGGACATAACTAGAGATTCATATAGTCCCAGATAAGTATAGAAGACTGTTAAGTACTCCTAGCCGTGCTTAATACGGAAATCATCAAATATACTGATAATATCAATCTTTGTGAAATAGTATATTCCTTTTAGGTTGTTTAGGATTTCTTTAACTAGCAGTAGTGGGTAGCGATCCTTAACTGTCACAGTGTTCAGGGTGCAGTAGTCTACGCAGAACCATAGGCTACTGTCTGCTTTTTTAAACAAATAAGACTGGGAGGCGACGGGTGAGGAGCTGGGGTGAATAAACCCTTTTCTTAGGTGAGACTACCTATGTCTCTGGCTTGATCCAGTCACCCAGTGCCACGGATTTCCTTCTGTGTTGACATCATGAGTTGCTGCACACCTTACGGCACTCCCCGGGCCAGTCTGAGATCCTCCAGCTAATCAGCCTCCAGCTGTTTATCCAGCTTGTGGAAACAACTGTTATCCCCGGCGGCCGGGTGTGCTCACCACGGAGATAAGACGGACTTTAGTTCATCTGACTGTACCACAGACCATCACGAGTTGACCATTATAATCCTTCAGTTGCGGACTATTTAAGGTGATAAGTCCTTAGAACAGCCCCTTCATTGAACTATCTCAGATCACTCAGTTTTGATATCCTGTCCTTGCGATCTAAACATCTCTCCACCAGAATCTTCGCAGCCAACCGCATTAGACCCCCAGATACTCTCTACAACTCATCAAAATGACCATATATACATCCAAATTCCCCAGCACCCTACCAAAAGTTCCGAGTCAAATCAAAGACGCCATAGTGGACCCTATCTACCGTATCCTCAACGCAGTCGACACCTCCAACCCCGCCCTCTTCGCCTCCGCGATCCATCCCGCTGGCCGTATCGACCTAAACGGTCGCGTTTTCGAAGGCGTCGATGCCATCACGGCAAATGTGTACGACTGGATTGCAAATCTGGAGACTATGCATCACCCGTCCGGCATTCGGGTGACAAAGTACGATGAGGCGAATGGGACGGCGAGCCTTACTGCTACGGTCATTGCGCAGCACTACCGACGGGGCAAGGGAGTGGATTCTTCGGCGCGGGGGCTGTTGGCGGGGGCGTTCTATTTCGTCGATGTTGTCAGGGAGGAAGGAGATAGTGAGCAGTGGAGGGCTAAAGATTGGACTTTGAATACTGTGTGGAGGGAGGGGGATATGACGGTGATGACTGGGGAGGAGAAAGATGGTGCGAAAGATGAATAGTGGGCAGATGCAAGTCGGAGACGTTCATTGAGAATTTTGGTCAGAGTAAAATCAGTAATGCATGTATGCTGATGAATAGGCATAGGCTTGAAAAGGGGTCTAGTATAGATCTGGGGGTGATATTATGAGCATACGTATGACAGACACCAAATTCTCACGGCCTCAGATCGGCGATAAGAATTAACCCCGTCGCAGCGCTGAATACGGATAGGTTTGTATTGTCAATCAGCTCGGTCGAGAGCAGAAGCACGACTAGCTGCTGATGCCTCAGTCACTTTGTCGAACAGATCCCAATGTAAGCAGCACTTTCATGCTGCGGTGGGTAGACGCCGCCCGAAAAACCTCATATGCTTGGTCAATCTCACTAAACGAGAAGGCTAGATTCGTTAACTGTGTTCGAGCTTGGCAATATATCACCAATCGGAAACTCACTGTGTGAGAGGGAGATCTCGGGGGTCAGTATCCCAGATTTGACCATCTTCAATAGATCCGGCGTGGTGCTCGTATCCTCGAGACTCGTCCGAAAGCCTACATCTGCTGTCAGTCCCTGTCAGTCAATCGGCCACATTTGGCCACTAACATATATTTCGATGCCACAGATGGTTCATAAGGAAGGCACAGCTACTCCCATGCACCCCTAGCGAGGCAATGGTTCCACCCGGGGAGACCAGATACTGCGACAGATCAAAGGTTTCCTTTGCGCCGGCTGCTTCGATTACCACATCAAACCACTCTGCATTTGTCAGTGTCCGACAGGCCTCGAGAGTCTTATCTCGACCATCGAGTGTGGTCAGGACATGATCCGCCGCCCAGGGCCTTTGCCCGCTCCAGCCGATACTCTCCCCGGCCGATGAGGACAACCTGTCGAGGGAGCCCGTACCCGCGTTTCAAGATCATCAGTGCAGTCAAGGAAATCGGTCCCGCTCCTAGGATGGCGACCCGTGCGCCCGGCTTGATGTCGCCGTTAAAGATGCCGCATTCAAATGCAGTAGGGAACACATTTGACAGCATGACATATGCCTTGGGATCAATCTCGTCCGAGAGTGGATGTAGAGAGAACGATGCATGGGGAATGCGCACATATTCCGCTTGGATGCCATCGATCTGGTTGCCCAAGATCCATCCACCGGTCGTGCACTGGGAGGACGATCCCCTTGCGACAGAAACGACTGTGTCCGCAGGAGGTGATACAGGAGATCAGAAGGGTCTGGCTGACTTGAAGATTGGTGACACTTGGGCCGATCGCATCAATGACTCCGACACCCTCGTGACCGAGAATGCAGCCTGGCTTGCATGGGATGTCATTGTGGAGGAGATGGAGATCGGTACCGCAGATGGTGGTGTAGGTCACCCTGACAATAGCGTCAGTGGGCGCTTCGATCGAGGGTTTGGGACGGTCTTCAATTGTAAGACGGTTAGGGCCGTTGTAAACGACGGCTTTCATGATCTGGATGGATCCCATAATGCAAAGCTGAAATTTGCGCATGGGCATTCAGCAACTTTAGTTGCCAGGGACACGTATGTCTTATATATTTTGCGGGTGAGGAGTATTGTTTGCGTTGCATAAGTTGCTGGCAGTGCCGCTTCACATATGCACTCCATGCAGCATGCGAGGGTATTATCTGTCAACTGGCCACTGGAAACCCTGTCATGGTTGGTTCGAACTACTGGGTGAAGGATTGGCGAGCTGCATGGCGCTGAGCCGCGGCTGTGACTTGCCTCCATTGAGTTACGCGTTGCTGTCAAAGGTCACATCACGAACACACCCCGCAGAGATGGTAGGATAGCGTGGCCACTGTCTCGGAGACCCCGAGCTTTATAGTCTATTCCAGTACGGGAGTGAAAGATAGTCAAGCTATCTTAGATTGACTTGTAGTGTATGTATGTTGGTGAATTCATCTGTCTGTGTTCTATCCCAGCCCTACAGCAGGAGTGGCAAGCGGTGAAGGACGACAATTGCACTCCAGAAGTTTTATCCTCAGGCCACATCAGGGATCCTCAGACATTCTTCTTCTCGACTCGCGCTTCTTTTCCGACCAGGGAAAATGCCAGACGGGGATGATGAAAAAACTGTTGCTCGTGTCTGCAATTCCCGCCAGACAGCTATACCATGCCAGAAATGCACCCAGCAGGGCAAATAACCCCCCCGCCTTCAGCAGCGGTGTGTATGGGGTGTCATCAGGCCGGTGAAGATAGCCCACCGCCAAAAGAAGCAAAGCGATGTCGACGGTTGCGAATAACGAGAAGAAGATAACAGTCGACTTGACTGTACAAGTGACGAGTAGGAAGGTGAATATAAACCATCCCTAGAATAGCTTCCCAGTCAGTAAACTCTCATAGGGCTGAGGTAGACTAGAGACTATTAGCAGCACTAACCATCAGATACAGCCCGAACGAGTCATAGAACATGCCCATAGAGCCATTGTCGGCCGCCTGGAGCTGGCCTTCAATGTTGAAGCCCCCGGGAGTGAGGGTCATGGCCAGTGAGATCCAAAAGCCTCCGTATGAGGAGAGCGCAGTAGCCCCAAAAGTATTGCCCGCGGCCATTTCCCTGGGATGTAGGATGAGCTGGAGCCCTGCCCACGAAGACGAATAAACATAGACCCACCACATTCCAGCCAGGAGCTGCACGAGGCCACCGTAGGCAAAGGCCAGCGGCACCACCATATTGGGCTGCGTGATTCCCCGCGTCTGCATGTTGATGCAACCCAGAACAAAAGTGGTCAGAGCAAACCCAGCCAGCCCTAACGGTGCCGGATTGGCAATTTTGCGCTCTCGGACCGACTTGTACAGACCGGGCTGTAACTCCCCCGCGAATGCCGGAAGGTAGGTCCCCGTCGTGTTGACATGGGCCAATGGCCCATACTCGGCATCCTGTTTATCGACATGGTGCGAGGCGATTGTCTGAGTATCGACTCTCTGGGGTACCTCGCTATCACTGCATGCACTCGACATAATGGTTGACTTCAAATTTTGTTGGAATGGTCCTACTGTGTTGACTGGGGCAAGAATAAGCAGGTCGCAAGGACAGCTGAGGTTTTATGGACAGATCCTGGTCTCTGGGGTACCCCGGATCTCCTTCACCTCATGGTCGTCATGCGGGGTAACCCAAGATAGAGTTTCTTCCAACTCAATAATGAGTGCCCCATCCATCTTCCATTCAGCGGGCGGGATCTCGATTGGGTGTCTCCAGCGGGGGTGGGTCATGCTCTACGGCAGTACACCTGAGTCTGGGGTCCCGTTCTGGGAAGCAGAGTCTGTTCCTTGTGCGGGGGGATTCCCCAAGCAATCGGCTGCTCGTATTGCCTAGGCAGTGGAGCCAATCGCGTGAGCAGAAACGCAGACCCAATAAATGCCAGAATCTGCCCCTGTCTCCGAACGAATGGCCAACCAGTTTTGGCGACCCAGTCTCGGCTGTTGTTCATCGGTGCGTTGCCGACCCACGTGATACTGCATGTGGCTCGGTCGGACGCGCTCCGATTGTAGGGTCTGGGGCTCGGGGCAAGAGCAAACTTGCGGCTGGCTTCTCTGCCGCTGCTCAAATTCTAGTACCGTCATTACTAGGTCCGGTTGTCCTACTCTGCGTTACGAGTCTCAGGGTCATCGCACATCCCCAAAGATCACACATGGACAGCAGTAACTTGGATTCTGGATCTACTAAATCATTCTTAAGAACAGCATTCCATTCTGCATATCCGCAATAGCTGCATCCACATTGCCCGGACAACTCCGAAGGTCAATCCCAGTCATCCCCGGTATCATACCTCAGTTGTAAACAGTCAGATCCAGACCCTGCATCTCGGAGCTAAGAGTCTCCACTTCCTCCAGAATCTTCGGAATGGCATCGCATTTATCGTGATTGATATAGGTGAGGAGATTGCAGTGCGACTTCGGCTTCGGGAAGGCCTGGACGTGAGTGACAAGGGACTCGAAACTCCATCCAGCAAAGGGCGGATTGGGAGGTTCGTGCAGGTTGGCGAGGAAGAGGCTTTGTTCGAGGGCTCCCAGGTCGACACAGCGACATTCGTAGTTGCAGCCGAACACGCCCTGGCGCAGCCCGCTTCTCCAGCGAGAAATCAGGTTGAAGACGCTCGAGATGGAACTCTCGCGGTGACTATTGATCGCGTCTGTATGTCACATGTCAGCATAAGTGGCTTCGACTGGAGCATGTCTCGTCCTGAACGGAGCACTTACCCATGATCTTCGGTTTGATGGGGAATTCAGTCGACTCCATGTGGTCGTCCCCGTGGCGGATTGCAAGGAGGGTGACGCGGTCAAACACCTCCGCCATCTCGAAGAAGGAAGACACCCAGATCCACTCGATGGTCGCAGTCGCGTTGTAGCTGGTTGGGACTTGCGTCTCGAGATGCGACTTCCAGGCGCGAAGATGAATCTCGACCGCCTCCTGGCAAGCGTAATAGTCGACCAAGACGGCGATACGAGCACACAGTGACACGGAGATGATTTGCGGCACCTGCCGGTTCTGCCCATGGATGATGCGCAAGAGAATCAACAACGCCTCCAGATCCCAGCTCTCCACCGTGATTTCCACCTTTCCGGTTTGCTGCAAGTGCTGGGCCTCGTCGAAGTTGCCGGTCAGCTGTCGGTTGAGCATGGGCGAGGCGAGCTGGAGATGCTTGGCTGAGACTTGGATGCGTGCTTCGATGTCTTTGAGCGACTGGTTGGGATTCGCAGCCGCGGAAGTTGGCCCGGACGAGACATTATCAGGAGGGGGAAAGGAAGATAATCTCGCAGGCAGGATGATAGTGACTTCGCCAGTCGGGTCGATGGTGTATTCGGCGATGAGTGCCATTGCTGGTTGTCCTGGTGTACCAAGTGAAGAAAGAGCGCGTGGAAAAGAAAGTGGACGAGAGAGAAGGTGAGAAGGAGAAGAAATTGTGGGAGAAGACCAGATGTGTTACTTTAGACTCTTATGCAAGGTACAGATAGATGCACAGTTCAGATGAAGCGGCCATCTTCACTATCACATACTGTGAATAGAACGCTCACTCCCCCATTCACTCCAGTGATTCTCCTGCGATCTTGCAAGTAATAACTGACATTACTGCCTGAACCACAGTGACGGAAGTTGTCGGGGAATGGACAAATTTGTATAGGGCAGTGCGTGCACGTGACATGGCTATTTTATCCTTCACTCACTAACTTATCTATCATGTACAGGTACCTATCGGTTTTCCATCCAACTTATCGTGAAAATCACCCTCTTAATGTCGCCATTCGCGCCAACTGAGACAATCGGGCCGAAGGGCCAATCACATCCCCAGGATTAATTAATTCCGGCCATCTTCCATAATCTGGTCAACCCTTACATTGCGTCGCACGCGCAATGCCCCTCTTTTTCTCTACTTGTGTGTTCTTTTCTTTTCTTTTCTCAGGTTCACCCCCAGGAGTGCAGCATGAGCGCCACGGAGATCTGTCCGGCGAAGGGCCCTGAGGCCTTCATACAGCCGCCACTGGAGGCAACCAGCAAAGTGGTCGCCGAGGAGCGTATTGTCCAGGATGAAGAGGCCCAGAATCTCCGTCGAGGCTTGGAGCAGCGCCATACACAGATGATTGCCATTGCTGGCGCGATTGTAGGTCGCACATTTTCTATCTCCTGCGCAACCAGCCCGATCCTAACATGTCTTGCTCGAATCTTTAGGGAACCGGACTCTTTCTCGGACTGGGCAGCTCAATTGCCTCGGGTGGTCCCCTGGGCGCGCTCTTGGGGTATATGCTGATTGGGGTGATTGTCTGTGCGATTCAAATCGCCCTGGGGGAGGTCTCTGCCTTGATGCCGGTGACCGGCTCGTTCGTGCGACACGTTGAGCTCCTGGTGGACCCCGGACTAGGGTTTGCGATCGGGTGGAACGTGGTGTATGGCTGCTTCATGTCGGTGCCCAGTGAGATTTCGGCCGCCGTGGTGCTGATTCAGTACTGGACCGATCTAAACACGGCCATCTGGGTGACCATCTTGATTATTCTCTCCGCGGTTGTGGCCCTCCTCTTCATCCGGGTCTACGGTGAGCTGGAGTTCTGCTTTGCGATCCTCAAGATCCTGCTGATCATCGGCATTGTCCTCATGGGCCTGGTTATTGACCTCGGGGGCGTGAGTGGCACTCCTCGCCTGGGCTTTCACTACTGGAAAGACCCTGGACCGTTCTCCGAGTACATCGCCTCCGGCGCCTGGGGCCGCTTTCTGGGCTTCTGGGCGGTCCTGACGACCGCCGTGTATAGCTTTTCCGGGGTAGAGAGCCTGACGATGGCCGCCGCGGAGATGCAGAATCCGCGTCGTAACATCCCGCGCGCCTGCAAGCGCGTCTTCGCTCGCGTCACCATCTTCTACATCATCGCAGTCTTGATCGTGGGCATGCTGGTGCCCAGCACCGACCCGCGCTTGAACGATTACTCGGGCACCGCAGCCACCAGCCCCTTCGTGATTGCGGCAGCTGACGCCGGCATCAAGGTCGTTCCATCGATCATCAATGCGGTGGTCCTCACCTCCGCCTGGTCATCCTCGAACCAGAGCATCCTGGCCGGTACGCGCACATTGTACGGCCTCGCGCTGAAGGGCCACGCCCCTAAGATCTTCCTCCGGACCACGCGCCACGGTGTGCCGTATATGTGCGCGGCCCTGCAGATCGCCGTCTCGTGTCTCGCATATCTGAGCTGTTCAAACGGTGCATATACCGTCTTCAACTGGCTGCTGGACCTGACCTCAGCGGGGGTTTTGGTCTCGTGGATCACGATCGCTTTGAACCATATTCGCTTGATCCAGGGGTTTCGGGCGCAGGGCCTGTCAACGCGGGAGTTACCGTGGCACAACTGGTGGTCGTGTAAGTGCTGCTAGGTACAATGTCCTATGCGTGAGTCATGCTGACAGAGATTGGGATGATCAGACCATAGCTCGTGGTTCGCTCTGGTGTCATGCATCATCATCCTGTTTACCGGTGGCTTTACCGTGTTCACCAAGGGGAACTGGGACCCTGCATCTTTTGTGTCCTCTTATTTGTGAGTCGTTTCACAAGCCCGGCGATCGTTGAGAACTAACGGTAGTAGGGATATCCCACTGGTACTGGCATTATATCTCGGATACAAGTTCTGGAAAAAGACGAGACTTGTGTCCGTGCATGAGATGCCACTGGAACAAGCCCTGCAAGAAGTGCGTGACGATCCGCACGATGAGCCCGTCAAGACGAGCAAGTGGTCAAAGTTCAATATTCTTTGGGGTTAGCAACGCGTTTATGTCCATCTCAGTGAGACACTGGATCGCAACGTGGGTAGATAGATAATCACCTTGATGTCTCTTTGTCTGAATCGTGGTGGCCAAGTTACAATGGCATTCAGTTCCGACCCACAATTCCGCCCACATAGCTTTGTATTATGGATCATTCGGCTCACTACAGTACACAATGAAGACGAGTCACTCTGAACCAGTGCAGTGCAGAATGCTCATTGCACGTGTACAAAGATGGTCGGTGTCTGTCTACAGACTCCATAGCTCGTCAAAGGATTGCAAAATGATCGTGTAGTCACCGACTCTCTTCACGGGTTAAGCAACAAGGAAGAACAAAGGCTTAGCTATTTATCGCATCCTGACAGCCCCACGACATCATCGCTGATCGAGACTTATAAAATAGCTCTCAATCCCCAGCCACAGACTTTTTACAGCCCCCTTTCACAATTCACTCGATCCACAACCGAGACTGTCCAATACCGTCATCCTCCCACTCACCATGAGTCCCAACGTCCTGTCTATGCCCGATGCAGTCCTGGCCTGGGTGGTCCGCCTGCGCCACTGGTTCCCCCTGAACGAAGGATACGAGGTCACGCACCTCATGTGTAGCGGCGGCCGGAACATGGCAGCCTTCCACTCCGTGACTGTTCACCTCATCATCCCGGAGGAGGATATTGACTACAAGATCCTGGGGTTGATCCTAGGCGAACCTGGCTGGGACGAGGACCATTGCCGCAAGAGGCCCGACTATGATCTGCTGCATGCGCGCGTCAACTGCCACCGAGACCACATGCTGGACTCGCTCCCGGAGGGCAGCATCTTCGGCTGCGGAGTCTTGTGGCATAGCGGGATCTCGCTTCTGTCGTGGTCACCAAAGGGGAACAAGCTCCGTCAGTGCGCAGTCGAGGACGATCGCATTCATCTGGATGTGGTCCATGACGCCGGGACCATTGACCGGTGGTTCCGATTTTTGAAGCAGCACTGGTCTCTCGACACCTTTCGTCATGAGGGTAGACGTGAATTCGATTACTCGCATCTGCGCGCGGAATCTCGCTCTCCAATTTATATTTACCGCAGCCCGCGCGAGTGAGATAGTACCAAATGAAGATTTCTTGTTAAGTAAGAATCCTTCCCCGACTTGTGATCCTATTGTAGTGTCGTAAAGAGGTTATCCCACAAGGCACCAGATATGACACCAATCATCAGCTGCTAGATTGGCCGATCCCATCACGTGTATTCTGGTCCATTAGGATGTCATTAAAAGATTGGCTGTCTCCCAGCACCATGAGGTTCTCCCAGTAACGGTCAAAGAAGTCGGCAGTATCAGTAGGAGCATTTAAGTATGTATGCTGCGGATGGCCATCCTGCCCAAAGTACAACGTGGCATCCATCAGGTCCACATCAAAACGAGTAGTCTGCGGGCTTTGAGCCTGACACGCAGCCGTCGACAAGTGCGGCGGCATTGGATCGAGTTCGGAGAATGCGTAAAGCATTCCAGTATCGACAGGAGCCAGAGTGGATCGGTCCGTGCCCGGTGTTGCACCGTGTTGCAGGTGGGTGTTCGCCACCTGCAGCATAATGCGCAGAGCATCCGCAGTTTTCAGCGCCTCCTTGGATTGATGACGGAGGTGGTTCCAGATGTTGTAGGATCGCTCCAGCGCTTGCGAAAGCTCCTGTCGTTGCGCAAGGATAGCCTGTCGTACAGATGGCGGCAGGTGCTGCTGGAGGTCATAGCGGGATTGACCAGAGATCTCCAAAGAGACAATCATCGCGGCGACTCGGAAATGCATCATCACACAGGATGAGAAGAAGAAGGAGGCATAATTTAGCTGCCCGCCCGGTGAGCTCTCATTGAAGATATCAAACTGGTGTTGCAGCACCCGTCTTGCTGCATCGAGACACTCCCCGCGGGAATAGGCGTACTGGGGATCCAGGCGATGTTGTGTAAGATATCTGCGGTGCAGGTCCGACCGAGCTTTCTGGTACATGAGATCGATGTTGTAGCGGTCCATGATTGTAGTTGGAGGGTCGGCGATGGACTCGCTCGGCAGCCGAAACCGCAAAGGGGGTGGAATATCGGCATGGAGTGCTCGCAGCTTTGCATCCAGATCGAGCACCTCCTGATAGGGAACACCTTGGACGGAGCAAACCTTGCGGCTGATCTCGGCCCCTAGGAACATTATCCGGTTGAGGGTCACCGGGAAGAGAATCAATGTCTTCTCGGTTGCAGGTCTGGGCGAAGGCAAGGCTGTGGCGGAAGGATCTAGGTCGTCGTCCGTTACGTTTCGTGGCTCCTCAACATCAGATTGCGCTTGCCCTGTGGTCGGCGGAAGGCCAGCTTGACACGAGACGTAGTGGTCTAGCAGGCAGAGGTACATCCAGATCCGACGTCGCATCTCCCCATCAAACGCTGTGATCTCGCGGTAATGCTTCGGATCGCGGTGGTAGCCGCTATGAATCGCGAGACGTGTTGCCAATCCCAGCAGGACTGATGGTCCGACATGGGTGTCGGCACTCCTCAAGATTTCACAACAGATGCTCAAGATGAGGGCTTCGAGTTTGTATTTGCCTGGGCGGGTGTACTCGGCCACGGTCAGGCATTGCGATGCCAATCTGAAATACCCCTCAAATGCTTCTGCAAATTGTCCCTCCTCCCTGCCTGAGGTGGTGAACAGATGCAACCCAGCAGCAGCACTCAGAATGGTGTATAAGTAGGCTAGCCAACTGATGGACGCTTCTTGAGGGTTCTTCCAAAACGCTGTGTACTGTCCTGCGCTTTTAGTCTATATGAGTTTGATATTTCCACGGGACGCAGTGGCCGGCCTACCTCTCGAGTAAACGTTGGCGTGTGGATAAGCACTCGAAAATGGTTAGTACCCTTTCGTCCATGCTTACAAGATCCCTTTACCTAATGGGGCTTCTTTGGAGTTCAGATAGGATGAGATCAACCTGTCTGCTGTCGTGCGAAGAGGCAAAGCGGCGAGAAGCTCAGAGAAGTTAGAGGAGATAGAGTTTCCGAAGAGAAGTACAGGGCCTGAAACATCAGGAATTGAATCCTCCTCCCCTACATCCTCGGGTGAAGTACTCTCATGCATCTGGAGAAACTCCTTGACCTCGGAGATCTATCAAGCTAGTGAGTTGGGAATGGGACGCATCGGCTCAATAGGACAACCTACCTCGTCTAGAACAGCTTGCCAGTGGGTAGGATTGTGATAGCTCGTCCCATCTTGCTCGATCAGGATGGTCCCCGAATAATCTGTCTGGGACTCGGGAATGGTTCCCGATGGAAGTGACAGTGGCTGATGCTCTGCAGGAAGCTGTGGTACCTGCGATGGGTGGCTTTCTTGAGACAGCTGTTGCACACGGGCCTCGAGTCGGTGAATATAGTAGTGGATACTGTGGGAGTCCCCGCTCGAGACAGCCTGTGGACCCACAAAATGACACTTCTCGGCCCGGTGATGCTTGATACAATTATCACAAGGGTGAATGCGATTGCATTTCAACCTGCGATCGGGGGGAATGTCAGAGGGGCGAGGCGAGGCGAAGGTGCAGTGGGGAAGTGATTGAGGCTCACTTTTTTCGACGACAGGGAACACATGACAACTTGGGTCTCGGCTTTCTTTTCTTCGCTGAGGGTGGAGGAAGACTATGGTCGCCATATCCGGAGATAGGATCCATGGGCGAGGTCCACTTTGGAAGCAGGCAATGCTTCGTGTAGAGAATAAGTCCGGGTGAGATGCCTTTCATGCTGAGCTCATCTCCAAAATGGTTGGAGGGGCAGCTGACTCAGCCATTGGTTCCTAGTCTAGCCTCTATCGGGTCTAGCTTCGGACATATTGACGGTTAGTGCCGGATTTGTTCTGTTTTCATCTCCATCTCATTTATTTTATACTAAGTTACCTGTTATGTATTGTATCTATCTATCCCATCTACTTACTATATCTACTCCGGACCACTGCATATCAAACGCTTCAAAAGTCACACCGTCTCGCAACCCCTCAACGGAAATGGCACAAACCCCGTCCTACAGTCCCCTAACCACAAGTGATTATCATCACCCTGCCGCATCTTCTTGCGAGGAGCCTTTATTATGGGACCCTCAGCTCGTCGACCCATTGATCTTCTACAGCATGGATCTGCCCACCATCTCCCTCATGCCACCTGTGTTAATCGACTCCACAATTTCTGATACTGATTCATTCGACCATCTTGGCGCTCTTCCGTGCAATCCCATCATTTCCGTCCATACACATGCGAGCTCTAGCCTTCCATTATGTGCGACCGCTACAGCTACCCAACAAGGCACCAAGCGATCGCGAGACCATACATCCACCGAAGAGTCAACGGGGAGCGAGACGTTCTCCGCTCCAGACATGGAGGAGGAGCGTCTCCAGGAAAAACGGCGTCGCAATAAGATGGCTTCGCGAAGGCTCCGGCAGCGGCAAGTCGAACATGTCAGTGAGTTGGAGTCGCGACTGAATCAGGTCACTGAGGAGCGCGATGGTCTGCGATTGCAGCTCGCCAAGTGGGAGGCGGAAGTCGCGGTGCTTCGGAGTCTGGTCGGACAGCAGATTACTTGATGCGTATGGGTGATGGGAACGTTCTTGCCACAGACTTATTCGAGGCGTTTCGATCATATATATATATATGTAACCAACGATACCCATCACTAGAGAGCCCAGAGTATGCACGGTCACGTGAAGCAGCCACCCCCGCCCCGTGCGATGCAATTATTTCCTTTCTTCCAGCTTCAACCACGGCAAGACCATCGGATGGCAGTTCTGCCGTGGCATGCATCAGTCTTCATCATGCTTAGACTTCTTTTTGGTTTCTTACACGTGTAATGAGTGGCGATATTGTTCCTCCCGAGACGCTGCCTGCTGCCACAATGACCCAGTCTCCAGGCAAACACCATCATCTATTTACTATCACTGGCGGCCCCACATTTCCCGAGTGACTTACTGTACAACTAGTGTAGCATGGCACTACTTCGCATAACTACCGGCCACTGCAAGCCTTCCAGGGACTGCCAATTGTGAAAACCATCGAAACTGTGATATTCAGGCGCTACATGTGAAGACTAGTTCATCAAACCATTACCAACACCAAATCCCAGGACGCCATCTCAATTCGTACAAATACCTTTTGGCAAATGGTTGTTATTGGCCGAGGTTGAGCCCCAGATCCAACCCCAAGTCCATCCCGAGATTCAACTGCAGTTCGGCCTCAGCAGCATCGTTGGCCTGCTTCAGGGCAATCTGGCGCTCTTGCTCGTCGGGCGGAAGGGCGGCAAACGCAGCCGTATTCTCGTCCCATGCGCGCACGCACTCTTTGTTCCAGTTGCATTTCTCGACTTCCCCATAGACAGGATGACTGAAGCGAGGGTGGTTGGACGGCCAGTTGGACGCATGGTAGTGATGCTTCACTAGGGCAGTGCGGGCGTTGTGGTTGCCCGAGTCCGAATGGCCTTGACCCGCCGCGAAGGCCTCGACGGTCAGGACGAGGATGCCAGCCACCAGCTTGGACTCGGGAATGTTGTGGAAGGTGTTCCAGCGCACTTCGTGACCCAACCGGACGCCCATCTCCGCCAGCACCGCGGAGGTGAAGGCGGAGGGCCCCGTGCCACTAATCACGTCGTCAAAGTCGAGCTCGAGTTCCCCAATGGGCTTGCCTTGCTGCACCGACAGCCCATGTAACCAAGCCAGGATGTTGTCCACCAGCCGCATCATGACGGGGTGCCGGGGCTTGCTCATGAACGTCCATTGACAGAAGGACTGGGATTTCTGTCCCAGGATCGCGTGGTCGTGGAACTCGGGCTCATCAATCTCAACGCCAATCACCAGATCCATCTCGTCTTCGGTGAACCGCTCGGGGATAAAGCGGTCCAGCGGACGGAGGGCTTCCACGTCAATGTCGGCCCAGATCCCTCCGTCCACATACATGATCAAGTATCGCAGCAGATCGGCTTTGATAATGCGCGCGTTGAGCGAGCGATAGACCTCGACAATGTCCGGTCGGTTCAGCCCCTCGGGTCCGTAGTGGGTCTCCACATAGTCCAGATCATTCTCATCGGTCAGCACTTCATATCGATAGCGCGGGTTCTTCTCCGGCCAGCTTCGAGCGACCAGGAGATCTCGCGGCTCAAATGCCAGCGGATGGACTTTCCAGGACTGCCAGATCTTCCGGGGAAAGTGCTTGTATCGCGCAGTGGGGCCTGACAGTTCCCCGTGGCCCCCCCCAAATGTCCCCGTCAACGAGAGATAAAAGACTAGCACAAAGGCCGAGAAGAAAATGGGCGCAATGCGACGCAAATGGCGAGGCAGGAAGACGCCGGACCAGGGAGTGTTTGCCTGCATTCTGTCGGGCACCACGAGCAGAGACACAGGCAACCCGCGGGAAGAAAATGAATCGTGGTGGTGATGGGGAATGGAGGGGAGAAAGAAGCGTGGGCTGATGGACTGGATGTTTATGAGGGGAACCACCGTGACGAGAATGCTTCAGATGCGTCAATTCGGCCCGGAGATTGCAGAGCTGCAGTCGCTAAGCTCTCTAAGTTACGCTAGGGTCGCCCACTGAACCCCCCACTAGCCCAACTGGACTCCACTGGAGCCCGTCATGAAGCTAGTCAATTGGCGTGGCTCTTATCGACCTAGGAATATCCAGGATGATCGGATGCAAACCATTCGGAGGTGCCTGGGGGGGAAAAGCCTCGGGTGGCGCATTGGCCGAGACCATGAAGGGAAATGCCTCCGAGACATGTGTCTCCTCCATCTCTTCCCCTCACTGCCAGAAAGACCCTCACCCTGTTCTCCCGGTTCGTCCCCCGGTCGATCGCTCCGCTTAGTCGCAGTCCGGTTGTTTTGGCGGCGGGACGGCGGGAAAGCCTCATATATCGCTCCTCCGCAGCAGGCCTCGCGAAGCGTCCAGCAGCCCGAGAACGGTCCCTGCGATTCTGGTCATCATGCCCGCGTTATCCTTTGCTCCCCTCCATGAAACGGCCCTGGAAGACGGCGAGTGGAAGTCTTCCTTGCTAGAGCCGCCCCTCATTCCCAAGGCTGGCTGGATGCAGCGGTTGTGTCCGGAATTCTTGAGCCGGACAGAGCAAGGCCATGATCATTTGAAAGTACCCAACTCGCCGGCTCGACCTCGACGAACCGCCTATCTCGATGGATTGCGCGGTTTCGCTGCCCTACTGGTTTATTGGGGCCATCATGAACTGTGGGCGCATGATGGCATTGGCGCGGAGCGCATCTTCGAGAACGCATACGGATTCGACAACCAGCGCTACCTGGTCGCCTTTCCGGGCATACGCACCTTTTTCTCGGGCGGACATTTCGCCGTCAGCGTCTTCTTCGTCCTGTCTGGCTATGTGCTGTCCGCGAAACCGCTCGCCTTGATCAGTGCCGGGGAACGGCTCGCGTTGAGCGACAATCTGGCGTCCGCCTTGTTTCGTCGGTGGTTGCGTCTGTTTCTCCCCGTGATTGCCACGACCTTCCTCTACATGACCTTTTTGCATTTGTTCCACGTCCAGACTGTGCCTGAGCTGCAGGGGAGCTATGGCGCCGAGCTCTGGAATTGGTACGCCGAGTTCAAGAACTTCAGTTTCATTTTCCGTGGCGGGGGTGAGCCCTGGTTCACCTACAACTTCCACGCGTGGTCCATCCCGGTGGAATTTCGCGGCTCAATCATCGTCTACACGGCACTCTTGGCCTTCTCGCGCTGTCGCCGATCGATGCGCTTAGCGGGTGAGGCGGGCCTCGTGTTCTACTTCCTCTACATTGCCGACGGCTGGTTTGGAGCATTGTTCGTGTCCGGCATGTTGCTGTGCGATCTGGATCAGCTCGCGGCTCGCGACCAGCTGCCCGACTTTTTCCTGCTGCTGGAGCCGTACCGCGAGGTGATCTTCCCTGTGCTGTTGGGAATCAGCCTGTATCTCGGGGGCGTGCCCTCGCGGACGTGGGAACTGCAGATCCTCCGCGAGTCCCCCGGATGGTACTGGCTGTCATTCCTCAAGCCCCAGGCGGTCTTCGACCAGAAGTGGTTCTACCTCTTTTGGGCGGCCACCTTCCTCGTGGCCTCCCTGCCCCGCCTGCCCTGGCTGAAGCGCTTCTTCGAGACTCCATTCAACCAGTATCTGGGCCGGGTCTCATTCGCCTTCTACCTCGTCCACGGGCCCGTTCTCTGGGTGCTGGGGGACCGGCTGTATGCCGCGGTCGGCTGGGCCCGCGATTCACATGCATCCAACTGCCCTGGATGGATCAACCGAGTGCCGTTGCCCCGCGTTGGGCCTCTGGGGTTGGAGGTGAGTTTTCTGGCCCCACAGCTGATCCTGCTGCCAGTGACGCTGTGGATGGCAGAGATGGGGACGCGATGGATTGATGAGCCGAGTGTGCGATTAGCGCAGTGGCTGTACCGCCGGACCCTGGGCAATGACGCTTAACTAGTAGTCTAGAGTACAGTAGTAGTGATTGATGGTCCGAGTGTGTCCGGAGTACGGAGCAGGTCATGCGTGTGTGATTATCATTTCCGAATGTGGAGGGCAATCCGGGGCCAAACATGGCGCTATCTCGATAGTTCAAGACAAGCAAGAGAAGGGGGGGGGGGAGTGGTTATCCCCTCGGACCATTCGGCCTTCTCTCTGCGCCGTAATTGGAATAGTTACAATAACTACAGCGCAATTCACATGCTGATCACCTCGCATGAAAGCCCGACTGAAAAGCGGGGGATGCAATCTATTCATGGAACTTCATTGATTGCCTCCATCAGGGCCGGGCCACCGAGGGCCAATGGAGGGAAGATCAGCCCGGTTTCCCCTCACCCTCTGGCTGCAACCCTAATTTATCCCAATTCCTGCCGCCATTCAATGAGTCTCTCATCCGGTTCCTGTCAGCCTTGGATGTTCCCCCTTTCCCCCCTCCCTCTCTACCTCCCATCCATTCTTCCCTGCTCAACCTGGACAGGTACGGTACGGGTTTCTTGGTCCAAGTCCCCGTCCGGGTGCACGCAACGCCATGTCTGCCCGGCTGATGCGCCTGGTGCCCCTTGCCGGGCTCTTGGTGTGCCTGCTTCTGACCGTCTTCTACTTGTACCGGGGGTCGATCGGATCCCCGTCAGAGCCTGGCCTGAGGGCACCAATTCAGCAAAATATCGATGGTCTGGCACATCTGTCCAACACTCACCACCAAGTTTCCTCAGCCTCGACCCCCGATGGAAAATACTTCCACATCGACTTTGGCGAACACGATGGCTTCAATCCCAGCATCATCCCCCATCCTGTCTGGGCAGACCGATGGTACATAACCGCCCAGCTCGCACGCAATCGCTCGGAAACCGAAGCCCTTTCGGTGTGGAGCGCAGAGCTGGTCTGCATTGCAGCCTTCGTCGACGAGGGGCGCACTCTCCGCTGCATCGAGCCAGCCCTCATCCTCCCCCTCGCCGCGACCGCCACGGACCCGACGCGCTGCGATGGCGAGCTGGAGTTGATGTCCGTGAGTCTCGGCCCGCACGACGCCCGGATCTTCTACGGGCCCGACCGACCGTACGCGGTTTACGGCTCGAACTCGCAGCACACCTGCTTCGGCCAGTGGGCGGTCGACTTCCGCGTGCTGGTCGACTGGCCGGGGGAGGAACTCCTGCGCACCCCCGCGTATCGACACCCCGTGGAGCTGCAACGGCCGCTGCTGCCGGGCTATGCTCCGATCGAGAAGAATTGGTTCCTCTTCTGGGACGTGCACGGGAGCGCATACGTGCATTACGACCTCGTGCCCACGCGGGCCTTTTCCCAGTTGCTGAGCATCGCCGACGGCTCGGTCGGACCCGACTTGGCCGTCCATGCGGCCCCCGTCGACGGGCCCTGTTTGCAGCGATACTTGCCTGCGCTGACAGACCCCCGCCAGGAGTCGATCCATCAAGCGACGAACTCCCTGGCCGTCACGTTATGCGAGCGTGCCGATCCCCGCTGCCAACCCGACGAGGAGAACACCTTCGTGTTCATGGTCTTTCAGCATAAGCAGTTCGTGAACTTCCACAGCGTGTATGAGCCGTACGTGATGCTCTTCCGCCAGCGCGAGCCGTTTGAGGTGTTTGGGGTTTCCACCCACCCGATCTGGATCCCTGGGCGCGAAGCGTCCCATGCAACGGGGCAGCAGTCGGAGATGTTGTACGTGACATCTCTCACCTGGAAGCAGGCCGGTCAGAGGTACCATGGATTCATTGATGATGTGGTGTTTCTGGCGTTCGGGCGAGAGGACGCGCATTCCGGCGGTATTGACGTGGTTGCGAGGGATCTGCTCGATGGACTGGGGTATTGCGTGGGCTGATTGACGGTCTGGTTTTTTTCTCTCTTTCTTTTTTTTTTTTTTACTTTTCTGTAACTTATGATACGATGATTCTGAAACTCAGGGGTGAATTAGATAGATATTTCATTGGGCGGGCCTCCGGGCCGTTGGTCGCCGGCCACTCAGCCTTCCTCTACCCTATGAGCATAACATTGGCCTCAGCCCTATGTTCTGCTGGATGGAGGTGTCATATCAACTGAAACAAGCTTGACCTCGACCCACCTGCTGTAGGGCGTCTGTCGCCCAATGGAACGGGCTGGTTTGCAGCAGCCGGAGATGACAGCTCCACTGCAGCATGGAGGAAGTTTCAGTCGGCGCTTGCACGATAGGCAGCACTGACTCGACAGTGACTTAACAGCGCCTAAGTCTGGAGGGAGCTTCTTATACCTGGTCCGCGTTCCCCTCTCCTACTGTTGTCCCTAAAGTTTCATTTCTCAGTCACTCCTTACCGCGGTCTTTTTGGTACCCTTTTTCAATTTCTTCTCTTCTCCCTCTGGCTCGTTCTTTGCAAGGTTGTGGCTGGACCATAACCAACGCTTTCTCGTTCTTCTCCAAGCACCAACACGAAGCGATCTCATACCCACACATCGCCTGACATGGGGAACAGTATGTGGTACGCCTTCTTGAACGACGAGCTCTGCTATGTGTCTCTCTGGGTCTTCGCGTGCTTGATCGCAGTCATCTTCCTCTGGCAGACCACCCTTCAGCTCGCTGCTCATCTCCGTCGACTGGCCACCTTCACCGACCCCCTGCAGCATTTCCACCGCGTCCCCGACTGGCGACTGTCATGGGTCAAGCGCCATCTCCTCTACGCCCCCCTCTGGCGCAACCGACACAATCGCGAAATGCGACTCTCGCGAGCCATCAACATGGGCACCTTGCCCAGTCGGTTTCACGCCCTGTTGCTCGCCTTCCTCGTGACTATGAACGTGGTTCTCTGCACCGTCACAATCCCCTTCGGATCGAAGGAATCAACGGTGGCCGAACTGATTCGGAATCGGACGGGCTACATGGCGACGGTGAATCTGTTTCCTCTCCTGGTGATGGCGGGACGTAACAATCCGCTAATCCCACTGCTGCGCGTGCCGTTCGACACGTGGAATCTCCTGCATCGGTGGCTGGGACGCATCGTGTTGCTGGAGGCCGTGGCGCATGTGGTTGCGTGGGGAGTGCCTAAGGTGCAGATGTGTATGGCTATATGCCCCAACTCTCTCCCGGATGCTGTGGGCCTGACGGGGGCTAATGCTCGATAGATGGCTGGAAGGTGATGCTAGCCACCCTTAGCAAACCGTTCATGTTCAACGGCCTGATGGTACGGTAGTCCCTGTGCCATTTCTCTTCTCCTTCCCCCCCCCCCAAGAAAGCCATCACAGCTGACAGAAAGCCATAACGACGTAGTGTATGGTCGCGATGCTCGCCATTCTCATTCAATCCCCCTCGCCCATCCGACACGCCTTCTACGAAACATTCCTGCACCTCCATATTGCGCTCGCATGTATCGCCTTGGGGTTCGTGTGGCATCACGTCTACCGCTACTCCTGCAAGTTCTATCTCTACGCAGGTGTCGCCTTCTGGGCATTCGAGGTACGTGCTGCTCCCCAGAGAGTCTCCGGCGTAGCTGACCACCCCTGGCTCTCCTTCAGCGTCTGACCCGCTTGCTCGTCCTCCTCCATCGCAACTTTCGTCCCGGGGCGCGCACCACAGCGTACATTGAGCCCCTCCCTGGCGACACGCTGCGGATCACCCTCCAAGTGGCGCGACCGTGGCGTTTCGCCCCGGGCCAGCACCTATTCCTCTGCATCCCATCCGTCGGGGGCTGGACATCGCATCCATTCTCCGTCGCCTGGGCCGGAGACACCGCACCGGAGCACGAGAAGTGCCTTAAGAACACCCTCGACCTACCCCCTTCCTCGGCCCCGGCCGCGATCGCCCTCCTGGTGCGCCGCCGCACGGGCTTCACCGACAACCTCTTCAAGAGGGTTGTCGCGCATCAGCATGCGCTGCGCAGCCCGATGGCCTACCACGACGACCCCGTCAGCCTCCCCGCGCTGCAATCGCCGACCGGGCCGCCCCTGCGTCTACCCGCCCTCATCGAAGGCCCTTACACCTCCCATCACACGCTCACCTCCTACGGCACCATCCTCCTCGTCGCCGGCGGCGTCGGCATCACCCACTGCCTCCCATTCCTTCCCGATCTCCTCCGCGGGTACGCGGCCGGGACGGTGGCCGCGCGCCGCATCACGCTGGTCTGGATTGTGCAGTCGCCCGAGCATCTGGAGTGGATCCGGCCCTGGATGACGGAGGTGTTGGCCATGGAGGGGCGGCGGACGGTGCTCCGGGTGAAGCTGTTCGTGACGCGGCCACGGAATCCCCGCGAAATTCAGAGTCCCAGTGCGACGGTGGAGATGTTTGCGGGGAGGCCGGACGTGTCGATGCTCGTCCGCATGGAGGCGGCGGCGCAGGTCGGGGCGATGGGGGTGGTGTGTTGTGGAAGTGGAGGGCTGAGCGATGAGGTGAGGAAGGCGTGCCGGTCGGTGGTCGGGGGGACGGTGGTGGATTATTTCGAGGAGGGATTTAGTTGGTGAGAGATGAATGGTGGTGAGTGAGTTGGTGATGGGTGGGTGTTGGAAGGACGAAATGCCGACCGTGAGTGTCCGGCCTGAGGCAAACAATGCTGTATCAGCACGTGATATAGTCGCTGCCTCAGGTGTTCAGTAACATACAACGCATCTCAGGTAACTTAACTTGGAAGATAATCCATGCACTCCTGCGTATGCATCTCTCTCTCGATCGACGAAAGAGCCCTAAAATTGGTATCGTGCTTCTATATAAATCCCCTCACAACCATCTACGTATTTCACTGTCCACTCCCACGCTGGGTCAACGGAATCTCATCCGCAACCACCGTCACCTCGACCTGCCGCACAATCCCCCCAACATGACGATCCAGAAACTCCCGATCGCCCGCAAAGATGTGCGTCGTGATATTCGCCAGGATCTGTCGTTCGTGCTCCGACTCCGACCACGATGGCTGGTCCAGCGGGCGCACGTACGGCAGAATCCACCGGGTCTTCCAGTCCGACGCAAAGTGCGAGTGCCCCACGGGACCCTCCCCTTGCTCCGGGGCGGGCTCGGGGCGCAGCTGTCGATGCTGGGTCTGCTTCTTCCGAATGTATTTCCGGATCCCGTGGAGCACCAGCGGTCGCATACAGGGGATCGAGGCGGTGATGAGCACGATGCCGGCCTCGATGAACTGCCAGCGCAGGAGGCCGACGCGGTTGATGCGCGGGTGGGTGGACTGGAGGATGGCGGGATACTCCAGGGTTTTCACCAGGGAGGCGGCCATGGCTCTGCGCAATCAGTCTCGAGTTCGGTTGATGGGTGACGATTGGGCCCGGAGGCAACGACTTACACCACGCCGAGGCTGAGGAGCGAAATCAACACCATCTTGACCCGCAGCGTCCAGTTGAATCGCCGGAGGATGTAAAGGGGAAGAGAGCGAGGAAGAGGTCGCAGGCCGAGTTGACAGCTGTTGCGTGACTGTCAGTGATTACAATCTCTTTCGTGACCATTGTATGGATCTGATTGATGGAGGAAAGAAGACTCACTTCCCTGAAAGTATCCATAGTCGATCTGCACATCCAGCGACATGCAATGCGTCTGCGTGCCAGGATGGAACAACTCTTCCACCCGCGAGCATTGCGCAAACAACAAACACACACTGACCACGTTGACAATCACTTGCAGCGGCACCAGCATCCCCAGGACGATGCGATCCCCCCGCCGAGCTGCCAGAAGCGCCATCATGTACAGGATCATCGCCAGGCGCCCGACCGTCGCGGCCAGCATGACAATCGCATACCCGATGGTCGAGTACTTGAAGCTATCGACGATGCTATGCACACCAGGGGGGTGGCTGGTCTCGCCGTACCCGCGGTCGACCGCCACATTGAACAGCACCGCTGCGATGAGAAGCAAGGTCTGGATACGGGATTAGCCGATGGTGAGCAGAGGATGGATGGATGGTCTTGCAAGGATCATACCAAGGCCAGCAGGATGATCAAATCGCTGAGCTGCAAATTCTCGAACTTGTAGTTGCTCGCCATGCGAGAGGTGACAACGAGAATGGAGAACGCCGTCATAGTCCACACGGTGATCAACAATTGCGGACCATCATTCGTCCCCAACGCCCCCTTCGCCTCCCCCGTTAAAGTGTGGTTCTGGCCTGCATAGCTCGGGGGTGGATCGTGTGGCATGTCTACCGGTCCGTTCGCGGGGCATCCCTCCTCTCCGCACGACAGTGGCGAAAGAACGGGACCTTGACATCAGTGCGAGGGACGTCCAAGGTGGCCCTCTGTTCCCTTAAATCCATTCATCGACTCGAGCGCCCATCTTGCGCACGGATCGGACAGGGTACGCAACTCAGCGCCACGCGGAACACTGCTCATAAGAGGGCAGCTCTTGGTCGACGTTGTCCGCCCCTCTGGGTGTCCGCTCGGAAGCACTTGGATTCATCAAGCTGCCCCGTTCTCTGCGGGCGCACGCTGAGAACGCAGATCTCCACCAGAATGAGAACTAAGAAGACAGCGAAGAGGGTCAGAGTTCGGGCATCGGCCGAGGCAGGCGCCTGATCTGAAACGACGCCGGTGTCAAACCCACCCGCGCGTCCAATCACGCGATGCGCATGAGCTAAGCATCCTACTCCTGCGACGCCAAGGCATGGCTGACGACTGTGTCGCAGGTTTGGGGACGGACGTCGGATGAGCTTGACAGTAGACTAAAATTTCTGGGCTCGTGCCGACCGTTGTAGATGATGAACCCCTATTTTTACGTCAACACGGGACCGCGCCCACATTTGCAGGAGAACCACAGCGAAAAGAAAAGTCCAGATTATAGGCCCGTGCTCGGCTAGGCAAGGCTGGTCCCCGCTGCTTGATCCACATTAGGGGCTTGGGGCTCTGGGTTCAGGCTCTCTCGCCTTGCATCATTACAGTTTTACTCCGAAGATCTGCCGTGGGATAAGATATACTGCGAATTTAGGTGGTGGGATGACACCGAGCCTACAATAGCAATTGATAATGAATGGAAAATGTATTAGAGAGGAAGTACGAAGCGAATTGGCGCTCTCACGCCAGGGAAATGTGCTTGTTAAGGTGCGTTTAGAAGCATTCCTGCTCGCCAGAGCCGGATTGACCCTGGTGGCCCTTTTGACCCTGATGACCCTGGTGCTGCTGCGACTGTTGGCCGGAGGAAGCGGCACCAGAAGCCGCAGCAGGGATAGAAGTGGCAACCGTGCTGGACTCCTCCGCGACAGCGACCGTTGTCGCAACCGGGGTGGCGTGGGCGGTAGCCGTCGAGGTGGAGGAGGCCACCGCAGTCTCCGAGCCCATGGCGGGGACGCTGATGGTAGCAATCGTCCACACCTTGCCACCCTCGCTGGAGCTCAGTCCGGTGTACGTCGCACCCGCACCGGTCGCGATGGTGTCTCCGAAGGTAGTATCTGCCTCGCGCAGAGTAATGGTGGTGTTGAGGTAGAACTGTGCAGCCACCGTGCCCGTGCAGTCATCGTCACACTCCGTGCCTGTGCCGTAGCTGTGCTCAGTTGCCGTGTTAGCCATCGTGTTATTTTCATTGCAAAACATCCGAGGAGCGAGAGATCCAGGCTTACCCAGTCATGTAGGGACCAGCGGGATAGGAATAGTTCGACAAGGCAGCCCCCGTCACGGCGTTGGTAACCGTCTGCACCCAGGTGTTGTCGTCCGAGAGCAGGTTGTACTCGATCCGAACCTGATCATCGCCGCTGACCGGAGAGCCAGTGCCGTCGAGCTGGCCGAAGGAGCCGAAGATACTGGCGCGCACACACCACTGGCCGGTCGTGGCTCCGCACCAGGCGTTACTGGCCCAGCTCTCCATCGTAGTCTGGATGAGGTCGCCCGTGCTGTTGCTCATACCAGGCCAGAGGAACAGCTCGCCGTTCTGGGTCGACGGAGCAGTTCCGGGAATGAGAGTGGTCACCGCATTGATGATGTCGGACTTGGTAGGACCCAAAGAGACACTGCCACCCCAGGAGTCGCGCTTGATAATCTTGGTGCCACTTTGCAGCGCAGCCGGGAGTACAGCTCCCAGAGCCAGGGTGGGGAGAATCGCCAGAGTGCTCAGAACCTGCATTGTGAAGATGGTGCGAAGAATGAGCTAAAAGAATGTGTCACAGTGAAGGTCGAAGTATGGAAAAAGTGCAGAGAACGGATGAGGCCACCAGTGCCGTCAGTAAACGAATGGAATTGTCAAAGAATGAAAAGATCAGAATCCTGCAGATGGAAGAGACATGAAGGCGTGGAGCTGGCAAGTTTTATATAGTGCCGGATGGGGCAATATTAGACCAACGGAGTGGAGCTCAGGGCAAGGGAGGTAAATTGGCCATGTTTCTGACTAAGCATTGGCCCGAACTTTGAAACATGCCGCATCCCACGTTTTTGGCAGCCTCCAATGCGCCAAACGCCCTTGCACGGCTAGGGGGTTCAGGGATTGTCTCAGATAGACTCCTCTTAGTGCTTTGTGGGCTTTTTTGGGGCTTTAACATGGGGGTTTTAAGTTACCGTTGTTTCGTCCATAGATGGTGACTTTAATCAATATTAGAAAGGCAGCGCCTCCTTTGGGCTACCAGGCGCATCTCCGATATTGCATTATTTAACTTACCTAAGCTAGGTCTTTCCCCTGAAAGGGCGCTATACTAGGGCAGTCCTTCGTGTCTTCATCTCTCCGGGGTTTGTGCATGACTGAGGCCATGTCAAATGGCACCCAGAACTACAAAGCATAACTACCTGCATTTCAGTGGTGTAATGACCTGTTAGAGTCGTTTGGCCGTGGCTGCAAACCTGCGCGAGATTGCTGTCCAAATTGTAGGGGTTGAAGGATGGAAGTCAGTGCAGTGAGTTGGATGTATCGCCATCATCATCATCATCAGACCACGCCTTGGAAGACATGTCCCACGAACTCTGGGAAACACTGTCGTCGACAAATCTCCGCTTTCTCCTTTTCCGGATCTGAGAGGCGACTGCGTACTTTGGTAAAGCACTCAGAATTGTCAACTTCTGAAGAAGCCATGCAGGCGACGGCCATCCGAGCAGTGCAGCATCCGTCGCTGCCGGGCGGGATTGAGAGCTTGACGAGGTCGTTGGCCACAGAATTAGGGCATCGATCCCCTGCGACCGTTCATTATCTCAGTCCGGGGCCGCTCAATACGAGAGTATGGCCACGAAACGTTGAGGATGTCGAGCGCCGAGAAGAATGGGATCGCATGGTGAAACAACACCCCTGCAGCTCTCTGAGTGGCCGAAGTTGATGCTATCGCGCAGGTGGTGGGTGTTGTGGTGGAGGAGGGGAGTCGGTGGGTTAGTGGGAGTGTCATCAATGCCCATCGCCGTTTGCTATTCAAGTGAGTGAAAGATCATATGATACAGTATTCATGTTCTATAAGAGGACATCTCTTGTGAAGATACATCCACCAACGACAGTGCCTGCCTTGCGTCAATCTCACAGACCCAGAATCTCATTTCCCTTCGTCCACACAGCACGCTGGCCTTGTTTGAGGTTGCTCTCCGGGGCATTCCCCTTCTCCAGTCGCAACGATCTCAGGCCCTGTTCGTTGGTAAACTGAGCCAATTGAGCCAATTGGTCTCTCGTCGTGCGGCCGATCTGTTTGCTTTCACCCTTAACCCCGGGGAAGTCCGACGAAGGCACACCAGCCAGAAAGGTCCTCGTCTTGCCGTCGAACGTACTGCGCGTTGGCTTCGGTGACAGGACAGGCGGGGATGTACAGGACACTGGAGTCGCCACGGCCTTGGTGAACCTTGTCGACGGAATGAATAGCTAGTCGAGGTCAGTCATGATACCCAAACGCCACTATGAAAACACAGACGATCACAATGCCACGCGACCTAGTCACCCGGGGCAATCCTGGGCATATGCACCATGGGGTTGTCCAGTCGCAAGTGCGGATGCAGACGAGCGCGCATCTGGGGCTGGGACCAGTACAGCTCGAATTGCATCCTGAGTGATACGCATTCAAGTGGACTTAATTCTTGCTCTGAGGAAGTATCAAGTCAGACTTGTCAAGACATCATGGGAACTTCTTACAACTTAGTCCTCAAGGCTCCACGGTGTGCGTCGAAAACCGGCGGATGGATTCCCTGATTGGGTAATCTGCCGCCCGCCAGCCCTGATGTCGCCACGAGTTCCTTTCCCTCATAAAGGATTACCCCTTTGTTCCGAGTCAAGTTACATGTCTAACAGTAGCAAAAGTTCGCATTTCCTCAAGATTACATCACGGCTCAAATGTCTCAATCAACCAGTCGGACTGAAAGCCATGCATTTGCCGGGGTTCTTCTCGACTTTGACGGAACAATCATCGATTCAACAGAAGGTAAGGGTCTCCATCCCTGGGTATGTTGATGAAGGCTGACAATGTCTCCTAGCAATTGTCGAGAATTGGAAGCGGTAGAGTCCCACCTATCACAACAATGCTCCATTGCTGCATGCTAAACTCTTGTAGAGTCGCCGCCGAGCTGGGAGTGGACTATCGCGAGATCCTCCGCGCCTCCCACGGGAGACGAAGCATTGACGTCCTGCGAGAGCTGGACCCCACAAAGGCCAATTGGGATTGTATGTCCAGCCACTCTCTACAACAACCCTAACACTCATATTATGAATGCACATCCAGACGTTAGCGCCATGGAAGCCAAAATCCCGCAACTATCTTCCAAGCCTGCTATCGAGATCGCGGGCGCCCGACGATTACTAGAGAAACTCACGAGACACTCCATTCCCCACGCTATCGTGACCTCAGGAAGCAAGGCCTTACTCGATGGCTGGTTGACCATTCTCCAACTCCCGCGGGCAATGACGGCCACAACAGCCGAAGATGTCTCGGCAGGCAAGCCGGATCCCGAGGGGTATCGCATGGCGAAGGAACGTTTGCTTCAGCATCGAGCTGATGAAGGCGAGGTTCTGGTGATGGAAGATGCCCCCGCAGGAGTCTTAGCTGGCAAGGCAGCCGGATGCAAGGTTCTAGCTGTGACGACTACACATACCGTGGAGCAGTTGAAAGAAGCTGGTGCAGATTGGGTTGTTCTAGATCATCGCTTTGTGGGGTTTGAGACTTCAACTTCGCCGGGTGATGTGTGTCTGACATTTCATGATCTTCTTTGACCGTGCATATACAAATATCGCGTTTGTCTGGGCTCTATAAAGGGAATAATGTTGTTCACCGCAGCGGATTATGTTTCATCGAAGGGAAATTGCCCTGAAATGAGTATTGATGTGATTCTTACTATGGTAACTGGGGTATCATGTATTAATTGCGCCAAAAGCATGCGCACCTGGGATGCTCAACTTCCTGTGGATGAAGCCAATTCTGGACTTCATTACATGTAGGGAGGAGGTAGGATGCTATCAGCTGAGACTGATATTCTTGCAAGACGTCGTTGTAGTCTATTGTTTGAGTCAAACATCCCGTATCGCCCCATCCTCTGTTTGGCTGCATCCGCACATCTACTGGCGAAGGACATCTCGTGGAAGCCAGCGAATTACTGGCTGACAGTGCTTCATTCAGATCTCCAGCAGGGATTAATATATCCGTCTCATGCTTGCCATACATTGAGAAATGATGTTTCTGGCACAGAGGGCCGAAGTCCTTAACTGACTGACATCGGTCCTCTGCATGTACATGGCAATTGGAATAGAGACGCAGATCTAAGAGTTTCATCAGTCACTGACTTCTCGTCCAGCGCTTTGCTTCAGCTTACCGACAATATGTGCCCGTCTGCGTTGATTACTCTGATAATAGAAAGTACCATGTGGGTAATATCAAAATGAGATGACTGGACAGCCTGAGCACAGTCCTGGGTCGATGCAGACAAAGACATCAAGAGCGAGATCTCGTATCTGTTATCGTTATCGAACGTGGAGACGTCAATATCCTTTGCAGAGGTGAGCCATCTGGAGCAGACGACTCGCGAGCGATTGACTCGTCTCAAGAGTCTCCCGTCGTAGAATGAAATCGGCGCAAAGCCAGTGTTTCAACTACCTCAATGCCTATGCTCCCAAACTGAGGCCCGTCGACTAGGGGCACGAGGTAGAGATGTGGACTTATATGTGACTCAAATGGAACCCGTTTATCTGTCAGACTGAGAAGATATCGAATCTTCCCAGGCCGCTCGTCTTCAAAAGACTATGAGTCATCAAAGTCAGCATCCATTGCCGGATATCTGGAAGGGCAACGACAGCATACCAGCCGCGAGGAAGCCAGCTCCCAGTCTCTCCACGGCAGATTGCGGTATATATTGATTGTTTCGCGATATCTGAGATTATTTGCGAGTCTTCTGGTAAGGCGGCCAACTAATATGTAATCCACTGAATAGGCTTACACATGGACCGTCTCTTGCATATGGCCCCCAGGTCCAGAGAGACATTCAGGGGAATCTCATATTCTCCAGGCCCATAAATCAAAGCCTGAAGCATGGGTGCTTGTGCCAACCGCCAACTGCCACGATGTAGTAGATTCGGCGGACGAAATATATATCATAAATTTCCACCACTGGGATTTTACTAACCGCGGACAAATGCTCTACTAGGATTGTATCCGCCTTAGTAGAGTACTTTCACTCTCCCTCTCAGAACGCTTCATGGGTACCGATGGCCCGATTGATGTAGTCTGTCTGGAAGAGGGAAAGCGCCAGGGCTGCCCACCAAGGCGGGTTTCTCCCAATGCGGTAATCCGACCGCCAAAGAGCCAGTTCTTGATCAGGTAATCGTTCCGCCACGGCCCGATTCCTTCTCTGGACTGGCCGATGTTATGAGCTCGACGGGGACTTCTCTGCCTCTGACTTCTCTTCAGTCGACCAACTACTACGAGTCAATGGAATCGAAAATGGGGATAGGGATTTTACCTTACTCAAGAAACTGATCCCATTCGTTCATTCCTCATCATCATTTTTCCTGGGACTCTCGACCCCCGATCTCATTCACCATCTCGGTTTCCCGCCACCCAAACTGCAATGGAGCTCACGTGGCTGGCCGACTCTCCACAGACCCGCTGTCGGAAGAGAGCATTAAGGGCCTGCGATCGCTGTCAGCGGAGTAAGGTTGGTTCTCTGTCTGATCTGGACGGCGCAAGGGTAGAAAACACTAACAGTGTATTAGAAACGCTGTCATCATGTTGACATGCAGCAGAATCCCAGTCGTGTGCGGCGACGTCAACCTGCAGGAGATTCCAAGGAAACTCGTCCCAGAGCATCCTCGACTCACATCCCGACGAGCACTATTGTGCCCGGCCGATTTGTTGGAGAAATGAACCCTGAAGTAGTCATTCGAGAGAGGCTGGTGGTGGGTCCTAGTTCGACTTCACTACGCGACCGCGTGGGGCTCTGGATCCCATTCTCGGCCATGGAAAATGGCCGTGCATTGCTGGAAGAAGCTGCCAATGCCGACTATATACCCTCAATGCACCAACAAATACCTCAGGCTCCCGACGTGTATACGGCCCAGGTGTTCGAAGGCTTGGTGCGTCGGCGCTGCGAGTCTGCACTTCAAGCGTCGAAGCCACTGCCCGCAGCCACCCGCGCTCCTTTATTTGCCATTTACTTTTCGCAGGTTCATCCGGTCCTGCCTATTATTGAGGAGGACTTGGCGGTGGCATCTCCATTTCTGGAGCGGGCCATTTGCCTCGTCGCCGCCAAGTCTAGAGCCGCCGCCCCCCATCTTTATCTGTCCGAGAGCAGTGCCTTGTCCTCGCCTCGCGGCTTCTGCACTGCACTCTACAATGGCTTGAAAGATGCAATCCTCGAGGGATTGGAGCGAGATCGTTTGACGCGGATCCGAGTGCTCGCCTTGATAGCCTTGCATTGTGAAGACTCGGAAGGGTCTGAGACTGCATCCATGCATTTGTCGCAAGCAATTCACCAAGCGCACACAATCGGTTTGCATCTCAAGCAACCGGGCGGAGGTGACCAGGCTCGATCTCGCTTGTTCTGGTGCCTATGGACTCTTGATAAGCTTCTGGCGTCGATGTTCGGCCGGCCGGCCTTGATTCTCGATCAAGATATCAGTATCGAAAGACCCTCCACCGCATCGAACCCAGTCAATACGCCGAAAACTGCGTTTGAGATATGGTTCTTTATTTCGGAGCTACTTTCGGACGCCATCCGACTCTACAGACCCCGTAACGAGAGTCCCGTGGAGCCAGGAATCCTCACTAGCTTTGAAGATATTGTCGGGTCTAATATCGAAAAGCTGGATTTCACCACCCTAGGTCTGTCTTCCATGACCACGTTTGAGTCAGTGTGTCTCTTGAATGTAATGATCTGACGCGCTTTCAGCATTCCTGGAACTCTATTACCACGCAGTCGCAATTGTATTTCATAAAACCTTAGAGCACGCGACTCCCAATCAACAGAACCTCGCACGCAATCAACGAAGTCTAGCAGCAATCCGTGCCCAATCGATTATCTCCCGCGAATGCACGCAAGAGCTGCCACCGCTGCCCATTATTTCATACGCACTATCGCTGTCCATGAGCGTCTCCTACCGACAATATCGGTCAAGCAAGCTCATCACGCACCGAAAACGAGCCGTGGCCGACATCGAAGCCTGCTGTGCACTGCTCGAGCATCTGAGTGCTTCGTGGTACTCTGCAGAATCAATGGCTCGCCTGGGGCGAAAGGCACTGCAGCAGATCCACGAAAGTGACCCCAGCCTCTGCGAGGATACACATGGAGCGTCTGTTTTGCAATCTCCACAGCTCGCTCGAAACAAACGCCCCGGGGTCATCGCTGCTCGCGACGCAGTTGGCGATCACCCTGGTCCGATGGACTCGGGTTATGCACCCGTCGCCCCCGAGCCAGTGGAGTGTGGCACCCAGGAACTACACGATTGGGAGATTGGGAACATGGCTGATTTGGACATTTTGTTTGATGATTTTCTGGATCTATCGCTACCAACCAATCTCTGAATAAGCCATATCTCGACAGCCAGTCTCAGATGCGACAGACATACTCATAAGAGGATCTTGGATCGTTCATCGACTCCTGGGTCGCGTATGCCTCGATGTTGTCATCGGACCTGACGTCGCACTTGAATCTCTGCACGATGTGCTCGCCGTCCGTCTTCTGATTCAAATCTCCATTGTACTTGAACCCTATGCACCAGGTGCCCGACGCACGGGAGGGCTGCGTGCCATTGTGGTCTGAGAATGCAAACACAAACTCTGAGTCGCTGGTGCCTGTGGCCGTCCAGAATCGGCCCGGGAGGGTTGTATCGTCATCGTCGATAGGGAGGTATATTGGTCCCAACTCGCTGCTGCATCGCCCAGTGCTGGTTGAAATGACTGCTTGTTCAATCCTTGCCGTCCAATCTGGTGACGAAATGCTAGAGTAAGTCTCTTGGCTGATCTCTTTCGACTGGAGAGGAGTTGTTCGGGGAAACGTTCTGCTCCACCTCCTATTTGGAGGACCCCTGCAGGGGCTGTTGGTACCCGGGGTAATCTAAGGCTTTCCGCGTACATTGATTACATGCTGGGGTCGCTTCGTCACATTTGAGCCGCTATAGATCCTTGATCAGCATCAAGTTCGAGGGAGTGTCAAGAATCAACCACCCGCTGCTTGCATCGTAGACAGCCACCTAGGGCGGACGCAAACTAGTTCACATACACTGATCATATAACCCCTCGGCAGTAAGAGCGCCTTACTGCGGGTTTTTACCCTACGGCGGGATGATGGTAGGGTTGACATGGGAGGCGTAGTAGCAATTCCTGAGCGGTGAGGGGAGTTGCAATGAAAGTGATGTTCTCAAGTCGCAGGCTTGTGAAGCAAGGAGGCTTGAAGATTTGCTTATCCGTGACAATGGGCAGATGTGCTTCTCCTTCCCCGCATTTCGGTCCCGCATCAAGGGGAGAGACAACGGATTAAGGACAATGCATCCGATGTGATGCCTGAGGCAGAAATCAAACTGAGAGGCAAGCAGCAGATACGCTGACAATCTCTCACAGACTGTGCACCCTAGGAGGACCTGAAGATATCATACACTACCCTGTCTCGCACAAAATGCTTCTATGGAACCACGATGACGCATAGTGAGCACTGCTCTTCTCTGCATTTGACATCCAGAGTTCCGCCGGAGACTCGTTTAGCTCGGCCACTAAAATACAAGACAATTTTCTGATACTCTACTCGATATTGCAAAGACGCTTACCTTGAATGACTATGATTAGAGGGATGGATCATACATCGACGTGCCAGAACCCAATGATGCCGATGCAAGCAAGGTGACTGGCCCGCACTATATATCTCTTTTCAGACGTCAAGACCCATCTTGACAGTATAAGTCCGCATTCAAACTGGTGACAATTCACGACGCCTACTATCCCAAATCATGATGATGGCTGTTTAATGCTCGCTAAGTGGCTTCAATCGCTATGGCCTCTACGCCTGGCTTCTGCGTTTTATACACAATTGCCCAGCTAGCCCAGAGTCTCATTTGGACCAAACATTACACGACCGCGATAGATCATGTCTACAGAGATGAAAGACACTGCCCAGTCGGCCAATTTGGGTGCTAGTATGGAAAGCAGAGTTGGGGAGGTGCGTGAACTCAAGGTAAGCGGCCTCTGGCTCACTGACAGGTATATGGGGAAAGGTGGCCGTAGCTGTCCATCACTGATCGATGTGTAGAAGCCCTTTTCCGGTTTCACAATCCTGTCTGTAACCATTGTTCTGATGGCAACGTGGGAAGCGTATTCCAGGTGGTTCCTCCTTCCATCGTGAAGCTCTACAATCTGGCGAACTGGCGACCATATCTTCACAGCACCACGATGTCGGTTCTCGTCAGTGGTGGGGCTGTGTCTCTCGTCTATGGGTCCCTATGTTTGTTAATTGAGGCAGGCTTCTGACTGCTTGCACAGGGGCAGTCCGTAGCGCCATTGCAACAGCAGCATTTTTGGGCGAGATGGTGTCTATGTCAGTTATCCTTCTTCGGTTTTGAGCGCACCAGGCTCACCTATTCATCTCCAGATATCCTACCGCCGGCAGTCAGAACCATTTCACGGCCACCTTTGCGCCTTTACCAGCCGGTAATTGCGTTGAATATCAACGATGCGTCATTGATTTTAGGGGTTGTGCTGCTGCTGAGTGGGGGTTTTTGGATCTGGGGCGGTCGGAAGGAATATCGAGGGCCTGTACGGTAACCGGTGATACACACATACACACATACAATACGTACGGTACTTCCACATCCTTTCGGCTGCCTGTTTCTGCTTCTTTTACACTTCCTCTCCCTCTCTCTCTCTCTCTCTCTCTCTCTCTCTCTCTCTCTCTCTCTGTCTCTGTCTCTCTCTTTCTCTCCTTCTCTCTTTCTTCTTCTTCTCATTTAACATCTACTCATATCAGCTTTGACACCTCCCTATGGCGCAACTCCCCCCCGTGTTTCGTCGACTGCGCCGACCGCTACGACGAGGGCCGCTACCGCGACTACTAGCGACCCTCACCGCAACGATAGTAAGTGCCGCGGTGGTGTTATATGTTGTGCTGGCGTACCCGCTGGCCTCCGATCCGCGGCTGGTGCCCGCCCCTTTGCAGCGCGCCCGCCATATCCTGCTAGTGACTGCCCACCCCGACGACGAGACCCTCTTCTTCAGCCCAACCATCCTCTACCACCGCCAACACCCCGAGGTCACTCGCGCCTTGCTCGCCCTCTCTTCAGGCAACTACAACGGGCTGGGCGATGTCCGCCAGGACGAGATCCACCGCAGCTGCGACCGCCTAGGCATCGCGCGCGAGCGGTGCATTGTCCTCGACCGTGGCGAGCTGCAGGACAACCCCAAGGCCTGGTGGGACGAGGACCTCATCCGTGAACAAGTGGCGCAGTACGTGCAGCAATGGCAGATCGACCTGCTGTACACCTTCGACGACGGCGGGGTGTCCGGCCATATCAACCACCGGGCTGTGAGCGCCGGGGTGAGGTGAGCGAGCGGCCTTTTTCCCCCTACGCAATAGCGAACCGAAGACCGGACAGGACCACCACTAAATGGCCCCGCAGAAAATTCATCCACACCACCCCCAATGCGCCTCCCGTCTACATGCTGCAGAGCACCTTCCTGCTGCGCAAATATGCCTCGCTGATCGATCTGCCCCGCACGGCCCTCCCCTTTGCCGGGCGCATCCTGCGCGCCCTCATGCTCAGCCCCCAGCAGGACCCGAGTCTCGCGCAGTCCGACCGCTACGAGGAGGCGGCGCTGCTGGTCAGCTCGTGGGAGACCTACCGTGTCGCGCGGGCGGCATTTGCGCAGCACGCGAGTCAATACTCGTGGGACCGGGTGTTGTATCTCGTGGTGAGCCGGTATATGTGGTACAACAACCTCGTGCGCATGCGATAGCGGGTGATGGGCGGGGGCTTTACGGTTGACGCCGCTGTAGACGGATCGAAGCAGAAATTCTAATGTATTCAAATCGAATCGACACTATACAAAGTTCAAACCCCCAACTAAATGTTCATGAGAAGGAGAAAATGAGAAATGAGAAATGAGAATGCCATCAAATGAAGGATCTACACCATTTTGCCCTCCGACTTGGACGCCTCGGTACGGCTCATCTCCCCCCGGCGCGAGACACGTCGGCCGCGCACGACGCAGAAGCCGACTGCCCCGATGAAGGACCCCAGGAAGACCACGATGACGAGGAAGGCCAGCCGTTGGTCGCAGCGCGCAAAGAACTTGATCCACTGTGCGTCCCGCCCGTGCCACGAGGAAGACCCCAGGTGCTGGAAGAGCGGAGTGTTCACGAATCCGTTGAGCATGTGCAGGGTCGGCCGGTCGGGAGGGCCGGCCAGGACACGGAGGCTGGCGCGGTGGGATTGCAGGGTGAAGATGGTTCTGTCGCCGGGTTAGCATAGGCAACGACGAGGGAGCCCGCGCGCAACGTACGAGGCATAATGGCAGCCGGTGCTGAACATGATTGTGATGTAAGGGAGCAGCGACCAGCGGCGGTTGAACCGAGGCAGGTTGTCCACTAACTCGCGGACATAGGAGTTGTTCGGCGCCGCCAGCATCATGCCGATGGAGATGCCCACTGGGTGCGCGGCGGGTGCCACGAAGTCGAACTCCCGCAGCGGCTCGAGCGAGCGGCGACAGGCGAGGTCCATGTCCAGAATGGCTCCTACGCAGCATGTCTGGTTAGCGAGGCCTCATCCCAGCAAGCACATCCATTGCGCATACCTCCGTATGTGTGCAGCACCATGTACCGCAGCGCATCCACCCGTTGCACCAGGGCCGGATAGCTCTGCCACATGGCCAGCAGATCCGGATAGTGGCTCTGCACGAACGCCGTCGCGTTCTCGTCCTGCCAGAGAAACGTCTCCCAGCCGGGGTGATGTTCCAGGCACTGGGCGCGCGCCGTCAGCCATTCCGCCCGCGGCGCATTGGGGCCCAAGTGGACGTGATGGAGACGGGTCGGAACCCGGGCGGTTTCGTTGCTGGCGGTACGGTTGTCGGCGTAGGCAGCGAAAGTGAGGTCGAAGCCATCGCGCTGGGCCGTGAGCACCGACTCCGCGGCGGTGGTCTTCCAGACGAAGGGCAAGCGGAGGAGGAGGTAAAGTTCGTGCAGGGGGAAGAGCAGGCCGGCGACGGTGACGACGGCCACCGCCGCTAGAAGCAGCCGGACTCGCAGAGATACCATCATCGCGGTGTGAATAGCAATCTTCAATTGATCCAAAGCAGAACCACACGAACAAAAAAAAAAATAAAAAAACAAAGCTGGGTAAGTCGAGTTAACCCCAGTAGATCCAACCAAGACACGACAGGACCAGAGTCAGTTTTGAGCCGCGTGGTCAGCAGTTTGGAGATGGAGACAGGAGGCAACAGGGGAACAAGATCCCCTCCGCCTGTCATGACCCGGGAGGCTCATTTCCAGGGTGCAGGACTGGGTATTCACTAAGTTACGATGCAGGTTCCAGTTTCAGGGTGTCAAAAGCCAAAAATCGCGATGATGGTTGCCTAAACTCACGCTTGTACGACCTTTTCCCCATTCCAGGATGTCTAGACGGATCCTTTCCACCGATTGGATGTCAGCGGATGAGATGGCCGCCTGGCTAGACTCAAACCAGGCATTCTGTGAGTTTCCCTCTGGGTGGGGAGGTTATTCCTTCTGCTGACTTGATGGCGAGGGCCACACGAGGCTATTCGGGGTCCCGCGGGTTACGATCGGAACGGGTCTGAGCGATGTCTCGTACTATCCACTTCTCCGGTGGGGGCCAAACTGTGCTTGTATGAGATTTACCATTGCTGGAGATTACTTGCAAGGACAAGTAGAGACAAGCAGAGACAAGCAATGGCTTGGCCGGTGCGGTGAATTACCGTGAAGAAGGAAAGAGGGAAAATGTGTGGGCTGTCACTCGCTAGTTCTGCAACCAAGCTTTTAGTCTTGCGGGCGGCTACGGCTAGTCGATAGGGCTGAAATATTAGGGAGGATAGTATGTTATACTTAGTATTAGTACCAGGTTCTCTAGTAGTAATTAATCCCTGATGGACCTTCGGAAACCCCCCGGTGTTGCCACAGCCTTTCCTTACAGCCACGTCCCTCAGTTTTCATTCATTCTGATTGGCTCTCTCGGGCTCTTACAGGGTCTCACTGGGTCTTACTGGATCTCGTCTAAACTTTCCCCTTCATCAAAGCCTCAATGGTTAGTTGCTCCCCAGTGTCTCACTCCTCCAGCATCCATCCGCAACGAGGGCAATGCTAAGCCTCTGTTTGGTCCGCACTCAAATTGCTAGAACACACCATTGATCCTTTCAGGGGGAATGGCGTTGGGAGCCGGGTTATTCGGCGCAAGATGGTTGCGATCAGTCACTTTCGACACCACTCTAGGCCCTGATTCCTGCATAGCACCCAACACTAAAAAAAGGCTGCATGATTCGTGGCGGCAGTGGATGCGGCCCCGACAATCTCCTCCCCCCCCCCCCCCCTCCCCCCCCCAGGCAGACATATTTCATTCACCCAAACGCATCTGGCCGGTGACGATTCAGCCCCCAGATTCACGTCCCCCGTCCCTGTCTCCGTGCTCAATTGATCGCTGCCTACGGGGGGTGTTTTGTGTCACTGATGGAACCACTAAAACACACCCCTCGGTTTACAGCCGAGCCAGAAAAATGATATGGTCGGTGAGAATTGTGTATGAGGCCGTTGTTTCCACTTCGCTCCCTCATCAACTCACTCACCCACCCACACACAAAAACCCACCTGTCAGAGTCCGTACGCGGTGCAGTGGTCGCAACGCAATGGTCCCCCCTCGTCTGCGCCGTCTGGCCATCTTCGCCCTGCTCGGAGCGGTGCTGATGGTGTGGACGCTCTTCCGACGCGAAGAGTGGGATCACGAATCACTCGGGGGGCTGGAGAGTCAATATCCGCTCCTCTATCAACATGTCCACATGCAGACTGGCGAGGGAGGAGGTAGGCTCCCTTCAGCAAGCATTCAACTGTCCCATGAACCTGACTGATCCACTGCTAGCGTGGTATATCCCGGCCAACTGGACCACTCCCACCCACAAGCCGCCGCGCAATATTGTCGAAGCGGCCGAGTGGGCGCTGCAGGCTACCAACGCCTCCGACCACTACCTCCCCTTCTCGACCATCCCCATGATCGTGCATCAGACCTGGAAAACCACGCGCATCGACACCTGGCCCCAACTGCTCCGCCACAGCGCCGAGCGCTGGCTGCAGGCCGCCACCGAGGGGCCGATGGCGTATTTCCTGTGGACGGACGAGGGGATGGCGCAGTTGGTGCACCGGTTCGAGCCCGGGCTGGCGATGCAGTTCGCCGGGCTGGCGAGCAACGTCGAGCGGTCGGATGTCTTTCGGATTGTGGTCTCCAAGTGGATTGGCGGGGTGGTACGTTTGCTGCCCATTCGATCGGTGAGTAACAGAATGCTAACGGCCCCTTCAGTACGGCGACATCGACACGGAGCCGCTCCGGCCGCCGACCCAGTGGATCAGCGCAACGGACCTCCTCCCCTGGACCGACACGCAGACTGGGACCTCCTACCCCGCCACCGCCCCGGTGCAGGCCATCGTCGGGCTGGAGGCCGACTGCCGCGAGGACACCGATACCTACTGGCGCATGGGCTACTCGCAGCCCGTGCAGCTGACGCAATGGGCCTTTGCCTGGGCCCCCGGCCATCCCATCCTGCAGACCTTCCTCGACCGGCTGACGACCACCCTGCAGACCATCGCCGACCGCTACGGCGGCTCGCTGCAGTCGCGCGCCGCCCGGCAGGAGCTCCTGGCGCTGGATCCGCTGACGCTGACCGGGCCGGCGGCGTTTACGGAGGCGGTGCGCAGCCGACTGGCGGAGACGACGGGGTTGCGGTGGCAGGCGCTGTCGGGGCTGGAGGATGGCGGGCGAAGCAAGGTGGTGGACGATGTCTTGGTTCTCCCGATCACGGGCTTCAGGTATGTCGCGTCCCCGGTGGGCTTGGATGGCATACTGACGTAGTTCTAGTCCGGGACGAGGGGCGTATGGCAACATGGGCTCGAAGCCGGTCACGGATGCCTCGGCGCGACTCCGACATCTGGCGCAGGGCTCGTGGCGGGCGTTCGACTGGACGGTGGAGTATGGCAAGTTCTGTCGCACGATGCTGGGCAGGTGTCGCGACTGGTCGAAGGTGCCGGTGCCGAGTGCTGCGATTGCGTAGGGCATGGATTTCTCCGGGTTTACATGGGACCGACAGCCGTGGGTCGAGTACTGGTTACCGGCGGGGTGGCATCGCGGTTGTACCTTACAACTAAATTAGATTATGGAGTCCTTTCCCCAATGTTTCAATTCCTACAGTACTACTGCCTGCGAAAGTAGAGGTCCAGTCACTATAGGTCACGCTACAGGAACAGGAATCTCCTCCCAGCCTTCCTCCCCCGGCCCCCTCTTCTCGCGAATAACCTGCATCCCGCGCCGCTCCCCAAAGCCATCGGCGCAGAAGCCATCATTGTCCGCGAGACGCTCGACCTCCTGCCACTGGCCTCCATTCGGATGATGCGCATCCGCCACCCAGAGGGTCTCGCGCACCCGGTCCCCCTTCACCTGCGTCCGGCGGGGATTGAAGCGCGGCAACCCCGCCAGCCAACTCAACCCCCCATGCAGCAGGGCATACAATCGCTCCACACGCCGCGTCACCCCCAACCACCGAAACGTCCGCTCCGTATACGCCGTCCGGACATACGGATTCATATACACCCCCACCCCATCCCCCTCCGGTGCCCCATCCAGCCCCACGGCCGAATCGACCAAATCCGCATGCACAATACAGCACTCCGACCCATCGAAAAACAAATCCCCATCCGCGCGAAATCGGACCGGATTGTCCGCGCGTTGGAAGAAACTCGCATTAAAGGCCACCATCCCGCCCCAGCAACTCCGGACCCGGACGGCATCCGTCTGAGCCACCACATCCTGCCGACTCACCCCGTCCCCCGCGGTGGTGAACCACGGGTAGAACTGCAGTCCGATCCCGTAACCCTGCAGGTCGCGCGTGGCGTAGGTATCGTAGAATTTGAACGGGTTGATGAAGTCCACGGCGCAGGCGGCACGGTAGCGGGCGAGGCCCGTGGGGTCGGTGTGGGTGGAGAAGAGGAGGTGGATGGCCTCGTGCGGGGAGAAGATGACATCGTTGAGGTAGAAAATCCGGTCGTAGGGCGGTGCATCGGGGGTGTCGAGGGGTGCGAGGGCGCGGTTGCGCAGTTCCGACAAGTAGGTGGTGCGCTTGATGCGCTGGCCCCCGCCGGGGATGGGGATGGTGGGGAAGGTGGTGAGGTCCGGGGGTGGGTCGGCGCGGAGGGTGTGGTTGCAGGGGAGGCGCTGCGCGAGGGTATCCAGGGCAGCGGCGCCGGTAGAGCCGCTGGAGGACTCGTAGATGCTCAGGTAGACGTGGTCGGGCCCGAGGAGGTCGATGAGCTGCAGGAGGGCCTCCCCCCAGCGGCCGCGGGCGAGGGTGCCGGCGGGGTCATAGAGGATGGCGGCGATGAAGACGCGTTCCTGGCGGGGGTTGGCGCGGCCGGGCTGGGCGGAGTGGGTGGCGAGGTGGGCGAGGGTTTGGTAGTGAGGGGGGAGGTGGGTGTAGGAGGGGAAGAAGATGGCAGTGATAATGATCACAGTGGTGAGGCAAATCAGCGCGAGACGGAGGAGCTGGCGGAGGGCGGACCAGCGCGGAGAGGAAAAGCGACGTCGTCGGCGGGGGGAATTGGTGGTGTATCGGGTGTATCGGGTCAGGGTGCGCCAGAAGGGCTGCCAGGGTCGGTTGCTGGGGAGGACGAGACCAGCTTCTTCTTCCCAGTCCGATACAGAGACGAACGAGTCGGTGGAGGTCCGGTTGGGGAGGTCGTGGTAGGCGGGGGGTGAGGGGATTTGGGATGGCATGATAGGGACTGTGTATGTGAGTATGAGTGTGAGTGTGAGTGTGAGTGTGGATGAATCAATGCATGATAAATTGAGTTGTCTTGACTGTAGTTAGTGTCTCTCTGTCTTACCACTTTGTAACTACTCCATACAGAACACTCACTTCCTCCTGATGATCCGCAGTGCGTGCGCATACGCCGTCTAGGCAGCCGTCAAACCATCAGGGCTCAGATGAAACACTCGGAACATTCCGACAGGTGACCGGCAGCAGGGGATGAACAGAAATGCGAAAAACGTGGAACCACAACACCTCATCTCACCATCGTCCGGCCACCAAACACAAACGTGGGTAAATCTGGCCCTCTTATTCCTGGGGCTGCTTTCCTCTGGCCACCAGGCTCAGCAGGATCTACCGCATTGCCTACGGTATTTTTACGTGGGGGGGCGAATACACGACTCCACCCGGGGCCAGCGAACCCCTTCGCACCGGGCAGATGTACGGGGAGCAACTGTCCCCCGGGCGAGTCACCCAACCCTATCCCATCGTGAAGGTTCACGGACAGGCCTAGACAGGCACCAACTGGCGGAACAAGCCAGACGGTCAGCCAGGCTGGGCTGCCTACTTCCTGGCCCAGGGCTACGAATGCTACCTGCTCGACCAGCCCTTCCGCGGTCGCAGTCCGCGCCAGTCCTGGAATGGCGAGGTGGACGCGTACTCGACCGAGCATTTGCAGCGATACTTCACGGCCCCGGGGCGATATGCGCTGTGGCCCCAGGCCAAGCGGCACACGCAATGGCCGGGGTCGGGGGTGATCCACGACCCCATCTTTGACGCCTATTTCGCCAGCACGGTACCCTTTGTCAACGATAGCGTCATCCAGGAGACCGCCATGCAAAAAGCCGGTGTCGCACTGCTCGATCACATCGGGACCTCCGTGATTCTCCTGGCGCATTCGCAGGGCGGCATCATGGGCTGGCTGCTCGCCGATCAACGGCCGGAGCTGGTGCGTATGATGGTTTTCCTGGGACCGGGAGGGCCACCGTTTCGCGATGTCGCCTTTGGCAATGGAAGTGCTCGTGCGTATGGCTTGACGAATATTCCGATCGCCTATTCTCCGGCGGTGGTTGAACTCGCCGTCGACTTGGTGACGACCACTATCCCTGCCAACCAGCCAGATGGGGTGGCCTGTCTGATCCAAGCAGACACTCCGCCCCCGCGACAGCTAGCAAATTTGTCCAAATTACCCGTGATGCTGGTCACCTCGGAGGCGTCGTATCATGCGCAGGTACGACGGGTGCACGGTGAGCTTTCTGCGCCAAGCGGGGGTGGACACGGAGCATGTGCGGTTGGCGGACGTAGAGATGCGTGGTAACGGCCATATGATGTTTCTGGGTGCCAATAGCGATAGCATTGCCGCGCTGATTCAAAAGAAGATCGAAATGATAGCTGAGGCGGAGACGTCTTAGCTGGCACGTGGATGGATTTCAGAATGCCTTGGAACATCTTGATGCCTGCATGCCTGCATGCCTTAGTGCCTTGCAACCTGGGGAAATGGCACCAACTGCTCCCCGCACCGCAAGTCATCGAGGCCTTGAAACCATCGAGATTATCTTTGACCACCCAGTCAGATACAAGGCGTAGCTGTGAGTTTGAAAAAGACACAAAACAACAAAAACATACAACAGAAGGGATTCGCTGGTGGTCACCCACCCAACTACTAACCTCCCGGCGTGTGGCTTGAGTACGGCTGAGCGGACGGGAAGCCCTATTTTCCACACCCTGTGGTCGTATGTGCTAGTTTTTGCTTCAGAGTCAAAGATAAGCGAAATTTTGGCTTGCCTAGTACCATGAGTGTGGTGTTCACCAACGATTTCCATGCTAGAAATCATTGGATTCTACATATACTGCCAATACCTTTATCGCTTCCGTCATCGCCGCCCATCGCTGGCTGGAATCCATCCAGGCTATGTACATGGCAGGATGCTTGGTCGGTCCACTGATTGCCCCGGCGGTAGCATCGGCTGGGGCCACGACCCAGTGGAATCGGTTCTAGTTGGCGCCACTGGGCCTGGGGGTCATGAATCTGGTGTTTGTCCTAACCGTGTTCCAGGCCAGCTCACAAACAAACTTTCCACAGATGAGGAGGCACGAACGGAGAGTCCTGAGGGTGAGCAGCGCGCGTCCCAAGGCTCCCCAGGCTCTCGTCGAGATCAAGAACACCCCTCCCGTTCCCACGGTGTGGCTGATGAGTTTATACTTTCTCTTCTTTCTTGGGGCAGCTAGGTCGCCTTCAGTGTCCCCAATATCATTGTTGAGGCAGTTACCAAATGCATCTTAGACTTCTTTCCGGGACCTTTCTTTGCTGCAGTGAGTACTTGCTTCACTCTGGACTTCATTGGCCTACTGCAGAGTCTAACAGTGATCCATCATTTAGGGTATTTCAGTCGCCTCAAAGATATTGACAGCAGAGGTCCGAAGCTCAGCCATCGGTGTTTTTTTTATCGCACAATAATTGTTTCAACGATGATCGACTAACCGCTGGATAAGCATCTCTCCCTTTCCAGTTATGACAGGAATCTCCTCTACGCACACGGGAGTCAAGGTCCTGCAGCCCACTCTCGTGGCTCTGCTCTGTGCTAGGGCGATCAGTTGGCTCCTTTTTCCAAGCCTCTCAAGCCACGCGAGTGAGATCTTACCAGAAGGCCTCAACTCAATGTAGATGGCGGCTATTCTTAGCGCAGAGATAGATCAATGACCTGCATCCTAGGCCGGTACACTTGGAAGCCGCTCCCACCCCACACGATGGCCATGGTCCACTGCTATCGACTAGGTGAGGTTGACGTTTTCGGAACTGTTTTCGGTCAATCTCACCTTGGATTCCCTGGCGCGGGTGCGGTGGGGGTCTAGGCTCCTGCTGAACGAGGCACTGTGAACCATACAGGACTCCTTCAAGTTTTGACGCTCTCAATCTGTTCTCAGTCTATTTTCGTCGATCCCAACTTATGATCTATCCCCTCAATGACACGGAGCAGTCCGCTATCCATTGTCGCCGCATTCGATGTATCTATTTGTGGTCGGCAACACCTTTGACTTCCTTTGCTAGGGTTAAGGTAAAATCGATAATGGGCAGCAACCGACAATGATTGTCATACTTAGGCTTTATCATTTCTCGCATACCCACCAATGCTCCAGTTCCCCAGGGCTGAGGCCGATGTCCACAGCGCACCATCTTATCGTTATTCGGTGAGCGCCACGCATGCAGACCCACTATGATCGCAATGTGATCTATACAATCTCGGTCAGGCCGTTCGTTGGCTTCCGGCCAATGCAGGAATTGAATCTTCCGCGTGCGGATCTCCGGATCTCCCCCACTTTCAGAATTCCACCCGCCTTCCGCCTCGCACCGATTGGACGATCCGCCATCCAAGCTTCATGACGTGACGATTTGACTTCGATCCACTAACACGTTCTTACTATCACGCACTCGTGTCGAGTGTCAGAAAAAAACTCTGAATGAGCGTTTGAAAGTGACTGCATTCGGAGTAGCGAGTCTGGAATCATGACGAATTCCCATATGATAGTGTGTTGGTCGCTCACATGTGAGCGATTGAATGCAGACGGTACAGTCGTGCACGACCGGACTAAGTTCTAGTCCACGAGTGGCACAAGTCAGTCTGTATCCCAGATCATACTAGATCGGAGATCCCGCGATAGTTCCCAGACTGTTCGACCACGGTAATGCCTAGGGTGGCCCTGTGTAGACTCACGGCCTATCGACTAGCGGGTTGTTCCATCCCCAGGAAATGTGGATAGGGGTGACCAGTTCAAACTGCCGCATAATGTCAGTATCGATTGCCAGAAAGCGAATGAACCTTTCATTGTTCGCGAGGGATCTCAGCTCACAGTCGTGCATCTCATTCTGACGTCGCCTCAACTGCTTCAAGATCCGTGGGAAGCCAGATTATAAATATAGATCGCAGTTCTAGAATCCGATTGTTCGATATAACTTAGTTTCGATAACTCAATACCTTTATACTATCCTCGTACTTGACAAGTTCGTTCAGATTTGCGCATTGAATTTCTCTATCAAAGCTAGCCATTACCACAATTGTTACAGACCTTAATTGCTTCATCGGGGGCGATCACCCGCTTAATAGTTTTTCATCCTGTTGGACATAAAACTTCATGTAATCATCAAAACATGGCCACCTCTTTCCAACCGAACGTTCACTACACCTTCGGCTCTCCCCTATCCTCCACCGCACTCTTTGGAACAAGAAGAGCATCAGATATCCTCGAGCAAGAGGGGTACAGCACTGTAATGCAGACCTCTACCTCGCGAAGAGCTTCCCGGACCCTGAGCGGAGGAGGCAGCTCCACGCTGGCCGATGTCGTGAGTTCACTGACGCGGCGCAGCAGCGACGCTGTGAGCTCCACCCAGATCACCGATGCAGACTATGCCACCCTCCTGGAATGGATCCGCGCGGAGCGGATGCGCAAGCTTCCTCCGGAGGGCAGCAGCTATGACAAGGCCCTGGTTTGGGCTGCATTGTTTGTCGAGCGGCTGCACTCCTTTGATACTGCCCTGCAGCAATTTGCCGGGGATAGCCACATGGCGGCTCAGCTCGCCTATGTGCACTGTGCGAGTTTACTTGAGGTATGCCGCGCTGAGAATTGATACCAACAACATGAGCAGACGACTCACAGATATTGCTTCCAGCTGGCGGAGGAGAACGCCCCTGCGCTGATGGATCTGTTCGGGTTCTTCTACCGCTCCTCCATGGGTCTGGGGAACCTGTTGGATCGCACGGAACTGTTCTCGGTGTCTCAGGATATCAAGGACCAACTGATCCTGGCTTTGGCCGATCTGGTCACTCTGGTCGTCGGCGTTGCCAGACATTTTCATCGGTCCCTGAACACCTCCGAGTCAGTCTCGATTGATATCTACAGCACCTTTCCCGGACCGATTGACAGCTTCAAGGCCCGCTGTGAGCATGTCTCGGAGCTGATGTGGAGACACCAACTAATCCGCGAGGGGATGAATGGGGATAAAGGTGAGCAGGATCCCCCCAGTCCTGTTCCAATTGACTCTTCTCGTGACTGATACGCTCGGACAATGCAGTCACCGAGATCAGAACCATCAAGGAATGGCTGCAGCCGGAAGATCCCGTGCTGATCAACGTGGCGGAGACCACGGCTCACTTTGCACAAGAGCGCGAGGAGTCAACCTGCCTGTGGATGAGCCCGTACTTGACACGCTTCCTCAAGAGCGATCAGAAAGTCCTGGCCGTGCATGGAAAGCCAGGATCCGGCAAGACCATCCTGGCCACCGTGATCCACGACCATCTCCAGCATTCCGTGGGAGGCACCGTCTACAAATCGATCTTCGTCCCTATCAGTTAAGTCTGGGTGCATCGAACCCGCAGCATCACAACTAACCACCACCACAGATAGCCGGATTCCCGCCAACACCACCCCCCGCGCAGTCGCCAAAATGGTCTTGTCGCAGCTGTTCGACAAGCGCATTGGTAATGTGCGCTTGTACCAGATTCTCTCCGACACCTTCACCCGCAGTCAGTCGACACTGGAGGAAGACGCCTACGATGACCTGCTCTGGGCGGCGGTGCGGAACGCCCTCAAGAGCAGCCTCCAAGGCGCCAAGGAACTCGTCCTGGTGGTGGATGGCATGGACGAAGCCAGTTGCGGCGAAGCCAGTCTCCGGAAGCGACTGACCGAAGCTGCTGTACCGGCAGACCGAGTCAAGTTGATTGTTCTCGGCTCCCAGCAGCAGTCCTCCACGGCCTTGCAGACCGCAGTGCATGTCAGCCCGGAGCTTGTGTTTGACGACATCACTGCTGTTGTACGAAAGATCCTGCACCCCAACCGTTCCTTTACATCCCAGTCGGAAGACGAGCAAGAAATCATGGTCACGCGCATTGCAGAGGCCGCCAGGGGCTCGTTCTTGTGGGCGAAGCTGGCCGCCAAACGCATCCGCGAGGAGGGCGCCTCCAACGCACAAGCGCTTTCCAAGGCCATCACCACGGTCGCCAACACTGGAAAGACCCTCACTGATCTGGTCTCGCATGCGATGCATGCAAAGGTCAGCGAGGATGCATTGAAGGTGCTCTCCTGGCTGTCTACGGCCGCGCGTCCTCTGACGCAGAAGGAATTGTCGGCGCTTGGCTCAATCCACCTGGACAGAGGCACAATCACCGATAAAGAACTCGACAGCCACCATCTCCTCAAGCCAGTTGCGTCCCTGGTTTTCATCCAAAGCAATCTGGTCTACCTGCGCCACGGGCAGATCCGTTCCGCCATTCTGGACGTGCTGGCCAAAGACAAATTGCTGCCAGCCGTCAAGAACCGGAACAGCGATCTCGCTCAACGATTACTCGTGTACACCAAGGAGGTGGTTACCAGTGACCATGAGCCATCGCTGGACCCCCTGGACGACTCTGCCAGCCAGGAGCTGCTGGTCAAATATCCGCTGCTCGACTTTGCCCTGCGCTACTGGATCACACATGTCAAGATCGCCTTCGGCTGTGCCACCGACCAGGAAATCGCCACCGCTGCGAAAGAGCTGCGCAGTAGTATTCCGACAACTCCAACAGTCCCACTGCTGGAGATGACTGTGTGGGACAACAAATCGACCCCGTCTCTGCGTCTTCTCCATGGCATCCAGACACGTGTGTGGCGACAGGCCCTGGGCCCTAACCACCCTACGACCTTGCAGACCGTCCTGTGCCAGGCTCTCTTCTACCGGCGGATCCACGAGATTCCCTCCGCCCATATCAGCAAGATCTTCTACGAGGCGGCGAAGATGAGCCAGACCGTGCTCTCCACGCGACACCTGATCACCATGCAGATGATCAAGTTCTATCTGGAAGTCACCGCCGACCAAGTCACCGACTCCAAGACGACGATCATGACGCAGCGCACGGAAATGCTGCAGCGTCTCATCGAATGCTACAAGATCCATTACGGGGCGTCGAGCAGCATGGTGACCTCGACCATGAGGCTGCTGTCCGAGCATTACACCTCGATGGGAGAAGAAACCAAGGCGAAAGAGATAACCACCTGGCTGCAGGAAGCCAGCACAGAAAGCGCGCCGCAAGCGACCGGCCCTCGACAGACAGACGACTCGCTCTTGGTGCATCTCCACGGGCGCAAGGATACGATGGAGACGCGGACGATCTTCTCGTTGGATGAGCTGGAACAGGATGACCTGGTCACCCGCGCATTCGACTTCAAGTCTCTGCAGGCCAAGGCTGAGAGGCTCGTGGCCGAGAAGGACATCAAGACGGCCGAGCGGACTTGGATCGAGCTGTGGCAGCAAACCAGCAAGGAATACCGACTGAATTCCTCCACTGAATGGGAGTTGCGGAACATGGACGCCGTGCTCGGCTACGCCAAGTTCCTCAAGTCTCAGCACCGGGAGAATGAAGCAGCATCGATCCTGTCCGGATTCTGGGAGGGCTATGGCCAAAGCACGTCGAGCTCGGAGGCGGTTGCTTCGAAATTCCTCGAAGTTGCCAAAGTCATGAAGTCGGTTGGACTCTCCGTGCTCGCTCTGAGCGTCTTCAAGCATTGCGCGCAAAGTACCCACGGTCATAGCGGCGTCCATCAGGAAGTCCAGCAACATATCAATACCACCTCCCGCGAGGTGATGAAGATGGCGACCTCGACAAGCTCCACGATCACCGAATCGAGTCTCAAGGAGATGGTGTTCAGCGCTTCGACTACTGACCAGGTCTCGATGACTGCGACCAATACGTTGCTGGAACTGTATCTGTCGCAGCATCGATGGCAGGACGCCACCAAGGCCATCAAGCAGGTCCTACGGACCATGTGGCCGGCATTTTTCGCCCCCTCGGCCGACGAGGCCGTGCTCCCCGCCAGCAATCTGGAGTCTTGTGTCGAGCTGGCGGAACGTCTAGCCAACTGCTATCGCTTTCGGCGGCGCATCGGGAAAGAGGAAGATGTTCGCCTGCGTTTGTATCACGCAGTGCGCCGCGGTCGACCGGCGGGAGACAAGTTGCTGGACCGCGTCACCACGGGGCTCCTCCGTCTGTACGAGCGCATGGTGCAAACTGAGAAGCTGATCACGATCCACCAGAACATTCTGAGCGACTGCAAGAAGAGATACGGACCCCAGCATCCAACCGTGGTCAAACAGCTTTGGAAACTGGCGGAGTTGACTCGTCCGCGTCCCATTGCCGTGGATTACTACCGACAGATAGTCCACATCCTCAACAAGGACACCGAGCAGTGCCATCCGGACGCCTTTGAGCCCTTGCTTATTGTTGTGACCGATTTGCTCAACCAAGCACGTTACGCCGAAGCTTTGCAGCCGTGTCGTGTACTGTTCGGCACTCTGCAGAAGCCTCAAATCAGTCCGAAGCTGCAGGAGCCGAGCTTCGCTCAGACCCTGTACGAACGCTATATTCACTGCTTGCGCATGGTGCAGAGCGACGTCGCGGTCATCCACGATGTGACAGCCCAGTACCGCAAGGCATGTATCAGCCTCTTCGGCACGAGTGCCTCTGTGACCATCCACGCCACCAAGACCCTGGCCAACATCTGCCAGGAGTCCAAGCGGTACGAGAGCGAAGCGATCACTCTGTACGAAGAGTTATTGCAGACTCGATCCAGCGCGGTCGAAATCGATTATGAAGATATTCGTGCCACACTCAATGCGATCTACGAGGAGCAGAACATGCTCGTGCATACATCCAAGACCGCGTCGATGAGCACCGAAGAAGTGAAGCGGGTGATCTCCATCCGCACCCAGCGTCTGGCCTCTCTACGCTCGACCCACGGATGGGCCCATGAAGAGTCGCTGGGACACTTATCAGAGATCGTGACGCTGTATACCAAGCAGGGAGATCTCCAGGCGGCTGCGACTCTGTTGCGCAATGCCACCGCCCAGGTTCTCGCCACGGAGTCGTCTTCCATCCAGCTGACGGCAGCCGCGAAGACCATCGCGGCCGGTTATATCACCGCGGGCCAGGTCGACCGTGCGCGAGAGCTGACCCACGAGCTGTACCGACAGATCGTGGCCAAAGACACCGCCAATGTCGGTGCAGTCGGATTCGACCTGACCGCCAGTCCCCGCCAGAGCCTCTCGTTCCTTGCCGAATTGGAGTACCGTCTGCGCCAACGCGAGGACGCCTCCCTCACCCTCAACGAGGTCTACTCGGCACTCACCACCGAGTACATGTACTTCGAGCAGTTCCGCACCGAGATCGGCTCGAAGAGCAGCAGCGTAATGACTGTGATGCCATCCGCAGCTCGTCTCCACGGCTTCCTGTGCGCCAAGGGCCGTCATGAAGACGCCGCACGGCTGGCCGAGCAGGTCACCAACTACTTCCTTGCCACTGAAGGGGCGACTACTCAGGCCACTGCGAGCCAGGCCCGGATCTTCATCGACACCCTGCTGGAGTACTTCCCCTCGCACACCTCCCCGCACTTCATCCGCTCCGTGGCGATTGCCAGCTACGACCGGGTGACGCAGCTGCTGGCGACGGCGGACTACCACTCGGCCTGCGGGCTCGCCCTGACGGCCTTCCAGTACATCCGGGCGCATCAGGGCTACGCATCCCCCTCGGTGCTCAAGACGGTCTTCAAGCTCGGGCTGGTCATTGCCGGCCGGGACGTCGAAGCGCGACCCGCCGCCGCCTCCCGGAAGGAGATGCTCGAGGTCTCGGCCAGCATCCTCAAGGAGACGCTCGACTACCTCAAGCAGCAGAAGGTCGACCTCACCCAGCTCGACCTCGTCCACCTGAACACCCTCATCTGCGTCCTGGACGAACAGCACGACTACGCGACCCTGGCCTGGATCCTCACTGCCCTCTGGAACCACCGTGACACGCACATCTCGACCGCGCCGCAGTACGCATACACCCTCGCGCTGGGCCGCATGCTGGTCATCACGCGCTACCTGACAGGCGACTCCCTCGCCGCCATCCGCCTGGCCGAAGATATCGTCTACAACTGCGCTCGCGTGCACGGTCCGCGCCACCCCAGCACCGTCGAGATGACCGTCCTCCTCTCGCAGATGTACACCAGCGTCGCCCAGGGCTACCAAACCCACCAGGACCGCCGCGAGCTCGCCTACCGATACTACAAGAAAGCGGCCTCGCTGCACGAGAACGCCCTGCGGGTCTTCATCGACCCGACCTCCGTCTCCGCCACGGAAATGGAAGCCAGCGCCGCCGCCTCGGGCCTCTCCGAGTCTGCGTCCGGCGCCTCCAGCCCCGGCGGGACGGTGGAGGACGAGGGCAAGCACGTGCGCCAGCATCTGCATCTGCTGAAGCTGGCGGTGGAGCGGCTGGGCGACTGGCCGAAGGAGTATGCGGAGTACGAGCGGCTGAATGCGGATCTGTTCCGGACGTTTGCCGCGGATCTGAAGGATGTGGAGGGGGTGGAGAAGTGGAATCTGAAGCGCTTTGGGTCGGGGAGGGCGGAGGCGAGCGATGATTTGATCTCGCCGGGGATCAATCAGGTGGTGGGGAGTCATGAGCGGTTGGCTATTGCTGTTTAGGCTGCTGGATCTACAAAAATTGTTGTGTAGTGTCAAGGATGGTAAATGCAGCTATTTCTCGATTTTTGTCCTTAGGGTATGATACCTACCAAACCAGCGGCTGTGGCATGATGGATACACCCAAAACACAGCCTAAAACACAGCACAAAACACAGCACAGTCTCCGAACCCCCCAATCCCCCCTTCAACGCTTAACTCCTCCTCCCTTCCAACATCCCCCTCAAAACATCAACCTCAGTATGATCCCTCGTATTGCGCATGCGATGACACCAAACCACCTCCCCTTTTCCCTGTGACCCCTCCGTCGCCTGGAACAAAAACTCCCCCCCATTCTGCCTCTGATCCCCACCCTTCCACCCCAACCCCCGAGTCATCTGCCTCAGATTCGCCCACACCGACTCCGCCACCACCCTTCCCATACTCCGTTGGATATACCCCGGTTTCTCCCCCATCGCCAGCGACAACCCCAACCCCAATTCCGCATACAACTTCCGTTCCGGATCCGCGTAGAGCGGGAACACGCACCCCGTTTCCGCGAGATACGTGTCTATCAACCCGGGATCCCCACAGCCGATAATCACTATCCCCGTGGGAGGGGTTAATCCCGCTAGATAGTCAGGAGTGAGGGTTTGTGAGAGGGTGCGGATGTATTCTTTACAGCTCTGCATTCGATTAGCATGGTCGCCCCTCAATGGCTGAGAGAAGTTACCCCGCAGAAGAAATGCCGGATGAATACGATGAGCGTCCGCGGGGCAGCATCGGGGCCAGTGTAGAGCTCTTGGAATTGGTGGTGCTGGTTGTTGTGGTCGTGGACGGGGTATGTGGAGAGTTTGGCTTGGAGGTCGGCGGAGGGTGGGGAGTCGGTGGTGGTGGTGGAGGTGGAGGTGGTGTCGGTGTCTGACGGATTTGCGGATGCGGCTTCTTGAGGTAATGAGTTATGGGATGGGGAGGTCATGGCATCTGTTTGCTGCTGCAGAGTAATGGATGGGGTGTAGATAGGATGAGGATGGGTGTGATGATGATGATGTCGAGGATGGTCACATGATTGTGCCCCTCGCTTGCATGCAACCCTGAATGGTGAGCCTTTGAGACTATGCGGTACATATCTGCAATTATTCAAGCGCTCTTGTTCATCCTCTGAGATCTACCAGGGGGCTGAGAGTATGCCGAGCGGAGATGTGTGAGATGGAACTTGATGAGCGGGTTCGTATTCCCCACTTCGTAGGCGAGTATAACATGTTTCCAGGATCATGGTTGGTTTCTCGTTGTCTTCTCGAATAGTATTAGAAGGTCTGCGGGGTGCAAAGGCATGAAGGGGCAGAGTCAACTGGTACATACTGATGCCCCTCGAACCAATTCCCACCACAAGGCCACCAAATGTCAGCCCTTATGCTGGGCTGCTGGATTTGACGTTATATAGTAGGTGGGGAGTTGGTGGGGACACGCCCCGTAGAACTGGCCAAACAAAAAGTTGGAGCAAAAACGACAACAGTCGGATTTGAACCGACGCCTCCGAAGAGAATAGATTTCTAGTCTATCGCCTTAGACCGCTCGGCCATATTGTCTAACTCTGAATTATGCTTGGATAACAAAAACACATGAGACAATTGCTTGCAGCTCATGCTGTCATGATCTTGCGAATTTCACATTGTAGTAAAAGCTGCATGCTTAGAATTCGAGAAAGCACATAGCATACTACTGTTGCTCGTCATTCTTATATGTATGTCTCCCTAAGAATCTCGACTTGGTTCAAGTCCCATTGCATTGCTCAAGTTTAGTGTTGATGAATGCCTTCTGTCAATGGCTGAAAAAAAATTGTATATCGCAGGGAAATCGTGATGTTGCAACCACCAATTCCACCAAAGATTATCAAGACACAAAGATGATCTTTGGATAGTGATATATTGGCTGTGACGATAGTAGGCTAGTCAGCTATCTGCTGGAGTCTCCTATCTCTTTTGGCAGAGATGGAAATATTCCATCGAAAATGATACAAAAGAAGCTATGACGGGAAACTACCAGATGAGCTTCTCCAGAAGATTCTTTGTTCTTGATGCGCAACATATGGAGGGAGAGACTGTCACACTGCTATAGTCGTTCGATAGTTCTCGCTAGAGCAAATGAAGCTTTGTCGGAAGTGTACGAAAGAAAGTGCAGAAAAGCTCCGTAAGCAACATCATCTAGATACTCCGACATAAAGAACCAAGCCGAGCGTTGAGCGTCAGGGCTTAATTGTCGAGGAGCTACAGAGGCAACTATTTATATCCCCCCAGACTAGTGCAAAAGCCTGATCATGACAGCCTCATACCCGTAAACCCCAGCAAAGTCACTGCAGCAAAATGTTATTCCGGCTACCCAATGAGCTACATCGGTATTATGCAGACCATCTAGATGCTCAGTCGCTAAGTCGTCTTAGTCGGACATGCAAATTCATGCGGACCAAGTTCCAGCATGAGATGGATAAGATCAAGAATGCCACGGAAAAGGCGCTAACGGTCCGCAAACAAAAGCGCATTCAAGTCTTCGAAGGGAATAGTATCCCCGGGGAGCTGATCCAGGAACATGACAGAGGGGAGATACCCCTCGATTGGCCTGGCACTAGCTGCCTGTTGAAATTTGAGCGATTGAAGCCGGCGCTGCAAAACGATGAGGTTGAGGAGCTGCGACAGTTCCTGGAGGCCAAGGGGAGCCCAAACCTCCGATTTAGAACAGGGACTCCTCTGCTTCACTACGCCATGCGCCTTGGGGGTGGGCACGATGCGAGGATGGTGCGTCTTCTGCTCGATTACGGAGCGCGGCCGAACGATCTGACTCCGGAGAATCTTACGGCGCTCGACTATGGGGCATACGAAGCCCCTCGGGCTGGGGACGAGGCGCGGATGAAACTGGTTCTGCTCCATGGGGGGGTCCTCGGGCACCCAGGCTCCTTGCGCAATCTGTACGCGGTGGGTCAGAATGGCTCGCAGCTCGTCCGGATGGCGCTGGTTAATGGCACCAATCTGAGACACACGGTTCAATCGTGGGGTCATCTCCTGGATGAAACCGACGAGGGAGATGACCTGTACACAACCGAACAGCTGTGCGAGCTGGTTCACCTCGCGCCGGATCTCCTGACTTGGGTCACTGCGACTGGCGAGACTGCACTGGACTATATCATGGGGTACAGGCCAGCAGTCGCTGTATACCTACAGCAGACAGGGCACCCAATGTACGTTGCACTGCGGCAGGAATGGATCGAGAAACGAGGGAGACAGATCTTTGAGCGCAAGCTTGCGGAGGTGAGCGAGTAATTCAAGCTGGTTGAACCCCAGATGAGCACGCAATGCCCATATACTCTGCAGCTCTGAGACATTGACACTGACTGCACATGCACATGCAAAGCATCAATGAGGATACCCACGATACTACACCCTCCCAGACAGAGCAGGGCAACTCACCCCCGCCATCCCACCGCTCCTCCCCCACGACATACTTTTATAAACTCAATAACGTCCAGCTGTAGCAAATAATTATCTGCCACCTCATCAGCATCCATTCTTCTCCGCAGGTACTTGTGTAGGCAGTCCTAACGTTCTAAGTGGGGGCTGAGAAAGGGTCCAATTGGTGAGAGGAGCAAAAAAGAAAAAGAATGACCAGACTGGGGCTCGATCCCAGGACCTTATCGGTGTTAACGATACGTGATAACCAACTACACCATCCGGCCAATTGATGAAAGAAGCTTGCTTATTTCTAATCATACTTCATTTGCAATATGTGGGCGTCGTCACAGGCAGATTGCGAGGAGACTTGTCGACGTAATAAGATACTTCAAGATGCAAAATCGCATTCTATAATAATTGCTATCTAGACGCTAACAATTGGACTACCAATGAAGGTCTGTTATCAGCGTGGTAACTAAGGCAGAACATAAACCTAGCAGAATGCGACCGAATTGAGTGTTGCATAAGTACTTAGGGCATTTTCCACCCAACATGGAATACATCGCAACGACGTCAACAAGCCGTCAATCCTAACTTCTCCAGACAACGGACCTCACACCACATTCCGCCAATCCAAGAGAGCTGCACCCATCGAATGCGATTGGACAAAAGTCAGTTACACACCGTTGCAGCTCAACGAAGAAATTTGTTGGCTTGTGCTGGAGTGACGGGCTCTAAACGTCATCACTTCCACCACCACTACACGACTTATCGCTCCGCTCCCACCCTCTCTACCTACATACATATCAACATCAACTCAGAACACCTTCTCAACTCTAGCAGCAATTATCCTTTGCAATCAATCGAGAAGCAGACCACCATGGCACTCGTTCTCCAAAGTGCAACCTTTCTGCACCAGTATATCGGTGCATTTCTCCACTCCGCGCCTGCGAAGAACCCCAATGCACTCAAGCTCGGCGTGCTGTCATCCGCCAACATCAATGCCGCAGCAGGTATATAGCATCTTTCGCCATTCCATCCCAATTTCTAGCTAAAAACTCCCAGTCATCCACCCCGTCGAAACCCACCCCGATGTGATCCTCTACAGCATCGCCTCCCGCGACGCCGCCACCGCCGCCAAAACCGCCAAGCAATACCACTTCACCAAGTCGCACGACTCCTATCAGGCGCTCCTCGACGATCCGGCCGTAGACATCGTCTACATCTCCACCCCGAACGGCCTGCACTACGAATGGGCCTCCAAGGCGATCCAAGCAGGGAAACACGTCCTCTGCGAGAAACCCTTCACATCGAATGCGGAGGAGGCCCGCGCCTTGATCGACCAGGCTACGGAGAAGGGAGTCACGATCGAGGAAGCTGTAAGTCTCCATCTACCTCTCATGGCCCATGGTCTCCTCGCTCACTCCCCTCATCGCTAGTTCCACTGGCAATTCCACCCCGCCGCGCACGCCTTCCGCCACATCCTCGAGTCCGGCGAGTACGGCCAGATCCTTCGCACGGAAGCGATCATGACCGCCAGCCCCGGTGTGCCCAAGGGAGACATCCGATGGCAGTATGATCTGGCAGGTTCGTCCCCTCCCTCCGCCTGTTTCTACCTATGACCATGATCCCTAACCCCCCCGGGGACAGGTGGCTCCGCAATGGACATGACGTATGCGCTCTCCTTCACGCGCTACGCCCTGCGCAGCCAACTTCCCAAGACGATCCACTCGGTGACGGCACGACGGTCAGCGCACGACCGGCGTGTCGACGAGGCGATGTACGCCTACCTGACATTCGAAGACGCCCAGGGCCGAGAGGTCCACAGCCGGATTTACACAGACATGGCGCGGAAGTGGGTGGGGGGCGTGGTGCCGCGGTTCTGGGAGCTGCCGTCGATCGAGGTGGAGACGGAGAAGGCGATAATCTTCTTCTACAACGCGATGATGCCGCACTTGTACCACTACATCGCGGTCACGGACAAGACGACGGGCCAGACGAAGTACCACCGCCAGTACCGGGGCGGGCCGCTGTGGGGAAATGTCACGACCAGCGATGGCAGTCGCGGCGGGCAGAAGGCGTGGAGCACGTATCGGTGGCAGCTGGAAGCCTTTGTGGATGCGGTGCGAGGGAAGACCCCTGCGTATTGGATCCCGGGGCAGGAGAGTATCATTCAGATGGATTGTATCGATCAGTTGTATGAGGCAGCTGGGTTGCCGGTGCGAGGGCAGGGGGAGAAGCAGTGAGGTGTTCTTGCAGAGTCACGAATCATGCCTTTTTCTGTACCGAGCTACCTAGCTATTTGATTTGATCTTCCCATAATTCAAGGATTGGAGTCCGAGGTTTCCGAGACACAATGACGTTGAGCTGATTTCACCAGGCAGACACAAACTTGTAGTCCTATATATGAGCCAACACCTCCCCCCTTTCCACCCCCCTAGCACCCTCCTGAGATAGAGATAAACAACCCCCCAACCTCCCCTCAGATATCACCCATCTCAGCATCAACCAACATGATCCCTAAGACCGCCTCACGCACCACCCTCGACCCCGAAGTCCAAGAGTTCCTGTCCTCCCACCCCACCCTACGCCTCTCCGGCCGCAATATCTTCGAAGAGCGACGCCACCATGTCGAAACGTTCAGTCTGCGCGCCATCCCCTCGGCCAAACAGCCGCCGACCCTGCACGTCGAACACACCGCGATAGACGGTCCCCACGGCACGATCCCCATCCGCATCCTCTACCCAACCCGCCCAGCTCCCACCGCCTCCGACACCCTCTCCCCCGCCCTTATCTACTTCCACGGCGGCGGGTACACTATCGGCAGCGCGGACGACTTCGAAGCCGGCTGCCGCCTCCTCGCCTCGCAAGCGGACCTCCAAGTCTACCTCGTAGAATACCGACTCGCGCCGGAATGGCGATACCCCACCCAACTCGACGAATACGACTGCGTCCTCGACTGGCTGCGCGGGGAGGGCGGACAGGCCCGGCACGTGGACCCAGCGCGAATCTTCGGAGGTGGGGACAGTGCAGGTGGGAACCTGACGGCGGCGATGGCGTTGCGGCGGATGGACCGCCAGCAACGGAATCTGGAGGGGTTGTTGTTGCTGTACCCGGAGGCGCGATTGCCGTTTGATACCCCCGCGGCGGGGGAGAATAATTCGGGGTTATATTTGGAGTGTGAGTTTCATCATCCTTGGGAAGACGATCATAGAGGGATAATAGGCTGACGAGGCAGGGCAGGTAACGGGATCTTCAACTTCGCGGCCAACTATCTCCCGGATGGCGTGGCGCCGGGAGATCGGTATGTCTCGCCGGGGATGCAATCGGTTGCCTCGTTGAAGGGGCTGCCGCCGACGAGGGTGTATACCTGTGGCTTCGATCCGCTGCGGGATGTCGGGGTGGAATTTGCGTCGAAGTTGGAAGAGGCGGGCAATGAGGTGGCTTGGAGGCATTATGAGACCTTGTGTCATGGGTTTCTGCAGATGGCGCCGTGGAGCGAGGGGGCGATGCAGGCGTTGAAGGCAGTGGCGCGGGATGTGAGGGAGTTGGCGGAGGTGGGGAGTGGAGGAGTGGGAGGGGGATGAGGTAGAAAGAAAGAATTCTGATTCATAGACACTAGAAGCCATTGACCTGGCTTCATAATGAATGGACAGTGAGAACTTGCGCCTCGTTTTCAGGGTTACGACCATCCACCCACATATTTCAGTCTTGGGGCAGGAGTAGAACCTAACACCTTCTGGTCTGCTGCAATTGGAAATCGAACAAATGACGGACATCGATGTTGTTCGTAAGTTTTAGCAAGATATACATAATCATCTGACAACTAGAACTGCATAGATTACGAGAACGAAAGGGTTGATTCGCGTCCTTGTCGGGGTCATAGCATCTCCATACCTACAACAACATCCCCAGTTCTATCATCCTACGGAAATAACGTACTGCACCCCAAACAGCAGGCAATCTTACACCTTGTCAACCGCCCGTCCCAGACTCATCCCCACCTCGACATCAGTGGTAATGGCATGCTTGCTCGCCCGCAGCAGATCCGCGTCGAAGACGATCCTCCCCGGCTGAAAGGCAACGATGATCGACGACCCTCCGAACTGGAAATGGCCCAGCTCGTCCCCCTTTTGAACCCGGGCACCGGGCTGCTGGAACCGCTCGTGGAATCTAGACCATAGTTAGTATCAGATACAGCACATAGAAGAGAAAAAGACATACTGAACTGTCCCAACCTGCGCCGCCCCAATCGCCACGAACAAAACCGCCCCAAACTCCTCACTCTCCACAACCACATAATCCCTCGCGTTGCGCGTCAGGATATCCACCCCACTCCGCAGGGCAATCGGATCCACCTCGTAGTAATCCCCCGGCATACTGCGGAACAGCCGCACCGTGCCCGTCACCGGGCTATGAAAGCGATGGTAGTCCTGGGGGGACAAGCGGAAGCTCGCGACGGGGCTGCCATCGAATTCGCGTCCGAGCTGGCGATCCATGACGAGGTTGGTGATGGAGAAATCCACCCCTTTGATCCAGAGGCGCTTGCTCTCGGCGACGGACTCGTAGGTGACGACGCGGCTGTCCGCGACCACCACCGCCGCCCGGGGGTTGTCGGGCTCGAAGAGGGGCCGGGCGGCGGGGGTGTGAGCGCGCACGAAGAAGTCCTCAAAGTTGGCGTACTGGGTGATGTCGGAGGGGGTGAATTGGGTCATATCGATGTGGTAGAAGTCGATGAAGGCGGCGATTCGCTTACGGGAGGTGGGGGTGGCTTCGTCTCGGCCTGGGGGGCGGGGTCAGTCTCTTCCTCGTCGCGATCCGCGATGAGGGGGGGATGGGAGGTCACCTTCTTTCACTGCCTCACGATGCATATACAAGCGCATGAGATGGGTCGTGTCCAGCCATTCGGTCAGCGGGTTGAACAGGAGGAGGAGTTTCACTTTCTTCCAGAGGGGCTGTTGCTCGCGGATGAGCTGACCGGTCTGGGGCTCTGTTAGTGTCTGCTTGCCTGCAGCCTCCAGCTTGCCGCATGACGCTGCTCGGGCGAGGGTGGAGACTGACCTTGCGATCGATGGTGAGCCATCCCACTTGGCGGTTTTGAATCTGGGGGCATTAGTGGCGGTGGTCAGAGCGCGGAGGCAGTGGAGTAGTACCATTTTGACCCGGGCCAGCAGGTCGTCTGCTATCTGATGGAGGAAGTCGAGCAATCCCATCGTGTTGGTGTTGCGGATGTGATGGTTGATGGGGGAGAGTTGTGTGAAAGTAAGTGTATAGGAAGTATAGGAAGTATAGGAAGTAGACGAAGTAGAGATGGAGGGGAGTTGATCTCCGCATGCGGGGATGATGTAAGGATGATGAGTGCTTCGTGTTACTTTTTAGCTGCAATAAATGACTACTGATGGAGAGGATTCATTATCGAATAAGTGATATTCCACTTAACAATAATTGTATAGGTAAGGTAATCAATAATATAGGTGAATTACTCAAGGGGTCCTTCTGCCACCCCCGCCTCCAAGACGGCAAATTCATCCGCCTCGGAATCCAGCCGGACTCTGGCCCCAAATGGCAACGTCAAGAAGGGACTGGTATGGCCCACATCGACATTCATCAACACCGGCAGTTCATCCTTCCTGCCCACCACCGTCTCCAACACTTCGACAATCACCCCCGCCAGTTCATCCTGCATCCGCGCATCATACTTGAACCCCCTCCCCACCACCAACCCACTAATCTCGCCCAACACCCCCGATAAGGCCAGATCCACCAAATTCCCCCGGAATCGACTCAATGGATACGGCGTGCCGATCCTATCCCCTCCCATCGCCGACTCCAGCAACAAAATATGCCCCGTCCACGAGGTGGGCGCAAACCCCGTTCCCTGCAACCGCTCCACCAGATGCACGGTACCCCCATACAGCTTCCCCTCCGCCCGCCCCGGCTTCACCCACCGCCACGGCGGCGACGGCCCCGTCGCCCGCTCGAGCATTGAGTGATCCCTCAGATACTGAAAATCATTATGATCCACTGAACACCGCTCCGAGCGCGGCAGCGCGCCCACCACCCCGCCGCTCCCCGTCAACACACGCAGGAAGTGCTCCACAGTAAACGCCAGCGGCCCTCCGACATCACAAAAGTCCGTCAGCAGGCTGGGCCCGTAGAAGGTGCGCAGGCCGGCGCGCGACTCGAGCGCGTAGTGCAGGAAGGTGGTGTCGCTATAGCCCAGAAAGATCTTGGGGTGGGCGCGAATCAACTCGTAGTCGAGAAACGGTAACAGTTCGTTGGCGTGTTGGCCGCCCAGCGTGCAGAGGATGGCGCGGATCGAGTTATCCGCAAAGGCGGCGTGCAGTTCCTCGGTGCGGATGCGGATGGACTCGGCCATGGTGATGGGTTTCGGAAAGGGGGTGTAGATCGTGCAGACGCGAAAGCCGAGGGATTCGAGGAAGGATTGCCCACGCTGGAGGGGGGTGGGGAGGTCGTCGTTCAAGCGTGAAGAAGGGGAGATTAGGGCTATCAGATCGCCTGGGCGGAGGGGCGGGGGGAGGATGGGCGGACGGGGTGTCATGCTGTGGTCTGGATAGGAGTCGAATAGAATGGGATAGCTGGGTGTCTGAGATTGAGAATAGACAAATAAAACAGAAGGCTCTGGGACCCCTTTTATACTAGTTACCTCTCGAGTGCCTTTTATCAACTTTCCATTCATCAACCTGTCATACTACTAACTACCTTATGGTGGTGAGATTGTCTTGTTTGCAAGCAGTAACTACAGTATGCGGGGGATGATCCTGATTCGATCGGGGCTCCAATGCGGGGTGTTTGCATCTTTGCTGCTGTTTGTTCCTGTTTGTTTCTTGTGTCCGTCTGTCGTCATCAGTTTGATCTGTTTGCAAACTGTTTACTGCTTCGATGCTTCGATGCTTCGTGGTTGAAATCCTCCTCATTTTTCTGAATGCAGATCAAAGTTCTATTCGAGTCGGTGACGAGGATATCAAAGGATCAAAGGGAGATGCTGTGGCGGTTTGAAGCAAGATCCTCAGGATGATCCAACTGCTGATACACTCTGGCTCAATGCAGATGCGCGAACAGGTTATCACATTAAAGATTAAGTCTAATCGTCTCCGATGGAACCACGCCACCTCTCTACACCTCTCTACACCTCTCTCAGCTGCTCAAGAACAGCAAATCTGCACCACAGTCAGCACGGATCATCAACCCGAAAGACTACACTCACTGTACTGACTCTCCGACGCCCAGCCATCCACCTCCTCTAGTCCGGCCCGCTCACAGAGCGTCTTGCGATCGTCCGCATCCCATTTGTGGCTTTGTACTGCCCGGATGCGCATTCCCGCTGGCACTTCTCTTCCAGCAAGCGTGGTATCACCGGTCGCAAGGTAATACTGATCATGACTGCCGTTCTCCGCGTTCCATCGACCCACCACATCCCATCGATCGAGCGCGAACACCGCCTGCGCGAGAACCTCATTTGCCCGCTCCAGACCATGCTTGATGAACCGCCGGTTAACACCTTCTGGATCATTATACGCCGCCAGCACCCGGTCCCCGTCCTTGCACCCGTCCAACCCCAGGAGGAAAGACGGACGATTCTCCCCATCCGCGTCACCATGCACGAAGCCGGCCAGGAACGCCGCTGCATCCGCCCGCTGAAAGCTCCCCAGTGTAGAGCCCAGGGAGAGAATAGTCTGCGGGCGCGAGCGGATGTCCGGCTGCTGCAGCCACTCGCGGCCATCGTCGTAGGTGCCCAGCAGGCCGAAGCAGCGCACATGGCGGAAGACTCCCGGCGGGACCATGCTCAGCGTCCGCTGCAGCTCCGCGAAGGAGACGTCCAGGGCAAAATAGTCGACCTCGTGACCCATCTCGTCCAAGGCCTCGAGCAGAATCTTCACCTTGCGGAGGTTGCTGGCCAGTGTTAAGTTAGTGTCCCTATCCCGTAGACCGAGGCCGGGGCTACGCACCCACTGCCCAATTCGACCACCGTGCTTCCTGACGGGATATACTGCGCGATTTGGTATTTGTACTTCTCCAGAAGCCCAATCTCTTCGCTTGTCAGATAGTAGTGCGGGGAGAAGGTGACGTCTTCGAAGTATCGCAGCCCCTGTTCATCCCAGAGGAGCAAATCGGGCATGGCTGCCTTGCCCTGGCATGCCGCCTGGACGGTCTCCTGCAGCGACTCCCGAAGCTGGGACTCATTCTTGTCCGTGCGGATGTCGATGATGTTGCTTGAGGCTTGAGGGCCGACAGAGGGGGTCGGAAGGTGCGGTCTGCTTTTCAGCTGCGGCTGGACGATGTTCTCGAACATCGTGGCGGGCAATGGATGGAAGTGGGTTATGTGGACTTCAAACTGAGGTAACAGCGAGTATATAACAGCTCGTGCGGATGACGTGAACATGCAGTGGTTGGTCATCTCGTGGCTGATCTCATTCTGACCGGGAACCCCCCCGGCCATGCTGATCCCCCCCGGCTACGGGTTCCGGGGCTGGTCATTGGCTCGGGGGAGGGGATCTAGATCGATGATTAATGCCTTGATCCAAGGTATTGGAACAAACTAAAGCTGACATGGATACGGTGCGATGATGCGATGCTATGTTATGCTAGTATGCTATGCTACCCAATCAATGCACCTGCTGGTACTGTAGGAATCACCCTCCCTGGCTCACCTTGAGCCCTTCAAAGAAGACAGCCACACAGCTCGCATTATCACTGCCCGGCAAAGAGGTTGACCCCTCGGTGATGTTCTCTGCTGCACGCTGGGCGTCAAAGCCCGACTGCTGCAACTCGCAGATGCGGTTGAGGATTGTCGCGTCATCCAACACATTGGTCACGCCATCCGACAGCAGAGCCAGCACATATCGGCTGTGATCGCGGAGTTCGACGCGGTTCAGGGCAGGCTCGCTGGAGATGAAGTCCCCTAGCGGGCTCTCATCGCCGGGATTCTCCCCCTCGTAGCTGCTCCTCTTGCCCCGCTCCGTCATGTTGTTGAGGGGGGTTTTGTATTGCAGATCCCCCAAGGCGCGCGACATGTTCAGCGCTCCTGTTCGACCGTTAGCACTCATTTGTGTTCAATTATATATCATGTTGGACAACCACCACCAAACCACCAACACTCACCGATTCTCGCCGTCCCACTGTCTGTATTCACACTCCCGCCGGCCAACTCCACCCGATGTCGCTCCCCCGCATTCTCCGGCTTATGCGTCGTCGACAACCGCGTCTGTCCGCACTGGCATTAAACCAACTCCAATTCCAGCACCATTAAAATCAGGGGGAAACTTACCACCTCCACCCCCTTCCCCCCTTCTCCCACCTTCACCTCCCCCAACACCACATCCGAATCGCCCACATTCCCGACCACCAGCACCCCGCGCTTGAGGTTCAAGATCACGAGGGCCATCGTCGTCCCCGCCTGCGCATGCTTATCCTCTCCCGCCCAGAACTCATGCAGCAGCTGCTCCTCCTCCTTGTGAATCGCCTCAGCGATCGCCTCCTCGTACTCGCCTTTGGCGAGTGCATGGCTTTCTTTCAGGTATCTGGGGATGTTGTCGCGGGCGTGTTTGGCGACCTTGCTTGATCCACTTCTCTTTTCTCAGCTTACTCTCATGGGGGGGAGGGAGATGTGATGTGACGTACTGTCCGTCGTAAACGGCGAAGAGCGCGAGCTGGTCGGTTTGATTCCAGAATGCCTCGGGAGGGAGGATGGTGTATTGGTCTTGTTGGGAGGGGCGGGAGCCTTGCGCCTGTCGCATGGAAATGCCACTGAATTAGGGTTTACTTATCCTCTTGCGGGGGGACGGGAGGATCGTACACTGCTGCCACCTGCGTCTTTGAGGATGATGGCTTGAGGATCCATTGCGTCGGCCATTGCGGGGGATATTTAGTGTATCACTGTATAAGTTTGTACTAGTAGTGTATACTCGGTAGTTTTGCGGATTGGTTTTGTGTGTGTGTGGCTACCTACAGCAGTCTATGAAAACATGGGGATCAGACTGTCAGTACCTGTCCAGAGTTTTTATTCAAGATTTCTAATTTCTAGGCTACGCGATCGACGCATGGTCTGTATTCCTGATTTTAACACACGAATCATCAAGACGCAAACTTGACATGGGGTCACGTATGGCGTGGTTATGCAGACAAGAGGGGAGGGCGATCCGCGATTCAACTCGGGGAGGGGAAGGAATCGGAGCTTGTGCCGTCATCGCACCGTCACCTCCCCACAGCCCTAATTCCATCCATCTCCTGCCCACGCAATGCTGAAGTAACCATACCACCATATTACTCTGTGGTTCAGACAGAAATGCTTACTATCTTTCTTTACCAAATAATTGTACATCGCATGCAAAATACATAACTACTATCCCTACTGGTGGCAGCACACATCACCATAGATACTCTACACTCAACATACTGTAAATCATCAATAAAATTCCATTCAATCCTCATCATCTATCAAACACCCAATCATCCATCTCTAAGATCCCTGCCGATCCTCCACCCCCAATGGCCGCTCCCCCGCCTTCTCAACATTCCTGCGCTTCGTCTCCGTCGACTCCCCAGGATGATTCTTGATCTGCGCATCCGCGGGAGTCTGCTCCTCCCCCTCGTGAGCCTCACTCGTCGGCCCGGACTGTGACGAGATAGGCGACTGCACAGACCGCGTGTCAGCCGTATCGGCGTGACGGGCCTCCTTGCCGCGCGAGATGTTGATCGATTGGGACTCCGGGCTGCTGGAGCGCGGGTTGGCGACGTTGGAGGATTGGCCGGGGGAGGCTTCGTTGCTTGCGAAGCGGATTGGTGTCACTGTTGCCGTTCGTGCTGCTGTGGTTGGGGGTTAGTGGGGTTTCTGGGTGTCGGTTGGCTTGGTGTAGACGTACCTATGCCCCGCGCGGTGAGGCGCGGTTGGTTGAGGGCGAGGCGGCGGAGGGTGAGTGTTGTGAGGGACATTTTGGATGTAGATTTGCTAGTTGTATATTAGTTTTTTGGAGGGTTGGTTGTAGGTTTGAGTGGGGTGGAATCTCAATGTATCATGAAAGGGCTCGGTAGGGGTATAAGTATAGTATACGAGTAGAGGCGAAGGCGTTGACATGAGGATGACTTCATGGGGTTCTGCCGGGGGCTGCTTGTGATTCGCCGACACGATTGTTGCTATGGCTGGACCGGCACACTGGCTGGTATATGCGAAGGATAAATAAAACTTGGAAGGGATAGAGCTATTCTGTTTCTCCGTCTATTTATTCCGCCGGTCATGTCATACGCAATACCCAGCTGCTTCTTTGCTAGCTTTGTCGCGGTGTTGCTTGGTCGAGGGACTAACCACGCCTTCTACAGCCCTTCCTACTTCTTATTGTACTTTCTTAAATGGTACTCGGTCGCACTACGCATCATCCAGAATTTCCTGCTTCTGCTTATAGCTATGAGCTACTAAGAGCTCTCGTCTTGCCCGCATAGACGACACAGCTACCTCTAGAATATACTGATACGGATCATGAACCCCGACACCACACACACAGCTCAAAAGCACACCCAGAGCATCAAGCGACCCTGACGCAAACCATAAATTCAATAACTCAAGATGTAGTTCTCAAATTATAGTATAACCATTGCGCAATACCTCGTACAGCCCACCATGTCCACGAAAGCCGGATCTGCCTGCCACGAGTCTTGTTTTCTTTAAGAAGCAATATACGCAAAATTGTGCAATTCATTCATCAACGGCAAGATGGCCGAGTTGGTCTAAGGCGTCAGGTTAAGGTCACCTTAACACCCAGCTTCACAGCTTCCTGATCATCGTAAGATGGCGTGGGTTCGAATCCCACTCTTGTCATATCTTTTTGCGCAGCCTCCGTTGCTGGGCTTGGCATTGTTCCCATTGTCCTTGTTTCTTGCGCATATCCCCTTCTCTGTTGAAATGCACTAGTTGGTACTATCATTGCCTGTGTCTGACCTGGTCTGGGGCCCATGCTATACTGAATACTACTATGCCACCAGATTTTGTGGGTGACAGGCCTCATTTCCGCGAGCAGCACAGCTGTATATTCCGGATACATCCTACGGGTAGGAAGCTATCCGAACGCCTACATCTCCGTAAACAGCAGAGACCATGCACATAACAGTTGATCATAATTCATTCAGATTATTAACATATAGCATACACAGATCCAAACCGAACTCCTACAACGCTTCCGCCCCAGGCAATCTCGATCAACCGCCTAAAACGCCACCGTCGAGGCCAGCCCATCCAACTCGCGTTGGTAGTTCCGGTGCTGGCTGACCTGGTAGAAGAACTTGCCAACAAAGTCCTTCGCGTCCTTGAGGATCTTGATCGTCTCACTAATGCTCTCGGGCTTCTGGGGACTACCCGCCGTGACGACACCGTACCACTCCACGGGGTCGGGCTTGTCGGCGGTGGCGACCTCCACGTCGAGCACGCTGCCGATGACCTCCTTGATCAGCTGGGCGGCCTCGCCCGTACCGGCCAGGGCCTTGAGATGCCCGAAGGTCTCGGCGATCCAGTACTTGATCTGGCCGTTCTTGCGCAGGGTCTCGACGTGGGGCCCGCCCGGGATGAAGGTGGCATCGAACATGGTGGACCGCATCCCATCGTAGTAGTGGTCGGCCACAATGCCCTTGGAGGTCTCCTTGGACTCGCCATCGGCAAAGATCGGGGAGCGCTTGGTGCCGATGACGAAGGGGAGGGCGCTGGCGGCCTTGACGGCGGTCTGCACGCCCTTGAAGGCGACGGGGTCGTAGCCGTCGCCGATCAGGATGGCGATGCGGCGGCTGGCGATGGTGGGCTCCTTGGGCGGGAATTCGGTCTGCGAGAGGCGGATGGTGCGCTTGCCGTGGTTAGGGCGCAGCGCCTTCTCGGGGATCGGGGCGCCAACGAGCTCGGCGACCTGCTGAGCCAGCCCCAGGTCGATCTCGGCCAGGCGCGTGCCGGCCAGGCGGTCGTAGACGACGGGGTCGTCGCAGTGGTCGAGCTCGAAGCTGAACGCCTTCATCATGTGCAGCTTCTCGTGCTCGCTCATCGAGTTGTAGAAGAGCTGGGCCTGGTTGTGGTGCTCGCGGAACTTTGGGCTCAGGCCGCGGCGCTTGCGGCCCGTGACCGGCGCGGGATACGATTCGAACCCTTGCCCGTGATGGGGGGCGGCGCCGTCGGGCTTGCCCGCCTCAAATCGGTTGGGCCAGTAGTTGACGGTGCCCTTGGTGATACGGTGCTTCATGGCGCCGTCGCGGTTGTGATTGAGCACCGGACACACAGGCCGGTTGATCGGGAGCTCCTCCCAGTTGATGCCGAGGCGGCTGATCTGCGTGTCGAAGTAGGAGAAATTGCGGCCCTGCAGGAGCGGGTCATCGGAGAAGTCGATGCCGGGCACAATGTGGCTGGTGCAGAAGGCGACTTGTTCGGTCTGTGGGAAGAATTCGTCGATGTTGCGGTTGAGCTCGAGGACCCCGATGGTGCGGGGCGGGACGAGGTCTTCGGGCCAGATCTTGGTGGCGTCGAGAATGTCGAATTCGAAGTCGTCCTGCTTCTCCTCGGGAATGGTCTGGATCTGCAGGTCCCACTTGGGGTAGGCCCCGTTGTCGATGGCTTCCATCAGATCCTTGCGGTGGAAGTCCGGGTCCTGGCCAGCCAGCTTGAGGGCTTCGTCCCAGACGAACGAGTGAACCCCCAAATGTGGTGTCCAGATGAATTTGACGAAGTGACGCTTGCCCTCCTTGTTGATGAGGGAGTAGGTGTTCACTCCGAAGCCCTGCATCATTCGGTACGACCTGGGGATTGCTCGATCGGACATGGCCCACATGAACATGTGGGTGGCTTCGGGGTGGAGGTAACAGAAGTCCCAGAAGTTGTTGTGTGCGGTTTGCGCCTGGGGTACTTCGTTGTGGGGTTCGGGTTTGACCGCGTGCACTGCGCCCGTTAGTGATGGGTTACTGGAGACCCGGCCGAAGCAGCAACATACCGAAATCAGGGAACTTGATGGACTCTTGAATGAAAAAGACGGGGATGTTGTTGCCGACGATATCCCAGTTGCCCTCATCAGTGTAGAACTTGACGGCGAATCCCCGGACATCACGGACAGTATCGGCGCTGCCTCTGCTGCCCTGGACGGTGGAGAAGCGGACGAAGACCGGGGTGTTGCGGGAGGTGTCATTCAGGATGTTCGCATAGGAAACATCTTCGCAGCTCTCAAGGAGCTTGAAGTTTCCAAAGGCGCCAGTGCCACGAGCATGGACCACCCGTTCGGGGATGCGCTCATGGTCGAACCGGTGAATCTAAGCGTGATGTGTCAGCAAGCACGTTTGTTTGTCTTCCAATGCTCAGGCAGGGGAAGCTACCTTCTCCCGAGCAATCTGGTCTTCAAGCAAAGAGGGACCAGTGCGGTCACCGTCCACTGCCTTTAGCCAATTGTCAGTGTTGCTGATGGGCACCCCGTGATCGGTGGTCTGGCGTTGCTCGGTGGTGACGTCGACGGTGTCGCGCTCCAGGTCCACGGCCTTCTTGTTCTTGTTGGAAGCGCTCTTGACGGCCTCCTGGGCACGCTCAAGGCCTCCTGCGACGATGCTGGCCATGGTGAATGTGAGAGGATGTGGGAAGATTGGATGCAAGGAAGCAGATGTGAGAGAGAGAGAGTCAATTGCAGCAGCGCGGGGAATTGACGACAATTAAAGCAGCGGACGATAGCACCAGGCCGCGGGTCGGCATGTATTCGTCATGGATACCAGTGGGTAATTGAGAGATTGTGGTTGGTGAGATCTTGTTCTTTCACGGGCTGCATTTGGATGTGCGGGGGAGCATCTGTTGTAACCATGACGTTTTGAGAAGATGAGGAGCGGGAGACCAGGAGACGTCACTCTGACAAACCCACTTTAAACCCACCTGACTATCCGACACACTCGTCTTTCATTGTAGGCCAGCATCGTTTGGTCAAGCACCTAAACAGGGTTGGGACACTTGTTCATTACACCATCAGGTTCTCTTTATGTTCAATAAATACAGCAAGACCCATTGGTGGGCTGGTGTCCCTATGAGATGTCGATCATCGCAGCACATGGAGCTCCATCCAACAGGCCTGGTGGTTAGATAAGCGGCAATGCGCAATTCTGTACGCTGGCTGGACTCAATTTGCCTTGGTCAACCATGAGTAGAGTTGGCACTAGCCCAGTCCCTCAACTGGTAACTATGCAAATCATGAGGCCCACCTTTCCATGAGTCGTTGAACGCGTGGGTTTAGGCATTGCAAGACCCCCATCCCCCATCCTGGCATTGGTAAGAACAGAGTTCTAGACCCGAACTGGTATTGACTGGCTGAGTTGCGACCGTGTTATCAACGGCAGGGCTGGTCAATAATCACAGCATGACTCGCAGGAGAACAGCAATGACTTGCCCATTCCTCCATGGAAGGAAAGACCTGGAGCGTTGACGGCTGAGGCTACTATCTATGTGTGTAATCCGTGGAGAGGGAGGATGCGGGTACTGTACATAATTCGGCACTTCACTGCTCCACCGGCAGGCCATCAGCCGTAAACCCCCCGCCATTTCGCCGGTCATACCTACTCAGACCATTAGACCAACGAAATTACGCAACTCATCTCCCAATTCACTCACTGCTGCACAACACTCCAAAACCATGCGCGAGAAAATCCAACAGCTCGACATCGAAGGCCGACACGGCCACGATGCTATCTTTGAGGCCTCGTATCTGAACGACATCCCCACTGCCTTGGCCGAGTGGAATGCATCGCGCGTCCTTCTCGTCGTCAGCACCAGCCTCGACACGAAGTCCTCGGTCATCCACGCCCTCGAGCAGCACCTTTCAAATTACCAGGTCTACAAGAAAGTCGGAGTGGGCAGTCACTCCCCGTACAGTGACATCATTGACATCGCACACAGAGTCCAGGAAAATGACATCCAAGCCGTGGTATCCATTGGCTCCGGATCTTATTCCGACGCATGCAAGATCGCCGTGATGTTGAGTGCTACGCTCCCCGCGGGATTCGGGGCGGACGACATGGAAGCCCTGGTGGACCAGGAGCGAGGCCTGGCTGGACCGGACACCGTCAGAGCGCCCGTGGCCAAGTTGATCTGTGTGCCAACAAGCCTCAGTGCGGGTGAGTGGAATGCCTACGCGAGCGGGACAAACGCGCAAGGAAAGAAGCAGCATTTTATGCATCCGAAGGGCGCCCCGTCATTGATCCTGATGGATCCCACGGTCGCACGAACCACCCCGTCGCATCTGTGGCTGGCGTCGGGCATGCGTGCCGTCGACCACTTCGTGGAGAGCCTGTGCAGCGGAAAGTGTCATGAAGAGGCTGAGGCGCATATTAAAAAGGGGCTACCGCTTTTGGTGCGAGGATTGAAGGAGTACCGCGACGGACAGGAGGACGGCAAGGAGGACGAGCTGCTCAAAGGCATCGCAGAGAGTCAGCGTGGGTCGAGGGATGCTTTGATCCCTTTCATCAAATGGAAGATCCCCATGGGGGCGAGTCATGCGATTGGTCATCAGCTGGTGAGTATAATTGCACCGTGTTGGAAAATAACTAGCTGATTAAGGGATGTCAACCCAGGGAAGCGTTGCAGGTGTTCAGCATGGTGAGTTATGCCTTCTCCCTTGTGCCATATGCGTGTAGCTTCGCAGACTGACCATGGTCGACAGGGGTGACGGTAAGCCGACCGCAGTTGTTCAATCCCTTGCTGGCGGTCGCATCTTAACTGTTGTCCAGAGCTGCATCCTGCTGCCCCCAACGCTACAATTCACAGTCGATAAGACCAAAAGGGCGCAGCAGGCGATCCTTCAGATCTTCAACGAGGTGCTTGGGATGCAAGAGACAGAGGCCGCTGATGTCGTCCATCGATTCGTCAAGCTGCTCGGTCTGCCATCGCGGCTCTCGGAAGTCAACGTCACGCAGGAGGAACAGTTGCACAAGATCGCTGAACTGACGCTAACTGACGCTCTAGCGCACAATAAGGCGCTACCCGACAAGGAGGGGATCCTTCAGATCCTGGACATGGCTCGATGAAAGTGAGACCCGTGTGGTTAGTGTAGGTAGTTATTAAGAGGAGGGGGGAAGATGCCGCGAATTCTCGCGAATCCGATGTTGACGCGTCGCCATTCCTGATTTGGGTTAGCCTGACAAGCCACCCAGCCATGACATCATAGATTCTAGAGTCGGGCGATGCAAGTCATATATAAATCTGCATCAGAGTTGATGCGCTCGTGCTAGTCGATTAATCTCCCGTATTGATTCCATCAAGCAACCACGAGCTGCCTCCTACATAGAACCAACTACTTCTCTTTCTCATTGCCGCACATCCGAATCAAGTCTTTCCCAAAGTATCAGTTTTCGCGAACCGCCACCCGACCCAAACAACAAAATGCCCTCCTCCCAAGATTCCGGGGTGACCGGCGCCGCTAAGTTTGTCACCTCCACTCTCGGAAACACGGTCGGTGGAGTTTCCCGCACCGTGGGCGGCGTCACCGGAGCAGCAGGCCGAGGCATCGGAGACACCATCACTGGCGCAACTGGCAGTGCGGGCAAGCCCATCGGGGATGCCCTGGGCAATATCGGCAGTGGGGTGGAAGATGGAGCGCGCAAGGTTGCGCAGGGTGTTGAGGATGCTGGACAGTGGAAGTCCCGAGGCTGGTAGGGGATATAAGCTGCGATGGATGACAGGATTCACAATTTCGGGAGACTTGGGAGCACTGCATGAAATGATGTTTGGTGATTTATCTACTTTCTCTGTATGATGTAATGAAACGTGACATGAAGCAACCACCTATAATTGGTCACTCGGCCCTTCACCACTCTTATCTCCTTCTAGACACGGACGGGGACTGTAGATATTCTCATGCAGACTGTATAATACTAGTACTGATATATATCATGCACATGGACTGTATTAGAGCGAAGATGTACATACGCCACCTTGACGGTCAACTGCCTCAGCTGGGGTGATCGATGTGTACTCAATTGATAGCGACGAATAGCCTGGTGTGTTATGACAACTACCTAGGTAGATATTGGGAACATTCTGTTATTCAGAAGGGCAGACCGGACAAATATCGCCTCTACACCGACCAGTAACAGTGGAACTGTGGACAATGGGGGTTCTACCTAATGTGGCCGGTGTGGCGTTAATACTCAGAGAGCAACATACAGGCTGGAATATATACTGTCATGTGTATCTCATCAAGCGTGGTTTATCAAAGCGCTTTGGTGGGATCAAGAGTATAGTGCTCAAAGGTATAGTGCTGCGTTCAGTTCTGATCACCAATCGCTAAGACGGCGAGACTGATGCCGATAGATTATACTTTGCGATTATGATTTTGAAGCCAAGTCCAGCAGCCAAGACATTCACGACGAGAAGAATGACGTCGGGTGGATCCTCCACCAACAAAAGGATACTAGGTAGATACTCTGCAGATGCATTGACTAAGGGATGCAAGTCCTCGTGTAGAGGGTGTCAGCAGCATATGCGCACCCTACCTGTAAGCATTTACTGACTGTACCCTGATTCTGCCACGCCTCAGAAACACAATGGATAAATGATCATCTTTTGATTAAGGTGTTACCGACCAGATGAGCTGTTTCAGACCCTTGAATCTTGCCACACTTTAATTGATCCACTCCGGGACGTTTAGCTGCAATGGGATTAGTGAGCATCAGGACTTCTGCAGCCGGACTCCGCTTCGGTCCGATGGATCTCCGAGAAGATTCTGCCTTATGCAATTTTTCACTTATGAAAAAAAATTAAAAAATGGAGTGAGGCGGACGGACAATAATTAGTCAGGCGGGCGGTGAACGCCTTTGCGATGCCGGGACAGCCGTGCTGATCCCGCCTATGAGAGGTGGCAGTGCCCCCCGTTGCATCGCCTATTCATTTGATGATGAAGAAGAAGAAGACGGGAGCCTCGCCCAGCCTGAGATCTGACTTTCCCCTCCCTGCATTCCTCCGCCTCCTGTCATTCCCTCTTCCTCAATTCCTCCTCCATTTTCCGCTTCTTATCGCGTTTTTTCACGAGTTTCGTGTTCTCGCCCCCGCCAGCATCGTGCTCGACCTATTCTTTCCCTCTTATCACCACCAGGTCGAGATTCCATCTACTTCCGGTCGGTCGCATCCCACTCCAATTGTCCGTCCCACCCGCGAAGCTTGCCGACCTCCGCTTTCTAAACCCACTCCATTTCACTCATTCGTGCATTTCAAGAACCCGACTAACATGTGAGGATTGACTAGGTCGCTCCCAGTCGGATTTGTCGACTCCACCGTCCAGCTCTACTGACCTCTCCCTCGAAGGCCTGCGTTGGCCGCCATCGAGTTGGTGCTTGGATTTCCGGCCGGTCCGATGCTGACGGTCAGCCGCTCGTAATAGTTGGGGGAATACGTCAGTGCTCAGATGGACAGCTACGATGGTAAAGGGGAGGATGGCTTGGAACGAGCTTCGAGCGAAGTTCCTCCTCTCCCCAGTTCCGAGGAGGTGAACCAGAAATCCACCAAGCGCGCGCGATGGGCCACCACGAGAAAGAACACCACGGCCGGCCTGCGCAAACGGGTCTCTATCCTTGAACGCGGTCGTCGACAGAATCATGCCGATGCCATGGCGAGTGCAACAGCTGGTGTGCCCCAAGTCGCCGAGGGAGAATCGGCCTCGCGCAAAGTGCATTTCAACCTTCCTATTCCGGACGAGGAGCGGGACGAGGAAGGCAATCTCAAGGCCGTTTATCCTCGAAACAAGATCCGCACTGCGATCTATACGCCTATTACCTTTATTCCCAAGAATTTGTGGCTGCAATTTCACAACATTGCCAACCTATACTTCTTGTTCGTCATTATTCTGCAGTGTTTTGAAATTTTCGGCGACGCCGATCCCGGTCTGAGTGCCGTGCCGCTGATCGTCATCGTTGTCGTCACCGCCGTCAAGGATGCGATCGAGGATTGGCGACGAACTGTGTCCGACAACGAACTCAACAACTCTCCGGTCTACCGCCTGACAGATTGGGATAACGTCAATGCGACCGCTGACAATGTATCCCTGTGGCGAAGGTTTAAGAAGGCTTGCACTCGTGGGGTCATTGCCAGCTATCGGGGCATGAAGCGCCTCTTTCGCAAGAACGGAAACGACAAAGATGTGGCGGGAGATGTCGAGATGGCGGATGCCAGGCCCTCCATCGAGCCGACCTCTCCAATCGCGATCGAGATGACGGCAGTTTCTCCTACGATGGAGGCCCGTGCTTCTGGTGACTGGCCGGGCCCTTCGCACGACCACGATCAGCAGGCGAATTCGCCGTGGGCACGGACCAAGGGTAGTGTCTTGAATCCCAACCGGGTCACTTCGGGCAAGGCGCGCTTCAAACGGCAACACTGGAAGGATGTCAACGTGGGCGATTTCGTGCGACTGTACAATGGGGACCAGATCCCCGCCGACATTGCCATTCTTTCGACCTCGGACCCCGACGGAGCTTGTTATGTCGAGACCAAGAATTTGGACGGTGAGACCAACCTGAAGGTGCGCAACGCCTTGAATTGCGGTCGGGTATTGCGGAATGCCCGAGACTGCGAGAAAGCCGAGTTCACCATCGAATCGCCCCCCGCCCATGCCAATCTGTATTCGTTCAGCGGTGCTATCTACTGGGATCAGCATGATGAGTCGGGAGGGGCCCCACAGAATCGCGTCGAGCCTATCACCATCAACAACATCTTGCTTCGTGGCTGTAGCCTGCAAAACACCGAGTGGGCGTTGGGCGTCGTGCTCTTCACCGGACCAGAAACGAAGATCATGCTAAACCAGGGCCTGACACCAACCAAACGTCCACAAATGGCACGCAACATGAACTGGAACGTGGTCTACAACTTCACCATTCTGTTCATCATGTGTGTGATCTCAGGGTTCATCAACGGATTTGCCTGGGGCTTGGACGATGCCTCACTGACATTCTTCGATTACGGCTCATACGGCGGCTCACCAGCAGTTCAAGGTGTGATCGCCTTTTTCGTAGGCGTGGTCCTCTTCCAGAACTTGGTCCCCATCGCCTTGTATATTTCCTTGGAAATCTGCCGTGTCATCCAGGCCCTTTACATTTATTACGACATCTATATGTACTATGATCGGTTGAACATGTCTTGTGTACCCCGGTCTTGGAATATTTCTGATGACATTGGTCAAATCGAGTATATCTTTTCCGACAAGACCGGTACCCTGACGCAGAATGTCATGGAGTTCAAAAAGTGTACAGTCAACGGAGTGCCTTATGGGGAAGCATACACGGAAGCGCAATTGGGCATGCAGCGAAGGCAGGGTTTGGTGAATGTGGAGGAAGAAGCTGCCAAGGCTCGTCAACGGATCAGCGAAGCTCGGGTGGAAATGCTCCAGCAACTGCGCCAGCTCCATGATAACCCGTACCTCAAGGACGAGAATTTGACTTTCGTGGCTCCTCAATTCGCAGCGGATCTGGGCGGTGCCTCGGGTGAGGCCCAGCAGCAAGCTACGATTGACTTCATGACCGCACTGGCACTCTGTCACACGGTGGTTACGGAACGTATTCCTGGCGATCCGCCCCAGATTGAGTTCAAAGCGCAATCTCCCGACGAGGCTGCTCTGGTTGCCACGGCTCGCGACTGTGGGTTCACCACTCTTGGCCGATCGGGTGAAAGCTTGATCGTGAACATCATGGGCGAAGAGCGTAGGTATACTATCCTGAACATTCTTGAATTCAATTCCACGCGTAAACGAATGAGTGTGATCGTCCAGATGCCGGATGGCACCATTCGTTTGCTATGTAAAGGAGCCGATACCATAATCTACTCCCGCCTTGCTCCCGGTCAACAGCGTGAGTTACGTGACGCCACCTCGAGGGATCTCGAAACATTCGCCCAAGAAGGTCTGCGAGTGCTTTGCATTGCGGAGCGCACCATCGAGCCTGAAGAGTATCGCGAGTGGAGTGTCATGCACGACGCCGCTGCAGCTGCTATCGTCGACCGCGAGGAGAAATTGGAAGAAGTGTCGAGTGCCATCGAGCAAAATCTGATGCTACTTGGTGGTACAGCCATCGAAGATCGCCTGCAGGACGGGGTCCCAGATACTATCTCCCTCCTTGCCGACGCAGGTATCAAGCTCTGGGTTTTGACCGGTGACAAGATTGAAACCGCGATCAACATTGGGTACTCCTGCAACCTCCTGAACAATGACATGGAAATCATGGTGTTTGATGCTCCTTCCGACATCGACATGGCCGCCAAGTTGCTCGATAGCAAGCTGGGGATCTTCGGTATTACAGGCTCGGATGAAGAACTGGAGGCCGCTCGCAAGGATCACTCGCCGCCACCACAGACTCACGCTCTCGTGCTGGACGGCGATACCCTCCGGTTTATGTTGGACGAGGCCTTGCGGCAGAAGTTCTTGCTTCTTTGTCGGAAGTGTAAATCAGTGCTCTGTTGCCGTGTTAGCCCGGCGCAGAAGGCTGCTGTGGTGCAAATGGTCAAGGAAGGCTTGAACGTGATGGCTCTGGCTATTGGCGACGGCGCAAATGATGTCTCTATGATCCAAAAGGCTGACGTAGGAGTGGGGATTGCTGGCGAGGAGGGTCGCCAGGCTGTCATGTCGGCCGACTACGCGATCGGGCAATTCCGATTCCTGCAGCGCTTGATTTTGGTCCATGGACGATGGGCGTATCGCCGTCTCGGTGAGACCACTGCCAACTTCTTCTACAAGGTAAGTGATATTGCAACCATTTATTGGCTTCCGCCGATCCTGGTTGACGGACAGATACTGACTGGATGCTTAGAACTTGGTCTGGACTTTCTGTCTGTTCTGGTATTCTATCTACGATAACTTCGACGGCACTTATCTCTTCGAATATACCTATATCACCTTGGTCAACGTGGCATTTACGTCGTTGCCAGTGATTTTTATGGGCATCTTCGACCAAGACGTCGACGATCGGGTCTCTATGGCAGTCCCACAACTTTACATGCGCGGCATCGAGCGGAAGGAGTGGACGCAGTTGAAGTTCTGGTGAGTTGCGCCGAAGCTTGGCTCTGGCCTGTGTTTAACTGATGCTAATCGATTTGTCCAGGATCTACATGCTTGACGGTTTCTATCAGTCGATCATCTGTTTCTTCATGCCGTATATGCTGTATCAATATGCCAATTTCCAAACAGACAACGGATTGAGCATTGATGACATCTATCGTGTGGGTGTTCTTGTGGCCACCTGTGCTGTGGTAACAAGCAATACCTACGTGATGATGAACATGTACCGGTGGGACTGGTTCTCGACGTTGATCAACGCTATCAGTTCGCTATTGATCTTCTTCTGGACTGGTGTCTATTCGTCATTCCAATCCTCCGCAACGTTCTACGGTGCTGCAAAGCAAGTTTATGGAGCGTTGTCCTTCTGGGTCGTGTTTCTGGTGACCGTGGTGATCTGCTTGACTCCGCGCTTCGTCTGCAAATGCATCCAGAAGGTCTACTTCCCCATGGACGTGGACATTATCCGAGAAAAAGTGACTCTCGGCCACTACGATTATCTAAAGAAATTCGAAGCCTACGTGCCTCCGGATGCCGGCAAGCTCGCGGGCTCGTTCGGGAGCGAAGCGTCTGCCACGGCGTCGGAGCCTGGGACTGCCCATCATCAAGCTACTAGCACGCGCGACTATCCCGGACCTAACAGCCTCGATCGCACTGCGAATTCCACGCCTGTGGCTCCTCTCGTGGATCGCCAGGGCGAGCCGAACCGGCTTGATAGCCAATTTACGAGCGCCAACAGCAGTGTTGCCTTTGGCCTCCAACGGCAGACCTCATGGGATAGCGCGAGTCGGGAGCAATCGCTTTCCGGTCCAGTTCTGCCGGTCGACTCAACAAGCATGGAGCCTCAAACGCCGCACAGCCCTCTAAAAAGTCGAAATGATCCCCCTTCGACATACCCAGTATAGAACGCGTTGCTTTATTTCCTCGCTATATTCTTTCATCTCTCGCACAATTTCCCATGGGCACCGGACCTACGCCCTTGATAAATCTTACGCGATACGCACAAAAGCTCTTCAGCCACTGTGACTTAACTTTCTTATATCCCCTGATCTTTATTCCTACGATTTTTTCGTCATTTAATGTCTGATCGAGCGCGACCTGTTCTGCGCTGCTGTTGATACTGACTTGGTTGATATATCGCCTCGCACATATTTAGTTAATGTAACATAGAGCTATACCTTCAATAGGACTTGCACTTATTCAGTCGTTGTGTCGTATGGGGGCTGTGTATTTCAAAGTCCCTTACAAGTCCAGCTGTAACCATCACGAAATCTGTCAAGCCTCCCTAGGTCAAGCCACTCGTATGTTCGGCCGAAAGGCTGCAGCGCGAGGTCTTTCTGTCTGAGGTGAAAAATGAGGCTGCGCCACAGGCAGTGTGACGTGTTCGGCGTCAAGCATGCATCGAATTGGCAAATGTGGTGTTTTGATGTCCCTCGCCGCCAATGAGATTGCGGCGTCAAGCGCTGGGCTGATGCGCTCTTCTGGGATGGACCCCTGAATCGAATCTCCCCGGCACATCAACATTCCAAAATTGCAAATATACTCATCAAGCAGAATGCGATGCCATAGAAACATCAATCAGGCCGCTCCTCTTTTCCAGTGACCCCTCGTGAGGCTCTACGGGATCCTATGTGACAATGTCAGAACGAGAGACCTCTCCGCCGGCTACGTTCGCCGAAAGACACGTCAGGGCCAAACCTGAGCACCCAGGCTCACTAGCCTACTACACAGTGGGATGGATCTGCGCATTGGAGGAGGAATACGAATGTGCGTGTCGGATGTTAGACGAGGAGTTCGACGGGCCTGACAGCATCGAGGATAGCGACGACAACAGCTACGCTTTCGGTAGAATCCAAGACCATGGGATAGTGGTGGGGTGTCTCCCCGCGGGACGCTATGGCACAAACTCTGCCTCGCGCGTGGCGAGAGACATGGTGAGATCGTTTCCACAATTGCGGTTTGCGTTGATGGTGGGCATTGGCGGCGGAGTCCCGACGCCAGAAACGGATATCCGGCTCGGAGATGTGGTCGTCAGCAGTCCGCAGGGTGGACGTGGGGGAGTTGTTCAATATGATCTAGGAAAACGCCTTCCTGATGGCCAGTTCAAGCGGACTGGGCAATTAAGCGCTGCGCCGAATCAGCTGCTGTCGGTTATGGGCGACTTGCGACGGCGATACAATGACTCCCGGAAGCCAGATTCAATCGCGGAGCATATGCGACTCATGGACGATATGCCCGAGTACCAGCGACCATTCCAAGACGTTTTATTTCGCGCCGAGTATCGGCATCAAGGGGGAAATACCTGTGACGGGTGTGGTCTAGCGGAAATTGTACGGAGGCCTCAACGACGGGGTCATCGAGTGATCGCTGTTCACCATGGGACAATTGCGTCTGGAAACTCTGTAATCAAAGATGCTGCCACGCGCGATTTGTATGCCCACGATCCAGAGATGAAGGTTTTGTGCTTCGAGATGGAAGCCGCGGGACTGATGCACAACCTGCCTTGTCTTGTGATTAGAGGTATTTGCGATTACTCGGACTCGCACAAGAATGATGAATGGCACAGGTATGCAGCCTTGACAGCTGCAGCGTATGCACGGGAGCTTCTTCTGCTTCTTCAAATCGAGGGGAGTGCATGTTCGGCCGCCATGGACTAACCATTTCAAGGATCAAAGTCATGCAAGGTTAGTTCCAGCATACCATAATTGCGCCTTGCTTCACACTAAAAGAGAACCGCAGTGACAGGTCTAGTAAACAAGATAGATGAACAAACGTATATTGGGCGGCGATCCGGGAAAGTAAAGGGACGTTACTGACAATTCGCAGCGAGCTGTGTCTGAGCATAGCGAAGCTCACCGAGGAGAAGATCGATTGAACGAAGCTTCCGGTAGCTGATGGTGCAGCGTTTGATGAGTATATATCTGCACCAACACGAAGACGAATGTCTTCTCGGGTACTCGAGTTGATGTTCTATGCCAGTTCGCGGAGTGGGTGGAAAGCCCTGATGAGAAATGCATCTTTTGGTTAAATGAATGGCAGGGACAGGGCAATCGACCATTGCACGAACTGTTGCACGAGATCTCCTTAGACAAGGCTATCCGGCAGACAGCTTCTTTTTCACACGTGGGGAGCATGACCGTGGCAGTGCCAGGAAATTCTTCACCACCATCGCAGCCCAGCGATCCATTATCCGGCTCTGGCTCAAGAGAGATACCAAGAATGCAATTGACTCGAGTCCTGATCTGGCAAAGAAGGGTCTTATCGATCAGTTTGAGAGACTTAGACTCCAGCCAATCGTACCTGGGCGACCCGATTGAGGGTGGCTTGTTTGCCTGGCTCACGGTGGCGGTCAACCTGTCGGCCCTGCACTACCCCTACTACACCAATGTGTGGTCTGCCCAGCACAACCTCTGCTTAGACGAACCTGAATTGGGTGGGTTGAGTGGTAGGGGGCTTTGGCATGATCTCATTGGAAGAAGAGGGAAGACAGGGGGGCTGGAACTGTCAGAGAAAATATCGATGTCGATGTGGACTAGTAGTAACAAATCCAGTAGTCCACTTCCCTACGACCAGGTGAACCTACGTAACACTTCGAACTAAGGCTTCATGCACCGTAAGTATTGGGCAGCCATCCTGCTCAATCCTGCTAATTCTAAGAGAAGTATTGTCTTGCCCGCAAAAATGCTTCGAATCACACGACGCATAAATCTAGTTCTTCTGATAGCTTATCGAAGGGCTTCATCGGTTGGTAGAAGATAGCTAGAAAGAATATCTCTTGTTCAAATGGACACCTTCCTTTCACAATCCCGAGCAGGCTAATTGAATCGTTATGTTCCGAGAAAGGTGTCAATTCGATCATCCCAGCACCGTCAGTACTTTCCAGACCTGAATGAAATTGGAATGTTCTTCATCAAGCGGCAGGCTCGGGCAGTGGACCAGTGGCTGTGTCTATGTATATACATAGTAAGAAAGTCTCTTCAAGGTATCCCATATCTCGCCAACTGCATGCCTAATATGGCTCCTGCCCTCTCAATCCTGAGCCCTGTCATATTAACACCTTGTGAGAAAAGTCACCATGTCTTGACTAAGGTGTTCTCAAAGAGACGCCAAGTACAACCAGAGAAGAGACAGTAATGATCGTTCGTTAATGGAACAACAAAACAGATATTACTCTAGGTCTTGAGATTTCATTCAGGACCAAGTAGAGCTTGAGGTAATATCTCCTTGTGCTTTCTTCTCTGGTCCAAACAACCCCGCGATCTGAATCTTAGGGTATCATTTAGATCACTGCCCGCGTAACGGGGTGACAACAGAGATATTACTCTAAACCTGATGCATGACCGGAGTTTCTCAGTCAACCGGACTCCTACACCAAGACGCGAGAAAAAGACACCCTCTGGGATTTGCTCATTGAAACAAGCAATGTGCACTTTACCAGGTAGACCATCTCTAACCTATATCCTAGCCACAGTATAACCCTGTGGCATATGAGATATCAGAGATGACTGACCAAACCACTTATGCGCCTACTGAAATACTCAACGGCGCCGAAAGGCCAAGGCCATCATGTTTCGTACTCTCTATTAGAAAACGACCCTCCCCTGACCGCCCGCGGCTCAATACAACTGATCAAACAAGCCCATAACATCAATCCCCAGCCACCGCATATCGTCCAGCGCGTAGGTGGGATCATCCAAGAACGGAAAGAAGATCGGGTCAAACGAAGCCGGACTCCAAGGCTGCATCGCCGCTGCGGCATCGAGACCATTGCCCTGAGACAAGCCGGCATCCATGACTGCACTCTCGAGCTGAGTATCAGTGCATCCCTGGTGCGGCCCCTCCGCGTTGGCGGATGCCAGGACTTTCTCGCCAGACACCCTGCCTCGGACGGCCTCGTGGCTCGACCGGGACTTGCCGCTCCGGACGTCCGAGACGTACTGGCGAGCGAGATGCGCGAACTCGGCGACCAAGGAGCCCGGAAGCGCGCCTTTGCTGGCATATTCGATGCGACTGAAATGGCCGCCGGCCATGTCGAGGAGGGCCAGGCTCAGCCCGGTTTCGGCGTGGGTGGGATTGTGGACGACGAGGTCGAAGAGGATCATGAGAGCTGACAGCGGGAGGACAGCTAGGAGCCTGTTTTGTGTGTTATGCTGTGATCAGAACGCTCCGGGATGCAGCGACGTACCAGACAGGAGTTGAGGGCGCGACGTCGATGAAGGCTGTCAACTCGAGGACGCTTCTCGCCGTGCGGAGTAGTTCCCGTTTGAGGATGTCTTGCTGGGACGCTGGCACTCGCGCAGTCCCCACATGGAGGATCGTCCATGAGATGGTCAGGAGAGCATTGAAGTACAGATAATGCGTGAGCAGAGCTATCTTCAGGGCCAATGGTTCACGCAATAGACGCGGTTTGGGAACCTCGCCCGGTCGGAACCGCGAGGGAATCGAGAGGCGCCAAGTCTCGAGCTCGGAGCGCAGGCTGATGACCGTCGAGTTGTAGTGATGCAAGGGTTGACTCACGGCGCTGATGTTGAAGAGAGAATGGTGGATCTTCGAGACCAGACGACCGTACTTGACGAAGCAGAAGAACCAGTCGTAATCATCAAACACGGACTCTGCCACATCTGGAATGGCGCAGCTGATGTTGGCATCATCAATGACCTGGTGGGTTGGTGAGTGTGCGTTTGCACGGGCGAGAGAGTAAGAAGGGAAGTCTCACTGAATTCCTCGATGTTCCAAAGCATGAGGTTTTCTCTAGAAAGTAGAGGACCCAGAAGGTGCGACGGTGAGACGTCTCCTGCACGCTGTTTGACCGTTGATAACCCAGTCCCTGTGCCATGATGCTGGCCTCGGACAACATCAATGGCTCGAATTGAAAGGCAGACACGGTGGAGGAAAAGATAGCCTGCGTGGGTGTCAGCTCTCCCCCACAACTACATTGTGAGAAACCTTATACCATCGCCATGAGTGCCTAGTAATGTTTAGCCGACGAGAACTCGTTTCTACAATGGAGGGCAACATGCATACCTGCACTGAAGTCAACGAACCGCGGCCAAACAGCAAGTCCGGAAAATACGACAGTGATCGCTCAAAATATTGCCAGGCCTCCCCCACACCCACATCGAAGCTGCCCCCCTCATTATTCTGACATCCGATAGCTACGACTGCGTAGAACAATGCTGCCCAAGCCTGGTCAGTAGCCAGCGCCTGGGACAAATCCTCAGCCGCGGCTTTCTGGCGGAATGTATCGGGGGAGAGGAACGGATAGAGCGGGTGCACAGCTTCGAAATACGCTATTCCCGGTCAGGTTGAGTTGGTCTGTGGTTCATTTGAGTATAGAGATACCAGAGATATGAGCCTGAATGCTTGCCCAGTCAGGAAACTCGTGTCTTTGGCTGAGCGAGTGCCGCCGCTGGATATACGATTGCGGGATACTGCACGCCGCCTTGATCTTGGTCGCAACCATGGTGCGAATCTCCTCGAGGAGTTGGTCCAGCCGATTATGACCCAGTCTCTCATTGATGGCTTTCACTCGCTTGGCTGGGAAGAAGGAGATGTTCGGGTTGAACCCAGAGATGGTGGTCAGCTAGAAGGGATGGTCAGTTTGGGGGCTGGCCCTGCTGGCTGTTCTCACGGCCTAACTCGCCTGGTCTGAATTGATAGATTCTCGCATGTGTCGAGAGGCCTGACGATCCACAAGCAGCGTGTCGATATAGAGGCCGCTGCTATGGGTTGAAGACAGCGAAGTGTTCTCAGCATCTGCCTGAATTAAAGCTAGTGATCCACGTTAAACTGGAAGTCATGTTTCCATTGAAGAAGAGAAGATTCACCTTCAAGATCGTACTTGCGCTTCCGAGGTTTCTTGATTGGGGTGAAGGAACAAGAACGTCCTTGCGACTGCGACAACACCTACATATCAATACCATAGCAGGGGGCCAATGCTGGTGGTGGTTGTGGCCTGACTTACCAGGCAGAGATTGCAGGTAGTGTTGGTGCCTGAAATACCTGGCAGACTTAGCAGCAGCCTTTGCGCCGGAGATTAAGAAAAAAAAAAAAACAATAAAATCCACTTACTGCACCGCGTTTTCCGACTCCGACACGCGTCGCATGCTTTATGCAGTGCAGCAGAGCTTGATTCCGCCGCTGACATCATATTCAAAGACACAAAATAACAACTAGTCAATTTACAGAGGGGGGGGGGAAGGAGAGGAGGAAAGAAGACGTCTTTCAGTCTCTGCCCCCCTTATTGCATTTTCTCGTCTTCGTCGCCGATGAACTCCGACGGCCGGGTCTCTTGGCCCTAACTTCCGCTCCGATCGCCTCCGACGCTACTCGTCTGCCTGTTGGCGTCGGCGCCGTTTGAAGTCATTTCCCCCAATGCCTTATCGGCTAGAATTATTCAGTAAAAAAAAGTTCCCCTGGGGCGTAAGATGAGAGAGAAATGTCACCGGGTTAGAAAGTCATATAAGAATGATCATCAAAGCCGGCCTCAAGCAATCTGTCCCTCGTTTGCCCTCCCCCATCGAGGCTAATTCCCACTCCCCATTCGTATCATCTTCATCATGCTCGACCCAGATTCGAATCCCGAATCATCCGAGCAGGATAGCAGTCTGAGCAGGTCTGTATCCTCATCGTCCAGTGATCGTACAGCCCGAATCGACGAAGAGCCTGAGGCTTCGCAGATACCCGCCGAGAACCAACGGCAAATCCGCCAACTCGCCCGACGTTTTACACAAGACTCCGTCCACGATTGGCCTCACGGCGCCTCCATCAACCCGTTCACCGATGCGCAGGATACCTGCCTGGATCCCAACTCCCCCAAGTTCAGCGCCAAGCGCTGGGTGCAAGCCCTCATTGAGTTAACCTCCCAGGACCCGGAGCGGTTCCCCAAGCGCACAGCAGGCGTGTCGTACCGTCACCTCAATGTGAGCGGATATGGAAGTGGCTCGGCATATCAATCGACCGTGGCGAATGTGGTCTGGCAAGGCCTCGGGGATCTTCTGGCGGGGTGGATCCCGAGGAAACGAGACGAGGTCAAGATCTTGCGGGACCACGACGGCATCGTGCGCAGCGGCGAGATGCTCCTGGTCTTAGGCAAACCCGGCAGGTTCGTATACGTCCGCTGTTGGAATGATTGCGGCTAACGGAGATGATTGATAGTGGTGTATCGACCCTATTGAAAACAATTGCAGGCCACACCAAGGGTCTCTCGGTGGCGGATGCTGCGGAACTCAGCTATGATGGTAAGAATGACCTTTCAACTCTACAACGCTGGAACTAAGCGGAGGGAACTCCCTGCACAGGCATCCCGTGGAGCACAATGCATCGCAAATTCCGCGGCGACGTGATCTACCAAGCTGAGACGGACGTCCACTTTCCGCATCTCACCGTCGGACAAACGCTGCTGTACGCAGCCCTAGCCAAGACCCCGCGGAATCGGCTCCCAGGGGTCTCGAGAGAGTGTTATGCAACCCATTTACGGGATGTAGTCATGGCAGTGTTTGGGATATCCCACACCGTCAACACGAAAGTCGGCGACGACTTCATCCGCGGGGTGAGTGGGGGGGAGCGAAAGAGAGTGAGCATTGCGGAGACCTGCTTGACCCAAGGTTGTATCCAATGCTGGGATAATAGCTCGCGCGGACTCGACAGCGCCACCGCGCTGCAGTTCATCCAAACGGTCAAGCTGGGGGTCAAGATGACGGGGACGGCCGCCGTGGTCGCGCTGTATCAAGCCTCACAACAGGCCTATGATGTGTGTCGGTCCCTATTCTCTGATTTCCTGATGATTCCCGCTGACGCAGGTCTCATGCACCTACATAGTGCTTCGACAAAGTGACAGTGCTCTACGAGGGGCGACAGATCTACTTTGGGCCTGCCGATCAGGCGAAACAATATTTCCTCGACATGGGCTATATCTGCCCGGATCGACAGACCACAGGAGACTTCTTGACCTCCTTGACCAACCCCGTGGAACGAGTAGTTCGCCCTGGCTTCGAAACCCGAGTGCCGCGCACCCCCGACGAATTCGCCCGCGCATGGCAACAAAGTCCACTACGAAATGACCTTTGCAAGGAGATCGATCAAGCCAATCAACAACACAAGGAAAGCCCCGCGACGGAAAAGTTTGAAGCCTCCAAGGATGCGGAGAGATCACGATTCATGTAAGTAGGCCCCCGTCTTGGGCAGTGAGGTGCGCGTTCGGAAACTGAATCTCTCCACAGGACCCCCAACTCGCCCTATACGGTATCCATTCTGCGACAGATACTCTTGTGCATCCGACGAGGCTATCGCAGAATCCTCGGGGATCCCACATTCTTCTTCGCCACCGTGCTTGGGAATTTCTTTCTCTCCCTCGTCCTTGGTAGTGTGTTCTACCACCTGGAAGACACCACCGCGAGCTTTGTCGATCGATGCGTTCTGCTATTCTTCGCCGTCCTCTTCAACGCGCTGAGTAGCGCTCTTGAGGTGAGAAAGCATCAGCGACGATGGGGACAGTGCGAGCTGACCTGATGATCCAGATTCTGGCGCTCTACGCGCAGCGACCGATTGTAGAGAAACACGCCGCCTACGCCTTCTACCACCCGATGTCCGAAGCCGTCGCCTCCATGATCTGCGACCTGCCCTGCAAGATCCTGTCCACGATAGGCTTCAATATCCCGCTGTACTACATGTCGAACCTGCGACGCGAGTCGGACCACGTCGTCATCTACCTCCTCTTCGCTTTCATGACGACGTTGACCATGTCGATGATTTTCCGCACCATCGCCCAGAGCACGCGGACCATTCCCCAAGCCCTGACGCCGATCGCCTTGATGGTCATCGCGCTCGTGATCTACACGGGGTTTGTCCTGCCGATCCGCAACATGCAGGGGTGGCTGCGGTGGATCAACTACATCAACCCGATCGCCTACTCCTACGAGACCCTGGTCGCCAATGAGTTCCACCATCGCTCCTTCGAGTGTGCCAGCTTCGTTCCCTCGGGTCCCACGTATGAAACCATCTCCAGCGAGGACCGGACTTGTGCCGTGGCAGGGGCCTCTACCGGCTCGAGCCTGGTCAGTGGCGATGCGTACATCGCCGCCAACTACAGCTACTACTACTCTCACACCTGGAGGTGTGCTCCCTCTCTCTCCCCTCCGGGCAGCAGCCTGTGTACTAATCCACTGAGGCAGAAACTTCGGCATCCTGGTGGCGTTTATCCTGTTTTTCATGACCATGTACCTGCTGATTGCTGAGTTCGTGATGTTTGACCAGTCCAAAGGCGAGGTACTGGTGTTCCAGCGCAGTAAATCTGGTGTCATCAGCGCCAACGAGAACGCCCCGCAGGACGAGGAATCCGGCGAGAAAGATGCGAGGGCCCTGGCAGAACACCAGGCCGCCAGTGATGGCGACATCAATCTCCAGCTGGAATCCAATACCTTACACTGGAAGGATGTGTGCTACGACGTACCGATCAAAGGGGAGATGCGCCGTATCTCCGATCACATCGACGGCTGGGTGACGCCGGGCACCCTCACTGCCTTGATGGTAAGTCCTAATCCGCGTGTTTGCTCCCTCCCTCACAGCGGGTACTGATCCTCGAGCGTCTAGGGAGCGTCAGGCGCCGGCAAAACCACGCTGCTGGATCTTCTCGCGAGCAGAGTCAAGACCGGGGTCGTGTCCGGAGAGGTCTTCGTCAATGGCGTCCCGCGCGACCCGTCCTTCCAGCGAAGAGTCGGCTATGTGCAGCAACAAGACGTGCATCTCGAGACCAGCACCATCCGAGAAGCACTGCGGTTCAGTGCCCTGCTCCGACAGCCGGCTACGGTGAGCAAAGCGGACAAATACAAGTATGTCGAAGAGGTCATCGACTTGCTGGAAATGCGGCCCTATGCCGACGCGGTGGTCGGAGTACCTGGCGAGGGTCTCAATGTGGAACAGAGGAAGCGATTGACGATCGGGGTGGAACTGGCGGCCAAGCCTGATCTGCTCGTCTTTCTCGATGAGCCAACCTCGGGCCTGGATAGCCAGACGGCCTGGTCAATCACTTTGCTGCTGCGCAAGTTGTCCGACCACGGGCAGGCCATCCTGTGTACCATCCACCAACCGTCCGCGATCCTGTTCGAACAATTCGATCGCCTGCTCCTCCTCGCCAAGGGTGGCCGCACGGTGTATTTCGGCCCCATCGGTGCAAGTTCACGCACCCTGACCGGCTACTTTGAGCGTCACGGCGCCAGAGTGTGCGCCAAAGAGGAAAACCCCGCCGAATGGATGCTCGAGGTCATCGGGGCCGCGCCCGGCTCTCAGTCTGTGCGCGATTGGCCAGTAACGTGGAGAGAAAGTCCCGAGTACCAGGCGGTGCGACAAGAGCTCCAGCGTCTCGAAGAGCGCAAGTCCTCGACCCAGGGAGTGCAGGACTTCACCTCGCATCAGCAATACGCGGCGCCTTTCTTCACGCAGCTCCTGCTATGCACCAAGCGAGTGATGCAACAATACTGGCGCACGCCCTCCTACATCTACGCCAAACTCGTCCTCTGCTTCGGCGCGGTACGCAACCCTAACTCTTTCCCCTGCCCCCCCCCCTTCATCCACTCTCGCTAACCCCCAGCCACAGGCCCTCTTCATCGGTCTCTCATTCCTGCAAACCAAAATCACGATCCTCGGTCTCCAGCATCAAACCTACGCCATCTTCATGCTCCTTGTGATCTTCGCCTTCCTGGCCTACCAGACGATGCCGAACTTCATCAAGCAGCGGGACCTGTACGAAGTGCGCGAACGCCCGGCCAAGACCTACGCCTGGTCGGCCTTCATGCTGGCCAACATCTTCGCCGACATCCCGTGGAATTCCCTGGCGGCGGTGCTGATCTTCCTGCCCTTCTACTACATCATCGGCATGAACCACAACGCCGAGGAGACGCACGCCACGGCGGAGCGCGGGGGGTTGATGTTCCTGCTGATCTGGTCGTTCCTGATGCACTGCGGCACGTTTACGATCATGATGGTGGCAGGGGTAGCGACGGCCGAGGTGGGCGCGACGCTCGCCCTGCTGCTATTTGCGATGTGTTTGATCTTCTGCGGGTGCGTCCTTTCCCTTCCTCCTGGTGCATCAAGCCCGGTGCACTACTACCTACTCTAGCAACACTACCACTACTTATCGAAGTACTCACTAACCACTTCCCCCCACCATATAGTGTCCTCGCCTCCCCAACCGCCCTCCCAGGCTTCTGGATCTTCATGTACCGCGTCTCCCCACTCACCTACCTCGTCAGCGGGATGCTCTCGACCGGCCTCGCCAACACCAGCGTGCAATGCTCGGACCTCGAACTCATCATCGTCCAACCCGCCGCCAACACCACCTGCGAGAGCTACCTCGCCGCCTACATGCAGCTTGCCGGGGGCGCCGTCTACAACCCCAACGCCACCTCGGACTGCGCCTTCTGCGAGATGACGAACTCGAACGTCTATCTCACCGAGCTGTCAGCCAGCTATGCCGATCGGTGGCGGAATTTCGGGTTGATGTGGGCGTATATTGCATTCAATGTGGCGGCGGCGGTGTTTTTGTATTGGTTCGTGAGGGTGCGGGGTGGGTTTGATGGTAGGCGGCTGTGGGGGTGGATGAGAAAGCGTGGTTCCAAGGCTTGAATGGGATTTACTGTAGCTGGATTCTGGAGTTGGGGTTGGAGGAGGAGGAGATAGACGGTTTCATGTTGTATGGATTATTATGTATGTGTGGTTGTATTCTACATTAGGGGTAATTGTCCTAAGTGGACTTGTACGGGGTTTTCATTCGCGATCTTTGCAGCTTACAAAGCATCGATCAATCCTTAATAGACTAAATCTTCACTCTACTGTGCGCATACACACAATCGCATTCTGGATCTTACATCCGTAGTTATCTACATATTTTTCCGGAGGGAGTACTTAACCATTTCTTTTCCGCCAGCCGCAAAGCGTCATTCGGCGCCGAAGCAGAAGTGGGACCGCAGCATCCGAGGCTGGGTTCGGCAGCGAACAGGCCCTCATCAGATTCCTGTATCGTATAACGTAATCGGACAGCGAACCGGCACGACACCGATCCGTCGTTTCTTACTATAGCTACCACTCGAAGCTAGAAATTCTACTATGTATAAAAATTTAATGAATATTTTGAATAGAAGTATTCTACTATATATAATGATAATAAAATACTTATGGAAATAAAAGTATACAAAAGAAGAGACTTAATTTTACACGTAATATATTTTAAATACAACTATATAATTACTACAAAATAATTTTAATATATAGATAATATTTCTCAAAAGTTTATATTTTATAGTATAAAATAATCTATTCTATCATTCTATTACTACTAAATATTAAGTACTAGACAAATAGTTGAAGTTCTATTTTGTCAGTGGTAGCTATAGTGAGAAACGACGGTTCGGTGTCGCGTTGGTTCGCTGTCCGATTACGTTACGCAATTCAATAAAATCGACAGACTGGAAGAAACGTCATGGTATTGTCGCTACCACGTCAGCGGTCATCAGTCAGACGAGCTGCAGACAGCGGCAGGCAGCCATCTCGAGGACTCTCAGAGACGTAGCGGGCGGCTGTGACGTGCGTGTAAAGAGAGCAAAAGACAATATGAGCAGACCTAATTCCAGAAGGAAATGCTGATTGATTCAGCAGAGATTGACCTTTATCTACAGGTTGGAGAAGATATTGGATATCGGCACGTGTTGATCAACTCTTCAGTGTATGACCAGGTGTAAACCAGGGAAAACAGACAGGTATGAAGCAGGACAATCACTCAAACCGCAGAACCGGAACAACTGAATCTGAAAACAAGAAAAACAATATCGCAAACAGCAACAACAGCCAAGCAATAACCCAACACCCAGACTCCCACGCTCTACCAAGACAAATTATGCCCGCATGCCATCCGCAATCCCCATGCTCATCTGTGGAACTCAGCATTCACAGTCCCCAAGAGGTTGACCTCGATCTGATATATCCCCCGAGGACTGAACGGGAGTAGACGAGGAGCAGTCAGTGCACGGAACTGGGCCCTTCACGAGATCAGTATTCTAGTGACTGTGCCGGGGTATGTGGTCTCAGGGTCCTTGGGACAGTTTCCCTCAGGGCATTCCTTGTAAGGCGCTTCGGTGCAGGTCTTTTCAGAGCAGGGATGCTTGTGGTAGGGCTTCTTGTGGTAGATATTCGGTCGACCAGGGCTGGCTAGTGGGGTATGGAGCGGAGATGACTTGTTTCGGGGTTGAGTCGCAGCTAGAGCAGGGTGTGGTGGTGAGAATGTCACAGGAGGCGGAGTGGTGGTGCAAGAGGGGGTTGTAGTGCAGGAGGTCGTAGTCATCGAAGGGGTCGTCGTGCAGGAGGTCGTGGTCGTCGAAGGGGTCGTCGTGCAGGAGGTCGTGGTCGTCGAAGGGGTCGTAGTGCAAGACGTGCTCGTGGTGCAAGATGTGGTAATGGAGTAAGAGGTCTTAGTGGTCGAATTGTCCCACGGAGCCGTGCCATTATAAACCTCAGGTGGCACGGTGACCACAGGGCCAGGAGTCGTGGTAGATGGTCCCTCAGGCAGTGGCGCAGTTGTAGGTGGATTCTCGACGGTCTGGAAAGATGAACCCTCAACCCCCTCAGAAGACGGGTTTTCAATGTCCTGGTCCGGGGCTGACCATTGCTCAAAAGACCGAGACCGAATGGATGGTGTCTCCGTCGGCTCAACATGACTTGTCCAGGTGCTGTCATCAGCGATAGGGACAGAGGGGGCGACAGAGGGCGACGACACAAAAGAGCTCGCGGGGGTCGACCCGGGGGAGCCCAAGTAGCATAACCCCTGAGTTTGAGCCTGAGGGGGACCGACGTCCCCAGTGATACCGCCGGGGACGGTCGTGATGCTGCCGTCGCTACCGTCGAAGACGCAGGTTATGCCGGGAGCGTCGGAGGTGATCTGGGAAATGCTCAGTCCGTTGTCTAGTGTCTGTTAGCGATGATGGGATAAACAGAATGGTAGGGATGCAGAAGATCACTCACTAATGGCGATAGGCCCTCCAATGGGAAAGTTCTGGCTGAACTGCGCACCCGCTGCGCCGTGAAAGGTGATGGGGACCTCAGTGTCCGAGCGAGCAGTGGGCAGAGCTCGCGCAAGGAGGCCAAAGGACGTGAAAGTCACGAACAGAGAAGAAGCTGCAGTATACATCGCGTCAGATTGATCTTCAAAGTGAAGATTGTGTGCAGGATGAATATGATTGACAAACTTGAGTATTGCTGATGTGAATGCTATGGTGATGGATGTCGAGTCGAGTCGTCGGAGCTCATTGAGGCTTATATAGAGTTGTTTACTATACCACGATCTATAACATCTCGATGAAGAGGCTATGTTAATCTAGATTAGCCCAAACGGGGGGCTCAAATTAGAACCCTGCGTGAGGATGAAGATGGCCGGCACTGAACCGTGGATAAAGCCCCCAATGCCTCGGGCTCAGTCTACCAACCCCGGCTAGGCCATTGTGAAAAATCCCAATAACCCGGGGGTTTAAAGCTCACATCCTTACGCTTGTATGGAAAAAAATTAGCGACAGAGTGCAGCCTCCGCGGACTGATCCATGGATTGAACACGACTTCACCCTTGAACGGACGGGGCTTGCGAACAGCTCAACAATAACATCGATACGAACCCGACCTGCTCGAGTACACTCGTGTCCAACACGAGCATTTGTTTTCAAGGTATGCTTGTACGGAAAAGACCCTGAACTGAGCCACATCGGCATCGGTTTCTTCGTCTTGATGGGCTGAAGCATTGAGACGTACGCCACACACAGAATGGTGCGATCTCGATGTTGGAGGTAAAGATATACGAGTAGCTTCCTCACGCTCTTTTTCATCAGTAGTAACAGACAAAATGGCAGCAGCCTCGGTCGGAAACATCAGCGCCAAACCTCAATATCAGGTCAGGTACTTTCTGGCTGTACTAGGCCCGCGGATACGCTTTCTGGATCCACAAAGAATTGCTGTCGTGCTCCTATCTCAGGTCACGAATAACGAACCACAACCAGGGGTAACCGGAGGACTCCGAATGCAACATGAGCCGATTTCAGTCAATAAACCCTTACAATTCTAGCCAGCAGCTCTGTTTCAAGGGCTGGATCATACCCACGCAGGCATTGCCCTCGTCGCTGCAAGTCATGCAGTGGAAGTTGCAATAGTGCGTGATCCACGCTGCAGAGGTCATCCACGCAGGTCTGGTGGGTCTAAAAACCCTCTTGCAGCAAGACCTCGGGCAATCCGGGTCGTTGCTGTCCACAGAATACCAAATGATGAGGAGTTTCTAGGTGCGTCAAAGTGAGCTGCGAGCTGTCCCGACACCTCCCAGCTCATGAGCTGGCCCGATGTCAGAGCAAATGATGCACATTCTCGGGGTACTGACAGAATGTGCCGTGGTGGGCCTTTTGCATCCTGGAAGTACGGTAGTCAGTAAGCCTTCTAACGCCTTGATACGTCCACAAGATCCCAGGAAGTGCGGGTCCCGGAACCTCCTCCGGCTTGGGGGTGCGCCGATGTTCGCATTGCTCTGCATCTCAGCATAGCAGGGACTTGCGAAATGCGTTCAACTCAGGTGCAAATGTCGGAAAAATCTTGAGTAGTTTCTTCCAAACCGATCCTTGGGTATGTTCACGTTCTTGAAAAGAGCAGTCTTGACTCTCGGCCTGGGGGACCAATGTATATTTAGCCCTGAGATGCATGATGGACAACAACCCCATAGGTATGCCCAGGAGATCAGCCACATACATCCCCCTCCTTGCAAATTCCTAGCTCGTTTTTCCATGCGAGCGCCTCCGAAGCATCGATTGCCCCTTGAGTCTAGCGCGGTTAGAGAAGACATGTCATCCGAGTCGAAAACTTGGCAACTTGATGTAAGCACAAAGGCATCGGAATGCGTTCTCTCTCGAGCATATGTCCCTTGCTACATTCAACTTCCCCTTAAATGACGTGCATTCTATCCGAGGGTGATTATAAATAACCACTTGATCTGGGAATGCAGTGTGCATGCAGAAGCTTGCTTGAAGCGATGCAACCAGCCCAACCCGCTGATCGCAATCCTGAAGAAGGAGAAGAAAATAGTGATGGTGATGGGATTAACCCCCGAGGAGTAGAAGCTTCACCGCCTGCGCCTCGTCAAGCCTCAGGCACGAAGGATAAGCGAAGCCCGGAGAATAAACACTTCCAGGGATCCTCTCTCGGTGCTGATAAGACTATGGGTGGATCAGCTGTATCATCTTTGAATCATCTGATTGCGTACCTCTGTAGGGAGTGACAAAGTGAGGTCTGATGGTCCTAAGCAAACCGCGCAGCCTCTGAGACTACTAATCCATACCTGGGCGATAAACACACCATTCAGCACTACGAGAGAGGATGCAGCTGCGATGAAAAGCAGGTTGAGGTCGCTCAACATCCGAGGGGCGCTGTACTCTGCACGTACTCCGTGGAGTACATCTCGACCCGCTGCCTCATCCTGTCTCCTATCCGTCTATTCAGAGAGCACCCGCCAGGTATTACAGAGTCCCTAGAACGTCATCAGCAAGACGCATGGAAGAGAGTGATGACGGAAAGAAAACCCCTCGTGGTTCTGGACTCATCCTCTCGGCCGTCGGCAAGCATCAGTGACATAAAATTTACGCGGTGCGGTGGCCTGGGGAGGGATCCCTTTGCTGCTGTCGGCTAAGCGCGGGCAATTCTGGCCAATCTCGTCCTCTTCCATCCTAAAAACCGCTGCTTCGGAAATCTCTACCGGCCGACTCCACTTTCTGGGCCCAGTGGATGGGCGGAGCAGAAGGGGAAAAGGAGAAACCCGCTGGCTGGCTCAGGGTGAGTGGGACAGAGGGTCTGCGATCTCTCTGTGAGGGAACTTATCGGAGGACTCAAAAAGTTTAGCTGAGCAGTTGATGCCGGGTGCAGCGGCTAAGGAGAGTCCCATGGAAGGGCATTGACCTCATCTGGTTACATCGAGATCCTGCACCGCTGGTTTGGACTTTAGATCCAACTTTATGGTTCTTCCAGAGACTTCTCCCGTTCCCAGGTTCTGCAGTCAGTCCATCGGATCAATTCCTCTGTCGTGTTGTGCATGGGTTGAATGTGAAGATGACACTGTCGGTGGAGTACAGAACTGTATAGTCGTGAGGAGTCATTGGTGATGCGAATTAACAAGCGACCGACCGACCGACCCCGCAGAGAACTGTGCCTGTAGGTAGGGCACCAGAAGTGGTCAGGTGGAAGGGATCACATCGGTCGATCATCTGCAAGCGACCCTCAAGCGAAGACTCCACTGGTGGAAAAGACAACCCCGGGATTTTGATTTGCTGCTGTTGCTGCTACTGCTTGTGCAGCCACCGTGCGGCAGTCACTCTAAGCGGATGACACCTGACACGGTGTTAAAAAGTACGGAGTACCTCTATTCCTGGTACCCTCCAGCCTGCCTTGGCCTTACAAAGATAACTACGGTACTCAAGATGATGGATCCAGCTCTCTGCCATGGAAGCTCCGCGACACCTCGCGAGGGCGGTTGCACCCCCTTCCCACCTAAATATGATAGGGCGTGTGTGTGTGGAAGGCCGAGTGACGGATGTGAAAAGTGAAGTGATGGGTGGGTGCCAGTGAGATCCACGAATGAGCATCACAGAAGGCAGGATAGATCACATGGTCTCCCACCAATTCCGATCGCGAATTCCCCGCCGAGGACAACTGCACTGGCGGCCTCTCCACCCGGATATCGAATCCGTGTCACAGATACGTCTAGTATTGCAGAGGAAAAAAAGGCAAAGGGGGGAGACCACCTGAACACTGATACTGCCAGAAAAAAACACACACATCGTGCATGTCTACTGGGGGATTACGGAGGTGGCTGGTGAGCTGCCAACCGGAATGGGTGGAAGCAATGGAAGCGAACAGCAGAATTTTTCACTCCTTCCCTCCCCCCCAATGCCCCTGAATCAATCAGTGGAAAGGGATGGGTGAAGTGGAACCGACTCGAGTCCAGGAAGATAATCCCGAGGGTCATTCGACGTCATAGTTCATTTTCGCCCTCGCTCGGCTTTAATCGGTTCTGATTCAGTTCAACAATGTGCCAGCCAGTGCACTCACTCACTAACCACCATACCTTGGTGGTGGTGAAACAAGAATAAAACAAAGAATCAGGGCAAGTTGGCCACCCTTCATTGCAGTGCAGAGCAACAAGCAATCCAGCCAAAAAAGAAAAAAAAAACCACCGAAATCAGGTTTGGACAGATGGTCAGAGCTTGGACGGTCCTACAGGTCCAAAACAAACAGAACAGGATAGTTGATATGCAGCGACCGAGGGTCGAGGCCCCAGAAGGCGCCGAAACCTCAAGCGGCCGAGCAAACTTACCTTGCGTCAAGTTCATCGAATTCATCGCTCTGGTCCAACCGCTAAACACCGGGAAGGAAAAGTGCAGTGGAGACCTGGAATGTAGTGGATCTCATAGGCTGACGGTCTCTTAAACCTGTTTGGTGGTTGGCTGCAAGGGAGCCCTAACCCACTACGTCACCATCTTTATTCTAGTCTCTCTCTCTCTTTCTCTCTCTCTCTCTGTCTCGCTGTTTTGCTCACTCTCGCTCACTCTCTCACTCTCTGACTCTCTGACTCTTTTCTCACGCCCTCTCAGCTCCGCCTCTGGGTTAAAAGGAATGCAGGGCTTGGCTGGCGGAAAAAAAAAGACTGGATGGGCCCGTTGCCCGGATTCTACAAAAGTAGACCATAGTGCCCCCGTTGGTTAGTACTAAGTCTATTACTCTATCTACGCTGTACGCTGTACTGGGCTTTATACCGTTGTACCCCATATTGCTCCCCTTTCTCCTCTCCTCCTCCGCCCCTCCCTCCACACCCCCCTCCTCTTCTCCCCTCCTTCTATCGATCACAACCCATCTCTTCCTCCCGATCGGCCGATATGGAAATTTCTCGAGTTTTAAACTACGTGGACGAGGCTCCTCGATGGGTAGGATCAGGTAGGGAGGAGACCAGAGAACCACCACAACTACAACAACAACCACCACAGCAACAACTCCCAACACCCCCAGCAGACATCCGACCATCGCCAGACTCCACCAATCACTTTTCCTCCCCATCCTGTTCCGCAGAAGAACCCTCCCCTCGAACCACCACCCACACTGCCCTGAATCCAGCCCCCCCGCATCCTATCCTCCGCAACAAACGACCCATCCCCCGACAGGCCGGCCGTGGATACGCCCCGAAAAGCCGAGCCGCGCTGGCGTGCAACTCGTGTCGACAGGGGAAGTTCAAGTGCACGGGCGAGAAGAACCAATGCCAGCGGTGTGCCATGCTGGGCAAGCAGTGCTGGTATCCGGCGCATAAGCGCGAGCGAATTCAGAGGTAGGGAAAACCAAACCAAAAAAAAAAAAAAAAAAAGAAAAAAGAAAAAAAGCCCTGTTTGGCTGTGTGAGAGGATTTCCTTTGTTGAGACTGGGGACTTTTTGTCTAGGGAAATGGATCAATTGGTCACCGAGGCCAATGAATATCGGTTAATGCTGGAGTTGCTCCTGTCGCGCGTCAATAAGGAGGATGCGGAGGATATATCCGCTCTGCTGTTCAAGGTATTGATTGCTTTCCGATTGCGCTGTTTGCTTGGGTCTGGGACTAATCGTGATGTTTGTGAAGTACGAGAAGTGATGGGGAGGTAGTGTATCAGTGCAGTTGACTGCATTTCGACCCTTTCCACTCGTCTGCCAGTTGGTGACGACAGGCGATCATCTCCCACCTGCAGAAGACCATTTCTACTTTCCCAGCGGGCAACCCGAAATGAGCGACCCCTTCCCCACCTCCTGATGGGATCACTTCAGCTGCTTTGGTCGCAGGTAGCAGAGACTGGGTCTAGGTATGTAGCGCTCGGGTTTGAAAAGCTGGCATTTTTTTTTTCTCTTGCCTTTTTGTCCTGCGATTTGTATTCCAAATATAGAGATACCCTTCCGACGAGGAAAACCACCATCAATCAGATATTCAACCAATGCACGCTTAGACCTTCTGCCCCTGGTCTTTCCCGTACTTAAGCCTTTCACCATATGGAGGAAGGTATACAGCCCACTGGAGGGTGCACTCCTCTCGGTGTCTCCCGACCCTCTCTACTCTTCCCACCCGCGATCGTCCATTGAAAGGGAAGTGACTTAAGCTCATTGCCAAGATTCCAGTTGGGTCGTCCTGATTCGTCGGGATCAGATGCCGCTGGATAGCCCCTGGCCGCCCCGGCTTGCGAGCTCTGCGAGCTAGTAGTCGCTTGACAGTGGAGAAGAAAGATTAGATCGATTAACTCCGGGAGTTGGTCCACCAATCTGACGCCCTTGGGATTTGTGTGCTACATGCACTGGATTGACTGGTTCCCCACAATCGACCACTTGAGCTCGATCCCAAAGTACGAAGCCATGAAGCCGAAGGTAACTTATGCGAAGGATGGATGCAGTCGCTTGTTTCAGATCTAGTCTCGTACTCTACCTTGTTTGTTGTTTATTGCATTCCTATCTATTTTCTCCTGTTGTCTTTCTTTTCCCTGTGCAATCTCCAGAAGCATCTGGTGAGGTAGCCTTGGCAAGAGGATATGTTATGTGCCTCCCATCGATCCGGATTCTCCTTCTAGACACGGCACAGTAATATATCACGGCCTATATATATGGCTCTTATCCTGTGAAAAGAAACCAAGCAGAGCGACCTGAAATGGCACCTGCGGTTTCTTTCTTTTTTCGTTCTACTTTTTCTGGGGGGTATCTTCGTCCCTTCCCTTATTCCGTATCTTCACTTTGGATAAATTCCCACAACCAACTCTCTAGCCCTTGCAAGACAGAAGGCAGTTCAACTCTATTTCCTTTCAATCATTGTCTTTCCGACGCATGGATACACACATAGTATCTATAATAGTTGTCAAATCACGAGTCCCAAGCGCCATCACTACTGAGTCTAAACCTCGAAGATCTCTCAGATGACTTACGAGTCGAAGTATATAAAGAATTCTAGCAAAATTGTTTTGAACATCACCTGCCCCTCTCTATAGTTCTATACATCTGCACAAAGCCGTCGACTGTCTTCAGAATCATACTAGTTAGCTGAATGACTCACAGGATATCTTTCCCACAGCCCACAGACCCTAAGCATTAGCTCTAGGGCTCCTAATACCTGCCTGCAGGCCCCAAGTGAACAAGGAATGTACGTATCCTTGTCCGGCTCTTCTCGTGAGGCTCGGGAGTATTATCACTGGGATTGCCTTGTCCTCTCCGGCTCTTGCCCCGGTAGCCTCGAGTGTCTCAACTATTACTGATTAAGTAGTATTGCAAAGGGGCCGGGAAAGCTCCGAGTCCAAGCGTAGACCACCTCGCAGACCCTCGCCAGTTGACCGAATCTGCACTAAGAAAACCGACAAAACCAGCCCCAGCCTACAGCTTCCAATATAAACCCAAACCAAATCGTCAATTTCATCACAACTAAACAACAATCAACCCCAATTCAAACAGCTCACTTCAACCCACCCCCAATGAAACACAACCCCCAATTGATCCCCACCTTACAAAGTATAAAGAAACCCCGGCCGTTGATCCCCCAACTCCTCCACCTCCTCCGCCCCCAACCCCTCCAAGCGATAATCGCGCTCCCCACGGACCCGCCGGCGATTCTCCCTCCGGAGCAACAGATACTGCACCACCGAGCCACCCAACAGAAACACTACCAAATACCCCAACACCACCCCATGGCCCGGATAGAATCGGGGGGCGTCCTCCGTGCGGTAAATGTTCGACGAGACGATGCCGTTGAGGTTGCCCCAGCCGATCATGAGGCCTAGGGTTATGCCGCGTTTGTAGACCCCTTCAGGAATAATTAGAAATTGGGTAGAAGGGTGGCAGGGGACTGGCGCACCTTCGACATTATTGCTCACCCACGAGATCGTGTTCGCGATACAGGGGTAAATGCCCATCGCGCCAAGGAAGACGCCCGCGTACTGCACGCCCGCGGACTCGGCGGCGAGGAGCATGATGAAGCCCGCGATGCCGACGAGGGAGACGACGATGTTGTAGAGGCCGCGCTGGCGGGTGCGGTCGGCCAGGTAGCCGATGGTCACGGTGAGGATGGCGGCGCAGGCGTAGGGGGGGACGCTGAGGAGTTGCGCGCGGGTGGAGGAGTAGCCTGCATGCGGGGGTTAGTACAAAGTATAGTAGCTATATTCCCCGATCCCTGGAGAGTTGCGAGCAGCCGGGAGAAATTACCCTACTCAGAGTGTACACAGTCAGGATTAATCTCATTCACTCCGTCAGTCACTCAGCCAAGGAAGACTCACCAGTCCATTGATAATCGTCGGCACGAACAGCGAAAACGCATACAACGCCCCGTCCGCCCCCATGTAGATCACACACCCCAGCCAGGTCTTTGAGTCCTGGAGGCTCGCCCACACATACGCCGACTTGAACTGCTGCTCGCGCGCCCCGCTCCCCTGCGTATCCGCCGCCAGCCGGCGCAGCACCCGCTTGCGCTCCGCCTCACTGAGGAAGGCTGCGCGGTCGGGGAAATCGTACACCAGCCAGTACGACATCGCCCCCAGGACGACGGTGGCGAGCCCCTCGAGAATGAAAATCCAGGCCCAGCCTTCCTTCCCGCCGACCCCGTCCATTTGCGCGATCGCGGCCGCCAGCAGCCCGCCGAAGGAGCCGGCCAGCGCGGCGGCCGAGAAGAAGACGGCCATGCGGATGCCGAACTCGGCGCGGCGGTACCAGCACGACAGGTAGTAGCTGATACCGGGGAAGAGGCCGGCCTCGGCGAGACCCAGGAACCAGCGCGCGGTGAGGAGGCCGCCGTAGTTGTGGACGAGGCCCATGGTGGTCATGCAGATGCCCTGCCGGGGCGGTTAATCGCGCACGCTTTAAATGCGACAGCGGGTGGGTGCAGCAAACCTACCCAGAGAACGAGGATGGTCGGAATGAACAGACTCGGGCGCGTGCGCTTCAGTAGCACATTGGTCAGGGGCTCAAACACCGAGTACGAGACGAAGAAGACGGTCAACGAGGCGTTGTACTGGGCATTGCTCATGTGCAACGCCGTCTGCAGGCCCTCGAGCTTCGCATTGCCGATGTTGGTGCGGTCGAGGAAGGAGGCGAGGTACAGCAGCGACAGCCAGGGGATGAGGCGTCGGTCGAGTTTGCGGAGGAGACGTCGGTCCTAGAAACGAGACCAACGGTCAATTGCCTGCCTTGCACCAATCTCCCCTGTTCCGCGCCGCACGAGCCTGGCACGTACGAGAGTGGCTTTTTCCTCCTCGCTTAGACCGAGGTCGGGATCGTCGATTGCGTGCAGGTGTTCGAGGGTGGGCTTGGAGAGTTCGGGGTCGTGCAGCCCGTGGGCTTTCTCGGGGGGTGCGTCCATTTCCTTGGTCTTCATGGGGTGATGGTGTCGCAGGAGTGAAATGACGGTCAATTGGCGACAGAAAGAGAAGATGGGAAGAGAGAGAGAGAGAGAGGGAGGGAGAGAGCTCCCCTGTCCTCTTCCTCCACAACTCCAAGCCATCGGGCATCGGGGGGATTCAATGCGGTGCGGGGGCTGAGTCATGCTGCCAATGATCGACAGGCTGTCCCTTGCGTGGATTTTATGGGGAAGTCGGAGAGAATCCTTGCTGTTTTGATTCACTGTCGGGTCTTTTGAAGCTTCTGCACCCAATTTTCAGTCTCGCATTGAGCAGTGATTGGTCTATCTGGGAGGTCTTCCAGAGAAGATCTCTGTCTCCATTTTCCCTTCATCTTCTTCATCGCAACCAGGAGTACAGAGTCAATCCGGGGTATACAGAGACCCCAGTTCAGAGGAGGAGGTGTTCCCCGCATTTCTCCAACCGAGAGGATCAACCCTTTGCCGGTGCCTAAGCGATAAGCTGAAGCTGCTTGGCGACATCCCCGCCTTCACTGGGATTCTTCTCACCTTCACCGATCTCTTCTGCATGCCATTCTCATGCCATCGGCGAACTACCATGGATGGAGGAGATGTGGTGAGAGCGAACGATCATGATCACTTGATTACAACTGCCGAGACAGCCGGTACTTGACGCTGCAGGTACCGTAGCAGCTCCAGAATGCAAGGGGATGTGGATCCTATTAAACGAGGCACAACGCCACCCATCTCAACAGGTGAGCAGCTCCATGCTGTGTCTTATCAGTCTCATGGTGTTTTTGATCTCAGCGTCTCACCTTCCTTACAGTTCCGAGCAGATGCTGGCGTCGCTGTTTCTGCCTCAGGCATCGAGAGCAACAAGCTCACCAGCACGTGATCTTCCCTCTCTTCTGGTTTGCCGTGTTTGTTTACCCTGTCACACTCTCGAGCCTGAGGCAGCAAATTTCATAAGGATTCATAAATGACTCAGACCGCATCCCCTCACTTAGCATAAACAATACCGCATTAATCGCAAGTCAAGAAAGGCATCTCAATCAAAACTCTCACCACACCTCACTCAACGATCATTATTCAGCACAGTCCCTCAACAAACTCCCTCATCCACACTCCTCTTCCCCGTTCCCTCCTCATCCCCCCTCTCCCCCATACCCTGCAACGTCGCCGCCACCTCCCCATCCAACCTCGTATCCACCTCCCGCGAAAACAATGACGCGATAATTGACAACCCCCCAAACGCAATACTCACGCAGAACACCGTGCGGAAGGACATCGCGTATGCCGTCTTCTCCGCGTCGGCCACCGCCGCCAGGACCGTGCTCGTCATGCCGGGCACCGCCTCGAGGGCGGCAGTGGTGCCCGCCGCGACCGCCTCCAGCAAGTCGGCCAAAGAGCTTGCCGGGAGGCCGGCCTGCGTGGCGGCGGCGGAGACGGTGGTGGGAATGTTAGCGGTGATGCGGTTGGAGAGGATGGCGACGTAGATGGCCGCTATACCCATTAGCATGTTGTCATTGCGAGAAAGAGAGAGAGAGAGAGAGAGAGAGAGAAAGGTAAGATGCGACAGGGCTGGTTGCAGGGTGCGGCTGAACTTACTGGCGATAGTGCCAAAGATCTGCTTCGCGGAGCCCAGGAATCCACTGGCGAGGCCGATATCCTCTGGTTTACAATATAACGGGCACATGATGATGGTGATGAGCTCGAGGTAGCCGACTGCGAAGCCGCCGATGGCGGTGAACTAGATTGCATGCCAACGGTGAGTAAGGATGATTCCTTGGGGAAGGGGAAGTGACAATGAGACGAGGGGGGGCACGTACGGCAATACCATAGGCCTGGCGGTGCTGGTTGATGGCCGCCAAGGCACCGGAGAACGCGGTGATGGTCACCGTCGACGCGATGAGCTGGTACTTGGAGAAGCCGATCGGCTTCATGAATAGCCCGGCGGCGATCTCCCCCACGATGACTCCTACTCCGGTGGTGATCTGGGCTGTCAGTTGAAAGATCACTCAGTGGGAGGATGGTACAGTATAGGCGCCACTCACCGAGAGCCAGCCGGCTTTGATCGTGTCGGTGGTGAACAGGTAGAGCACCGCCTCGGGCCACAAGAGACTACGACAGTTAGGGCTCTGGCAGCTACACGGAGGGGGGCGGGGTCTCACCTCATGGAGAAGTACACCATGTTGCCCACCAGGGCGGAGCACACGGTCGCCGCATAGCCGGGGTTGCGCAGGAGGGACATGGGGAGCAGGGGCTGCTCGAGGGGCGCGTAGATTTCTGTCGTCGCGTTCAGGAGGGGTGTCTGGGTGTCTGTTGGGGGGGGAGCAGCAGGACATACCGTAGAGAGCAAAGACCAGGATCGAGATAAAGCCGACCACCAGCACGGCAACGACGTGAGCAGAAGACCATGCGTACGAGGTTCCTCCCCACGCTAACAACGCTGCATCAGTAAGAGCACAGCAGACGCCAGGGAACCGGAAACATACAAAGACCCAACAGCACCAGCACCACACCAGCGGCGTAGAGAACGAAGCCGATCCAGTCGAACTTCTTCAGCCCCTCCAGGCGGCTCTGCTCACCACGCTTCCGGTCCCAGCCCGGTGGGAAGTAGAAGAGCACCAGCAGGATGATGGACAAACCGCAGGTGATCATGTTCAGGTAGTACGTCCAGCGCCACGAGGCTGCCGTGTGGGCGACAAAATCATTGGCGATGATGGAGCCGAAGGCGGAGAAGGGGAGGGTGGTGATGAAGATGCTGGCGTTGACCACAGGACGAGCCCGGTTGGGAACCAACTCCGCGATCACGAAGGTGAAGGTCAACTGCACGGCAGCAGCCAATCCACACAAGACACTGCCACCGATCACCGTCGGGACGTTCTTCGCGGTCGCGCAGACAATGGCCCCAATCAGTCCCAGCACCTGTCCGCCGATGAGGATATACCGACGACCGAAGATATCTCCCAGACGGCCGACCAGCAGCAGTCCGACCTATAACACCAATCAGTATGCATCACGGCATCATCGGCATCATCATCCAGCAGGGGAATCGGCGTACTCCGGAGATTAAGGTGAACACCGTCGAAATCATGCTATAGTTGGGGTCCGGTCCTGTGCGCACAAGCAGAGACGATCAGCGGATGCCACCCCGATCGGCCCCGTTTCAGGGGCGATGGAGACTTACCGAGATCTTCATTGATCGCAGTCAAGCTGTTGACCTATGGAAAAGTCAGAGACCATGACTGAATTGTCCTGTCCCGGACGACGCACCGGCAAGACATAACCCAGGTACAGACTGATGGCCATCAAACAGACAGCGACCACGGAGCCGATGAAGTTGGGACTGCGATAGTATCCGCTTGGCATCTGGTTCAAGTCGACCTGGTGGCCCTGAATAGAGCCCGCCACGGGCTGCGGAGTCTTCTCGTCCGCCATGGGTGCCCCTCGAAGGTGGTGACAGGGATCCTGCAACAGAGAAACAGAAGGCAGAGAGGGTGTGCTGGAGGTAGAAAAAAAGAAGAAGATGTCTCAGCTGCAGGCATGCGGATAGTTAAAGTAGACCCAGCATGGCCGTATGCAGGGAAGAGGCAACCGCCACGAGGCGAAAATGCGCTAGAGAGTCGTCAACCCGGACTGGAACGGCAACCCATCTCATTTCAGCAGTCTAGATTGTTGACTGGCACGATGGGAAAGCTACTGGCACACGAAACTACAGACACGGCGAACAAGCCATGAACGGAATACCAAGAATCACCATGCGATGGCTAGTCTGGGAGTCGATACGTACCTGGGTGGTGGGTGAGTGGGGAAGGGAGGGGAAAGAGACAGTAGTCAATCCTTGCATTGGCAGCAGCAGCAGAAGAGAGGAGTCGAGGGGGGGAGGTGGAGGGGGTGTGAGAAAAGACAGAGAGAGACCGCTTAGGGTTCATCAGGACCACAAAATCGGCGACGGTCCTTGCGCGATATTGAAGGCCCGCAGTAGTTGGAGTGGAGCCGGACTTGGCGAATGGGTGACTTGAACTACATCAGCCAATCCAGTCGCCCCCGATCGATCTAGAGTGCTCTGTTGAGCATTGGTTGCATGGCACGGAGAAGAAATAAATGACAGACAAAAAAATGCCAGCAGAGTTGCCTGTCCTGCCGCTTGAAGCCAATTTAGAGAGACTCCCGAGTCCCGTTGCAGAACCCAAGGCGTGCATCAGAGACACCCAACACTCCGGAGGTACCGACTGGAGGCCCTCTACAATACTAATCCCAAGGAATAAATCCTGAATGGGTCAAAGGAACACTGCCTTTTCCCCGAGATTACGGGAGAGTCCCGGAGAATAATGGCGGTGGCAAAGACCCTCCTTGCATTCCTTCCCTTCACCCCTGGGCACAAGATAGAAAGGCCCAGGACGTCTGCTAGATTACCTCGTTGCTGTCACTGCGTACTTCATCTAGGCCCTAAGGTTGTCTCTTTCCTGCGCCTGCCTTTGCTTCTTGATTGCCCAGCAAGGCCGGTATTATGGAGGACCTGACCTTCAGAGAGGAGTCTTCGTCCAATTCATCGGCCGACCTCGATGCCTCGCGAGTCCCGTCGATCATCGTCTGCAACACGGTGCTGATGGTAATTGCGAGCTTTGGGGTGCTGGTGCGGGTCTTCGTGCGGACGCAGTATCTCTCTGGACTTGGGGCCGATGATTATTTGTGCATAGTGAGCTGGGTGCGTTTGCGGTCTTGGCTAGGGCTTCGTTGATGGACTAACATTGCTGAGCGTACAGGCTTTTACACTCGCGCTATGCATTCTTTGCATCTTAAGTGAGTTTCTGCGTGACTTGTCTGCGCGCATTCCATATCAGACTACTGACCATTGAGCCTCCAGTGACCGACTATGGCTTCGGGCGACACATCGCGACGGTCAAAAGCGATGCCACCCTGACGATGTTCCTGAAGGTCTGCAGAGACACCTCCCCACCAACTGACGGCATGCACTGACTTGCCCTCTGGTCTCCAGCTCGACTTCGCTACCATGATCGCCTACCTGATCGCTCTGGGCACCGTCAAGTGCTCCTTCTGTGTTCTATACCTCCAGATCTTCCCGGGGAAAACATTTCGAATTGTCTGCTGGAGCCTGTTCGCCCTGCTGGTAGCAGAGACGATCGAGGAGTGCCTGGTCGTCGTCTTCCAGTGCACCCCGATCCACAAGGCCTGGGATCCCACCGGCATGGTCCCGGGGAAATGCTTGCAGCTGACCGCATTCTACTACATCTCCTTTGGCATCAGACTGGCAACCGACTTGACCATTTTTGCCCTCCCGATCCCGAAACTGGTGCAATTGAACATGACCCGAGGCAAACGCGCGGGCTTGGTGGTTATGTTCGGCCTGGGAGTCCTGTACGCAACCTGGGTGCTCCGTAGCAATTCTGCCCCATGCTAATCGATAACCGCAGGGTCTCTGTGACGAGTATCATCCGGGCAACTTATATCAGTAATTTCTCGCTGGATCACACGTGTAAGTGTTGCCCCCCCCCCCCTCTCGTCATCCACTTTCTTTTTATGGACACATGCATCTAACCTGCGGCGGCAGGGACGCTGGTGAACCCACTTAACTGGTCCAGTGTGGAGGTGGCCGTGGCCATCTTCATTGCCTGCATTCCCTCGTTCAAGAGTCTCATCACCTTCCGCTTCCCCGCCCTGCAGCGCCTGCTGGGGCTGTCCAGCAAGGGCGACTCGACCGGTCGATCGCGCATGTACGGCACCTCGGGCCGGCGCACGACGCAGGGACGGTCGCTGGCCCATCAGAGCATCAAGCTGGACACGGTGACGGGCGAGAGCCGGGCGGATATCGAGGCCAGTCTGACGGGCTCGGAGGAGCGGATCTTCCCTGTCGCGGGCATCCAGATCACGACCCATGTGAGCGTGAATCAGAGTGACTGAGATGCTGGTCGTTGCCTCCCCCCATTTCCTTTGTGCCACCTGTCCCCTCCATCCCTCTACACACCACACTGTAGTCTACGATAATAATGCCACGCCTATTGAACTGAGATGCACGGAAGAGCGACAGATCGACTAGTTACATACCAAACACGGTCACTGGATCGGGCCCACAGAGAGGGGTGGGAATCAAGGCCCGCCGGAGTCTTTGCCAGTTTGGCTTAGCCTGATGGTCTAGGCTGCAGTAGCACCTCTAGGAGTGGGATGGAGTAGGATGGAGCAGGATGGAGCAGGATGAAGCAGGATGGAGTAAGCTAATCTAAGCTTATGCAAGAGACGGTCGCGAAGCTAAGGATTTCTTCTTTCCAACCCCTGATGCCACCAGGGAGGGTGTCTTACCCGGACGCGCAAGACATTTTCAGGGCCGCTCTTGGCGGGCTGTGCCGTGGTCTTGCCCTACCTTGTGTTCAAGTCTGGTTATGTTGGGGTTACTGAGACATAGTCTGTCTGCACTGAAGGAAAATTCGACCAGACGCTAAAAAAAAACGAAGGCATCCGCTAGTTCCAGACGGAAGGGCGATAATCCCATACCAACGGGAATCGAATCCCAGCCCTGGAATTAAATATTCCCCCGGCGACCCACCAGGTAGGATTTAGTCCCGGGATGGAGCTCCACTCACTCCATTGCAGGTGGAAGAGGATGGTTTGATGTAATTTTTGTGCCTTGTCTGGTCCACTCATGTCTTGCCAGTATTCCGTGAGTAGCTACGGATGCCCTCCGTCTGGACTGGTTGCCTACATGCATCATGAGGATTGGATGTCGCGGCCTGTCAGAACCCATCCCATACTGTTAAGTTCTCCGTCATATGATTCATACAGCTGTGAGTACCTAGTAGAACAGTACCGAGTAGGTAGTCAGTCATACTATGGATCGACGGTGACGGTACTCTCCTGTCGGCTGGGAGTCGGCTGTTGGTTTCGAGACCTATGGACCCGATCACTTCACTGCATTTACGCACCACGCTATGCACCACCCCTGCTGACAAGACAATAAGCTGCTTATGGGCATCATTGAGTTGCGTCGTTGTACCCATCTCTCGGGACTGTTGTGAAGAAAATAAACGCTGCAAGCAAGAGGAGGCTGGAAATTTCCGAGCAGAATCTTATCTTACGCCACCCCCCCCTCCCAAGAGGATGACAGCCGGAACCCTAACTCGATGTCCCTGGATGGTCAAAGACACCACGCAACCTCATCCATCAGTGGGTCCACAGCGACAAAAGAGAAAATTCCCCCCATATCGGACCCGAACTTTCCACCGATCTTGTACCCACCATATCCCAATTCAGTCCAGCTTGCCCTCCGGGGCCACCTCCGGGGCATTTCTTGACACATCCGCGGTAATGGCCGCCCGTCCGCTGTCTCCACCTATCGCCTGAGGCCAAGTCTTCACCTCTTGGTCGTGGTTAATTTGAGGTCGGCGACTTGCCGACAGTGTGGACGTAGTTGTCCACAGGGTGACTAGCAAATTCAGCACTCCGGAGTCCGAACACACCTATTCGTGTTCTGACTCGGACAGTCACCCGTTCGTTCCTCTCCAGTCGCAACGTCGGATTCGACCGACGAATCGAAGCTGACCAAAGCCAGAAGCCCACTCCTGCATTGGACGCAGAACCATGCCACCAGCCTGCCGTGGACCCCTGAATCACCCATGTGCAAGTCGACGCCAGAATGTGAGCAGGGGGACGGGCAACCCATCTGTCGCATGGATCCCATTCCCAAACCTCCTCTGCCACCAACCATTACACCACAGTAAAGTACTACTCCATCATGCAGGAACACCCCCCAATCCCCAACCAGGGCCACCATGCGATCGTCTTCGGATGCTCGGGCATTAACGGCTGGGCGCTGGTCAACCAGCTGCTCTCCGACTACCCAGCGCCCGGCACATTCAGCAGAGTGACCGCCGTGGCGAACCGTGCGTTCCGCCGCGAGGAGGCTCAATGGCCCTCGGACGATCGCTTGCAGATTGTGTCGGGCGTGGACCTGCTGGCGGGCGACGATCCGGCCCTGGCGGCCACGTTGCAGACGGAGATCCCATCCGTCGAGACGATCAGCCATGTGTATTATGCGGGTATGTCTGACCTCCCAAACCCCCTGCATCCTCATCCCCTGAGTTTATCACTGACCCCGCGTGCCACACAGCCTACCGCGCCAACGACGACCCCGCCGAAGAATGCCGTGTGAACAAGGAGATGCTGCGCGCTGCCGTGCAGACCCTGGAGCGGATCTCACCTAACCTCGCCTTCGTGACGCTGATCACCGGCACAAAGGTAACTGACACCACCTGCTCCCCTTCCCCCCCCGCATTGCAGTCGGGATCTGACCCTCCCAGGCCTACGGCGTCTACCTGCTCGACAAATTCCCTTTCCGCGGACAGACCCCGCTGAGCGAGGATCTGCCGCGTGTGCCGGCCGAGTACGCCAAAGACCTGTTCTACTACCACGAGGTCGACCTGCTGAAGGAGCTGAGCGCCGGGAAGCCGTGGTCGTGGTGTGAAGTGCGGCCGGATGTGATTGTACCTCCCCCTACTCTGCCCAGCCCATCCCTCTCCGTCTCTCAAACTAAACCCACATGGTGACCACCAGGTCGGAGTCGCCCCCTTCGGTAACGCAAACTGCATGGCCCAGACCATGGGCATCTACCTCAGTCTCTACCGACACATCCACGGCGTGAACGCCCGCGTCCCTTTCCCCGGCAACACCACCACCTGGACCCTCACCTCCACCGACTCCAACCAAGACATCATCGCGCGGTTCTGCATCCACGTCTCCCTGCAAGCCCCAGAGATGGTGGCGGGGAGGGCCTTCAACATCGCCGACAGCGCCCGGCCCGTTGCGTGGTCGGAGCGCTGGCCCGCTCTCGCCCGGTACTTCGGGCTTGAGGGGACGGGGCCCGACGCGGCGGCGCTGCATCCGACGGCGTTCATGGAACAGCATTGGGATACGGTGCGGCAGCTGTGTCGGGAGAAGGGGTTGCGGGAGGAGGTGATTGATCGGAGTGTGCATAATACCGGGGCGAGGATGGGGAGCTTGCGGTTGATGGACTTTGATCGGGAGTTTGATTTGCGCAGGGCGAGGAGTGTCGGGTTTGCGGAGGAGTTGGGGGTGGAGGAGTCGTGGGGGAGGGCGTTTGAGAGGGTGAGGAAGTGTGGATTGTTGTTCTAGCTGGGTGGGTTATTTGTGGATAGGATTGGGGGGTGGGATCATCATTGAATATAGCCATCTGGGCCATGCGGTAGTGAGTGAGCAAACTCCGATTTCCCATTCAGCGCCATTAGGGCTCAGGGGATCGCTCGCTAGGCGAGACAGAGACAAAGTGCTCGATTCAGACTTAGCCTCGCTTTACAGAATAGTTCCATCGCGCCGCATGCACCACAGAGCGGCGACCAGTATGGAGAACGGGGTGGAGCATTCCCCGTGTGGATTCTCCATGAGAATGAGAGGCGTGTATTGAATGATGCCAACTGCTACGATTCTGGGATGTTTTCCAACCCAGTTTTATGACAATATGTTGAAGAGTGTATGGCTGCGGTTGTTGAGCACTTGCGCTCAGCCCTAAGTGAGACCAACACCCCAATCATTTCTGCCCACAAACAACACCAGCTAAGAGATCGTGAAACTGAGTTCTGATCTTTGCCATTGAGGAAACGAGAATACCACTCAGGTTGCCTAAGCTACAAACATCTCCGCGAAGGTATGGAAGAGAAATCGCATTCTTGACATGAGGTGGGAAAGGGACTACACGTTAGCTTGATATTGATTCGACCACCGAAAGTAGTCCAGTATGCAAGAACAAACTGCCTTGTTTCGATGTCACACAGAATCAGTCCCTGTCTTTTGCAAATAAATAACTAACTTGACCCTTTTCCTTCCTGTTAATTGTCTAATCCAACTCAACAACTACCCATTACGCCGTCTTCCGCTTCTCGATCGTCAACCACATATCGGTCCAATGCCCGACCCCCCCCTGAATCACGAACCGGGCAACCGGCTTATCCGGGACGATCTGGGGGGTATAGTGTCGAAAGAACTGCAACGGCCCCTTGAACAACTCCATCATCGCGATCTCCCTCCCCAAACACACCCGCGCTCCATACCCAAACGTAAAGATATACTTGTTCAACACCTTCGCCCGTTCCACATCCAGCCATCGTTCCGGCCGGAACTCCTCCGCGTCCTCCCCAAACACCTTTCTGTCGCGATGCATAATCCACGGATTGCCCGAGATCTCGGTGCCGGGGGGCACGAATTTCCCGTACAGCTCCATCCCCGGCTCCGCCACATACCGGGGGAAGAGATTCGGCGCGGGGGGATTCAACCGGATCGTCTCCCGCACACACGCCACATAGTAGGGCAGATGATCGAGGACGTCCGCATACTGAGGGACGGCGCCCTCGGGCAACACTCCCCGGGCGATCGCTCCATCAATCTCGGCCATCATGCGCGCGTACACGTCGCGGTGGGTCAGGAGGTTGTGCACCAGCGCCTGGAAGACGGTGCCCGTCGTGTCGGCGCCGGCGAGCAGCACGAGCAGCACCTCCGCCTTGATGTACTCCATGTCCAGGGGCTGGTCGGTCTCCGTGCGGGCTTCGAGGAAGGTCTGCAGGAGGTCGACGCGGCCGATGTCCTTCTTCTCGGCGAGGTCGCGCAGGCGTTGCGCGATGAGCCTGTCGCGGAACCGCATGAGCACCCCTACCCCGGAGGGGTCCGCCGGGGTGGCGACGAGGTATTTCTTGAGGCAGGTGGTTTTCATCCAGCTGGTGAAGGGGTGGAGGCGCGCCAGGAGTCCGAATGCGGGCAGCCCGTCGTGGAAGCCTTGGATCAGGCCGCCGACGTCGTGGGCTTGCGCGACGAAGCCGAAGGGGGCGCCGAAGCCGACCTCGCTGATGATGTCGTAGGCCATGTAGCTGGCATGTCGCAGGGGGAAGTTAGTGGAGTGCCGTGCGCGAGACGGGCAGAAGAGGTGGGGTCACGTACACTGCCCACCAGGCAAAGTCAAAGGGTGTTCCGGTGCGGGAGAACTTCTCGTCGAGTTTGTCCAGCCACTCTTGCAGGCGCAGGTCGATCAACGGCTCCATCTTCTTCACGTTGCTGAAACTGTACTGTCACGGGCGTCAGTCCCGCGTCTCAATCGACAGGTGGATGGCAGAGCCTACCGGTCCGGCAATGTGCTTGCGGAACGTGGCGTGGGTCTTGTGCGAGCGCATGTTGAACAACGACTCGGTTTCGCCGAACGAGCCGGTGATGTAGTGGCCGGTCTTGTCGGCCTGGCGATGGTAGATGTCCGGAAGCTTGGTTGGGTCGCTGACCAGCAGCAGAGTCGGGGTAATGCGGACGACAGGGCCTGAATTCAAGAGAAATCAGCGTCAGATGCGTGGTTTATGGAGTGCTATGTCCCCCTCGGGAGCATCTACCATATTTCTGGATCAGCGCAGAGCAGGTCGGTAGCTCCGTCTGGCGCAGATTATGCCAGGCGATCCAAAGGCGAGTGACGCTGCCCCAGAAAGGCCCAGGAAACTTCGCGAGCGGATGGAAGAAGCGGTAGTAGATGATCTGGTAGACGCCTTTCAGGACGACATACGCGATCACACCCAGAGCCACCCTGGCAAGGGTGACCTGCGACAAGAGGTTCTCTAGGCCCATGATTGTCGAGTGAACGAGGCAAGCGAGTCGCAGAGGCCGGAGAGTCGAGCTCTTAAAGATACGACCATCGTCTGATCTCCCCCCGGCCACGCAACGTCGGTCTCCTTAATGCTCGCCGAGCCCAGCAAGGGGCCTCGACTATAGCTGATCGGAGTGGGTAGAGGGCAAATTAGGGTCCGCTTGCATCGCAATTGGTATCTCATTGGCACGAGCTGGAGCAGGGGACAACGTGCAATCCGTCCTTCGTGCCACCAAGTGAAAGAGGTCTCCGAGCGTCCAACCAAGACACGGAGATGGTCTACTTGTCAAGCCTGTTTCGGGAGGACCTAGAGTCTAATGGGCCAGTCATCCGGACTGGAGCACCGTTGGGGGGCGGGGGTGGTCATGGTGGGTGGGTGTCAGGGGGGTTCTGACAGGCTGAAGGGCTTCGGCTCATCTACTGTACGAGACTTAGGGTTCAACGGCACCTCGTGGCCTCCTGGGTTGTACACCACAGTGGCCCCCGGAAGAAGCCGATTTCACTTCATCATTCGCAAAGATCGAAGTATGATCGCGAATTCGGGTGACTAGCGACCGTTGACAGGTGTCAGAACCACCAAGTTGACTCGAGGAACAGGGCTCTTCCCTGTCGAGTTCACTCTTACGAAAGAACAAAGGTCTGCCTGCGGATGCTGGTGGGTTGGAAATCAGGACCGACTCCATAACCGACAATCTTCTCCTCCCTCCCTATCCCTTAATTCGAGCGAGGTGATAGGGCTTTAAAACATGAACCATGATGCCCCTCATGGCACAATGTAACCTATCGCATCGACTGCTTCAAATTGAGCCCCACCGCGCAACAGTGCTTTTGCGGCCACCAAAGGCAGCTAAGAGCCACTAAAGGCCACTAATGCGCGCACCGCCGTCCGATCGACATTCTTGCTCTCACCTACTTGCCGTTTGCGGTGGGAGGAGATGGGCGACTTCGAGAACTGTGGTACTTTCGACAGCTTGCGTCGTCAACAGTTTCCTCTGCAGGAAGAGGGAACATGACGTTGTCTCGTTCGGCAAGCTGCCATGGAGAGTAGTGATTTGGAAGAAGTTAATTGTTGCCAATTGAATGACTGTTCCCCACCCTACTGTACCAACGGTCGTCCAGCTCCCAGCTTCAAGGGCCAGAGCATTCGGAGAGTCGGCGATGGGGATGGGCCTGAGCTGTGAGGGCCGGGGAAATCCCCCGGAATTGAGGGGATTGCGATGGGCGATTCCCGCATCAGCCTCTTCCGTCGTGGCGCATTGAGGGGGGGGAGGGGGGGTGCGTGTTCCCATGAACTGCTCCAGACATACATACGATGGTCGATGGTGGGGAGAATCTGGTCCCTTCTGTGCAGACAGCCGGACTCCTTACCTGAGCCCAGGAAAAGAAAAAGCACACGTAACCCAATCCAAGGCCATTGTTCCGGACTGACATATGATGGAAAGTATCAACCGGGGTTTGAATCCTGGAACCCACGACAAACCTCTCAGCACAGGCTTGAGACAATCACTCTCAAGTCAGTCTCTCCACCGCCAGTTCTCCGCCAGTCTACTACTGTGGCGGCTGCTTTGCCCTAAGCCGATTGCAGTGAATGCGTCTGGGCTTGCCCTCCCAAGTCAGACGCCGGTCATTCAAGATCCTGCTGGCCTCGGAAATAAGTACGTACTAAGGCTACCTACTCTAACTACTAATTCCTTTTGACACGTCAGCAGCAGGCAACTTATACTCGGGTGGGGACGCGTAAGAATAGGAATTGTGCGGCAGGCAACAGGCGTGGAGACACCTGCAGGCTTGTTCAACATCGTATGCACGCGCCAGGAAGCAAGCAGAACGCTCAACCCGTAAGGGATCTGTCATTTGTCAATTGCAGGGCTGTCGCGATCGGCGGGTTTCATTTCTTTTCCCCGTCCGGAACGATGGCCCGCGCCGACGATCCGGCCCAGCGCTGCTAACCGCTCGACACAGACGCTGTGTCAGATGAAAAGATCCGTACTCCGTACTTTTGCGGAGATTCATAGACGAAGACCCCCCTGTCTGCTAGTCCCAATGGAGCGAATGTGGCCTAATCGGTTGTCTTTCCACCCCCTGTTTAGAACTGTGGTCCCAAACTTGGGGATATGCGGTCAGGAATTTTCGCTCCAGATTCACTGTTTAGAGAAACGCCACTGTCCATCACTGAGGTGAGTGATGTCAAAGGAGTCCATCTCGTCAAGAGATGGAGAGCAGGAGGGAGACGTCGGCGAGCCAGGGTTATCCCAGCAAGGCGACTTGCAGTCCCTTGACGCTGCATGATCAACAGACCGAACTCCATCACAAAACGAAAGTCAATGCGCGAGGTAAAGTCGCGGCTCGCTACATAAAGGCATGTCACTCGGCCGGAGCTATTTTGGAAGCGGAGCATTCTTTCGTTCCCTTTCGCTCGTTGCTTTGTATTGCGTTCGGATATGGCCGAGACGCAGGGCCCCGTCGTGGCGGGCGTGGCCATCGCCTTTGCTGTACTCACCTTCACTGTTTTAGGTCTACGGTTATTTGCCCGGGTCTTCGTGCTGAAGCGCCTGGGATTGGACGATTGTGAGTGGGCTTTGAGCTGAGCAAAGGGTGTGGATGTGATTGACTGATGAGTACCTGGTTAGACTTGATCGTCGTGGCTTGTGTAGGTTGACCGGCATTTGTTGATCGATTTTGGAGCTGATCGAGTAGTTGCTTTCAGGGGCTTTCACAGCGGTGACCGTTGTTGGTATGTCTCTATCATCACACGTTGAGCAGCATCGACCCGACTAACCACCATCAGCCGTCCAACATGGCATGGGCCAACATATCGACGAGGTCAATCCCGAGGGCCTCATCACCTACGCCTTTGTACGTTCTCTGCCATCCATCGTGACATTTCTCTCCTCATCGTTTACCTATGCTGCAGGTTGTGTGGCTCAGTTCGATGTTCTACCTCGCCTGTCTGGGCTTCATCAAGACCTCCGTCTGCTACTTCTACACTCGACTGGGCGACAAAACCTTGACACGACGGTCGCTAGTGATGATGTGCGTGGTGGGATGTCAAGCGATGGCATTCGTCCTGACGGCAGCCTTCCAATGCAATCCGATTCCCAAGGCGTGGGATGCCAGTCTATCCGGTCACTGCGTCTCCATCAACGTCTTCTACCTCGCCAACGCGGCCTTGAACATTTTCACCGACTTGCTGACCTACACGCTCCCTATCCGGGTCATTCTGCACCTCCACATGCCCCATAAACAGAAATGTGCATTAGGTGCCATCCTCTGCCTCGGCCTTTTGTACGTCACTCCCCTACATACCACCCCCAGCTGCCCCAACCACCACCCAACGATCTAATCCCTCCCCAGCGCCTGCGTCTCCTCCATCATCCGCATCACCTACATCCCCGCAATGCTCACCTCTGCCGACTCGACCTACGCCATCAGCGGCGCCATGTACTGGTCTGCGATCGAGATCAACGTCGGCATCCTCGCCGCCTCCATTCCTTCCTTCAAAGCGATCGCCTCGCGCTTCCTGCCGCGCTGGATCGGCGAATACTCCTCCAACAAAGGCTACAGCTACGGCGGATGGTCGAGCGGCAACAACCACGGGGCGAAGCGGTACGGGTCGGGCTTCTCCAAGCCACGGGCGCCCGAGTTCGGGATGAGTGTGCTGCAGAGCTGCGCCGATACTGGCAGTGAGGATCGCATCGTCGTCCCCGCGGGGAGAATCATGGCCCAGACGGAGATCGAGACGAATGTCGAGGTTAGTCCAGTGTATCTTCGCTCGTCGGCTTCGTGTGAGCTGCCGCGGTGAGGCGCGGGTGGGGGGCCTTTTTCTTTTGTTCGTGATGTATGGTTTACTAGAGCTACATGTACGGCTAAGCTAGATGTCATTCCTTTCCTTCCAATTGTTGAGACATGAGTCTATCCCTCGGGTCAGTTATAGCATCGCATCTAGGTAATGGGAGAAATACTACATACACCCTTCACCCTACCGGTACTCTGTCCTGTGGCCTGGACTCGCCACACCAGCAACCATACCCCTTGCAAATCTGGACCTCTCTCACTCTGATACATCCCTCTTGGAACGGAACTTGCCCGATCAGACAGGTCAAGGACCTTGAACCCAAGCCCCCACATTGTACGGATGCCGCTCGGACGTTGGGAACGGGGACTTTTGGATACATCACCTCTGCCGGGTTGCGCGCGGGCCGCGGGTCAGATTCGGGCCTCCACCCTGGAAATGACGTGCGTCCGACTATCTGATACCCGGTGGATCGAGACGGCAAGTCGTTGGGACAAGCCATCAGAAAAGTCTATCGGTGGCCCGATCACCAAATGCCGAAGCATATGCCATTGATTATTGCTCGGAGATCGCCATCCGGACACTCAGGTGGAGAAAAAGGGTGGATCTAGGGCATCGATGCCGAGCAAGGGGCATACACTCTCCCTATGGGGTTGTTCGGCGATAAGTCAATGAAAGATTTCCCTCCTGAATCTATGGCCGCTGACTTTGACGCATCCGCATCCTTGGGATTGAGACTTGTGCCCCTTTACCGGCAGCGGCTGAGAGAGTCGATTTGATTCATTGCTTGATCTTCTATGACGATCGGAATTGGAGATGGTCAAGATGTAATACCTACAACCAACATCTGCTCCCCATCTGATCTGTCACAATTCCGCACAGTACACCTTTGTTGCCGGTGAATCTAGCGACTGGTCTCTTGTTGATGTGTGTAAAGCGTGAGACAACGACAGAGATCATTATCCTAGGCGTGAGGATTGCGAGACTTGTAGTGATTATACATGGTAGCAGTATAAGATATCGGCGAGTTCTAGCTATAATAAGAATAAATTGGATACTAGATAGAGGTGAATACTTTATATAGATTTCTAATATTATAGTATCGATTTTATATGATATAGCTTGCTTACTTTGAGTTATCACTAAATTAATTTATATAGGATATTATTTGCTATAATACCGAAAACCCCTTAAAAGACAATACACGACGTCATTCTTATATCAAAAGAGAATAAATATGTTGTCTGAACGGATATCATCTGTGCTGATGTCCAATTGGGAAATGATATCTGTCGGGCAAGTTCGGCATGCACACCGAGAGCGATTACTGCGATTGGAGACGGATACCTGTTTTGATCCTCACATATAACAGGACAGTGGGGACATTAGAATAGTTGACTACACATTTCAGGTTGCTGCTTCTCTTCTAACAGAGGCTCTCACCGCACCCGGTGCCAAAGGCGAAAACTTCCAAGGAAATCGATGGTTAGCAGACTTCGGAATTGATACACTTCGTTCCTGCATCACCTACGATGGGTTTCGAAAAAGGAGGTCAAACCGAGTGAGTTCTAGCGCTTGACGTTCAGGTGATAATCCAGTACATTAATGAACTGTAAAGGATACTGCCAGCTTGAAGCACCGGATTCGTAGCTACTCTTACCTCAAAGCAGTGGCGGAGCGCACAACCTTTGACAGGTGCCTTATGTATAATCCCCGCTCCCTATTCACTGATATAGCGAAGATACTACATCTGGGCACTCTTCCTGGAGAGTGGCGAAGCCGCCGTGCTATCTGGTACGGGATTTGTGGCTATGGAATATGATACAAGGCGTCAGCAGAAAGCCAGGCAATCCTGTGCATAGCATGGACACCGTTGCATCAAAAGAATACTGCAGGAGGTGGCGGCGTCGATCGAAGAGAATTCTCCAGAATATAGGCGCAAACTCGACTCTGGGCAGGAAGTAGTTCCCCAGATAGCCTGGAATCCACCACAACAACGCTCTCATCAGTGGAGGTAGAAGGCGATGATAGGGTATGGGTAGGAGTATTGGTTGAATGGGGATAACTCTGATGCGTCTGGTTCTGCAGGTTGACAGCCTCGTCTGTGTGGTGATATTGTCATGCTTTAGATCTATTTGGTGGGGGGTATATTTGCTGTGTTTTTAAGGTGAGATGGAGATGCTTAGCTCCGATCAGAGCAGGATCCATGGGTTTAGCACAGTTGATTTGGTTCTTTTCTAGTATGTGCAGCTATAGGTATATATGTGGTGTGGTACCTGATATGTTCAATCGGTCAAGGCGTGGAACCACGATTAGACAATCTGATACATCGTGGTCTGCGGCACCCCGTTCTCCTCTCCACTCTTCAGCATCAACTCAATCTAAAGCCCAGTCAGTCAGTATAACATCCCTACTAGTTCTACAACAAGAACATACCACTTCCAGATCCGCCAATGCTTCCTCCGGCCGCTGTTCTGGCTGGAACTCCCCCGACACCAACGCCGCTCCCCATGCACGAATCTCCTTCACCACCGCCAGTTTCTCCGACGGCCGTTTCGCCTCCATCTCCTGCTCGTCCTCCACAGTCACCACCACCACATCCTCGTTAACCCGCACGTGGCCTTTCTCCCCAACCACCGTCCACCCACTTTCCGTCAAACTCGAGCACATAGAAAACTGAAAAGTCCCCTGCGCCCCGGACTCAGTCCGCAGCACCGCGTCCACCGTGTCCACCGGCGGCAGCGCATCCGCAAACCGGCCCACCAGCGCACTCACCTGTGTGATGCGATCGCTCTCTCTGGCACCCAGCAGATACCGCATCGCCGCTACATGGTGGACCCCGACGTCTAACACTGCTCCGCCTTGGTGATCGGGTTGTTGACGCCAGGCTCGTTCTGTAAACCAGAGCAATAGTTAGCTAAATCCGCTACTCAATGCAAACAACATATCAGATGAAGCAGTATAGACCCACCAAAGAAAGGCCAGAACATAAACTTTCCCGGCCGACAATCCAAGTACACCTGCACCCGGAACTGGCGGATGCGACCGAGCCGATGCAGCTGGGCACGCGCGTGGCGGAGAGTGTCGAAGTGACGGTAGTTCTCGGCCACGGACCATGTGGCCTTACCGGCAGGTAGGATGGTGGTGTGGTACCAGTCTAGCAGGGCGGTCGCTTCAGCAAGGTCCTTTGCAATGGGTTTCTCGGAGAGGACGTGTTTGCCGGCTGAAAGGGCGGCACGGACGTATTGGGCTTGATGGGTGATGGGAAGGCTTCAAGGGTTAGTTAGGCTTTTTTGCTGAGGTTCCTGATGGCACAGGAGGGTACGGCATACGCGATTATCACAGCCTGGATGTCCTCTCGCGCGAGCAGCTGGTCGAGACCTTGATCCGCATCTTCGGCGTAGCAGTCCAAATTTTGGTCTGCAGCGATACTGGAGGCGGATTTCACCGAGCGAGAGTAGACGGCTTTCAGCTCAAGGTCAGGCGTGGCTTGGACTCCTGGCTGCGAGATGGTCAGTTATTGGAGTTGGCTGATGGGTGCTGCCTACCAGGTGGTAGTCCTTGACGAAGAGGCCTAACCAGATTTCATTAGAGCTATTTGATCAGAGCTAGGTGAAACTTACCTGCGCCGATGAAGGCAACTCCAATGGTCATTGTGTGGTGCTATTTCCTGAGGCGATTGCAGCGAGTACGGTTGAAGAGAAAACACCTCTATGGTTTCACTACTGGGAATTTATGTTCGTGCGAGCGGAGGTAAAGTGCCCGCATCAACGTCAGGAATTGCTTTATCGACCGGTTTCTGCGCCGCTTGGTGGATGTTGGGGTGGGTATCGTGTGTGATTGCCAGGATGGAGATGCACGATGGCGTAAGATTGATTTAGTGCCATAAACCAAGTCGAATGATGCTAGCTGCAGCCTCCGCACTAAAATCAGCTCATATCGAAGATGGTGCGAGCGCATCATAGACATCTTCTCGTGTCACCTGCAACTCAAGATGCTGCAGAGTCGACTTGGGGAAGCAGAGAATATGCAACATAATCTCGGTTATGCTTGATCGGTCTCAGATTCTCTCCTCCCCGGGTTCCAGGAAGTTGGCCTTCAAGGTCAGAGATCACAACCGTCTGATAAAGCTTAACGCTGTTTCAAAGCCTGTTATTTCCGATTGCGAGCAAGTCAAATCCGCATCGCATTGTTTCTTCACAATATAAGGAAGATGAGACAGTCATCGCACTTACGAGTCGGGCATGTCTCATGAATCCCGCCCATTATGGCACCACCCTCCAAAAGGCTGTCTGAATATCTAGTCTCACCTCCAAGATGTGAAACACATCATGGTCCTTCCAGGATACATATCTAAACTTGATCGGCTACGCGCGGGTACCATCTCGAGAGGGAAGGCATGTCGCGGGGTCTCGCATTCCTCTTCATTCCTCCCCCCCCCCCTACGCGGACAAAGACCTCTGCAAAGTAGCTGAGTTGAGCAGCAACCACTTGCGGCTGGTGAGCATCACCCCGCATCCGATCGGATGCTACGCTCACGTCGTGTTCGACTGTACCTGCGGGAATGCAGCAGGCCAAATCATGGTCAGCATCGCCACACAGCGCTGTTGCACCTGATTCATGGACACGTCTAGGTTGAAGTGTAGGATCAAGCGCTTCTATGTAAACGGGCAGATGAGCTCAGAGGAATAACCTTCGTGGGACAACGTGACGACTTCACGGGAAGTAAAGGTAACTGTGTGAGCGTGTTTCTCAGACGAAACATCCCTAGACATCAGATGTAGCGGAGTCAACAGCCAATCAATTCAGTTGCAGAAACATCATCGATTGAGAACTTGAGTTGATCTGGGTTTCTAGAGCGAAAGATTGTGAGCAAGCGTCGTTCACAATTGTCGACACAGTTGGACGGAGATATTAATTGTTTGTAGACTCGTGGAATCATCGGGAAGAATGGAAGGTTGTATCGACGTAGTCCTAGCTTGATCTTGTGAAGAATAAGAGTTCTCCTGCATGATCTGCAGGTGTTGTTGATGCAGAGAAAGCCGGAGAAATAAAGAGATGGCGATGGATGCCTGAGGAAACCCAGTGTCCGGCCGGGAAACTGATGAGTCAGCTGCCACAAAGAGCGGGAGTCACGTGGCGTGACTCCACGGAGCGGAAATTCCTGACCAATAAGTGTGCAGCGATGGCAGCCCGTGGCTTCTTCCAATTTTCAATCCAAAGGTTCTCTCCTCCACATTCCGTCCATAGCGTCATCACCATTACATGATGGGGATTGGGCTGTTTTTCTTCGCCTTCAACTCTTCTGCACTATCTTCCCACTCCACCATGCTTGTTCTTTCCACTACCCTTGCATTTCACTAACAATGGCAGACTTTACGAGCTCTTCATACCGGGATTTCACTGATCCTGATCCCAGGGAGGCAAACATCCTTTCCCAACATCTCGACCCACAGTTCACCGCCTCATTACAGGATGAACTCACTCCCCCAGACGCCCCTGACGAGCACAACTCCGGCGAGTCTGGCCCCGAGCCCCAGTCTTCCTTGAGACTCCAAGGTGGAGATATCCACCGAGACCTGTACCGCATCGACGCCCGCTCCAAACAGGCCCGCCTCGACAAACGCTCCCTGACCTTCTCCCACCTCCCCCGCCAGAACGACGACGCCGTCGAGGAGAGCGTCGCTGCGCTCGAACCGGGCAGCTTCCGACGCCACTTCCTGCAAAATAAATATGGGCGACTGAATGGACGCGGGGTCACGGCGTCGTTTCTCGATTTCCTGGACAATTATGGCAATTTCGCCGGCGAGGATTTGGTTGATACAGACGAGGAGGAGTCAGCGATTGCGGAGGAGGAAGAAGAAGAAAGGGAGGCACATGAGCGGAGCCCCCTGCTGCGACGTCGAAAGAGTGCGCGGGCCCGACCTGGGGATGCCTCAAATGTAAAGACCTTCTTCACGCTGCTCAAGGCGTTCGTGGGAACGGGCATTATCTTTTTGCCCAAGGCCTTTCGCAATGGAGGGATATTGTTCTCGTCGATCACCCTTGTTACGGTCTCGTTGATCAGTACCCTATGCTTTCATCTGCTGCTGGAGTGTCGGAGACGGTATGGCGGAGGTTATGGTGATATTGGGGAGCAGATTGCGGGTCCTCGCGCGCGGTCGCTGATTCTCTCATCGATCGCCATCTCGCAGTTTGGGTTCGTGTGCGCGTGTATCATCTTCACTGCGGAGAACGTGCATTCCTTCATGACCGCGGTGAGCTCCGCGCCACCTGAGGCGCTGACCACGGGGGCTCTGATTGGATTGCAGCTGGTGGTGTTGGTCCCATTGGCCTTGATCCGCAACATCTCCAAACTGGGCCCCGTGGCGTTGCTTTCGGATGTGTTCATCTTGATGGGACTGGGTTACATCTACTGCTACGACATTGCCAGTCTGGCCTCGCGTGGGCTGGCCTCGACGGTGGAACTGTTCAACCGCCAATCGTTTACCCTCACCATTGGCTCCTGCATCTTCACCTTCGAGGGTATCGGCCTTATCCTCCCAATCCAGTCGTCCATGAAGCATCCCGAGAACTTTGATCGACTTCTTTACATCGTCATGGGCATCATTACCGTTCTCTTCACGGCCGTCGGTGCGCTCTCGTACGCCACCTTCGGCGCGGACACGCAAACGGAGATCATCAGCAACCTGCCGCAGGGTGACCGGTTCGTCAATGCGCTGCAGCTGATCTATTCGATGGCCATCCTCATCAGCACTCCCATCCAGCTGTTCCCGGCCGTGCGGATCCTGGAAGGCAAGCTCTTCGGCCAGGGATCCGGCAAGCGGGACCCGATGATCAAGTGGAAGAAGAACGTTTTGCGGACTCTAGCTGTGCTGGGATGTGGCGTGTTGTCGGCGGTGGGCGCGGGCGACCTGGACAAGTTCGTTTCCTTGATTGGATCGTTCGCCTGTGTGCCGCTGGTGTACATCTACCCGGCCTATCTGCACTACAAGGGAGTGGCGCAGTCGTCGTGGGCGAAGCGTGGCGACATCGCAATGGTGGTGCTCGGGTTCGGGTTCATGGTGTACACCACGTCTGCGACGGTCTCGGTCTGGTTGGGGAGTTAGCTGTTGCTCAGCTTGCACTGTCGATGGCTAGTACCTGTGGGCGAGATATGTCGTGTGTCTTATGTCATTGCTGGTGCTTTTGATGATTAACGTGTTCGGATTGCATGCTGCATGTTCATGATTTACGCCGTTGTTATTGTGTGCCTGGGATCAGCATGTTTGGAGTGTGGTGGTCGCATGCTAATGATTTAGGTGTTTGAGGTCACTAATCAATACAGGATAGATATGTCCGAGAAACCGACCGACTCATGGTCGGGTCTGTCGACTCATCGAAAAGACAAGAGGGTGTGGGTGGTCTTGCTTGCTGTTTTGGTATCTAGCTCAATGCATGATGCGTACTGGTCTTGTGCTGTCTGTTGTATGTGTAGTTGGACTAAGCCTTGCGCCCAGACTGCGTGCTCGACAGAACCCTACGAACGACTGACTCTCCACAGAACCACTGCCGATCCACAGCCTTTATTCAATAATATAGTAAAGTATAGTATAGTATAGTATAGTATAGAAGTGACCCAACACCTCCATCTCTTTTTTTCTTCATCCCCGCCCCCTGACCATCACTTCTCAGAAAGAACCCATCAGGGACAGCCACTGTCAGGATAGTTGCAGCTATCGCCACTACCGCCGGTGATGCTGACGCCCTCGAAGACAAAGTTCTCACAGCTGCCATCCCCGCAGAGAATGTAGTAATCCTGGCCATCGGTCATGGTGCCCGTGACGTCGACGAAGGTGACATTCTCAATCATCACCCCATTGGTAGGGTCCCCGGTGGGCCCGCCATTGAGGTAGTCCTGCTGGACATCAATCCCGTAGTCGGAGATGCCACTGAGGGTGATGTTCTCGTAGCGGATATTGTACACGGCGCCCGTCTCGCCGGAGTTCGTCTTGATGCGACATCCGTTCTCCGAGTTGACGACCTGCGAGTTGCTGAAGGTGACCCCGTCGACGGTGTTGTCGCTCTTGCCGCCGATCGAGCCGATGCTCAGCCCGTGTCCGCCGTAGCAGTACAGGTTGTCGACGAGGATGTTGGTGCCCGAGGTGACGGCCACGCAGTCGTCCTGGTTGTGCACCCAGCTGTCGGTGAGGGTCAGGTCGGTGCTCTCCTTGATGTCGAACCCGTCGCTGTTGTGCGCCGCCGGGTCGTCGCCGCTCAGGCTGTTCGGCGCGTCGCCGGCGGTGTTGTTGAGCGTGATCCCCGTCAGCGTCAGCCCCTCGCTGGATTCGATGTCGAAGCAGTGCACCGGCCAGTTCTGGATGTAGAGGTTGCTGATCGTGCTGTTGTAGATCTTCTTGAGGACGATGAAGTGGTCCGGTCTAGTCGATGCGATGCTGGTTAGACAAATAATTCAATTTGCTAGGGCTTGGGGAGGAACAAGAACTCACTTGTCTTGACCACCGTTGGAGCCCTCGCCGTCCCAGTAGGCTTCACCGTTACCGTCGATGATGTGGCCCTCGGCCCCGGTGATGGTCAGGTCGGTACCGGAAATCACAATGGGGTCGAAGTCCGAGTCGTAGGTGTCGCCGAAGGTCTGGTGTTGTTAGTTTGGTGGGTTTCGCTACCTTGTCATAGGGAGAGGGTAGCGCACGGTTTCACCAGCAAAGATCACGGCAGCACCGGTCTGCAGACCGGTCAGGTCGATCGTGCTGGACGCCGGGGCGCTGACGCCCGACAGCAGGATGTTGGAGCACGAGGCCACCGCTGACGAGATCGAGGCGTACTCGGTCACCGTGCAGGTGGTGCCGCCGTTGCCGACGGCTGTAGTGGCGACGGCGACTTCGGTAGTGACGGGGGCCAGCGTGGTGGAGGCGGCCTGGCTGGTCGAGGCGGCCTTGGAGGAGGTCTGCAGGGTGGTCGGGGTCGCAGTGGAGGTGGCAACCACGGGGGCGGCGGTGCTCTTGCATGTTGTTAGTTGTGTGTCTGATGCGACAGTGAATAGTGAGAGTCAGAAAGTCATACCACGCTGGAGGTGGCCGCGGCAGCACCGGTGACAGGGCCCAGACAGCTGCAGGCGCTGGACAGGTGCTTGATCTTGGAGTCGCACGCGGACAGGAAGACGTCAGGCACAGCCGTCGTCTCGGTCACTGCGCTGGCCGTGAATGTCGCACAGAAACTGGCCGCAGCGACAGAGGAAACAGAGTAGATGGAGGCACACGCATGGCCCTCGGGGCTGTCACAGCCCAGGACCAGAGGCGCCAAGGCCAGAAGAAGCGCGCTGCGCTGCATGGTGAATGAATGAATGAATGAACGACTAAAGAGTGAAAAGACAGTAAAGAAAGACTGGGTTGCTAAAGACACGAACAGGTTTGGCGTCGACACCGCATCTTAAGTCTCGCTGCCAGCTTCCTGACAGCCGACAAATCCGGATCGTTTAGCGCTGTCTGTGCTGGAGACCAGGACTGGTGGTTTCAGGATTCTCCGTGCCAAGAGGCTGCGATGGAGAAATTCCGCAACAGGCGTTAGCCAAGTTGGCGAAGCTGTGGTCGGCCCTCGGCTGCCATTGAAGAAGGGGAGGGCGATGGGGTGGTGTATGCACGGACGTTGATGGCGGGGGGGAGGGGGGGGGGAGTCTCTTCGAGTCAGGGCACGGCGGCCATTGGTGCGGTTGGTATTAGCCGAGCTCGAGACGAAATCATGGCGGCAGGAATGCCCCTAGTCGCGTTTCATCTTGATGCTCGCTGGGTGTTTATACGAAAACCCCTTCGGTAGTTGAGGGGAGGTGGAATTGCCCGACGAGGCCAAGATTTCCGCCGCGTCATCCACTGCTCCAGGAACAGTCCAGCCCACGAGTCACGAATTGAGCTCAAGCCTCTGTGATTCCTCGACTCAGGCTGTTTTCTGTTCACGAGGCGCAAGTCCATTCAATCAGTGATTGTGCGGGCCGGATGATTTAGCCGAGAGTCGAACCGAGATTTGTGTAGTCATGGAGGCAAGCATCCAGGAACGCAACGGCAGGAGGAACTTTGAATGAGGTAAAATTCATCTACTTGAGACGGTAATACAAACTGACCAACGGTACCTGCACATCATTCCTACCCCCAGATTTAATTTCGACCCCCGGCAGTTGAGTTCATTGGTCGCGAACCCTTCTCCCTCCAAGGAAATTAAGCATGGCCTGTGTGGCTGTGTGGGCGCCAAGTGGGCCCCGACGCTTTTATCTCGGATTTGGAACACCGCCCAGTCGGAAGTCGGGGGAAGACATGGTCGTATACCGACTATAAATATATCTGGACAGGGACCGGGTGAAGTTGGGCCCAGTTCGACTGATAGGATGATCCTAGGGGTGAAAAGAAGTAGTAGGGGAACCGGGACTGTGGCCGACAGTTGACTCCTTGTTAATGCCTGGCGGAAAGCACTTGTCATTAACTTAGGGCATGCGACGTCAGATGCCCCAGTCCAGCGCAGCAATCATCCTCCCACATCCAGTTTCAAGGATGTCAAAGGACGATTCGAGAGTCTTGTGCAACTCGACTGACAATGTGATTAACTGCGTCGGGAGTGACGGGTGACACGAGGTCTTGTTTGCCCGACCCAGCATTGTGTCAACCATGACACTCAGCAAGAATATACTCTTCCTCTGACCATGCACCGTGAACTCTCGCAACATGAGCTTCATTACACGCCAAGCAGTTTCTGCTCGACACTACTGCCTGATTCGCAAGATTCGCTCCAGCACACTCGGACCTACCCCTTAACAGCATCCAACCAGCACAGACTTCGCCCGTGATTTCCGAGGTTCTCTTGGCTAGATACAATCTCCTATGATGATATCATGTGTTCAGCTTCAAATCCCGCCAGTACAACCGCTTCTCAAGGCGAAAGCGGCTGCTTTGAGTTTCTTTCTCAAATAAAGAGGGTCAATCTATACCGTAATCTTAGATGATCGGTAGGGCGTATTCTTCTCCCGGTTTCTCAAATCTTGATAATCTTTTGGGCATCCTCTTGGACTACTCTCTCTCGTACCACCTATCCTTGCAATCCGAACAGAGCGAGTTACAACAATTCTTTCCTTTGCTTTGTATGGAAGATATAATACAGTTTGTGGCGAATACCACCAAGTGTTGCAAGAGTCCTTGCACGGACTTTTATACTACAGCTTCAAATCGAAGCGATTGATTGCTTTTCTTACTGTATAATGCATATAATCTGACGGGGGTCTTCTCTCCATATAATCTTAGAGAGATTGGCTGAGATGCAATCACGTTAGGACGATCCTGTATTCAAACACACAGCTCGATGAATAGCTGGTTCGTGCAGATATGTCTACTTGAACACTAGTACGTGAGGTAATTTACTACCATGGGCTTGAAAGCCTGCAGCGATTGAGTGCAAATTCATTGCTGCCATTATTGGAAAGGGGATGTGGATAGGGAGGATGAAGCATCCAACTAATGATATGGCTTAATCGGATTGTCTAGCAGCTGCAACGACCAACGCAAGCTTCTCAAGCCTCTCCAAAAACAGAACCAATGACCCTGGCGACCCGATCGACAATCACCTCCACCTCGGCAGCAGTAATGTTATATGCAGGCGCCACCAAGACCAGATCACCCTCGATCCCGTCGGCATTCCCGCTGCTGGGAAGTAAAGAGATACAATGCTCCGGTTGCAGGCCCGTCAAATGCACCGTCTGAGCTATGTGTTCAGCCGCGGGGAAAGGTGTCTTCGTCTCTTTGTCTTTGACGAACTCAATCTATGGCTTATCAGCACGTATCACTTCCTCAATGACCCCCCCATGCCTGGACTTACCCCCCAGAACAGACCCCGACCACGGACATCGCCCACATTGGGATGACCCCCCACGCGTTCCTTCAGCAGTCGCCCCAGGTAATCCCCTTGAATCCTGACATTTTCCAGGAGATGATTCTCTTGGATCAGACTCTGCACGGAATAGGCTACCGCACAGGCCATGGGATGTCCTGCATACGTCTGGCTGTGCACAAACCCACCAGAACCCTGTGTCAGCGCATCCACCACCTTCTTCCCGATGAGCAAAGCCCCGATGGGCGCATAGCCCGCCCCCAGTCCCTTCGCCACGGTCTGCAGGTCGGGGATGACGCCCTCCTGCTCCCATGCATGAAGGGTCCCCGAGCGGCCCATGCCCGACATGACCTCGTCCAGGATCAAGAGGGCACCATGACGGTCGCATACGGCCTTCATCGCGGGGAAGTATCCGGGCACGGCAGGGACACAACCCAGGGTCTGTCCCCCATTAGCGCTGGTGGCCCATTTTTGGGTGCAGCGAGAATGACACTCACCGCACCAGCCATTGTCTCTGCGACAAAAGCACAGACTGTCCCCGGTCCGACCGCTTGGAATTCGGCCTCGAGCTCATCCGCCAAGCGCCGCACGTAGCTGTCGTCGCTTTCGTCGAGGTACTTGCCGCGGTACGGGTAGCAGGGCGAGACATGCGAAACATTCTTCGCCAGAATCTCCTCATACACTGCCCGGCGGGTGAGATGGTGTCCCGTCGCGAGAGCTCCCAACGTGTTGCCGTGGTAGGACTGCTTGCGCGCGATGAACCGAGTGCGCTGGGGCTCCCCTCGCTCCACGAAGTACTGCCGCGCGAGTTTGAGGGCGGCCTCGACGGCTTCCGAACCTGCATTGTCTCAGCCTACGTTTGACGTGTGGGAGGGGACCGACACAACCGGAGCTCAGGATGAAGGTCTTGGTCATCTCGCCGTGGGTCGACTCAGTCAGAAATGCGGCGATGCGCTCGGCCGCGGGCGTGGTAAAGAATGGTGCGTAGCAATAGGCCACATCGTTGAATTGCTGGATGATTGCGTTCTTGATGGCGGGGTGGTTGTGGCCGAGGGCCGCAACTGCAGCACCGCCGGTGGCGTCGAAGATCTCCCGGCCATCGTCAGTGGTGAGGTAGTGGCCATGACTCGCGACGATCTGGGACGGGGGCACGTTGATCTTTGGGTAGAGGATTGATGAGGGTTTGGTTGCCGGGGATGCTGCAGCGGTGGTGAAGGAGGCATGGGGGCGCAGAACAGTCAGGGGATGGAGGAGCTTGTTGGGCAGAGTTCGAGCCTGAGCACCGATCATGGCTGGTTGATTTGCAGGAATTCACTTTTGCTCACAATGGAGAGCTCTGTGAGGGGTACAAGGATACCTTAAATAAATATAGCCAAGGGGTTAAGTTCGGTGCAAAGGACAAATGAGAGGCTGGCACCCGGGGGGGGGGTTGCACTGCATCTCAACTCCGACGGGCGATAACAAGAGCCCACTCATTGGGGAAGTGATTACTGTATTTACTAATAGTGGTATCAGGCTACTCGTAGCGAGCCCAAGAGTGATAAGTACGACTAGTCCTGCAGGAAGGAGCACAGGCTGGAAGTTGCCCCCGATATATCTTTTGATAGTATAGTAGCCTGTGGTGCATGCTCCTTCTCATTATCTTATCACCGATAAGGATATCAGCTCCCCTCCCTCTCATGAACTAAAGTGGTTAATCACCAAGAACCAAGGGAAGAACTTAGTAATACTGTAGGTATTGGAGACAGCATGATTGCTCCACTTCTCCAGACTCACTCCCCATTGTTCCTTCAATTAGTACTGCTGCAGTGGGCCATACACCTGACAAGCATCAGCATTCCCCAACCCTAACGTTGGGCATTTAACAATCCTAATCCCCTCTTGTAAGTAACCCATTCGCATCTCCCCCCGCCAAGATTTCAACCCCACCAGATCGCATTCTGAGCTCCGTGGCACAACTTGAAGTGGAAACAAGACATCACGACCACAGCCCCGCAAACAACTTCTCTGCCACGATGGAGCAGGACGAGGAATACTTCAATCTTGGAACCTACCATCGTCCAATCACCAGCGCCTCTACCACCAGCCAAACATGGTTCAACCGCGGGCTCATCTGGATGTACGCCTTCAACCACGAGGAATCCGTCCGGTGCTTTGAACGGGCCATCGCCGCCGACGAGAGCTGCGCCATGGCCTACTGGGGCCTCGCCTACGCCATTGGAGCCAACTACAACAAGCCCTGGAGCTTTTTCGATGAGTTGGATCTGGCCACCGTCGTCCGTCGCGGCCACGCTGCAGCCAAGCAAGCGCAAGCATACGCGGCGCAGGTCTCCCCCGTGGAAGCCGCCCTCATCCACGCGATCCAAGCCCGATATCCGGACGAGGCACCCCTCAAGCCCTTTTCCGCGTGGAACGAGGACTTCGCCAGCGCCATGGAAAGCGTCTACCACGCCTTTCCGGACGACCTGGACGTCATCACCACCTACGCGGACGCGCTGATGAACCTCCACCCTTGGGACCTCTGGGACATCCACACCGGCCAACCGCGCGAGGGCGCCCGCACCCTCGACATCCAAGCCCTACTCGACCACAGCCTCACCCTCCCCTCCGCCACGCGCCATCCCGGCCTTCTCCACCTCTACATCCACCTGATGGAGATGTCCCCCGACCCAGCGGCCGCCCTGCCCGTCGCCGAGCACCTGCGCGGCCTCGTCCCAGACGGCGGACACCTGCACCACATGCCGACGCACCTCGACGTGCTCTGCGGCCGGTACGCCGAGGCGATCACCTGGAACACGGCCGCCATCGCCGCCGACGAGCGCTACCTCGGCCGCGCCGGCCCGCGCAACTTCTACACCCTCTACCGCGCGCACAACCTCCACTTCCGCATCTACGCCGCCATGTTCGCCGGCCGCTGGGAGGTCAGTCGCACCAGCGCCGCGCAACTCGAAGCCTCCATCCCCGAGGAGCTGCTGCGCCTGCGCTCCCCGCCCATGGCCGACTGGCTCGAAGCGTTTCTCTCGGTGAAACTCCACGTCTGGATCCGCTTCGGCCGCTGGACCGAGATCCTCGCCTGCGAGACCCCCACCGACCCCACCCTCTACTCCATGACCACCGCCATCACCCACTACGCCAAAGGCATCGCCCACGCCGCCCGGAGAGACCCGGCAAGCGCCCGCGTCCACCGCGCCCGCTTCCACGCCGCCGTCGCGCGCGTCCAGCCCACCCGCACCCTCTTCAACAACACCTGCACCGACCTCCTCGCCATCGCCGCCGCCATGCTGGACGGGGAAATTGCCTACCGCGAGGGAGACGTCGACGCTGCATTCCACTGGCTGGAGATCGCCATCCAGCGGGAAGATCGGCTCCCCTACGATGAACCGTGGGGCTGGATGCAGCCCACCCGACACGCGTACGGGGCGCTGCTGATGGAGCAGGGCCGCCTGGAAGACGCGCTGGAGGTGTACCGGGCCGATCTAGGGATGAGTGACACCCTCCCCCGCGCGCTGAGACATCCCGATAACGTCTGGGCCTTGCATGGGGTGCATGAGTGTTTGGAGCGCTTGGGGAGGGTGGAGGAGGCGAGACGCGTGGAGGGGAGGTTGCAGGTGGCGCTGCAGGGGGCGGATGTGCCGGTGCGGGCGTCGTGTTTGTGTAGGTTGGAGGTCATGCCCGAAGAGGAGGATTAGAATGGGAGTGAAGATGTACATACATAGATTCGTAGGGTGGCTGTGGGTACGGCTTCTTCTCACCAGATTCCCGCCAACGGACAGTACAGTCAGTCCTATACAGTGAGGAAATAGAAGCGCAGATTCTACGACTGTTCCAGACGCTCCAGGTGCCTGTTCATTTTGAGCTCGACACCACCCGCTGCATGCCTCTCCAACCTCCCTGGTGACGGACAAGCAATTGTCCCATGCCCAACGAGCCAGGACGACCAGATTTGGCGTTGAAGCATGGCACGCGCACAGGGCTTACTGCCTACTGCTTACTGCCTACTGCTTACTGTACCACGAACCACACAAGCACAACTACCACAGACCATAACCCGTTTGAAGGAACATCAGTCCAACTGGTATTATTATATCTCATATGATAATGCCCCAAAGGCCAACGAATGTAAAGAAGCCGAATCAAGCCGGGATCCAATCGACCGGACACAGATCACCCGTTTACTCCTCCTCGTACGGGATCTCCTCCTCAGCACCGTACTCCTCACCCATGCCCTCACCGTCCGAGATGGAGGCATCCTGGTACTGCTGGTACTCGGACATCAGGTCGTTCATGTTGCTCTCCGCCTCAGTGAACTCCATCTCGTCCATACCCTCCCCAGTGTACCAGTGCAAGAAAGCCTTGCGGCGGAACATGGCGGTGAACTGGGTGGCCACCCGGTGGAACAGCTCCTGGACCGAGGTCGAGTTACCGACGAAAGTGGCCGCCATCTTGAGGTTCTTGGGGGGCACGGAGCAGAGCGCGGTCTGCACGTTGTTGGGGATCCATTCCACAAAGTAGGCGGAGTTCTTGTTCTGGATGTTGCGGACTTGGTCCTCGACTTCCTTCATGGAAACCTTACCGCGGCTGCAGGGTGTTAGTGTTGGTCTCGGGGAAGAGGGCCCAGGGTCGGGTCAACGTACAACAAGGTCGAGCAGGTCAGGAAGCGACCGTTCTGGAAGTTGGCGTTGGTCATCATGTTCTTCGGATCGAACATCTGCTGCGTGAGCTCGGGCACAGTCACCGCACGGAAGGAGTGGGCGCCGCGGCTGGTCAAGGGGGCGAATCCGACCATGAAGAAGTGCAGACGAGGGAAGGGAATCATGTTGACGGCCAACTTGCGGAGATCCGAGTTCAGCTGACCGGGAAAGCGCAGGCTGACGGTGATACCGGACATGACGGCGGACACGAGGTGGTTGAGGTCGCCGTAGGACGGAGAGGACAGCTTCAGGGTACGCTGGCAGATGTCGTAGAGGGCGTCGTTGTCCAGACAGAAGGTCTCGTCGGCGTGCTCGACGAGCTGGTGCACGGACAGGGTCGCGTTGTAGGGCTCGACCACGGTGTCGGACACCTTGGGAGAAGGCATGACGGAGAAGGTGGCCATCATCCGGTCGGGGAACTCCTCGCGGATCTTGCTGATCAAGAGGGTACCCATACCGGAACCAGTACCACCACCCAGGGAGTGGGTGATTTGGAAACCCTGCAGGCAGTCGCAGTTCTCGGCTTCCCGACGCACCACATCCACCACCTGGTCGACCAACTCAGCACCCTCCGTGTAGTGACCCTTGGCCCAGTTGTTGCCGGCACCGGATTGACCGAAGACGTAGTTATCGGGGCGGAAGAGACCACCCATGGGGCCGGAGCGCAGAGCGTCCATGGTGCCGGGCTCCAAGTCCACCAGGACGGCACGGGGCACGTACTTGTTGCCACCGCCGGCTTCGTTGAAGTAGACGTTCATGCGCTCCAGCTGCAGGTCGGAGCTGCCCTCGTATCTAGTGTGTGTTAGACGGGGGGAGGATTATCGCGTGTCGGGTGGATCACTGACACTCCGTCGCCGTTGAGGCCATGTTCGCCGGAGATGGTCTGCCTGTTGGGGAATCAGAGATTGAAGCTTGCAGCGGGGATCCACGAGTCGTGAGACGCGAGACGCGAGACACGAGGAGAGGGTCGGCTTACCAGAAGGCAGAACCAACTTGGTTACCCTGTTGTGGAGGAGATTGTGAGCAGAGATCCTGCCGTTCCCAGACGGGTAAAACGTACACACTGGCCGGTTTGAAGGTGAACCTAGACGAGAGAGAGACAAGTGATTAGCACGAGCAACACGCGTAAAAATTTTGATTGGAATGGAGTGGGAGTAATCACAATTTCACGCATGGTGGATTGGTTGGGGAGAGATGGGTGTTTGGTGGATGAAGGGAAATTGAGGAGTGGGACTCGGTCGGGGGAGGGAAAAGGAGGGAGTGGGAGATCCGGAGGAGAATCAGAAATGAGGAGAAAAAGATTGAGGTTTGAGCGGTCAGAATTGGCACTAGTCCCGAAAAAGGCTGATTGCCTCACCCGTGAGGCACCCCTTTTATTTTCTACCTTTACTTAACTTCGTTAACTATGGATGACAGCGCAGTCAACATGGGCCCAACACAGTCTCTTCCAACTTAACTACTGTGTATGCACATCGATGAACCGCACAGCTACCCAATGGTTGGTGCCTGGTTGATGCCCGGACGAATCAGTGAATCTTTTGGTACACCTGTCAACCTGTCAAAATTGAACATTCCCTCATTCCATTCCACACTGTCTCTCTCCACAATTCTAGACCCTCCTGCTGGTTGGCCGGACCGCCTGTGACCTGACCTCCATAACACAATGGCCTCATGTTCAGTGAAGCATTATCTTGGCGCCACATGTTCGCTTTCGTTCGTTATCTTTGTGAGTCACGTGCTCTTGCTTTGTTTATATCGCGATAAGCTTCTCGTGCGGAGGTCGGACACAAGTGACGGGTGAGTGTCCAGTCCGAAGTGATGGGGGGCAGGTAATCTCGGATGAGAAGATACAGACGCTGAAGTCAGCGTTGTCGCTCAGGCACGCAGACCTCCGATATCTCCTCGGTTTCAGCTAACAGAATCGCACAGACGATCATCTAAGTTACACACATTCAAGTTGCGTTCCCTATATGAAAGGAGGGCGAGTGATAGCCAGCTGAAAACCCCCACGGCGTATTCAAAATCATCCCAAAGCGTTGTTTCATACCCAGCCAGACGGAGAATTGTTTTTGCTTGTCGTGTCGGGGACCTTGATCTCTCCGTGTGGCCTGGGCCTGTTCGCAATCCCAGCCCTAGCAACATCCGCACTTCCAAAGCGACGCACGGAGAAATCCTACGACAGTCAATGCATCAATTTTACACAGCCAAACAGGGCCATCCGGGTGTACTGCACACACACCACCCACGCAATTTCAAACCCCCGAATCGATCTCATCCACAAACTCCTCCCCACTGAATACGGCCCATTCGCGACACGTCTGCGCCAGAGAAGCCGGGATCTGAAGCTGCTCGACTTCGGATGGTTGTTCCTGGAGAGGATTAGCATGGATCCCCCGATAACGCTGCTGGAAACCGCCAACCGCGGAGAGCCGTTCGACCGAGGGAAAACGTACAATGATGTTCAACGAAAGCCCCGCGCTCACATGAAACGACATGTGGCAGTGCAGAGGCCAGACGCCCGGGTGGTTGAGCTCCCATTCCAACACAACATACGCCGGGTTCTCCGTGGTGCCCGACTGCACGATATGGGTGTCTCGACGCAGGGGATTTGAGGGATTCGTGATGACGCCGTCCCACGCCCCTCGTCCCTCGGCTAGAACCCAGAAGTTGTGGCCGTGCAGATGGAGCGGATGCTGCATCGGGTAGATGTTGTTGAAAATGATGCGCACGCTGGAGTTGGAGCCATAATTATAGGTGTTGGCGTTGGCGTAGTATGGCGAGGAGAAGTTGCCAGTCCGGCCCAGGAGGAGCAGCGGAGCGTTGTAGTTGGCGCGGAAGGTGGCGTTGTTGAAGTACCAGAGGAAATGTCCCGTGGCATTCTGGCCGACGTTGATCTCCATGGTCTCGGTGGTGGCCGGCGAGTGAGGAGGCGGCAGGGCATAGTACGGGACGGTGAGGGAGAGGGGTTCGCCGGCACAATTGTTGCTCTGCCAGGTGGCAGTGCTGGTGGACGTGGGCCAAACCGTGGTGTCTGCGTCTTCGTAGTAGATGGCCGCTGTGCCGGTGGGATAGGTAGCCGTGGAGTTCAGACATTCCATGTCAATCGATGAACGCATCCAGTACGCATCTCGAACGTTTCCAGTCGCCTTGACGAGGATATCAGTGCGTTGCCCCGGGCCTAAGGTGACGACTTCTGTGTTGTAGGGCTTGATCGGGATGTAGTCGGTTGCGATCACGGTCAAGGTATGACCATCTATGCTAATCTTCTGGTTCGCATTGGAACCCGTGTTCAACAGCCTGAGTCGATGGACTTTGCCGCTCTTGAACTGAAACCGGGAAAGACTGGGACCAGCGCTGCAGTTGGTCCCGTTGCAATTGTACATTCCGCGGCCATTGGTCAAGTTGTTGTCGACATTCGGGATGACGGGGGGTCTCATAAAAATCTCGACCAAGGTCGACCAATAATCCAGGTGATGATACTCAGATATCATGACGGCCCCGAGGTCATAATCATAATCCACGTGGGTGGGACCATGAATGACCATCGGGCCAAAGACTCCGTCGGTCAATTGGGCACTGTAATGGGAATGATACCACCCAGTCCCATATTGATCGGCTTGGAAGGTGTAGGTGAACCTGGATCGGGGCACAATGGGACATTGCGAAACCCCCGGGACGCCATCCGCCCAAGGGGTTCCTTTCTGAGTGATCCCATGCCAGTGCATGGCCAGCCCTTCCTCCGTCCCGGTCGTGATCATGTTGTTCACCGTGACGGAGATGATATCCCCCCAGTTGGCCTCAATCAATGGCCCGGGAAATTGCCCGTTGATCAGCATGGCATTTTTCTGGTATCCATCGGGTGAGGTGGTGTCGCGCATCACGGTAAAGTCATAGTGGCGTGTGACGCCAGTGTCAGGGGGCCGTCCGAATGGAGAAACGTCTCGCCATGGTGGAGATTGAGGAGCTCCCTGCGTTGAATCAGCAGGTAGCAGGTGTCAGGATCGGGGAAACAGTGCGATCCTACCTCGTCATGGATAGATGGGGCAAGATAGTTGGTGGGCAGGGTCCCATACGGATAGCGGCCTATAGAGACCCGAGTAAGAATGGAATGACACGCAGAGAGTATGTCAGTGGCAGAGAGATGGGAATCGATTCTTACTGTTCTCATCACTGGTATTACAAGCCGCACTGAGGGCTGATGCACCGCGAAGGAAAAAGGGTAACCAGGAGACCATGGTAAGTCACACAAAACGTGGTTCGTAGAACTACTTAAGCTAGCACAGGGGACTACAAGATGATCAATCTCGATGCCCTACAGAACATAAATGCCATTATTTAGATCAATCGAGTCTCTATAGACATTTCCACGACGTTATTGAAACCAGACAATGCCCAGCATCATGGCCATTGTTTATTTCTCCGAACCTGGCTTGTTTGCTACTGTACTTCTTTTCATGGAGAAAAGCACCAGGGCTTTCTGTAAGAGATCGATGTTGGAGGCTGCTTAACAGGAATGGGGACCTGGACGACAACTGAATCTCCACATGCTTTTGCAGGTGAGGATGGGCGGCGTTTGGTCTCTCGATTGTAATTTGCACCCATCATACTCTGTTCTCGCGGATCAGCCCTAGCCAGGATCAGCTGAAAATGCCCGAATATTGGACTGCCTACGGTATCTCCCACGAGTTGCCCAGGACTCCGGTTCCAGTCCAAGGCACAATTTCTAGGAATCTAATAGAAAGTTCTATTCCAGCCTGCAGAGTACCTGGGAAACAAAGAACCTTGCTTCGGGTTTTAACTGACGCCTTTTTCTTTTCTGCAGGTGGCCGGTGCAAGTTATACATGGTTCAATGTACCACCTCAACAACTACCCTGCAAGTGAGATTTCCCAAAACCCTCCCGGTTGGTGTTCAGGTGCTGAGAGAGATTCTACCTGATCAATAGATACAGGGGTCACTCGCCTTACCCCTGATTTTACTTCTGACAAGATGAGTGCTCTAAAGCTTTTTTAAGAATGCAAGCCTGATCCGAGAATGTCTATTGTCTAATTGATTTCGTGAGGTAAAGAGAAATAGCCGAAAGCAACACACTTAGCTTTGCCGTACTGCGTCCCATCAGCTGCCTCGCGAACGAATTTCCTCGTGCAGCCAGTCCCGCCATTCCTGGTCATTGAGAATATACCTTACACGGGCCTCCAGCCACTCGGTGTTGCCCCAGAAGCCCCACGAGGCCTGAAATCGGCACCAGTCAACAAGCGCGGATTCCCAGTGTCGTCTAAATGTATCCCAGTCATACAGCTCCGAAGGTTGGCCCCGGAGAAGCCGTCTGCGATACGCCTCCAGCAGCTGCTTCTCCCCAACGCGCATGGGCAGCTGTTCAGGCAAATCCTCTTCGTCATCAACCAGCATACCCAACGGGACTGAGCACGTAAACAGCTTGGCAAGATCGCAGACCCCCAGGCCCAGCCCCACGTACTGGAAGTCAAAGAACGCGACCTCTTCTCCTGCGGCAGTTGTGAACAGGTTCTCCGACTTGACATCCCCGTGAATATACGACTCCATCGATCTCCCAGCAGGGGTCAGCACAGTCGCCACCATCTCAGCCACAGACGCTGCGAAGCCCTCATTTGTGCTGCATAGTGCTTCCGACCACTCCGAGTCCACATCATCAACGAGAGCAGCGTACTCCTTCCGGCGCGTGGCGAGGTATGTATACCCGCCATTGAGCCACAACCCCCGGACATCGCTCTTGATTCCATCCGGCCTCCTTTTGCGAGCCTCCTCAAGCGGCGGGAGAACACATGCGTCTCTACTATCCGTCAACAACGCCCACGACCGACTGTGAAAGGCAGCCAGCCAGTCCAATGCCGCGTGCACTTGTCTGCTGTCCAGCGAGCTCCGCTTGCCCCCGGCGACAGGGTATCGAGGCCGCAGATCGACCATGATGGTGGCCGTCAGACCGCGGAGCTCCTCCTCGCCGACCTTACCGTGCATGTCGCGCGTCGAGGCAAGACACTTGGCCACGCCGATCTCGTCGCCGAGCTGCGGCACGATTTCCGTGTAGAACCACTGCTCCACTTCATAGCTCAGCATTTTGCGGAGATGACCCTCATCCTCCGTGGAGGCCTTTCGGCCGGGAGGAGAGATGAGCTTGAGAATGAGTGGGTAGGTGGTCCCCCTGCCTCTTGGTTCCACGCCGCAGAGCTGACTGAGGTGGGCGGCCGCTTCGGGGGTGGTTGCGCGGGCGGAGAGGGCGCAGATGTGTCCGTATCCTGCCCACAGGGTTTGGAGGTTGGTGCACGAGACGAGCTCAAGCGAGTGCCAGGACAGCATGATCCTGGCGACGCGGTCGGGTGAGGGCGCCATCGTAGGCTGGGTGGCTGATTGAGCACGGGGACAATTGATGGATTTAATGTTCAAAGCCCAACCGTGAGGAGCTGAAATGCGACCGCTGCGATCGGAGCGGATCGAGCATTTTATGCAGCAGCATTGATGAGGTAAGGAATCTTTATGCACTCTCGAGGCGGCATAGAGATTCGCGCTGTTTGCTTGGTTTATCCTTCTAGTTGGTTGGAGTAAAGGTTCTATACTATTCAGGTTTATTGATGTAATTCCCAACCTTTCTCTAATTGTGTCAGTTTCAGTGATTACGAATATTGATAGAAACACGATAGGGCTTGCACTGCTCTTTTCTATTTGAGGGGCAAGATCATCCTTAACACGGTTATATATCCCTTTGGGGGCTCTACTAAATCAACAACTTCGAATTCCAAGCATTAAAGACAACATACACAGCAGAAAAAGCTGTCCAACAGTAAGCAAGAGATAACTTGAAACTACTAGTACTGCTACAGCATTCTGACCAAAGCTGTTCTTTTTCAATGTGCCTACACACCCAGCATTTGAGTTGAGGGTGTTCTGCACTGCATGAAAGATGCTTACCACTTGACGAGTCGTTGATTACATTATTCTGATGTGCGTCTAGGCTGTCCGCCCTTCCTCTGTAGTTCATATTTCTATTCATCCAGCATTCCCCTCACATGGCTATCCTACCATTCATCCAGCGGATCTATGCTCATTATGTTCATGATGCTGTAAAAACTGAAATCAATCCCACCTCCATCCCTCCACTAAACACATCCTCAAGGACCCAATCTCACCTACGTGCCTCCACCCTCCAACCAGCTCCCCTTCACCCTCTGCGTGAAATTGATAAACTTCGCGACTCCCACGGCCGCCTCAACATGCCCCTCCGGATCCTTCACTTCCTCCGGAAACGCAATCCCCGCCCCAAACAACCCCCTGATCTCCTCCAACCCCTCCACCCCCCCAAACCCCGACGACCGCATATCAAACCCCATCTCCGCATCCACCCTCCGGCCCTCCACAAACACCTGGGGAATGGGTTCCCGCTCATACCCCACCGCATACACGATATGCGTACACCTTGGCAGATACTCAGCAAAAACCCCCTCCTCGTCGTCACGATCACACACGGTCTGCAGAATCCCGGGGTCGGGATTCTTCTCCATCACCTCGCGGGCCCACTCGGCGGTCGCCCCCTTGAGACCCGTATTGTCGTAGATGATTCCGTCCTCCGTGTAGATTGCGTATCGGATGGGACGGCGGTGAAAGTTGATAATTTTGAGGTCCCGTTCGCCGGACTGTGCGATCTCGTAGAGGTTGCGCACCACGAGGATGCCAGAGTGGGAGTTACCTACCACGGCGACAATTGCGGGTGTATCGGTGGGGAGGAGAGACGGCAGATGGGAGCGACGCATGCATTCGTCGAGGTCGAGGCGTTGGAGGTCCGGGTTGTGGGTGAGGTGTTTGATCGCGGTGCGCGGATGGGAGCCAGTGCAGAGGATGAGGCTGTGTGACTCTAGAGCTGTGGGTGAAGGGTCCGGCGTTGTTGTGACGGTCCAGATGCCGTTCTGGGGGGGTATTAGCCATTCGCCTCTTTCTTTTCGGGGAAAGGAAGCGGAAGATGCGTACTCCAAGATGCGCTGCGTCCACCGTGGCGGTGAGTTTCTCGACCTCGGGGCGCGCGAGGAGACCGTCTATGAGCATGCAGAGCATGTCGCCGGCGACGCTGAGCTGACATGTAGAGTCGTGGCTCATGGATGCGAGCTGTGTGACGGCATTCGGGGCTGGGGTGGAGTCGATGATCGAGCGGAGGGTGGCGGAGGAGTGGATGGCTTTCAGGTAGATGGCTACCGTGGTGTTTCTGGCTTTTTGTGAGTTGACTGCGCGAGTGATCTTAGGTGCGGTAGTTTGGATGGAGACGCTTACGAGGAGATCTCGCGGTACAAGCCATTCAATCGCCCTCCGTGCCAGTTCGGGTCGATCCAGAGGAGTTTCCGCGCCCCTGCGTCGAGGAGGGCGGCGACGCTGGACATGCCCCCGGGGCCAGCGCCCACCACGACAGCATCGTAAATTACTCCCATGGTTGATGTATGTTCTGAAGATTGGCCGGATGCCATGTATGAGAGACGTAAATGTTTTGAGGATGTGTGGCAATCATCTTGCGTCCGGGTGATTGGCTGAATGTGAGATGACATCATTGAGCCCTGCACAATAAATTCACCTCAATCTATACAGCGCAGATGAGAGCATTAGCCCGACATCATAACACGAATCCAGACAAGCAGCATACTACAAGAATCAACAGCTTATTCATCAAACAGAGGAAAGAGATTTGCTTCCACCGTCTCTTGACCATGTATAATTATGCAATCACTCGAGTTGTCGAACGGACTGAGCCGGCCCCGATTGCCGGATCCGAACGGATCAGATAAGCCTTGGGTCGGAGATAAGAGGTGGGGCACATCAGCCCACCTGCCAAGTTTCTCCCAAACACCTTCATTCTTTCTGACAACCTCAGCAGCTTCAACACCACTTGATATCAACATGGTGGAATCACAAATGGATAGGTCCAAGCCCGCTGAAGAGTACAGCTGGTACGAGCGCGACCTGGCGCAGGTCCAGGAGCCGGCCCGGACTCTCTTGGCGGAGTACAGCAAGATCCCGGAAGAGAAGATCATCGACCATGTGAAGGAGGTGGTGAGTTGCCTGCATCTGTACCGCATATACACGTGCTGAACCAAGTCGTAGCGTGATCGCGCATTCGCCGTCGTAAGTGACACTCCCTCACCCTTGTCGTGCACATATTAACCACGCCCACCAGTTCCCCTACCCCTGCATCGGATCCTTCCGCTTTCTCGACATCACCATCTGCAACAACCCGGCCTACCCGGAGATCCTCTCGCGGCTGAAGTCCTCGAACGCGACCTACCTGGATCTGGGCTGCGCCATGGGCCAGGACATCCGCTACCTGGTACCTCCTGACCATCCCACCCTTCTCCACCGATCCGCATGCAGGACTAACTCCAGCAGGTCCACCAAGGCGCCCCCGCCGAATCCCTCTATGGAAGCGACCTCCAGCCCGAGTTTATCTCGCTAGGCTACGACCTCTTCGGCGACCGCTCCACTCTGCCCTGCGAGTTCATCCCCAGCGACATCTTCGACGACGCCTGCCCGCTTATGCAGCGTCTCGCAGGCCAGGTTGACATCATCAACGCGGCCTCGTTCTTCCATCTCTTCGACTGGGACAGAGAGGTTGCGTTGGCCAAGCAGATCATCAAGCTCCTGCGGCCGCAGGCGGGGTCGATGGTCGTTGGACGGCACGTGGGTGACTATGTGGCCGGAGAGCGGTCGGACAACGAATTGGGGGCTACCTTCTACCGGCATGATCTGGAGTCGTGGAGACGGATGTGGGCGCAGGTGATGGCGGAGACGGGGACGGAGTGGGAGGTCGACGTCAGAGCGGAGGAGTGGGCGGAGGTGAAGAAGAATAAGCATAATCGGGAGTCGTCATTCAAGATGCAGTTTGTGGTGAGGAGGATTTAGATCAGTTTATTCCAGTGACGGAGTGATTTCGTTTTGGGGTGATTGTAGATGCGGGTGCAGTGGGACGGCCACACGGGGGACGAGGTTTGACCTGGGAGGACAAGTAGCACATCACGGTAGGATTGAAATAGACCGGAGAGTTTGATCATAGTTGTTTGATTGCAGCACCTGCGGTGCACTGCACAAGAAGAAAAACCTCCAGATCCTGTCTGTCTTATCTTATCACCCCAAGGGTGTGTGTCCCCAAGGTCCCTGTAACTTTTCGATCAGGATGAGGCAAATCTGTTCACCTCGACATCAGACCCTTTCACATTATTCAAACAACAGTGCGAACATGATGCGGGAATTTGAAAATGACAAAGCATATGACAAACGAACTCAGAAGATGTAAGTAGACGTCTGACCAGCCTCGAGCTCCGACTGATAATTTCCAGAGCGGACTTCATTGTCCTCCCCTTGCTGGCCACTGGCTTCGCAACCTACCAAATCGACCGGACCAACATCGCCAGCGCCCTAACAGGAGGCTTTGCCTCTGCCATTTCCGTCGACCAGAATACCATCAATCTCGGCAACCAGCTTCTCTTCCTCGGGGTCATCCTCCTCGAGATCCCGTCCAACATGGCCCTCCAGCGAGTGAGCAATCCAATCCTCCAATCCCTGCGCAATACCAACCATTAACGAGCCAGATCGGTCCCCGCCGGTGGATCAGCGCCCAGGTCTTCATCTTCGGCCTCCTCGCCGCTCTCCAGATCTTTATCCGCGATCGTACAGGCTTCCTCATCACGCGGGCCGTGCTCGGCCTCACGGAAGCCGGCTACATCCCTGCAGCGATGTACACGCTCTCAACCTGGTACACAAACGCAAAACTCACAAAGCGCATTGCGATCTTCTTCTTCGGTATGTTCGGGGGAGCAGCGATAGCGCCCCTTCTGGGGGCGGCGTTGCTGAAGCTGGATGGACGGGGCGGGCTGGCGGGGTGGAAATGGATATTCCTGCGTAAGCCTTCCTCTCCCACCGTCCCTACTGACTTATACATACACTCTGATACTCAACCTCCTGGCAGTAGAAGGACTCTGGTCCATTCTGATGGCCCTCCTCCTCTTCACAGCCCTCCCCGATCACCCCCCCAGCACCGGCACCAGCACCAGCACCCCAACCCACCGACAACCCCTCCCCTGGCCCCTCATCTACAAAACCCTAACCAACACCGCCAAATACCCGCACTTCCTCGCCACCGCGTGCGTCTTCGCCACCTGGAGCCCCCTCACCACCTACACCCCCAGTATAATTATGGCGCTGGGCTTCTCCCGCGTCATCGCCAACGCGCTCGCCGCCCTGGGCAACCTCCTCACCCTGCCCGTGATTTTTGGTTTTGCCTGGCTGAGCACGGCAACCCACCGGCGCGGAAGCACCGTGCTTCTCGCGATGGGCAGCTACCTCGTCGCGCTGGTTGTGCTCCGCACCGTGCAGCCGCACGTCACGAGCCGGTGGGGTCGGGTCGGGCTCTGGACGGCGGTGAATGGGTTGGCAGTGGGGTATCATCCGGTGCATAATGCGTGGATTCAGGTGAATTGCTGCTGTCCGGGGGAGAGGAGTGTGAGTGTTGCGTGAGTCGGGCCCCCTTTTGTCGAGTGAATGTGTGAGGGCTGTCTGTAGAGGTTAATAATGCTGACTCGATGTGGGGGTAGGATGTGTAAGTGACCGCGTCTGCCCTAGGGATGGAGCTGGACTGGACTGGACTGGACTGGACTGACGATTGAGGACATAGTTGTGATGTCTGCTACCGCGGGATTGATGGCCGGGAGCCAGATTTTCCAGGGGGATGAGGCGCATGCGTTGTAAGTGACTGACTGATGCGATGGGTATCTGTGGTGTCGAGGTGGATGGCTGTGCTAATTCTTCGTCGTTTAGTTATCCGATGGGGTTGTTGATTATGATTCTTCTGGTCTTGGTAGGGATGGTGTTGGTGGCGGGGCAGATGGGTATCTATCGATTTGCTGGGAGGGGGAAATGCGAGTCGCAGGGAGGGGATATGGATATGTGCTGAGGAACACATGGTGACAATCTTAGATAGATGGTTAGTATCTCTCGTGCTTCTTCTCGTGATGGGTCCAGTTTGCCAGCATATATGTACAGTAGCATTATCCGCACTATTCCTGGAGCAGTATCGGATACATCCCACAGGGACTGTCCAGGGATGTTCTTTTTCTCCCACTCGTCTCTCTCGGGAGAAGATGCCGCGAGACCCTTCCTCATTTTGTGCTCCAGATCCTCGTCTGGTCAGATCCCCCCGCATAGTGGCTTATTACTCTCAATCTGAGTGGTGTAGACCACCGAATGTGGAGGCGAATACCCGAGATCGGAGATTCCAGCTCGGCACTCAGTGCAGTCAGTCTTTGGGGCTGTGAAGGCCCCGCACGCATGCCGGATAGCCCTATTCACTCCCCTCCACCGCACGTACGACCTCACCCCGCTCTCGCTGACCCTCCAACAACAAAATCCTCACACTACCCCCCATGCGCACCCCACCGCAGACACTCACCAACTGGACACTAACCGTGGAATCCTGGACCCCAGCCGCCAACATCTACAGCCTCACAGCCGCTCCCACCCGGACCAACACCACCTACGCCCTCGGGACAATGTCCACCCTCCTCCCCTGGTCCCAGCTCCACCCCTCCCTCCAGAACGTCTCGGGCATTGGATTTTACCGCACGACCGTCACCCTCGCCCACAGCCCCAGCCCCAGCCCCAGCCCCTCCTCAGGCGTCATCCTCGATCTAGGGAGGATCTCGCACGTCGCACGCATCCGAGTCAACGGCCACCCCACCCACCCGGTCGACCTGCACTCCGCGAAACTGGATATCACGCAGGGGGTGATGGACGGGGAGAACACCATTGACGTGATGGTGGCGAGTCCGTTGGGGAATGCGGTGCGACGGTATTAGCACGCGCTGGAAACGGGGGGCAAGAAGGCGAGTGTTACGGGGACGATGCCGGGGGTGGGGGAGTATGGGTTGGTGGGGGAGGTTAGGGTTTGGGGGTATGAGATTGTGCATGTCGGGGTGGATGATTGAGCCGGGGGTTACTGTAAGTTGTGGCACAGATTGGGGTTGGATTCTAGGCTTGTGGCATCTTGGTCGGAACAAACTGTCTCTGATTCGACTCTGAACATGACTTGGACTTGGATGTAAAGTAGGGCAGGCAAGCAAGCAAGCAAGCACCTCAACCTCCTCCCGTCATCCCTCTCGGAGTCACCGTCCTCCGTGTGAGGATGATATATACTGTGTGTGTTTGGCCGACACGAGCAAGTCAGAGCCCTGGCTGATCTTTCAGTTCGAGCAGCATCTTAGTCCATCACCACCTCGCTCACTCGCTCCCACGCGAGATATGCTGGCGTCTCATCTCAAAGCCCGAGACTTCATCCACAGACTCGCCATCAACGCCACGCCGGAGAGGGCGCAACCCATCGCCCAGATCGTGCGCAGACTGTCCGCATACACCGACCGCACCTCCCCGCGCGTGGCCGCGTCCGCCCTCTCCAACGCCGGGATGAGACCGAACGGATCCTGACGGTATCGCTGCGCGATCGCCCGCAGATGGGGGTGGCGGGCCAGGAGCGCGGTGGCGCGATTCTGAAAGATCACGCCCCCGATCGCCACGCCGACGCATTGGCCGAAGCTGCGGAAAAAGGTGGCCAGGCTGATGGCCAAAGGCACGAGCTCCGGGGGGCTGCTGGTCTGCACGGCCAGGGCGGCGCCCAGCACCACCATCCCCAGCCCTATCCCGGACACCATCTCGATGAACACCCACCCGGGGATGGGGGTCTCGACCTGCAGGAGACAGAGTAAGCCGAACCCCACCGTGGCAAGGATCCAGCCGGCCCAGATCGCCCAGCGGATCCGACCAGTGGCTGCGATGGCAAACCCGGTCACAGCGGCCACGGGCGCGATCGTCAGGGTGGCAGGGAACAGCGCCACGCCGGTGACGATCGGGGTGTATCCCTTGACGATCTGGTAGTAGAGTGAGAGATAGTAGAGGCCACACCACAGGAGGAAGCCGAGACAGAAAAAGCTCCCCAATGCAATGCTCGTCGATCGGTCCCGGAAGATGGTCGGTGGGATCACCGGCTGTCGTGCCCACCGATACTCATAGCCCCCGAAGGCGAGGAGCCCGCCCACCCCAAGGCATAGAGGGAGTAAGGTGTGCCAGGAGCTCCACCGGTACATCACGCCCCCCCACGACAGAGGGATCAGAAAGGAGCTGGTGCTGGCGGCGAAGAGGACCATGCCCACCAGGTCGATCTCACGGAGCTTAGCCCGCCAGTCGCGGGGGTGGCATGAGGCCGACGCCCGGGGAAAGAAGACCAACAGAAGTGCAGCGCCAATCCCGATGAAGGGGAAATTGATGTAAAAGATCCAGCGCTAACATAGGTATTAGTCAACCGAGGGAGGTAGGGTTGAGGGAAAGGGGCTCGAATGTGCGTAACTTCAAGGTTGCCTCTTACCCAAGTTGATTTCTCTGCAAAGCAGCCCCCAATCACCGGCCCGATCACCGATCCAACAGCCCACACGGCGCTGAGCATGCCGAGATACCGACCTCGCGCTTTCAATGGGATATAATCCGCGATGATGATGCTACTGAGGGTGATCAAACCACCCCCGCCCACCCCCTGCAGCGACCGACCTACTAAGAGCTGAGTGACATTGTGCGCAATTCCTGCGACGAGCGCCCCAAGCGCAAAAATCACCATCCCGAACAGAACCAGAGCTTTGCGGCCCAAGGCTTCCGAGAGAGAGCCGAAGATGGGCTGGAACACTGCCCAAGTTAGTGCTGGAGTGGCATCGAGTGGCTAGATGGCCCGGCCCCTTACCGGCACTACAGAGGAGATATGAGGTTCCGGCCCAGAAGCCTTGGATGGCCGAGGCGTGCAAGTCATTGGCGATGACCTATAGCTCTGATGTGAGTTCCGAGACACGGTCCAGGGGGACGGAGCTGACAATGACTACCAACTACCTACTTACCGGCAATGCCACCGCTAGTAAAGACCCATCAAGCGCCGCCATGAGGCTCAGCACCATCATAGCGGTGATGGTGAGAGCTTGGGGTCTAGTAATGTGGAACTCGTCCCCAACGACTTCCTGCGCCTCGCTTCCAGTGGGTAATTTCATCTCGATGCTGTGGGCTGCAGAGACCGTGGTAGTCGGTCTCCAGGGCTGGAATGGGAAGTCCAATAGTTATACATATTAGTATGTTTTCGATGATTACACACAGCGACTGACGTCTCGGCAAACACACGTTATCATTACCCCATGACTTGAAGGGGGTGGGGCATCTACGGCGTCATATCGAGGCGATGTAACCCTAATTGAGTGGCAGTCCGCACGGGAGGCAAGCAATAGCTGCATTTCCGCTGGTTCGCATTGGCTAAGCTTTGCAGTATAACTTCTAGTACAGAAGCACGGTCTTCCACGCGATTTTTAAGATCGCCTGTCCAGTTGGTTTGAGGAGGAACAATCCAGAGGGTCTAGATTCGAGCGAAAGACATTATATTCAGTAAAACAATCAACACAACCTATGAATTACAGCCACCATCAACAGAACAAATACCTCTTTTTGCACCCCATGATGACCAGAATTCTGTTCCGTAAGAAAGACAAAACACTGAGCAACAATAAAAATATATTACATGCCTATCAGTAGTGATGATGTTTTGCTTCATGGTGGCTGGACCGCAGCTTAGTTGCCACTACACTGGGAAGGCTGGACCTTTGTTTATGCTTAGTTTTCTGTGATGGCTATTCCTCGCTTCTCATGTATATTTTTTTGCTTGAGCTAACTGGACAACTGGAACCAAGACCCAGTCTCCACTCTTTGATACTCCCCCCATAGGACCAGTCTTTGCATCTGGTCCCAACCCTATCAGGGCCAATGAAAACCTCTTGATAATTGCCTAGTAGAAGTGGTTATGGTGTACAATGCACAACCCGCATCAGAGAGCACATTGTCAGCAATCATGTCGTTCTCCTCCCTGACCGTACAGTTGTCAGGATGGCTTCGGGTTCCGAGTGTGCATGTACGGAGTAATCAATAGTACATTCCCTTAGCGTATCCGTATGAGTGAGAATAGTATCAGCTAGTCCGAGTCCTTCCTCGCTGAGCGAGGGGTCCCATAACTATGATCCAATTCTTGAACTGATTAATAAATCTGCTATCTACCCCAGTCAATCTTGAGCCAGCCCGCCCGAGTTAGCTTTCCCCCGCAGAGATACACTCTGGATGCGAAGTTTAAAATGCGCCAAAGACCCTGAGCTAAGCCTTAGCTCCATTAGCTGTTATATATGAAAGCCAAGCCAAGGGCTCGTCAGGGTCCCATTACCGCGCAACTCTGTATCCGAAGAGGCATCAGAGGTGACAAGGCAAAATCAACTATGCTCCCCGTGCCGAAGAGGAACCCAGAAATCAGGATCAGCTAATCACATAATGCTAGACAGATGAGAGAGACATCTCCAGGGTCAGGAACTATGGCATACTGTATTGTATAACTATCTTATTGGACCCGCCATAACGGGAGGGTAAGCGCTAAGAAGGCTTAGTCTAGCACTAACTATTGATGTCAGCCCTAGTATCACTTGGGGCTCGATTAGCTACATCGATTTCTCCAGCCCATCTACAAGTGGCTCGATTGGCATCTGGCATCACAGCCGCAGACGGTGAGGACATATTCATGCGGTCGTTGCCGTGATAGGCGAGGTTTCTTCCGCGGGGGCCTTGGGTGCGTGAGGTGTTGGACAAGGAATGGGGCACGTATAGTGCGGATCATGGGGCTTGCTGGATGGGATCGGGTTGAGTTTGCGAGGGTGTAAGGGATGTTTACCAGAGAATTGGGAAGTATAGGGAGTCCAGGGTTTCTCCCTGGGAGCACATGATATCTAGGGAATTCAGATGACATTTACCAGGAAGCTGAAAAAGAAGGGGGGTCCGGGGGTTCTCCCCCGGGAACGCTTTATACTCCCGATACTATGTCCTACGGTGGATGGGTGTTACAGTGGAAGGTCAGGCCCAGTGAGCACCATGGAATACCTCAGTGCTTTGAGGGAAGGTCTACTCTTGCCCAGTCCTTGGAATGAAACTTGCAGTCGAAATCACATCGGTTCATTTTGGTAAATATGGGGGTTATAGTCTTTATGGGATGTTTGCATGCTTTGCATAGTTTGCATCACTGCAGACATATCATGTGATCAGTTCGCTGCAATCACAGAGGAGGTCAGATGACTTCACGGCGGAGCCAATCATGGCTAGCGGCGGCGATCTCCGACGTGCACATCTGTATACTTTAGTCACCTCGTTCGTCTTCTGTCCACCTTTGTTGATCCGGTCTCCTTACTTCTGCCATACCTTTTACGATTCCCTCTCCTTGTGCTTGCTCTTCTCTTTATCCCTTGTTTGGCGACAACAGGACTCACCCTCTCGCAAAAACTCCAGCAAGACTCCCCACAAGACTCACCTGTAAACAACCCCCTCCCACCCGTTGATCCCCCCCTCCTTCCGGCGGAATTCAACATGACCACCCGATATCGCGTGGAATATGCTCTCAAGTCCCACCGGCGGGACCAGCTGATTGAGTGGATCAAAGGTCTTCTAGCCGTGCCATTTGTGCTGCACTCGCAGCCCACCGCGGTTTACCAAGAGCACAGCGAGAACCTCATCGCGGTCGCCGCGGACACCCACCAACGGTACGCGGAGATCTTCCGGGATGTCGAGAAGCTGATCCGCGACCACATCACCCACCAGGGGCAGAACGCGCCGGGCAAGTCGAAGCTCAAGCTGCTGGTGCCCACCGTGGGCTCCTTCTTCACGCCGCTGTTCCTGGAAGACGCCTTCACCTACCAGGACAAGCAGCGCTTCATCAGCCGGCGCCGCTTCGTCGCCCCCTCCTTCAACGACGTGCGGCTCATTTTAAACTCGGCCCAGCTGCTCGGGCTGGCCCGCACCACGGGGGTGGACCTGGTCACCTTCGATGGAGACGTGACGCTCTACGACGACGGCGCGTGTCTGACCGACGACAGCCCGGTCATCGCGCGCATCATCCGTCTCCTGCGGGAAGACCGCAAGGTGGGCATCGTCACGGCGGCCGGGTACACGGAGGCGGCCAAGTACTACGAGCGGCTGCGGGGGCTCCTGGATGCAATGCACGCGTCCCCCAACCTGAGCGAGGCGCAGCGGGCCGGACTGGTCGTCATGGGGGGCGAGAGCAATTTTCTGTTCCGGTACGACCCGGAGTCGTCGCACAAGCTCACCTACGTGCCGCGCTCGGAGTGGGTGCTGGAGGACATGAAGTCGTGGCAGGAGGACGACATCACGGCGCTGCTGGACATTGCCGAGTCGTCGCTGCGGGCCTGTGCGGCCAACCTGAGCCTGCCGGTGGCGGTGCTGCGCAAGGACCGCGCCGTGGGCGTGTACCCGCTGGATCGGAGCAAGATCACGCGCGAGCAGCTCGAGGAGACGGTGCTGGTGGTGCAGAATACGGTGGAGCGGTCGCCGGTCGGCTCGCGGTTGCCATTTTGTGCATTTAACGGTATGTCGGCTGGTGGTGCGGCGGGGCCAGTGGAACGCACTAACAGGATGACTAGGGGGTAATGATGTCTTTGTGGATATCGGCGATAAGTCGTGGGGTGTGCGGGCGTGTCAGAAGTACTTCGGGGGCATCGAGCCCGCTCGGACCCTGCACGTGGGCGACCAGTTTTTGTCTGCGGGGGCCAATGATTTCAAGGTAGGTGGTCGTTCGAGATGGCGGAGAAAGAGGCTGACGATACTAGGCCCGGTTGGCTTCGACGACGGCGTGGATTGCCAGTCCGGCGGAGACGGTGCAGCTCCTGGATGAGCTGCATGGCTTATCGCAGTCGCAGTGGTAGTCGCAGTCGCAGTCGCAGTCGCAGTAAGCCGTATGGCGTTGCATCTGTTGGCAGTTGTGTTGTTCGTATGGGCGGGCGCATAGCGAGTATACCGGACCCGGAATCCTATAATTAGCATTGATCTCGTATTGCCAGGGACGGCGATAAGTTTTTTTGTTTGTGATTGATTTATCAGCTGGCGAGAGGATTCCGGAGATGCTTTATAATCAACAGACTATCACTAAAATAAGATCAACACTAATGCTGGTTAAGTTGTGCTGTGGTGTGACTCCATCTTTGTTACCCACGCTTCCTGCAGGATAACTCCATAGTAGTTCCCCGCTGAGTTGTTGTTCAGGAACCCCAGGATGATTCCAGACAGAGTAAAAAATCAAAAATAAATATAAATTCCTCGGCCCGCTCCCGAGTCCTTCACCCCTTGAGTTAACTTGTAACTACTGTATTTATCCCTTTCCCTCCACCCCTCTCTTTCTCTTCATACCTATCACCAAAATAATCTTTCAATTCTACACACCACACCAATGCCCACTCCACCCACCATCGTGATAATCGGCGCCTCCGTCGCGGGGCTGCCCATCGCCCACGCCCTCCTCAAAGACGCGCACCCCAAAAAAGTCATCCTGATCAACCCCTCGCGCGACTTCTGGTGGATGATCGCCGCCCCACGCATCCTCACCAAACCCTCCGCCTTCCAGCGCGACCAATACTTAGTTCCGATCGAATCGGGTTTTGCGAAGTACACGCCCGAGCAGTTCGAGTTCGTGCACGGGTACGCCACCGCGCTGGACGCGACGAAGAAAGTCGTGACTGTCTCGCTGGCCAGTGGTCAATCCCCCCCCACCACCAGCTACGAGTACAACTACCTCGTGATCGCCTCCGGCAGCACCACCCCGTCCTCCATCCCCACAGACGCCAACACCCCGCTGTACCCATTCAAAGCGCCTCCGCTTCCCACTCCAGGGGTGGACCAACTCGACCGCGACCTGGACACGTTGATCCAGACCGCCCAACAGACCACCACGCGTGCCAAACGCATTGTCATCGGCGGCGCAGGCCCCATCGGCATCGAAACCGCGGGCGAACTCGCCGAGCTGCCGCACCGACCTGCCATCACGCTCGTCTCGGCCACGGCGCGCGTGCTGCCCGGTCTCGCCGAGGGTGCGAGCGCGGCCGCCGATGCGCAGTTGCGGGGGAAGGGCGTGTATATCATCCCCGGGCGGAAGGTGGTGCGCTTTACCCCCGCCAACCTCCAGGCGGCACAACCGGAGGAGGACAGCGCCGGACAAGCTACGACTACTACTCCGCAGCAGCCCGCCGGGGGCATCGTGGAGCTCGACAACGGAGAGACAATCGAGACGGACCTATACATCCCCACCACCGGCGTGCTGCCCAACAACCAATTCCTCCCCGCGGAGATCCTGGACGAGAAGGGGTGGGTGAAGGTTGACGCCCAGTTGCGTGTCCCCGGACTGCAAGGCGTGTGGGCGGCCGGCGATATCACCGCCAATTCGGCGCGGCTGGCCCAGACGGCGGGGCAGCAGGCGACGGTTGCGGCGCATAATCTTCTCGTGGAGATGACGGGGGCGGGGAGCGTCAAGGAGTACGCGGCGGGGAAGGCGTTGATGGTGGTGCCGGTGGGGGAGCGCGGGGGGACGGGCCAGTTGTGGTTTGGCTGGGTGCCATGGGCGTGGTTTGTCCGGTTGATCAAGGGGAGGGATTTCTTTATTGCTAAGGCGAAGGAGGCCGTTCATGGGTGAACGGGGGGTCGACAAATCTACTACGATCAGTTCTAATGTTTATATCTATATATGTGTGTAATTGCGAGTGGAAGAAAAGGGGGGTCCGGGGGTTCTCCCCCGGAACGCTTTATACCTAGTAGGAAGGTAGGATGAGGTTTACCAGGAAGCTAAAGAGAAATGGGGTCTCTCCAGGGGACCCTGATACTACATGGGTTACAGCCAGGTGGTGGTGGGGGTCAGGCAGAGTAAGTACCAATCTGATTGAATGTAGTCATCATTATCCATGTAAGCGTAACACCCGCATAACCCATCTGTATCATCTTATCTCATGCCTCATGCTCATGCCATGCTCATGCTCATACCATGTATATGTGAGCCTCCATCTAGTCTAAGCCTCCGCGTAGGACGTCCAGGCCGCCGCATTGGCCTTGCTGGCGCGGCCCGACAGGATGTTGACCGTGTCCTGCAACTCCAGCCAGAACTCGGTCTTGGGACGACGTCGCGCCCAGTCCGTCTCCGTCGCCTCCAGACCGTTCTCGCCGCCCATGGCCGAGAAGCCCACCTGCGAGCCCTTGATGCCGATCACCGACGCCGACATCTCGTCCGCGGCGATCTCCTCGGGGCTCTGGCCCGCGTAGCTCTCCAGGTGGCTCATACACTTGATGGCCATGCGCAGCGCGCGAATGCGGTCCATCGGCGACGGCTTACCACCCTGCTGGAAGTGGCCGGGCACGGCGGCACGCGATTCGAAGCGACCCTTGGCCTCCTCCTTGAGGATGTCGGCGATCACCTGCGTCGTGTATGTGTTGGAGGCGCACTCGTTCCGCAGGATGATCTTACCGGCGCGGTTCGCTCCCTTGTCGCGCGTGAAGCTGTCGCGCAGGAAGTCGATGTCGTGCGACAGCATCTTGATGTCGATGCCCTCTTCGGGGATGTAGACCGCCGCGGCGCCAACAGACAGACCCGCCGTCGTGGCGATGTAGCCCGACTTGCCACCCTGCGTCTCGATCACGAACACGCGACGACGCGACGACGAGGCCGACTGGCGGATGATGTCGCAGAAGTCAATCAGGGTGTTGAGACAGGTGTCGCTACCGAGCGAGTACTCCGTGCCGGGCACGTTGTTGGAGATGGTGGCCGGCAGGACGGTCATGGGGATCTTGAAAGCGGGGAACTTCTCGCGCGCCTGGCGCAGCTGGCTGACGGCAGTGAACGCCTCAAATCCACCAACCACAAACAGCGCGTCGAATTTGAACTTCTCAAAGCATTTGGCGGTCGTTTCCAAGTCCTCGCCGGGTAGGCTGCGGTTGGTTCCGATATCCGAACCTCCCTCGTTGACCCAGGCATCAGACTCAATCCACTTGATCTCGCGAACGGAGCTGACGGGGGTATCGGCGTGGTGGCGGCAGAGACCGGGGAAACCGTTGTGGATCGCAAGGGGGGTGTGGCCGCGGGTGAGACAGTAGGCGACAGCGGCGCGGGTAGCCTGGTTCATACCGCCAGCGGGGGCACCGACGTGGACAATGGCGATGCGCATTCTCTGCAGAAGATTAGCACACGCATACAAAGCCATGCGAGAAGTCTTACCTTGTTCTCCGGGAGCAGCATCTTCGGATGGTCGGGAGTCGAGGTGTTCTTGTAGGAGAAGTGGTACTCTTTGAATTCGGAGTCGCGGAGAGCCATGGCCTTGTCAAATTCTCTGTTCTCGATGTGCGAAGTGACCGTCTTGGTGAACTGCACGGCCTCCATCAGAGGCATGCGCATGATCTTGTTCTCGCGGATGGTGATGACTGGCGAGGGCGAGTCGGGCTTCATGTCCAGTACGGCTCGAACGGCTTCGACACCCTGCAGAGTGGATAGCCAGCGGTCGTAGGCACACGCCGCGCCACCTCTTTGGGTGTGACCCAGGACAGTAACACGGGTGTCCAAACCCAGACGCTCAGTTAGGATATCCTTGACCTTCGAGCTCGAGATCTTGTTCAGCTGTCGGTCTTGTGCTCCCTCTGCCACAATGACAATGGTTCGTCGCTTTCCACGCTCCTTTCTATTCTGCAAGATATTAGCATGGCTTGTGGTTGAAGATCCGTAAAACGTACCTTAGTGATGATGGAGCACATATCCTCCTCCCATCCATCCTTGGGGGGCAACTCAGGGACAAAGAGCCAGTCAGCACCGGTACTGATGGCAGCCATCAAGGCGAGCCAACCACAGTGACGTCCCATGACCTCAATGACGAAGCCTCTCTGGTGCGAGTACGCAGTATCGAACACATCGTCTACGGCATCACAGATGCGAGTCAGAGACGAGTAACAGCCGATCGTAGCGTCCGTGCCGGACATGTCGTTGTCGATGGATCCGACCAGACCGACAATGTTCAAGATCTTGTATGGCTCAACCTGCTCCTGGGTCAATTCCTTCTTCTCGACCAATTCCTTCAAGAGACCCGGCCACTCGGAGCGGAAGAGGTCGGCACCAGTCAAACTACCATCACCACCGCAGACGACCAGGGCGTCAATGCCGCGGATGACCATGTTTTTAGCGGCCTGCAGACGGCCGGGGCGCTGGCGGAAGGACATGCAGCGCGCAGAGCCGATCAGGGTACCACCCTGCGACAGCCAGCCGCGCACATCTTCCCAGTGCATCTGACGGATCATGTCTCCGCCATTAACGAGACCTTCGTAACCTTCGAAGACGGCGTAGGCCTCGCAATCGGAGTGGATGGCCATCCGGACGACGGCCCGGACGGCGCCGTTCATACCAGGAGCATCACCACCGGAGGTCAAGACTGCGATGCGGCGGCGTTTGGGGGGCTGCACGGGAGCTTGAGGGGGAGCCATGGTGTCGATGGCGACGAATTCAGTTGTTTAGAAGTTGTAGCTCCAATGCACGGGAGGATGAGGTTTCAATAGGTGAGGGGAGGTTAGACAATGCAATGTGAGAGAACAGAGCTGGCAACGCAGATTGCGGAATGATGCTAGGTAAGAGATACTTGTGTGAGGGTAGTGGGGGAGAAGTTCCGGTGAGAAAAAGCGGGAGTGGGCAATGGTACGTCACAGACTTCAGCGGGACCGGAAGTGCCCCGCGGTGATTCACTAGAAGTCAAGGAGATGATATGACCGGGATGAGGGAGGAGAGAGTGTATACCACGAAAAGAACACGGCAGAACCGTCCCGAATGATGAGAGGTCTTGGTTTCAGAAGATGCCGATGCCAATGCAGGGAGGGGGTCTTTGACACAGTAACATGCTCTGGTCTGCTCTGGATGGGCAGATGAAGATATTCTCGCAGTGACGAAAAGAGGGGGAAGAGCCAAATTCCCAAGGCGGCCTGGTGCGGCAATTGATGTCACCGCTCCTCAACACGCCAGAAATGGACTAGTGCCACTCATTGCACGTGATGTGCGCTAGGGTAGGGCCGCTTCTTGCACGTGAAATCATATGACATGGCCCTCAAACAGTGAGGTACCAAACTAGTACTCTAAAATTCAGGCTACTCCGATTGGTGTAAGCTACAGCTCTTGCATCTCACTTAGTGCTGTTCAAAGGTTAGCTTGACTGACACCATCTTTGCCACGATGGACTATTCCCAAATTGGAGATGGAAGGGTTCTCGCAGCGGGCCGACCATCGTGCGCCTAGCCGGATCCCTAGACATTAAGATCATACATCAGACGATACCAACAACATAAGTTGGAAGACAGAGGACGATGATGTGCATTAGCGAGCGTATTCTGTGCAGGAGTCTACTGATGGCCTGCTACATGGCAGTGTTAAAAAGCGTCATCCCACTGCCAAATGTCTGATCGGTTGAGTGACTGAAATCATATTATGATCATATGATGTATGTGGAATGTATTCATTCGTCTTTCTACTAGTACTAGCACAAGAACTGTCAGCACACTTCGATTAAGTTAGTACTTGCACACAGCATGACAGCAGAAGGCTATCGTATAGTCTTTCATTGATAGTATGAAATGAGTTATTCGAACAAAAGCCAAGAGCATGATGGCACGCCGGACTTCAATGCTCCGAAGTTAAAAGTCGCAAGATCAAGTAGAGAGTGACTATGGACAAATTCAGTTGTACACAACCTAGGACAGAATAACTAGCCCAAGTCAAGTACTCTACCGCCACTTACTAGGTTGATCGAGATCACTTCTGAGACTCTTGCTGTGGTGGTTCATGGTCAGGCGTAAATACAGGACACCCATTTCCTCCCACTGCAGCAGTGAGCCTTTATCGGGACTGATAACCCGAGGGACAAACGCTAAGACAAGTAGGGATTAGCGGGAGCAGCCCAGCTGGGTCGACTAATCACGTGCATGTTGCTCGATCCCGGGCTCAAATCAATCGACACAAAGGCACAACTCTCTCGACACAACCACATTGTCATCGGCGTCGGCGGACAACCCACCATGTCCGAGTCTTTCACCCTCCCCCTACGTCCCCTCATCGAGAAGCGCGAGCGGCCGGACACCCTTCCTCTGGAGATCGCGCAGATCAACGCCCAGTGGGGTTCCTTCCGCGATGTCACCGAAGAGAGCCTGCGGGCCAAAATCGAAGAGGAGAAGAACAAGGACCCGTGGGCGGAAGACGAGGAAGCTGAAAAGCCCACCGTCGAGATTGACTCCACGGAACGGGTCGACCAATTATACAAGCGCCGCGCCGAGATCACCCAATTCGCCATGTACGTGAGCAATCCCCGACAGCAAACAGACAGACGATGCTGATGCAAGCGTAGGCAGGCGCACATGGAAGCCTTGTTCGCTCTCGACTTTGTCTCCTTGCTTCTGTCCAAGCACACCCCCCGACAAGCTGAGTTGTCCATGTCGGCCTACCTGAAACAGGTTGCGCCGCTCGGCTCGCTGAACGCCGAGATCGTCAATCCCCCGCCCAAGTCGGAAGCCGCGCTACAGGACATCAAGACGGTCTCGCGGGGCTGGCGGCTACAAAACTTCAATGCCGCCGCGAATAAACTCCTCAAGTCCGCGACCCGGCTCGAGGCCGAGGTCGCGTCGGAGACTAAATACTGGAATGAGGTTCTGGCGGTCAAGGACAAGGGTTGGAAGGTTTGCCGGTTGCCGCGGGACAGGCAGGCGTTGGGTGTACAGTACGGATTTCTTGAAGGTAATTGCTCTACTTCAAATCGGTGTTCCGCTTCGCAGCGTTACTAACGATCATAGCCACTCCGATATTCCGTGATCGCGGCCTGGCGGCATTGCGACGCGCCGAAGATGGGAGCCTGCTGCTAGACAAAGGCTTGATCCCCCAGAGAGCCAGAACCGTTCGAGTGCGGGTCAGAACACAGAAGCAATACACCGGGTGTTCGAAGGTGTCTTGGTCGCTGCCCAGCGAGGACTCGATTGAGCGTCGAATTCTCCAGGCGCGTGACACGGTCTACGAGGAAGAGTTGTTCCATGAGATGGTACGGGAAGCCCGGATCTTAGGGAGCCAAGGCGTGACGACGCGTCAGAACCTCGTCCAGGTCCCCGTCTCAGAGGACCAGGAGATTCTCCTGGATCTGGTGGACGTCGACCAGGGCGAACCAGCAGAGACCGAAACGCACACCAACGAACACGACACCCTTGCAGATGCGGTCGCGCACTCGATCCGGATATTGCTCGCCTATGCCCACAGGCAGAATCTCCGGCGCAGGACACAGCCGCCGCCGCCCCTGTCCCAAAAACGTCGAACCATTCCGGAATACCAGCTGTTGCGGCCGGTAATGGCCTACCTCCAGCACACCGCGCATGTCCGGTCTCTGGAGACTTTTCTAAATGAGATGGCCGAGGTCTTGAAGTCTGCCGGGCTTCGTTGCGAAATCACCGCTGCGCCCTTCGCATCCGTCAGACTTCCCCAGGCACCGTCTTCAGCACCCAAGGTGGAAGCCCTTGTCAGACCATTCCTGATGCCATTCGAATCTACTTTCACCGGCAACCTGATCACACCCGAAAGTTCATTCTGTGTCAAGGTCCGCACCAGCACCGTCGCACCGCCGGCCGGCACCTTCTACGATCTCACCGTCAACCTACCGCATTACCCTGAGGTGAAGCCTCCTAGCCGCATTGGCCTGCAAAACGAGGCAGCTGCAGCCCTCACTCACCTCATCCTACTCGACATTGTCTCTTCTATCGCACGCACAGGGGCAAAACCACCCATGGACGAAGCAGGCAAGGGATTGAGCTGGGAAGTAGCGTACGCGCACCACGGGGAGCTCCGGGCTCTGTCACGCTCCGGGAACAACAAAAAGATGAAAGTCAGTCTTTCGCGGGAAGAGCTGAGGGTGGAAACCTGGCCGTTGCACGGGGTGGGTGTCCCGCGTCGAGAAGAGGACCAGTCCGCTCAGTTGCGCTCGCAGAGCTGGCGCTCCGGTTCGAGTGAACCCTCGCGGCCAAGCTTGATGGAATTTGTGCACGAGGTCTCGCACGATCGGCCGTGAGAACCGTCCTGGCTGATCCCATGCGAGTAGGAGTAAGCCTGACGCGAGTTATTCCTGCGTAGCCTCGCCCATCGCACCGGCGGATTTTAGACCATTGATGATACCCATGAGATAATGCCACGATTCTTCTGATTATAGACTTCGCTTTCAACGACGTATTTCGGAGGGTGATTTGAGTTGGGAGGGCGGCCACTCCTTGCGGCGCGACCAATTAATGCGTTCCACTGGACTCGGGTAAGCGGGACGGGTGAATGGAAGAGCAACTTGAAGTTCATGTGGACGATGAGCTGGACACGGCTGGTGGTGGTGATGATGATGATGATGATGATGATGATGATGTAGGAATGCAGGAGAATGAGAATGATTTTCAGTGATTTGGGTGTGCGACAGTGGGCCGGTGATCCTGGCGGAGAAAGTGACCCGCTCTTGACTCCATCCCCGGTTTCTCCCCGCATTTGGAGGACATCCCTTACTCAGATGAACCAACACCGGTCGTTGAGGCTAGACGAACGGGGTGGGTGAGTGTAAGAGACTCTCATGGAAAGAAACAGACGGAGACAGATACTTGTATAGATGAACAACTTATTGTGAACGATGTCTGACTGAACATACCATGTCCTCGTCAGGGTCTCTCCGACGCTGAACCGAGGCTGATGCGCGTCTGGGGCACAAAGGGCGTTACATAATCTAGCCGGTATGTGGCTGTAATTTACGTTGCTTGACATCTTTGGTAGCTTCAAGCGCAGACAAAACCTCCTCCGGCCCGGTAATGTACAGTACGCGGCCCGCCCTCGGTCCGCTGAGGAGTTGTGCTGCCGAGGCTCTCCCCCGAATTGGCTGGCCTGATCGTCTCATGTGGTTCTTCGCGGTTCTCCGCTCCCTCCACCGACTGCTCTTCTTCTTACTTCTTCCCACTCTCGCTGCTTGACACTTTCTCCTCCTTCACACTCACTTCAACCTACCGCTATCTATCCTCCCTCGTTTCCTAGTCAAGTTGTGAGGGATGTTTACGGCTGCGAGCAGAAGCCGCCTCCCCACTCTCCTACGGCCCCGTCTTCCCCCCACGAATCCACTTCTCGCCAGATCCGCCGTGGTAGGACACCCCGCCTCGCAATAGAGATACCACTGACATCTATTCGGCTAGTCTCCAGTCATGGCTCCCCGGCGTAAAGCCTCGTCTATCCCGGAGGGTAAGTCAACAGTCACCTCCGACCCGCACCGCGCTGACCAGCCAGGATACACCGAAGATCTCTCGAAAGGCAAGATGCTCCGATTTGAAGAATCCCTCCCTCGATTACCCGTCCCCTCGCTGGAGGAGACGGGCCGACGCTACCTCAAGTCCGTCCATCCCCTAGTGTCCGAAGCAGAGTACGAGCGCACCAAGAAGGCGGTCGAGGCGTTCGTGCGTCCCGGTGGAGAAGGGGAGCCCCTGCAGGAACGGTTGCTCGCCCGCGCGGCCGACCCCAAGACCAAGAACTGGCTTCTGGAATGGTGGAACCACGCGGCCTACCTTGCCTACCGGGACCCGGTCATTCCCTACGTCTCCTACTTTTACTCGTACCGCGACGACCGGGCCCGCCGAGACCCCGCCAAGCGGGCCGCATCGGTGACGACGGCTGCCCTCGAGTTCAAGCGCCTAGTGGACTCGGGGGAGCTGGAGCCGGAGTACATGCGCGGCCAGCCCATGGCCATGAGCTCGTATGAGTACATGTTCAACTGCTGCCGGATTCCTGGCGACGGCGTGGACTATCCCCAGAAGTATCCTGCCAAGGACCACGAGCACATTGTGGTGGTGCGGAAGAACCAGTTCTTCAAAGTGCCTCTGGCCGTGAACGGCCGGCCGTTGAACAACTCCGAGTTCCAGCGCCAGTTCGAGCGCATTTATCAGATCGCGCAGCGGTCGCCCCCGGTCGGAACGCTGACGGTCGCCAACCGAGACGCGTGGGCCGACGCCCGGAAGAAGCTGCTGGCAGCTCACCCGGCCAACGAGCAGGCGCTGCGCGATATCGAGTCCAGCGGGTTCGTGGTGTGCTTAGACGACGCGTCGCCCGTGACCCTGGAGGAGCGTGCCCACCAGTACTGGCACGGGGATGGCGCCAACCGCTGGTTCGACAAGCCGCTGCAGTTCATCATCACTGACAACGGCACGGCCGGGTTCATGGGCGAGCACAGTATGATGGATGGCAGTCCCACCCACCGCTTGAACGATCATATCAACAGTCTGATCTTTGGCAACAAGATCGACCTGTCCGAGCAGGCGGTACGGTCCGACCTGCCCGATCCGCGGCCCATCACCTTCCACCTCAACGGGGAGGTGGACGAGGCGATTGAGGCGGCCACCAAGGAGCACCGCCAGCAGATCGCGAACCACGAGCTGCGCGTGCAAGCCTACCAGGGCTACGGCAAGGGGCTGATCAAGAAGTTCAAGTGCAGCCCGGATGCGTACGTGCAGATGATCATCCAGCTGGCCTACTACAAGATGTACGGCAAGAACCGACCGACGTACGAGTCGGCGTCGACGCGCAAGTTCCAGGAGGGACGGACGGAGACGATCCGCACGGTGTCGGATGAGAGTGTGGCTTTCTGCCGGGCCATCAGCGACCCCGCGGTGGCTCGGGAGGAGGTGGTGCGGCTGTTCCGGGCGGCGCTGACGGCGCACTCCAAGTACACGGCCGAGGCCAGTGACGGTCGGGGCGTGGACCGTCATCTGTTTGGGTTGAAGAAGCTGGTGCGCGAGGGCGAGAAGCTGCCGGCGCTGTACGAGGACCCGGCGTATGGGTACAGTGGGTCGTGGTATCTGTCGACCAGCCAGCTGAGCTCGGAGTTCTTCAATGGCTACGGATGGAGCCAGGTGATTGATGATGGGTTTGGAATTGCGTACATGATCAATGAGAACAGGTGAGTTGCCCTCTGGATTTTGAGGCTGGTTGGCCTGTGACTGACTGACCATGGCAGTTTGAACTTCAACATCGTGTGCAAGCGGTTGGGGGCGGAGCGGATGAGCTACTTTCTGAACGAGGCGGCGTCTGATCTGCGGGATGTGTTGATGCCTGATCTGGCTGCTCAGAGCGAGAAGGCCAAGTTGTAAGCTCGACGATAGACCGCGAATGCTGTAGACTGAATGGATGCATGAGAGTGAGTGGATTGAAGAAAGGAATCCGCCCGAGCGGCAAATCGGGTGGAAGTCAGGATGTATGCGCCTCCGATGATGGAAGGGACACCCAGAGGGTTCACCGAGCATAGATGATAAATTTTGGTTCCAATCGGAGTGAGCTCTAGATTTACATGATCGACTATAGCGTAGCAGCATATTATGAAACAGATTGCATCAGTCTTTTTACAATTGGCATGCGCATCACCGCGGAGAAGCTGAGGGAGTAATCTATTAGTATGCAGGAGCATCCGTAAGCGGATGAATGACATCAAAGTGCATGTTGAACAATGAGTATTTGGACATTCCAGTACGACCGGCCAGGACGATCACTTGCGGTCATTAAGTTGTGGTAGAGTGCGGGGGAGCTGAGTTGCACCTCGTTATTATAAAGCATAGCTACCACCCCTCCCTCTTCAAGGCGTCCCTCATTCTCCCCTCTCCAACCCACCCAGACAGATATCCAGCAATCATCACTACCCAGCACCATGTCGAACTACGAACTCCCTTTCAAGGTACGTCGTAGCCTGTGGAGGGTGTGAGGAATAAACTGACCGTGGCAGCTCGACGACCCGTCGATTCTACACTTCGATTCCTTTGTGAACAATGAGTGGGTGACAGCGAAGAGCGGGGAGAGGTTTGAGGTCATCGGTGTGTAAATTATTTATTCGTAGAGAATTGGGGAGAAACCTCCCTCTCCAAATATATTTCTAACAGTCGCAGACCCAGCAACCACCAAACCCTGGACCAGCATCTCCACCGCCACCGCCGCCGACATCCCGCGATACACTCAGACCGCGAGCCGCGCATTCACCACCTTCCGCACGACCCCGGCTCGACAGCGCGCCCAGCTCATCCAATCCTGGGACACGCAGATCCGCACGCACCGCAGTGACCTCGCGCGGATCCTCGTCCACGAAACCGGCAAACCGCTGGCCGAAGCGCTCGGCGAGATCGACTACGCGCTGACCTTCACCTGGTGGTTCGTGGGGGAAGCGGAGCGGATCACGGGGACGATCACGCCCGCCGCCCTCCCCGGGCGACGGGTGCTGACGATCAAGCAGCCCGTCGGGGTGGTGGCGGCCCTCGTGCCGTGGAACTTCCCGGTGGCGATGGTGGTGCGGAAAGCGGCGGCGGCGTTGGCGGCGGGGTGTACGATGATCGTCAAGCCCTCGCCGGAGACGCCGGTGAGTGCCTTGGTGCTCGGGGAGTTGGCGAAGCGGGCCGGGTTCCCGGCGGGGGTGTTCAATGTCGTGACGACGGATCTGGCGCATACGCCGAGTGTCAGCGAGGCGCTGTGTCGGGCGCCGGAGGTCCGCAAGGTGACCTTTACGGGGTCGACGAGGGTCGGCAAGTTGGTCGCCGGCTACTGTGCCGACGGGCTGCGGAAGATGACTCTCGAGCTCGGCGGCAATTGTCCGTTTGTCGTCTTCGATGATGCGGACCTCGACCAGGCGCTGGGGATGCTGATGGCGCTCAAGTGGAGGCATGCGGGCCAGGCGTGCATCGCGGCGAATCGCGTCTATGTCCAGGCCGGGGTGTATGAGCGGTTCGTGCAGATGCTGACGGAGCGCACGCAGAAGGAGATCAAGGTCGGACGGGGCTGGGAGGAGGGGGTGACCATGGGGGCCATGACCACGCCGCAGGGGGTCCAGAAGGCGGTCGAGCAGGTGCAGGATGCGGTGGCCAAGGGAGCGACGCTCGTGCTGGGGGGCGATAGAATCGAGGGCGAGGGGTATTTCTTTCCGCCCACCATCCTCAAGGATATGACCCAGGAGATGCGCGTCTCGCAGGAGGAGTCGTTCGCCCCCATCGCCGCGGTGTACCGGTTCGAGACCGAGGAGGAGGCCGTGCGCTGGGCGAACGATACCGCCATGGGGCTGGCGAGTTATGCCTTCACCAAGAATGCGGATCGATTGTGGCGGCTGTTTGAGAATCTCGAGGCGGGGATGATCGGGTTGAATACCGGGGCCTCGTCGGCGGCGGAGGCGCCGTTTGGCGGCGTCAAGGAGTCGGGCTATGGCAAGGAGAGTGGTAAGGAGGTTGCTGTGAATGAGTACTTGGTGACCAAAACGGGGACGTTGACGGTTGATGGGCATTATTAGGTGGTGATAGTAAGGTGGCTGCTACTCTGGGTTGGAGTGGGGTGGGGAGACGGAATTTGTGGTTGCTGAGTATGGGGGAGCAGTGTATGCAGCAGTCAGATGAAAAAGCCATGGATGGGCTTTTCTTTTTTTTAGCATATTATCACACTAGTACTACCTAGAAGGAAGCATAGAGTCATCTACACATCAGACCCGCTCGACTCGCTGCACCACCATCGCCGTCGCCGCTCCTCCTCCATTGCAGATCGCAGCCACCCCATACTCGCCCGGCTGCAACTGGTGCAGCAGCGTCACCAGAATCCGCGACCCTGAGCTGCCCAGCGCATGGCCCAGCGAGATAGCCCCGCCGAGCGGGTTCACCCGAGCATTCTCCAGTCCCAGAATCTAGAACCATTAGCGCGACTCTCTGCCTCCAAAAGAAAAAGCCTACTCACCTTCTCGTTCGCCTTGATGACCGCAGCAAAGGCCTCGTTGAACTCCCACACCGCAACCTGCTCCTTCGTGATGCCCGCCCGCTGCAGCGCGATCGGCACCGCCTTGGCCGGCGCCACGGGGAAATCCACCGGATCCACCGCCGCATCCGCCGCGGCCACCACGCGCGCCAGCACCGGGTTGCCATCGCCGGCATACTCGCGGGCCACGTCGCGACTGCCCAGCACCAGCGCTGACGCCCCGTCGTTCATGGTGCTCGCATTACCCGCCGTGACCGTCCCCGTGCCGTCGCGGAGGAAGGCGGGCTTCAAGCCCCGCAGCTTATCAGCGCGCAGATTCTCAAATCCCTCATCCTTATCCACCACCGTCTCCTTGCCCTTCTTGTCCTTGATCGTGACCGGGGCCACCTCAGCCGCGAACTTGCCGGCCTGCCACGCGGCCTGCGCGCGCTCGTAGCTGCGGATGGCGTAGTCGTCCTGCTCCTCGCGGCTCACGCTGAGCTTCTTGGCCGTCGTCTCCGCGCAAATCCCCATGTGGATCTGGTTGTACACGTCCCACAGCCCGTCCTTGATCAGCCCGTCCTCCAGCTTGATGTCGCCGAACGGGGGTAGCTGCGCGCTCCGCGGCAGGTAGTACGGCACCCGCGACATATTCTCCATCCCGCCGGCGATCTGAGCGCGCGCCAGCCCCAGCTGGATGTTCTGCGCCGCCAACGCCACCGCCTTCAGCCCGGAGGCGCACACTTTGTTGATTGTCGTGCAGTCGAGCGAGGTGGGCAGGTCAGCGAAGATGGCTGCTTGGCGGGCGGGCGATTGGCCGATGTTGGCGGAGAGCACATTGCCCATGTACAGGTCGGTGATCTCGGAAATCGGGACGTGCGATTTGGTGAGGGCGGCGCGGATGGCGGTGGCGCCGAGGTGGGGGGCGGAGACGGTCGCGAAGGGACCATTGAACTGTTGGGTTAGACATAGATTAGAACTTCATGGCGTTGTGACATACCTTGGCAGTTGGCGTGCGAGCTGCACTCAGGATGTAGGCTTCTTCAATCTGCGAGGGTCGGGTGGAGTGGAAAGTGCGCTGCAACTGGGGGCGTGCGGGGATGGCCCGCATCACACGAGTGGTGCGCTGCATGGTGAGATTGGTTACAAGACGAACAGACAGACGAGAAGAATGTGGGAAATAGGTAGGTATATAATAGTATTATGCTCGTAGCGGATTAGGTGGTAGTGTGGCGTCTGCCTGTGTGGTATATATCAGATAAATGAATGGTAAGAGAAGGAGAAAGAGGAGGCGGAGAAGAAGAAGGCAAGACTCCGCCTCCGCCCGCCTGTAGCCGCTAAGCCGCAGCCGAGGTAACCCCATCACGTGCGGGGTCACATGCGGGGTTCCTCCCCTCCGAGATTCCATCAATTCACAGAGGAAATAAACCGCCCACGAGAGAAACACAAAGAAACAGTCAAGTCGAAAGCCTATACAGCAGATCTATCTCAACAGGAAGTAGGTATATATATCTTAAACCGTCCAACAGTTCTCACTGCCACCGCCCCAATCGTGATCCTCCACTTCGGTCGTTCTCATCCGCGATACGCTCGTCCCCAAGCGACACTCGTCTGCGCGGTCGGGTCCGTCGTTGGCCGACCGGATCCTGCACGCTCTCGTCGCTACGACGCGCAAACGACGACGCCACCAGTCGCGAGCCTCGCTCTCTCAAATCCTGTATCCCTTCCTGAATAATCCGTGGTCGCGCGTGCGGCGGCCAGTGCGGACGAGCAGTGGTTCTCGTGGGTGGACGCTGAAGGTCCAGTTGACTGGGATACGGCGATACGGTGCGAAGACGACCTTGATCGCCCGGAGCCGTGCGTCTACGGAGCATGTGAGCGTCTGCCGAACGACTGCGCTGGTTCTTCGGCCGGACAGGGATTCTGCTTGGGGGCCGTGTAGGGGTCCTAGTCCTGGGGCTCTCCTCGCTGGAACTACTCGTCGTGCCCACAGGGCTGGTCTCGCTCGAGCTGGGTGGGATTTGAACCAGGTTCTCGGCGAAGTGGACATGCCGCGATGGGGTGATGCTGCGACTCCGCTGCGGGGGAGCAGGAGAAGTCGTCCGAAGCTGTGGTGTTCCTGGCGTGGAGCGCACCTTGCGGATCGGCTCGCGCTCAACCACCGGTGAGCGGGGGCGCGGGGGCCGCGCTCTTCTAGGAGGAGTTGCTCTCGGGGCGTTGACTCTGGCTTCGCGGGTCTCCAAGTCGACCGGTCGCGCAGGGTGGGATCGCGAACGAGGCCGGATTATCTGCTTGATTGCACGCGTCAGACGACTCTTTTGAGACGGCATTGGCTTCGTTACCACTTCAGGAGGCCTCGCCATCGGCGCGGTGGGTCGCCATCGGGGTTGCAACACTATGACCTGCTTGACCACACGTGAGAAACAACTCGTTTGGTTATTAAGGGGGAGAAGTCCCACTGGTGAGGGTGTTGCCGGACGAAGACGTCCTCGGGGTAGGCGTTCATCAAGCCGCTCTCGCAGGGCTTGCGGGCCCGGGCGCGAGGCGGCAAAGCGAATGGTCGGAGGGGATCTTGAAGGAGGGGCCCTGTACGAAGTCTGGCGTCGCACTGGAGACACCGGGCGGGGCTCACGGCGCGGCGGGTCGACAATAACGGGCGGGCGCCCCCATTGTCGGCCACGCGGCGGAAGCCGCCGTAGGAGTTCATCGTCGGACGAGTCTGGCTGGCGCCGAAGAAACGGGAAACGAAACCTGAAGCTTCCACTGCGCTTACGGGTGAGTCTCCTAGGCATACCGGGCGCTCCGTCTGAGTCTCTCATCTCTCCGTGGTCCCACTCGACGCTGGTCTGAGTTTTGCTCCGGCACAGCCCTATCCTGCCCCGGGAGCAGCGGTCCACCTTATGCTCGATGTGCCTGACTCCCCCCGGATGAATTTCGATGAACTCGCTGATGCGACACATGGTTAGAGACTCGGACCTGCCGTGTACAAAATACAAGGGGGTATATTACTTGATTGTAGGTGGGTACTGGGTAACTGGGTCTGATGGCTGTGGTCGACAATAGAATGGCCGTATGGCAGCCAGTTATACTGGCAGGGGACAGACTCGACTACGAAATCTGCCGTCAGAGACAAAGGAGGCGCATCATCCTCGTAGAGAAGCTTGAACAATAGGCGTTGCATTCGAAGTCTTTGTGTAGACGGTGGGCTGGTCGCAACAAAGTTAGCCGCAGTGAAAGGAACGAGTGCTTCGACAGTCCCGGTCGACATGTGGTAGGAGTCATGGGTTCACCGCGCCTGATAACGAAAGGAGCAGCACAGAGGAGGCATGGGTTGCAAACACAAGGGAAAAGGGAAAACGATAAAGCGCGAGTCAAAGACCAAAACAGCACGCCATGAGGAGCAGGGTCAAAGGAATTATATCTCTTGCATTTCATGAGGAGCACCTGGCCGGGAGATCACCGGATTGTGCCCTGGGCCGGGCTATTGCCGCCCTTCTAGTAGTCCTGGTTCCCCAGCCTACGTGTGGCTGTGCAGGGAAAATTGATAGGCAATTCATTTGCAGTGCTCGTATCTGGTCGGAGAGTGTCCCAGCCTTATTGTGACTGAGAGTCGGTCACGGGTGTCCTTCATCCTATCATCCCGGCCAAGTCACCCGGGCATCGAACGAACAGATGACATGACATCAGCGGGTTGCGTCTGGCGGTGAGCAATGGTGACCATCATTTGGAGTCTCCGGTATCAGCTGGGATATGAGATGAGCATTCAAATCCCCAGGGACCAATTGGACAAACTCGGACGTTCTCGTCACAGGAAAACCAGTGGGTGGTGTTGGTGCCTGACAAGCCACAGTTCCTTTGCCAGCCTCGTGCTGTGGCGCTAGCGATAAGATCTGACCAATCTTTGACCTGTTGGTTGGGACGACTTATACAGAGAGAGGCTGTTGGTTTTTGCAGGCGGTACGGTCCGATGCGTAGAGGACATATTACTAGTTACTAACTAGTATTCATATTCTCAATGGATGTGATGCCGCAGGCGCAGCCAGTCTGAGCCACGATCCTTCCAATAACTATAGGTAGTCTCCAATAATGACAAGTCTCACGAAAAGAAGAGCCCAATACACGAACAACACCCCAACCCACACTCGTGCGCTTTCTAGAATAATCGCCGCATAACAAAGTACGTACTAACTAACTAACCCTCCACATCCACCACCTGTCCCGTCCTCAACGCCCTTCCAATCGCCTCCACCACCAGCAACGCCCTCAGTGCCTCCTCCCCCGTACAAACCGGCTCAACCTTCCCTTGGATGACCTCCACAAAATGCGCCAACTGCAGCGCAAACGGCGTCGGGCTCGTCCTATCCACCTCTCGCCGCTCCACCACCAACTCCTCACTCCAACTCCTCTCCGCCCGCCCCTCATAACTCCACCGCCGCATATCCGGCACACTCAACGAGCCCCGCTGCCCGAAGATCCGATAAAAGCCCTCCGCTCCCTCCCCCTGCACTTGCGGGATGAGCGGGTTCTCGCCCGTGCCCGCCTCGAAACTCCACGGCGAGGGCGTCGCATCGCAGACGAGGAAGGTGCCGACCACGCCGGAGGCGAAGCGGAGGGTGATCGCAGCGCCTTCTTCGGCGGCGTGCGGGGGTGAGGGTCGGGTCGGGGCGGTTTGCTCGGCAAAGACGCGCGTGATGGGTCCGAAGAGGTAGTGCAGGAGGTCGATGTCGTGGATCAGGTTGATGGCGAGGACCCCGCCGCCGGTTTCGGTGCTGCGGCGCCAGTCGCCGGGCGGGGCGAAGTAGGTGTCCGGTTTGTAGAGGGTCCAGAGGCCGTTCAGGGCGATGATCGGGCCCAGGGCGTTGGTGGTGAGAAGCTGCTTGGTGGCGGTGATGTAGGGGTTGAAGCGGCGGTGGTGGCCGATGAGGAGTTTCGGGGAGGTCGGGGTCAGGGTGGAGAGGAGGGCGCGCGCGGTGGATGGGTCGTCGCTGATGGGTTTCTCGAGGAGGACGTGGATGTTGTTGCTGAGGAGGGTGGTGGCAAGGGGGATGTGTGTGTGGTTCGGGGTGCAGACGATGGCGGCGTCAGGGCGCGGGATGGATGGGGATGCAAGGAGGGCGTCGAGGGAGGGGAAGTAGAGGGTTTGGAGGGTGGCGGCAGTTTGGGCGGCGGAGGGGGAGGGGTCGATGAGGGCTAGCAGGTGGGTAGAGGGGTTGGCTTGCACGGTTTGCGCGTGGCGAGGCCCGATGAGGCCGGCGCCAACGATGATGATGTTGAATGGCATGGTGGTTAGGGTTGGGGGATGGTAGTACTCGGCAGGACAGGACAGTACAGTACATACTGTTAAATGGGAGGTCAAGCGTAGCGGGCTACTTATACCTCGTCCAGACCGCTGGATCCGGGGTAACCGAGACCCTGAGTGGGTCGCGCCATGGCAGGTCTGAGTCACAGACCCATCTGTTGCGGATAATCGGATTGCAGATTGGGATACGCAGTGGCAGTAGACTGACCGGGTTGTCTAGATTGGGGGAATAAACGAGATGCGGGGATGAGGTCTTATCCGGAGTGGAGTGGGATATAGACTCAGGGAATTCGACTCGGCATTGTGTGCAAGATTCTCCTATCTAGGCCATGTTACCCCTTGACTCATTTTCCAAGCCGCATTTGTTTCTTCAGTCACTGATAAAAAGACCAGCTTCGAGGAAGGAAAGCTCGAAAGGAGCTGATCTACATCACTGCATACTTACATGCGACCGTACTAGACAACCTTTCATAGTAGTAGTATCAAACACCAAAACCCGAGAAATGTATGTAATGACAGTTAAAGAAGCATCACAATCGTGACTGAATATGGACAGAATACTCTATGCCTCCAAGAAGCCTTCATGCATTGGCAGCACCGCTCTTCAGCTCAACAAGATTATCTCGGTCGAATGATTTCCCCACCATTGCGCTCATTCTTCGCCTTCCTTTTGCAATCAACCGGTCTTGGTCTTGTCACAAACATAATCATTCAGTTCGAGACCATCAATTGTATCTCGATGCCCGGAGAACAGATGCTGGAATGAAGACTGCTGACAGCTGTAGCTGTGATTGTCTCTATAAAACGACGATCGTTCAACTAAATCTGGACAAATCCAAGATTTTGCATCGCTGATCAGACGTCTGTAGCTGAAGCTTGAGAAAGGCGGCACCGGCAATTGAAGCAGAGAATTAGACTGCAAATTCTTGCTCAAAGCTCCGTACATGATACACCTGCATTCATAACTGCAACCCCGTATGTCGTGGAGATACTCATCACGCATTGTATGAAGTTCGTGAATAAATGCACCAATAGCTGTCTCTCTGCGGTCATTTATTGATTCTGATTTGTTGTTATTAAGGTAGTTCATGTGCGGCAGAAGAAAGGTGTGTGCTCACTCATAAGAGAAGTCGGAATCGGAAGACCAAGATTACTGATCCGATCGGTGCTGCACGAGATGGCAGTTGAGGTCGCTTGATTGAACCACCCGGGAACTTGAAAAAAGCACGAAACCCAGATCCAGAGAGTCAGGTCCCTGGAGGATGGTGTAGGGATAGGTTCAGCTAGTGCGGGGATCCAAATGCTGGCAGGCAGATTGATAGCTTCCTTGCATTCATAATAATCAGTGATAACAGCCACTTTTGCAAGCATCTCTAGGTCCAGCTTCTGCGGTATATGAGAGAATTGACAGTGAATTACGCGAAGGACGATCAGGAGAGCTTCGAGATCCCAACTCTCTGCCTCGATCTCCACAGAGCCTTGTTTTAGATATTGGACGCTTTCCTTCCAACCGCCCGTCAAAATCCTTTTGAAGACAGAAGAGGCTAGAATCAGATGCTTGGCAGAGACTTGAATGCGAAAGCACGGTTCAGCGGGTTTGTCATCGATATCAGCGTGTAGTGGGTTCTCGAGAATAGACTCATTCACAGCATGGTCCATTTCGACAGGATCCTCGAAAGGCGCAGGCAGTTCTTCAGGCCCAGCTTCTTCAGGCACAGCTTCTTCAGGCACAGCTTCTTCAGGCACAGTTCGCAATGGAGGCTCCTCGGCAGGAGTCAATTCGTCGGCGGCCCCCTCTACCTGTGGCGGGTTCACAGTTGGCTTCTGCAAATGTGATTCGGCATTACCATTTCGAATAACTCCAGCGATACTTCCCATACTATCCGCCTCGGTCGAGGGAGGAGAGGGACTCTGCGTTATTTCCCGTGCACCTGTCTCTGCAAATGAAGAATTCGGATTGCGCAAGACTATGATTGCCTCCCCATCAGGGTCGATGATATGAGTCGGGCTATTCATCTTGGCTGCACAGGGTGGTTTCTTAGAAGCGGATATGAAGTAGTCAGAGTCGGCGGGAATATCGAAACAAGGAACCGGTGAAGATGAACCTCATGATGTTTGTTTCCAACCTATATGTAGTCCTGATTCTCTCGTTCCACCTCGAACGTGGTGAGTGATAATTGGCAATGGAATTTTCTTATCCCTGTGGAGGTGTGTTTGTAGCTAACAACCCCGCACACCGAGGAATTGGTCGTGTTTGGCATCCATTGGTTCAGGGCCACGCATTGTTTGACCCAGCTGTTATCAGTGACATAGACATAACAGACACAACGAGTTATCTCTGATTTCTGTTTGATAACAGTGCTATTTGGAAGTCTCAGCATGGCATGACTTGGGGGATGGGCTTGTGTATCGCAGACAAGGTACTAATGCAGAAAACCTGGAACGGCGAGTCCAGCGAGCTTAGCAGCATCGGTGTGAAACCGTCATTAAATACGACTTGCATGTCGTCCAATCTAGCCGAATGTGTGGACCGTGTTTAATTCCTCCCTACTGTATACTGATCGCATACAACGGGAGACAACACCGCCGATCCCCGGCAGAAAGGGGCGATGCGGGGGAAATGCCTGAGGCTATTAGAGAACATGTTTGCACTGTTGCACCATCTGGACCACGGGAGAGTCTTGGCTCTTGAGAGGGTGTTTTCTTGGCATGGACACTGCCACTTCCTCCTCCTCCTCCTCCTCCTCCTGGAATTCTCCGGCTGCAGTCAACCCAAGGAGATGACAGTCTGAGCAGAATACACCCGATGGTATCATCGAGAGACTCTCGGGTAACTAATGGTAGCCGTCATTTCAGTCTTCACTCCCGACTAAAGGACCAAATAGGTCAATCATGGCCCCGTCGACCCCGGATCTCCGCCTAGCGGACGACTCTGCCGCCCCGGTCGCCAAAGAAACCTCTTCCCTGAATCTCTTCACCACCAAGTTCGACTGCATCATCCATGCACCAACTGTGGATGACCTACGTGCTATCTACAACCCCGTCGTTGCTCTCCTCGAGACAGGTATCCATAATGGTCTCTGGTGGCTAGACGTGACGGCGGCCTCCGATGAGGACATTGAGACGCTCGCCCGCAGCTTCGGTCTCCACCCCCTCACTATCGAGGACATCACCGTGCGCGAGACGCGCGAGAAGATTGAGCTCTTTGACTCATACTACTTTCTCTCGTTGCGGCCTCCCAGCTCCCTCAAAACCGAGGAAGGTGTGCACATTGTTTCGCACAATCTCTATGCTGTCGTCTTCCGAGAAGGCGTGCTCAGCTTCAACTTCGGGCCCAGCTCGCATGCGGACCAGGTCCGAAATCGCATCAGGGAACACCGCAGCCATCTATCATTGACGAGTGATTGGATCTGCTACGCTATCATGTACGAAGCTCTAACTCCTCTGCGGAACGCAAACTAACTCTCATCTCCTAGTGACGCGATCGTTGACGGCTTTGCTCCCTTCATCGCCCGCGTGGAAACCGGCGTCGACCTGATGGAAGACCACATCGCTGTCACCCGTCCGGACGAGATCGGTCTGGCCCTACAACAGATCTACACATGGCGCAAGGAGGTGATTCAGATTCGGCAGCTACTGCATGACAAGACGGATGTGATTCGGTGCTTTGCACGACACTGTGACGCGCTGGCGGCTGCTTCTACGCAGGTGGCGCTATATCTCAGTGATATTTCCGACCATGTGGTGACCATGATGGCCAACCTGGAGCAGGCCGAACAGATGCTGTCCCGGTCGCAGTCGAAGTACTTATCGCAGCTGCACTTCGATTCCGGGCGCATGCGCAATGAGATTGCGACGGCGCTGAGCCGGCTGACCGTAATGGCGGCGACACTCGTGCCAATGCAGTTCATTACGGGGCTATTTGGCATGAATGTCATGGTTCCGGGCAAAACGGCAGCAGGACTGGCATGGTGGTTTGGAATTCTGGGGGTCATGTTGGGCTTAATCGTGCTTTTCTTGATAGCGGCAAAGAGGATGAGGTTGTTCGATCGATAAGTACATTCTCGACTCGCAAGTTATCACGGCTACTGCAGCACCTGCCACTTTTCTAGTTATCCTTCAAAACCGCCTCTACGAGCTCTGCCTGCCGGGCCAACACCTCTTCTCTCAGCCGCCGTCCGACCAATTGCACATGACAAGGCGCTCCCTCCACCTCCTTTGGTTGATCTGCAGGTACTTAGCTTGACTATTCTGCTCACTGGTGAGATCACTTACAGGGAGGCCGATATATCACATCCTGTCTCACCCACTCTCGATCGGCTTGTGCATCCGATTTGCCGAACGGAAGCACGCAGCTGGGGCTCTGCAGAATGGATTAGCGCTGATCAGCCATAGCCCTTCCACCCCAAACGACGCTAGGTCAGAACATACATCTACCAGATTCCAAAACACTGTATACCACGCGTGAGCGTATCTATCATGCACCAAGGCGCAGCTCTGGTACGCCGGTGCCAGAATCAGATCCAACTTATTCTCCACGAACACTCGACGCGTCTGCGCGGTGATCTCTGCTTTCCTGGCGGTTAGCCGGAACAGATCATCCAGAGTAGGCGCAGGGTTCGGCTTCTTGTCCCCATTGACAATCCCCAAGGAAGGAACAAGTGGCTCCCCCGCCGCAGTCAGATGAGAGATCGCGGTCCGGTCAGCGTCAAGACCGAACAGTCCGAAGGCGGTGTCATTGGCCTCCTCCATCAGAGGTAGCTGTGCGGTAATGTCGACAATCTCATGACCAGCTGCCGCGAGCTTTTCGGCTGCCCGATGAAGGGTGCGTGCGATATTCGGGTGCAACGGAAGCTTAGGGTCGGCCGTGAAGAGCCCAATCCGAAGCTTGTCGCTGATGCTGGGTACAGTCCAGGGTATACCCAGTGCGACATCATCAAAGTCATCCGGGCGCACATTACAAACGGTTTGCAGGAAGAGAGTGGCATCGCGTATGGAGTGGCAGATCGGTCCCGCTACCGCCGAGATCCCTGAGAGGTAGCCCGGTTTTCCCGCATTCAAGATACCAGAGTACGGGACTCGTCCCATCGAGGGTTTGAAGCCAACCAGCCCGCAGCAGTGCGCGGGGATGCGAATCGAGCCCGCGATATCGGACGCCACCCCCAGCAAGGAGCCGCGGAGCGCGATCAGCGCGCTCTCGCCCCCGGAACTACCCCCAGCGGTGAGCGTGCGGCGGTGAGGGTTGAGCACGCGGCCGAAGACGTTGTTGTGCGAGTCCGCCGTCATTAGGGTTTGGGGGATGTTGGTCTTGACGTAGACGACTGCCCCGGCTGCAAGAAGCACGTCCACGAGCGGGCTGTTGGCGGTGGCAGGGGGTCGGTCCAGGAAGGAGACATATCCTAGAGTGGAGGCGACGCCCGCTACATGCAGCATGTCCTTCAGACTGATAGGTAGACCGTGTAGCGGGCCGACTGGCTGGCCTGTCGTCGCTAGATGCGTGTCTAGCTCCTGCGCTCGGATCAGGGCTTGATCGAAGAAGGTCTCCGTCAGGCAGTTTGTGAGCTGCTGGGCGATGGCCGCGCGTTTGCAGAAGGCAGTCGTCACCTCCACGGCGGAGTATTTACCGGCAGCGATCTGGGCCAGTAGTGCGGTGGCGTCGACGGTCTCGGTGATGGCGAGTTCGCGCTCGGTCAAGAGGCCACAATCGCGGGGCACCGACAGGACGTTCTCTGGAGACACGGGGTCGGCGGTGGCCAGGAGGTGGGCGGGCAGTCGCCATTCGGCCGGGATTTTGGCTGCCGCTGCGGCCTGTTTGGCTTGGACTTTCTGTTGCCAGGTAGGAATAGTACTAGTCATGTTGGGCTTGTGGTGGTTTTATACAGTGAGAAATCTAATGAATGGGAGGGGGGTTGACTGATATATCGAGCGGTGTTGCTGGCGTGCGGGGAAGAGGGGTTGCTCCGACCGGCGAGCCATGCAGTGTTCTGTGCCTTGGAGTGCATGATACCGTGGATGAGCGTTGGGCAGCTGATATGGCCGTTAGTCTTTTAGGCGAATAGACTTCCCTGTCTTCTTAATGAATCTCTGCTCGATGTGAGTTGCGACGAAATATATCTCTTTTCTAGTTGGGGTTATGCTGCATTCGGAGTTGATTAGTCATAATGCACAATAATGCACAGTAATGCACAGTAATGCATCCACCAAAGAGGGACAAAAAGCCTACGAGGTAGGATTGAGATGCTTTCACACTTGAACGACACCATCTGATCATTAGATACATGAAATCTCACTGCACATCCATTGCTGTCACAGCCATTCTTGGTGTGTTGTCTGCCTCTATGAATGTCCACGCCCTTGCAATGACATGATCCACTTTTTTTTGCAGTGCAGACCCATGTTTCTGGGATGCTCCTCCGCCGATAACCGCCTGAGTGAATCATCCTTACTGTAGGAAGATTCAAGAATTTCTTCTCTCTGACACTTTCTCCCATCTCAGCGCTCTCGCCTTCTAGCTTGAGCCCGTCTCAACTGCTCGTTTCAGACCTCGACTGCAGCTTCACGGCACCCAACCACCCCATGGCGTACACATCCACCACCACAGCAGTCGAATGGCAGACCGGCCCAGCCATCGAGCTGGAGTCGCGCGCCCCCAAAGTCTCTGTGATCGCGCCCACGTCCGATGTCGATGCCATCATGCAAGCCTCGGCGCAAGCCGACGCCGAAGTCCCCGACGGCGGCACAGGCTGGGTCGTCATCACTGGCTGCGCCGTGATGACCTGGTGGATGATTGGCACCTCCTACTGCTGGGGGGTGTTTCAAGCCGCCCTGGTCAAGGATGGACTGGCGTCGGCGTCGACGTTGGCATTTGTCGGCTCGCTGGCCACCGCCTGCATTTCCTTCTTGGGGATTCCGAATGCGCAGCTGATCCGCAAGCTGGGGACGCAGACCAGCGCGTTGATGGGGGTTTTCTGTCTGGGATTGGGGTCGATTCTGAGTGGCTTCTCGTGTCATAACATCGCCGGCCTGTTCATCACGCAGGGGGTGGTGTTTGGCGTGGGGATCAGGTAGGTTTCCCCATCAGTCTCACCACAGCAACCAACTACTGCGATGTTGACAACAACAACCACAAATGTTCAGTCTCTGCTTCATGGTCGTCTCGACAATCCCCGCGCAATACTTCAAAGCCAAGCGCGGCATGGCCAACGGGATCGTCTACGCGGCCGGCGGCCTCGGCGGCACCGCGCTCAGCTTCCTCATCAACACCCTGCTCAATAGCGTGGGCACCGCCTGGACGTTTCGCATCATGGGCTTCATGACCCTCGCCACGGGTCTTCCGGCCGCATGGCTCGTCCAGCAACGCATCCCCATCCCGCGTGCCGCCTTTGTCGAGTGGTAAGATCCCCCCTCCTGTCAACAATAAAACCAGCTTCGCGAGACTCACACAAGCAAGGCGCCTCTTCCGCGATCTCCGCTTCTGCCTACTTTTCGCCGTCGGCGCCATTGCCACCTTCCCTCTACTGGTGCCCCCGTTCTTCCTGCCGCTGTATGTCAACTCGCTCGGCATGGGCTCCACCGCCGGCGCTGGGGTTGTGGCCGCCTTCAACTTCTCCTCGGCGCTGGGCCGTCTCACCTGCGGGTTTGCCAGTGACACGATCGGCCCTCTTAATACCCTATTCGGCTCGTTGCTGCTGTCCGCGCTGAGCATGTTGATCATCTGGCCGGTGTCGACCTCGATCGGCCCGTTGATTGTCTTTGTGATTATCAATGGTATGTCGAATGGGGGGTTCTTCTCGACGATTCCCACGGTCGTGGGGAATGTGTTTGGCTCGGCCAGGGTGGGGGTTGCGATGGGGATGATTGTGACAGGGTGGGCGGGGGGGTATCTTCTCGTACGTTTTTTTTTTTCCTTCTGCACTTGGATTCGCAAGAGCTATGCTGACTCATGCTGATTCCTGTTAGGGCTCGCCAATTGCGGGTTACATTCTGGATGCGTCTGGGGGCGAGGGGGCAGGGACCCAGGCGTACCGGCCCGCGATTCTATACGCCGGGTTCATGGCGCTGGCAGCCACGGTGTTGTCTGTGGGGATCCGTGTGAAGACGAGTGCGAAGCTGGGAAAGCGGGTATAATGTTACAAGAAGCGGGGGGAATCGACACGTCGACGAGATTCGATTAATCTTAACCGCGCGTACGATAAAAGCTATCATCCACTGCATATGCTAGAACACACCCTCCTCACTCGGGGATCGGATGCTCCTCCGCGGACACCCCAGCATGCCACCGATACTGAGCTGCGGGATGATCCTCCGGGGGCCCTGTCTGCCCGCGCCGGCCATAGAGATTCTCGCGATATGTGCCGCGGGGCACGGCGTAGTCCTCCCAGAAGAGCCCGCGTCTGCGCAGCTCGGGCAGGAGGAGGTCGATGATATCCTTGAACGAGCCGGGCATGATAGCGTATGCCTGTCAATTCATCATCAGTCTTGTGTTTAGTACAGTACACACGTAGACACCCGTTGCTCCTTCTGGGTTGATAAGGGAGGTGGCATACCAAATTAAACCCATCGACATCCGCCTCTTCGACCCATCGCTCCATTTCATCCGCCACCTGCGCTGCGGTGCCCACCGGGGTCGCCCCCAATCCTCCCACCGTGATATGTTTCCCCACGGTCGTTTTCGTCCATTTCGCAACCTCGGGCGTAGCTTTCGACCAGCCTTCCACCGCAGACCTGCGCTTGTCAGCTCGCGCCCCAAGAACCCCAGCACTCAAAAGAGAGGGGTCGGGAAAAAAGTGTAACATACCGAATAGCATTACTCTCCACGTTCCTCAACTCCTCCTCCTCTCCATACTTCGCCAAATCAATCCCCGTCCACCCGCCAAACAAGGCCAACGCCCCCTCCACATCCCCATAACTCTGATACTCTTCGAATTTCCGCCGGGCTTCCTGCTCCGTGCGCCCCAGCACCGGACACAACAACGCCAGGAACTTAATCGCCCGCCCATCCCGCCCGAACTTCTCCGCCGCGAGGGTTCTGATGGCCGCGATGTTGGCTTTCACGGTACTGGGCGAGTGGCCCGCGACGAAGACCGCCTCTGCGTGCTGCGCGGCGAACAACTGCCCGGATTTCGAGGTGCCGGCTTGCAGGATCACCGGGGTGCGCTGTGGGGAAGGCTGGCAGAGGTGCGGGCCGGGGACGGTGAAATATTTGCCGGCATGGTGGATGGGGCGGACGAGGGAGGGGGAGGTGTAGGTTTTTGTGGTTGGGTTGAGTTGTACGGCGTCGGTGCGCCAGGAGGATTCCCAGAGTTTGTAGGTGGTGGTTATGTATTCTTCTGCGAGAGCGTAGCGGTCGTCGTGCTGAGGGGGGGTGGGGTTAGTTTTATAGTCAAGTCAATCTGCTGTTTGGGCGGCGGAGGGGGGCGCGCGTACTTGGGGTTGGGCACTCAGCCCTAAATTCCGTGCTGCGGAGTCCAGGTAGCCTGTCACGACCTGTTCCCCTTATTAATTAGTTATATGTATCACGCAGGTGAAATGCTAACTAGAGGTAGTGGTAGGGGACGTACATTCCAGCCAACACTATCCCATCCCATCCCCACTCCATCAGTATATATTCTCGATCGTTGGTTTTTTGGGGAAAGACATACCGCCCCTTCGTCAAATGATCCACCGTCGACAACCGCCGTGCCAGATGATACGGCTGCTCATATGTCGTCGCCACCGTCACTCCGAACCCGATGCTTTTGGTGACTGCCGCCATGGCCGGCACCACCGCCAGCGGCTCGTTGACCGGCCACTGCGCGCCGGACGCGATGGCTGGATCGAGGTTACGCGGGCCTTTGTAGACGTCGTAGCCGCCTATATCCATACCCCAAGTGGTTGTTAGTGTATTGGCGCTAATGCCATAGTATATACTGTAAGTAAGCCTTTGGTGTGGTAGACGCACCAAGAACATCAGCAATGAAGATCCCGTGAAACTTGGCCGCCTCGAGCATCTGCGCGAGTTCCGTCCAGTGCTCAATCTCGTTGAAGCGGTGCGATTCGTCCTCGGGGTGGCGCCAGAGGCCGGGGGATTGGTGGCCGCTGCCTGTGAGGGGGGGTTAGTGGTTACTATCTTGAATGTATGATATTGAGACCGGGGGTGGGGGGCAGGGGAGTGGTACACATCTCGACAAAGGCATTGAGGATGAGGGACTTGCGGGCTCGCGGGGAGCTGGGTGTTTCGTTGGCCGTCATGCTGTGGTGGGTGCGGTATGAGCTGGTTGCTTTTCAGTGTCGAGAGACAATAGTCGCAAGTTCTTTGCAGGTTCTTAGATGCAGCAAGCGCACCTTTGTAGTCGCTGCGGAAGTCGATCGCCGTAGCATCAATGTGGGCCGGGATGGCGTGATGGAGGGGATGTTTGGAGACTCGGGTGCGTTGCATACATGTGTATACACGGTTATGGGGACAGCATCGGTCAATTAACCCTGGCTATCGATATCTACCCGCGATAATAGCCAACGAAGCTACGCTATAAACTGGGTCGTCGAACGCTGATGCTGACAGGCTAGGGCTGGGTTGGCCCTACTTTTGGGTCGATGCCGCCAACCCCCATCACTGTCACGCAATAGCCAATCCTTTGCAGTGTCGGCCGAGAGAAATAGATCAATATCGGCCCAAAGCTAGTACCTCATATACATCTACGATTGTACGATATGAGATGCTAGAGATGAGACACGGTGGGTGCAATTATGCGAAGCGGTCGTATGCTTAGTGTGGAGAGTACTCTGATTTACGTACTGTTGCTGCATGACCCACTCTCGATCGGTAAAGCACAAGGCTGCTATAATCAGAGCAACTCACTGAACTGATCGACTCAATTCAAGTGTCCGCGCTGGACAAACACCGAAATAAATGGTATTTCGCCACGACTGAGTAAACGCATTACTCACATCGAGGATAACCCCCTCATGAAGCTTTATCCTGTCACGCATCGCCAAACCGAAATCAAACTTTAGCCGCGACATCCGCGCGCTCCTCATGCGTTGCCGTCCCAAAATGCTCCTCCGCATGCTCCTGCTTCTCATTGACAACCAGATCCCGCTGCTCCGCATCGCGATTTCCGTACCTCCCAATCTTGTACCACGGCAGCTCGAACAGCCGGTCCATACTCTCCAGGCTTCGTCCGGCCGTCTCGGGCACACTGAACCAGACCCACAGCCCCCCGAGCACAGTGACCGCGGAGAAGAACCAGAACGTCCCCTTGGGCGTAATACCCCCATCACCAGTCCCAAGCAACATGTTCGGCACAGCGCGGGAGTTTCCGTACTGGTTGACGAAGTGCAGCGTCATGGCCGCTGAAGTAGCCAGGGCCCGGATGCGGAGCGGGAACAATTCTGCCGTGAGAAGGTATTGCATTGAGTTCCAGCCTAGTGCCCAGCCCACACCCGAGATGTAGATCATGGCGATGGCACCCCGGCTGATTCCCTTCTTGGACTCAGGAAGGACGAAGGAATCGTCGAGGCCCATCTTGGGGACATCGGTGAGGAAGGCGGCGATGTAGATCATGGCAATGGCTTGAAGGGTGATTCCCAATAGTAGGGCGCGTTTACGGCCGATGACATCGACAAGAAAGAGAGCGCAGATGATGGCGGCCACCAGCTTGACGATACCAAAGACGGCAGTCACAAGGAGCGACTCGTTAGAGCCAGTAATCCCAAGGAGCTTGAAGAGGTCGGGCGCATAAAGAGTGATAGAGCCAGCGCCGGACCATTGTGACAGCAGTTGTGCCATGGCAGCCAGATATAGGCGGTAGAGGTTGCTGGGAAGCAGGAAGGCTTCTTTAATGATGCCAAACCAGCCAGCACCCATGGTGGCTTCTAGTTCAGCCTGATGGGCTTGCTGAATGGCAGTTATCTCTCGCACGACATACTCATGGTCTTGTGGCAGGCCGCGGATGCGTGATAGGTTACGCAAGGCTTGCTCATGTTTGCCTTTCCTGATGAGGAATCGCGGGGACTCGTATTGGAGGAACGAGAGGATAATAATCAACCCGGCGAACATAATGTGCAAGCTTGTGGGGATTTCCTAGGACAAGTCAGCTTCACTGCCGTCATAGCAATCGTGATGACACGTACCCATCGCTTATGTGTGTTGTCTCCAAGGTTCACTTGGCAGCCGTAGTTGGTAAAGTAGGCGAGGACAATTCCGAGATAGACGAATCCGGTAAAGACACAGGTACACAAGCCTCGGATGGATGCAGGCGCCTCCATCTGGTTAGTGACGATTGCAGTCCATGTTGTGGCGGAACCTCACTCACAATTTCCGCCAGATAAACAGGTCCGACCACGACCGTCTGGCCGACGCCCAACCCAGCGACAAAGCGACCGGCATAAATCGCACCTAGGTTCCCATTGGCTCCCATAAAGATAGCAATGCCGATGATCCACAAAACACACAGTTGGCGAGTAGCCCAGATCCGACCAATGCGGTCACAGACCAGGAAAGCGCTGCGGAGAATCTTGTATGAGCAAAGAACACGTCCAGGGAAGCCGAAGACTTACAAGAGAGCACCACCAACCGAGCCAATCTGCACCATAGCCGACACATTGGCTTTGATGTTGGTCTGTTCGACTGCGCTATATGAGCTGTAATGGATGGTCCTTTTGAAGTCTTGGGAGTTGAAAGCGCCCGAGATCAGCCCCTCATCCACCCCGCGGGCAGCGCCCATCAGACCAAAGGAGATAACGGCGAACCATAGCTTCCAGTTGAAGACCTCCTTTGGATCACCCAGATTCCTCAAACGGAAGATATTGACCGGTTTCTTGGAGCCGGCCATAGTGTCACCGACAGAAGCAATGACTTGGACTCGTGTAATGACAGAGAGGTATGATGAAAACGTAGTCGTAGTGCGCACCCGGCCGCTTTTTTATAAGGGCCCATTAGGCGGATGAACTCCGTGCCAGAACCCCGTACAACACCAACAACGGTGATGTGGAGTGCTTCGAAAGGGCTCGAGAAGTTTGTGGATGCGAGGCGCCAATCATTTCGATCCTCTGACAAACTTACGTTGGTGATTAAATGGGCCGGGCAAGGAGATGCAGGTTGCCGGTCAGTCTATCTGGTATGTCCCCTGTACACTGTCCGAGTTTTCATGAGGAGCTTATCAAGGAACGCACTAAAAGCTCCGCTTGACTGGCAAACCAAGACCCCTCCCCCGCCCGGCTCCCCCACGCTCTCGCACAGGGATAGTGAGGCCTGCGACAGCTTTTCCCCAGATGAGGGGAGTTGCTCGTTCTTGGACAGGCGGGGAAACCGCGTACATTGGCTTGGCGGAGGGTGGTTCGGTCAACTTCCGCGCAGGCATTCCGAGCAAGTGGAGAAGAATAAGCCGGCAGAAACCTGGGGAAGGGCTCCATTGACCGGGGAAATTATGGGGAACGGCGTGGGCTTGCGGGTCACGCGAACTGCGAAGCGGCCAGCTCACTGAATTGTCCCCGCAGAAACACTAGTCCTGATACCACCTCATATGGTGGCCGGGTGATCAGCAGCTTATAACTCTGTTTATGGTTAGGTGGTGGTGGACCATACCTGAAGCGTGGGGGGGGGGGGATCTGACCGACTGAACCATAATCCGGAGAACCGACGAGGAGTCAACTTGATGGTCCGAAAACAGAAAACTGCGACACCATGTTGTAGTCAAAGAAGGAAGCCTGACGTTGAAACTTGGAAGCGTGCAGTCAGTCATTGTGTCTTGGATAGGAATCATTGAGCCAAACCAGACAAACCCCGAGACAAACACTGAGGAGAGCAAACCAGACAAACTGCTCCTTCATCACTACATCATTTCTCTCTCTCTCAATTACATCATGCGCATCATCAATTCTGCGAACTTCCTCAAGCCATGACTCGCTTTGGTGAGTCTCGATCGCTATCGTCATGAACCCTCGTGCTTCTATAAGAAGCTTCTCGGCCAAACGGTCCAGGTGGGGTGATTTTCAGGGTCCGTGATTCCGCTTGATCGACCAACCGACCTGCGCAATGGCCACTACCCTCGTGCAAGACTCGTGTTTTGGCCATGTCGTCCGCTTTCTCACCAGAAACCGCTATTTTCGCTACACTGAAGAAAGAGATCCTGAACTATGGAAGCGATACATCAGTCTAGAAAAGTCAGGACAGATGGCTCACGAAGGTCGAGTGGACTCTGCCATCAACGTCCCCGACGAAGATGACGACAATCCCCGCGAATACATGTCGCGCATCCCTTCGACAGCCTGGGAACACAGAGGTCACAATTATCAAGGTCTGACTGGTGTACGGATCAATCCTGAGAAAGGCAAAGACGTCAACGTCATCGATTGGTGGGACGACAATGACCCAGAGGTGTGTGTGAACTTAGTCCACATGCATGTTGCACAGATGCCAACCTCACCTTTGTCCAGAACCCACAGAACTGGCCCCTTTGGAAGAAGGTTTTCGTCACCTTTGAGATTTGTCTTCTGACCTTCAGCGTTTACATTGGAAGTTCCATCTTCACCCCGGGCATTGTCACCGTCACCAAGGAATTCGAGATTAGCCAAGTGGCCGCGACGCTGGGCTTGACGCTGTTTGTCGCCGGATATGGCACAGGTCCGCTGATCTGGTCGCCCATGAGCGAGGTGCCTCAGATTGGCCGTAACCCCGTCTACATCGCCACCCTCATCGTCTTCGTATGCCTGCAGGTGCCAACCGCGCTGGCCAAGAACCTGGGGACACTACTGGCATTTCGATTCCTGACGGGCTTCTTTGGCTCTCCCGCCCTAGCCACGGTACGTCCCCCTCACAACCTCCCATCGTCACAACCATTGACCTCGATTAGGGCGGCGCCACCATCTCCGACATGTTCCGCCCGGCGAAGCGCGCCTACGCGATAGGCATCTGGGGCATCAGCGCCGTCTGCGGCCCCGTCATCGGACCCCTCGTCGGAGGGTTCGCCGCGCAAGCCCGCGGCTGGACGTGGACCATCTGGGAACTGATGTGGCTGTCCGGGTTCTCGCTGGTGATGCTCGTCTTCCTCCTCCCAGAAACCTCCTCAGCGAATATCCTCTACCGACGCGCACGCCGCCTTCGCAAACTCACCGGACGGGAGAACCTGAAATGCGAGCCCGAGATCGAGAGCGAGGGGCTCACAGGCCGCGAACTCGTCATGATCACACTCGTGCGGCCCCTGACCCTCAACTTTCTCGAACCCATGGTATTCCTACTGAACCTCTACATCGCCCTCATCTACGGCCTGCTGTACGTCTGGTTCGAGTCCTTCTCGATCGTCTTCGAGGGCATCTACGGCTTCAACCTCGGCCAGGAAGGCCTGGCCTTTGTCGGCATCCTCGTCGGCGCCATCCTCACCATCCCGCCTTACTACTGGTGGATGTACAAGTACCTGGAGCCGCGCTTCGACGAGAACGGCAATGTCGCCCCCGAGGCCCGTCTCCCGCCCGCCATCGTTGGCGGCTGCTGCATCCCCATCTGCCTGTTCTGGTTCGGCTGGAGCGCGCGCCCGGACATCCACTGGATCATGCCCATCGTCGGGTCAGGGTTTTTCTCGATCGGCGCATTCCTGCTGTTCAACCCTGTGCTGAACTATCTGCCGGATGCCTACCCCGCTTACGCTGCTTCGGTGCTGGCCGGGAACGACTTGTTCCGCTCGGCGTTCGGGGCGGGCTTCCCTCTGTTTGCGTCGGCGATGTATAAGAATTTGGGGATTGGGTGGGCGAGTTCCACGTTGGCGTTTTTGTCGATTGTGTTTATTCCGATTCCGTTTGTGTTGATGAAGGTATGTCTTCCCCCTTCCTCCGTTCCGGTGGTGGTCGGGGAGTGGTGTTTGAGGTATCGTGCTGACGGGGCTTAGTTTGGTGAGACGTTGAGGAAGAAGCATAGTCGGTATGCAAGGAAGGATATATAGACGTGTGCATTGCGTAGTGGGGGGGATGATAGACAATTGTAAACAAACAAGTGATAATACGGGATAGAGTCGAAGGTGTGCTGTGTGCAGACTTACACACGAACACAACTGGTACAGACTTTAGGATATATACGATCTGTAATATAGGCATATAAAGTCTGTTAATAGATTCCGATTTTGGCTGCAAGATCCACAAACATGCAGGTACTTGCCGGAGGCACATGAGATAAAGAATGATATCCAGTATATATTCGCTGCGCTAAATTTAGTAATTAACCCTAATCAATATACCCAGAACACTTCCCCACTCCAGACAAGGACCCTCAACCACTAACCTAACATACACACACTCAGCGAACCCTGCACACCAAACCCAGTCCCAGATATAAAACCCGACGCCCAGAACACCACCCGAACCCATTACTCTCCCCTCCCTTCCCATTCGCCCACTCTTTAGCTTAGCAGCCTCCACCCCCAGAAGCAGGAGAAATCACATCTTCCAGCGGAAAGCAGGGTTCCTCCAATCCAGATCCTGAATCTGCTGCTGCGAAAGGTCCGCCAACGCCCGGTCAATATCAACCTTCTCCCTCCGACGATTATCCCAGCGCATCCAAGCCCACATCACCGCCGCCAGAACCAAAGTCGTGGTGGAGGTCGCGAGATTCAGCCCGTTTCCAATATGGTAGTCCGGGGCGTCGGAGGGGAGGAAGGACCAGGTCGAGACCAAGCCGCCGATATTCCCGAACATGACGTTGGTGCCAATCGCCGAGGATCGGGCGGTGTCGGAGACGACGTTATTGGCGACGTGGGCGTTGCAGAGGGCGCCGAAGCTGAAGGCGCCGGCGGCGATGAGGAAGGTGGCGCCGTAGCGGACGGTCGCGTCGTCGGTGGCGAGAAACATGGTATAGCCCGTCATCATGAGCGGGGGCGCGAGGACGAAGAAGGGGAGGCGACGGTCGAAGCGCCAGCTGAGGAAGGGAAACAAGAGCGTACAAAAGGCGCCGACGACGTAGGGTGGCACCGTGTGGAGCTGCTGCGAGACGACGCTGTTGTGCGGGTAGATGGTGCGGACGATGGTGGGCGCGAAGAAGGCGAGTCCCTGCACGGTGATGTTGTTGAGGAGGAAGATGAAGGCTGTGGTTAGGGTCGCCGGGCTGAAGATCCCGCGCAGGGTCTTGGTTTTGTCCATTTTGTCGAGGACCTCGGTGGTCCCTACGCGCTCCGACTTCAGGCGTGCGATCGCCAGGTCTTTCTGTTCCTGCGTGAGCCAGCGCGCGGTCTCGGGGCGGTCGGTTAGGGTGATGAAGGCGAGGAGACCCAGTCCGATCGTGATGATGCCCTCGATGGCGAAGATCATGCGCCATGTGTGCAGGCTGCCGAAGTGGTCGAGGGTGAGGATGGCGGACGCGAGCAGGCCGCCGAATGCACCCGCGAGCGGGGCCATGACGATGTATACGGATAGGTAGAAGGCTAGCTCTTTGCGACGGTACCAGCGGGACAGGTAGTAGGCGATGCCAGGCAGCATGCCGGCTTCGAAGATACCGAGGAGGAAGCGCACACCGGAGGCACTGTGAATGCTGTGGACGAAGGCGGTGCCCAACGAACAGATGCCGAAGCAGAGAGTCAACAGGGGCAGGTACCAGCCCGGACCGACCAGTTTGCAGGCGATGTTGGATGGGATCTCGAAGAGGATGTATGAGATGTAGAAGATGGAGAGCACGATGTTGTAGTCGTAGCCTGTGAGGCCGAGGTCTTTCTCCAGACCGGCGAGTTTCGCATTGCCTGAGGGTGAGGGTTGGTTAGCGGGACGGGGATGTGTTTTCGTGGGATTGTCTAGGACATACCGATGTTGGCACGATCGATGAAACAGAACAGGTAGATGAGGGAGACTGTGGGCAGGATGAACAAGTCGATCTTGCGGCGCAGGCGACGCTCTGCTGCCGGATCGAACTCGATCAAGGCCCTGCCGTACTGATCGGTGGCGGCGTGACCTTGACCAGCAGCTTTGGAGGCATCTTGAACGTAGACGTCCTCGTGGTGGTGCGAGAGTCCCTTCTCGGACGCCACTGAATCCACTTGCATCGTGGTGGGCACGGGGGGGGGTTTTGGGTGAATGGATGAAGGTGGATGAAGAGGAAAGTGCGGAGAGGATCCTGCGCCTCGAGGGACAAAGTATGTATGTATCACAACACACACACACACACACCCCCCTAGCAGGGATCTTATAGCGCTTTTATAGCTCTTGCCTCCAACCTGGCTAATTCCTTAACCCGGATGCTCTTCTCAACGTCAACACCAGCAGTTCCGACTTCACGATCCGAGCCTCGTCCCAATAGCAAATGATCGGGATGTCCGCGTCATGATTGAGTCTGGCTCGGCTGTTGTGTGCGGTTCTTATCATCCTTTTGCCAAGCATCTCTTTACGAGGATCCAAGACAACCTCCACCCAGTGAAGGGCCGTTCCACGTGTTCAGGGACTCCTCACCGGGTGACTTCCCCCCCGATCATGACAGCTGCATAGTTGGGGGCCACCATTGAACCCCAATCATTTGCTCTCCCGGGGGGTGATAGGGGATATCAAGGTTTTCATGAAGCACAGACTGATAGCCGACAGGAGGGAAGACGAAGGCCAGAATGCAGTGGATCACACAGCATCTGGCAGCTTTCCCCGCATTTTTTTCGCAATCCCCGCAACCCCGGACTGGCCAAGACTTGACAGCAGCTGCGTGGCGGAGAGTGAATGAATGACCAGAGGGACTCTCCAACTGCCGTGGGGAGATTAGCCGAGGCATGCATGAGATGCACCATCACTGAGTGAATCAACCATGGAAGTCAGTCACTGTATGTCGAGATTTCAGCCGTCGAACTGGACCAGTGAAGTAGGAATCGATACCTGACATGTCCGAAAGAGTGTCAAGGTGAGCCCTGCCAGCATGAGACATTCTCAACCAGGACGGAGACGGAGAGACAAGAAATCAATGACAAGTCAATGGCAGTCGGACTATCCGAGCTAATCTGAATTCCCGATCGTTGTTGGCTCCCGGACAAAGGGAGAGAGGGAGGTGGTGGTTCTCTGAGGCCAGTGGCGTCGCCAAGAAACTCTCCGCGCTGCCATCCTGTCATTCCGCCAGTTCGCTTCGAGCCCCAAGAATCGTGGCACTTTTGAGTTCTCTTGAGTTCTCTTCTCTTTGCTGAATGGTGACTCCTACTAGTATCTTGGGTTTCACGGTGATAATTTGGGGGATGAAGACTCCTCTTCCCTCTAAGGCCTTATATATTTCCTATTTCCCCGTAAACTACTCCGTACTTCCCCCTCTGTAGAAGATTACTTAGTACTAAATCCTTGCCAACGCAGTTCAACACCAATATTAGTAAATAAACTAAATAAAAAAAAAGAAGCCACAGCCTGTACTTGATCATACTGAAATAGAATTCGAACTTCTCGACATGAAGTAGTAATTTATTGGTAGTTGATGGAAAGTGAATTAACGAGAGAGTCGAGACTAGGACGGATTGGGCTCGGAATAACGGCTCAATCCACGTGATGTACATCCGACTTCCCTCACGCGGTCCTCCCTGCATGACGCATCATCATGAGAATCCTCCCATCTGAGAGTCCAATTCCCGGGCTCCCAAGAAACCCCGTCGTCTAGATTTCCTTACGGCCAGATCGCCCCGTGCAGATGGCCGACGCGGAATCTCCGGCGCAGGTGACGGGATGGCGGATCGCCAAGGCATGTCAAGAGTGCAGGAAACGGAAGATTAAATGCAACGGAGTCAATCCCTGCAAAACCTGTCAATTGCGCGGCACTCCATGTGTCTATCGTGAAGTCATCCGCCAGCGCAAACGAAGGTACCCATACCCAGAGAGGTCCAACACTGATACTACTAGTACTAGGCTTGAGCTCAATGGGGCCACCACGCGGGCCGACGAGAGCCATCCTGCGGCGGCACAGCCGCTGTCTCTCGGGGCCACACACCCACCCCCCCGTCGGCGCAACCCCTCTGTCAGTCTACATTTCAACAATAGCGTGTCAGCCACCCACATGACTTCACCCTCCTGCAAGGTCCAGCTGTACTATGGCTCCACCTCGCATTTTGCCCTCATGCACGAGATCTATAGAGGCCTGGTGGCAAACAATCATTCGGCCGAGGCTGATCGGCCCCCCGGGGAGGTCGAAGAAGCCGGAGCCGGCCTGGATATGTTCAGCTTCCGTCGCATTTTCTTCGGCACCCCCATCGACTCGCAGGAAGTCAACAACAAATCACCCACGTGCGTGGATTCCCACCTGCTTTTCTTGCCCTATGAGCTAGCCAAATGCTTCCTGGAACGTTTTTTGGCGACCCTGTACAATCTGGCACCCGTGTGGCCCCATGAAGAATTCTATCGTCAACTGGAACACCTCTATGGCCAAGGGCCCGATGCGCGTCCCGACAAAGGGAACCAGTCGATTCTGCTTGTAGCCATGGCAATCGGTGCACTAGCTACCCAGCATTATACCTGGGGGGACGCGCTGTACGACCGCGTCAAGATCTCCATGCATGCTTTCGACGATGTCGTGAGCTTACAGACCATTCAGCTGGCGCTCATTATGATAAGTACTCTGCAAGCTCTGCGGACTCAAACCTAGCTGACTGCTTCCCGAGCACGCTCATTATCAAAGCGAACAGGGCAGACCCAATTCGAGTTTCCTGCACATGGGCACCGCCGTCCGCAAGGCCATCTCTGCTGGCTTGCACAAAGAAGCCCCCAGCGAAAGCGGAGAGGCCGCCAATCGCACCGAAGAACGACGGGTCACGTTTTGGTCCCTCTTTTTTTACGAAGTGTAAGCCGCGTGCCTTGAGGGAAGAACGTGTCTGGCCCGCCGCCACTGATACCAGTCGTAGGTGGACGTGCTTTCATCTCGGGAGACCAAGCTCGCTTTCGGTAAAGGACGTCAGTATTGCTCTCCCCGAGGATGCTTTCCTGCAGGTCCTCGTCAGCCTGGGCAAGATCGTTGCTCGATCCGCATGCGAGATGTATGGCCGCCGTCATGAGTCGTTACTTCAGATGTGGAAAATTGCACGCTCAATAATCGACGAACTGCGCGGATTCGATGGCTGGATGAAACGGGCGCTGGGCTTTGGGCTGGACAAAAGTGCTCAACCTGGCAGCTTGGGAGTACGGCAGACAATCTTAACCACGTGTAAGAAATGCGAGCGGCGTCCACAAGTCACGTTATCTGATCATTCCAGTATACTGTCACACTATCCTTCTCACCTTTCGCCCATTTCTGATTTTCCGCGGCCGGTGGCATCAGGATATGAAACGATCATCGCGCATGGGAAGTGGGAAAAAAGCCAGTGACATCCCTTCTTGGCTGAACGAAGCCTGCAATCAAGCCCTCAGCGCTGCGTGCAGGACCATTCAGCACCTCTGCGAAGCATCGGCCGGTAATGACCTTGTGAGAGTCTGTTCTTCTCAGATTCTACTTCCCGCGTCGCAGGTACTGACGGCTATCTAGGAGCTGCGGTACCATGGGTACTTCCTAGGCCACTCATCTTTTGCGCTCATGTACGACCTCATGCACGGCGAGAATCTTGCTCCTACCCATCTCCCCTGGATCCATGCTGCCGTGCAAGACTTGTCCACGATGCGACCTGGGGATCCGATCAAAAGCTCCATCGACGCGATCCAGACCGTCTTGAGGAAACTCCACCCCTCATACGAATGGGTCCCCCCGGAGCTGGCCACCAAAAATCCGGTGTATGATTCTGCTCACACACCGCCAATCCAACCCCCGCGTCAGGCCCCGCACGCCTCCAGCCACGGGCGAAACCGCATGCCAATGACTATCCCCGGGGATTCCTCGATATCAAGCGGCTTACCGATGCTGTCTGTTCTCCAGGGGAACTCGCTACAGGATGACATGCGCCTTCCCAGCGGTAGTGTAGGAAGTGGAGATGATCTTCTAGACTTCACCCAGTCGGACATGGGTTGGGATTTTGATTTCTCTACGATGGATCTAGAAGCCTTCTTCTCGATCAATGCAAATATAGACCCAATGGCGTTCTGAAATGGGGGGTTTGGTGCATGACTGGAAACTACTTATGCCTTGGTGCGGCTGTGACATGCGCCGCCAGGGGATCCTCCGCTGTTTGGGCTCGGACTCTCGCGGAACGCTACTTCGGACGGAGTCTTCGGCACAGCTCGGCGGACAACGACCTCCAACAATCACTAGTGATTTCTTGGCTCCCCAGGATTTGTATCTAGGTGGAGGGTGACTGGAGAGCTGAACGGGAGGAACCCTCGTCAGTATGGACCGTTAGTCCTTCGCTCTTCTTGCCAAGACTGGATACAGACTGGGACTGGCCTTGATACATTGCGACCAGATTGAATCACTTCCTTGATTCAAGCCGGGTAGATCAGCCTAGCGCCGGTACCCGGCGATGATACATCAACCGCGGGTGCAGCTAACCCGGGCGGACATGCGAGTTTCAGTTTCCTATCCGTGCCGGCAGGCCAGTTCATCCTGTGCAGTGGATGGAGAGGAGGAGAGGGATGGATACTACCTACTGATTGATATGTGACTGGTGGATTAATGGTCTGCCAGGTCATTCCACATGGTGATGCTGAAAGGATGCGCGAATTACCTTCCCACATTCCAAGGTGTATCGACTATTTTGTACTTCGTACTTTTGAGAAGGCAGCTAGCGACGAGATCACTGCGACTGTCTCTTTGGTATCATGATAGCTCACTTTCTATCCTCTGGGGACGGCCAAATTCTGGGTATTCCCGATCTCTACTATAACTAATTTAATGCTGGTCTAACCCTGACGGGTAAAAGCACTTTCCTCGCAACTAGTAATCAATTGATGGGTGAATCATGGGTCTGGATTTGAAATTAGGTACAGAGTCCAGCTCACGCGATACGAGTCGTGATCATCATGGATATTTCAAATCATCATGACTTGAGATGATGAGTAGGTAATCATGGACCACGCGAGGCCTGAGGCCGGAAGAGTCGAAAGCGGAAAGATCAGGCAGGAACTTATCCTTTCAAGGCTGGAAGGAAGGCAGCCAGACAGACCGACCGGCACGGGCGGGAATCGGGATTGAAGATTGATTGAAGCTCCCCTTCTCAATTCTTCAATCTCCCCTTCTCCACCAGCTGGTGATCGGTCGGTCGGTCGGTCGTGGTGACTGCAGCAGTCCAGTGCAGTGAAAATGCACAGGTGTGTGTGTGAGTGTGTGTTCTTTTCTCTTTGCCTTTTACGGTCACATCGTGCACCAACTCCTACTGAACCAACTGTGGAGTTCTCGCTAAGTTTCTTTCCTCCTCTTCCTTTTAGTTACATTCAATCCACTCACTCCACTTTCATCCCTCCCTCGATCCCACCGCACATTCCCTCTCGCCGCAAACTTCACAAAGCCCCATCGACCATCGACACCCTTGCTCGGAAAGATTTCCCCCCCCCAAAACGATTTCATGAGTCCACTCCGATCGATAACCCTTATCTTCCCGGCAAATCCAGGCGAGAATTCGGAGCCGATTTCCTCTCCCCACAGGAAGCTTTTCGGCCGTATCATGCGCGCAGAGTCGTCATGACCGAACCGTGGATCAGTAACGGTCGTTCCCGGGAATTGACAAGATAACAAGCCAGCGCATTGAACATTGAGCTCGTTGGAGACTCGTCGATGATCCCCCTTTACCCAGTCTTAACCCAGCCTGACCCAGCCTGGGACCCTATGAGCGGAGACGCTGGACGGCCTAGACCCATTTCCGCACCATCTCCACTTTCAAGCCCACTTGGCTGGGGGAGTGTCTGATTCAGCTCCGAACGGTGGCCAATTTCTCAACTTTATTTGACCTTTCAAAGCTGTGCCGGCAATCTCGGCCCCTGCTCCCACGATCTAGTCTTTAAACCCCCTTCGTCGTGCCTGTCGTTCTGTCCTCCATCGTCCCTACCTCCTCCGGCATTCTCGGATGGGTTCGTACCCTCGCGTGCGATGCCATAAAGACTCCCGCCTACAGCTATTACGAATAGCAGCGTTCTAGCTCTGCCCTCGATGGCCCCAGATCAAACCAAGTAGGTTCACCCCGTGCCCAAGATCTGACTGCTGCTGCAACGGGCTTCCTTGCTCGGTTGCACTTCAACTGGATTACAGTACTCACCACCTTCTGGTCTTGAGTAGGGTATTTAGCTTCCAGGCTATAGACCGAACGGATGGCATGCCGCAGCCGCAGCCTTTGTCGCCGGTTGACGAGCGGGACAGCTCATCGAAGCCTTATCCGACGCCAGACCCAACCCTGACAGCCCTTTCTCAGCTGGGCGTATTCCAACTGAGCTGCACATGTGCATTCGTGACGGCGTTCGAGAATGGACAGACGCATATCATCGCAGAAGTAGGGTCAGCCGCTTTGAGGGACACAAAGACATCGGCTCTTGGCTCGATGACACTGGGTCTACCTGTGGACGAAGATGACGCGCTCAGAGATCCCGCCGCGATGAAGAGTGCCAGCAACATCATTCGGGACATTTCGATGCGGAGTGACATCGAGTCACACACCTTTGTCGAGCAGCACCCCCATGCCAGGTTCTACGCGGAGGTTCCGGTGTGCAGCTCATCGGGGGAGATTATTGGTACGTACGGTGCTGTCGACACTCGAGCTCGACGGTCTTTCGGGGACTCCGAGTTGGCAGGTCTCCGTGATATCTCGAATTCGATAGCAAACTACCTGGAAACTGTTAGGACCGCGCGTCGTCACGTTCAGGCGGACCGTTTGCTCAACGGGCTCACGGCTTTTTCCAAAGGCCAGGCCAGTGCCCAGAATCCTGATTGGAGCAATCGCCGGAAGAGCCTCGTAGCTAGCAGGGCTTCGCCTCGATCGCTGGACGTGCCGGATGTTGCTCGTCTGTCCGTCTCGTCCACGACTACCCGCGAAGTCTCACCGTCCTCGGGCAGGCACCAGGAAACCCCGCAGGAGTCGCCCTTCTTCCAACGTCGCACCTCTGGTACTTTTCAGGCAATTTCGCCCTGGGAGCAGCAGCTGAATTCCCGGAAGAAGTCAGTAGACACGAACAAAATAGTGATTGTCCCAGCGTCTACCGCACAATCGGAGAAGACATCACAATTGTTTGCTCGTGCTAGTGTCCTGTTACAAGAATGCATGGAGTTGGATGGTGTTATCTTTGTGGATGCATCCCGGACCAATTCCCGCAGGTAAGGTGTAAATTGTCCCGTCAGTAAATCAGCTACCTAACCAGAACACAGTAGCTCCACTGCTAGCGTAGGTGACTGGGACATGCTGTCGAGAGATAGTGAGGTGGGCATGTCCAGTCGGTCACCGAGTCTCTCATCGCATGGACAATGGGCTGAGAGATCTTGCGAGACTCTGGGGTTCGCCACCTCGGTCCGGACGACCGAGAGCAATGCCCACTCCCCTCGCCCGGCATTGACCGAGGGCTTATTCCATGACCTATTTAACGCATGTCCCACGGGGGAGATCTTTAATCCTCCACAGTCGATGGGGCTTTCGCCCCCCAAGTCTTTGCACTTGAGACGGAACAGTCAATGTCGGAAAGAGAGCGACCCTACTTTGCGTCAGACTGTTGAGACTCGGCTGGCGCAAACCTACCCCGAGGCTCGGTCCTTCATCTTTCTACCCTTATGGAACTGGAACAAATCACGCTGGCTGGCTGGTACATTGATCTGGACGGGTGAAGAAGACCGTGTGTTTGATCAGGAGGATCTCCACTTCTTGAAAGTGTTTGGTGACTCTGTGGTGTCTAAGTACTGTCAAATCGACTGGACGGGGACCGAAAAGTCGAAGTCGGATCTCCTTTCCTCGGTCAGCCATGAATTGCGGTCGCCCTTGCACGGCATGCTCACCAGCACGGAGCTTCTACAGTCGACCGGGCTCGAGTCGGCCCAACAGGACATGGTGACCATGATTGAGACGTGTGGATTGACATTGTTGGATACTGTGAACCATTTGTATGTGCAGGCAGTTTATGTACTACGCTTGACTGACTCGTTGCAGACTTGACTTCACCAAGATTAATAACCTGACCCTCACACACAAAAAGGCTGGGATCAGCGGAAGCGTGATGGACAAGTTGATAACCGATTTTGAGTTGGACACCCTCATCGAGGATGTAGCTGACTCGCTGTACGTTGGCCATCGGTCTCTGATCAATGCTTCCAAGATTGCGGGGCGCTACTTGCAGACCGGCACTGCTATGACAAGTGCAGCTGCCGGAGCTGCGAAAGCCAGCAACCCTGATGATTTGTCTGTCATCATTCAGATCGAGGATCTCGGTTCGTGGAATATTCAGTCGTTATCGGGCGGCTGGCGCAGAATCGTTATGAACGTTCTGGGCAATGCGTTCAAATTCACGACGTCGGGTTATATCGAGATCTCCCTCGCGAAAAAGGTCCAGAGGGCTGCGGGATCCAAGCAAGTCTATGCGCACTTCTCAGTGACTGACACAGGATGTGGCATCTCGCCTGACTTTCTCCAACATCAACTGTTCATGCCCTTCGCGCAAGAAAATATCTTGACTGAAGGGGTGGGGCTAGGGTTGAGCGTGGTCAACCAGGTGGTGACCTACTTGGGAGGAGAGGTGGATGTGAAGAGCACCGTCGGCGTTGGGACGCAGGTCGACGTGTATGTGCCTTTGGACTTTGTGGCAGAGACCTTTGCGCCGACTGAATCGATTTCCAATCCGACCACACGAGTGTCATTGATCGGGCTGAATGCGTACGCCGATCTGAGGCAAGCTCCGGACGGACTCTTGCGGCCGGAAGCCAAACGCAAACTTTCCCTCCGAAGCGCACTAAGTAATGTACTGTTGAGCCAACCGGGTTGGATAGTGTCATTTGCAGACTCGATCGAGAAAGCCAGTGGAGACATCGGGGTCATCGAAGAATCGACGTTGAAGGCACTTCACAAGCAGGGGGGGTCCCGAATGACAATCAACACGCTCATTGTGATTGGGGAACAGGGTGTGTCACTCCCTCCGGACCTCACTATCGAGGGCGTGGATGTGATCTACATCCCTCAACCGTAAGGATAACCCCAACCCCAGTCACTCGACGGAGTCTCAGACTGACTGAGAATTAGTATCGGTCCGCGCAAGATCATCCAAGCTCTCCAACGAATCAACGAATCACATCAACAGACCCCCTCCTTGGAGCAGGATTACATCATTGGTCCATTTTCTGGCGCTCCGCGAGGTCGCAGCTTATCGGATGCGTTCGCTCTGGCCAAAGGCTCCGAGTCACCGCCAGTGGTGAGGGAGAATGTCTCCGAATTCGCCCCCAGTATTCCCCAGGCATCGCGAGAACACGACCTTCACGTGCTGATTGTGGATGATAATGACATCAATGTCAAGGTAGATACACTCTCCCGAATCATGCATAGAAGTCTATGCGCTAACAAATCCCAGATCCTAACAACCTTTATGCGCAAAATCGGCTGCAGCTACGAAACCGCCACCGATGGCCTCATCGCCCTTGAGAAATTTAAGGCTTCGACGAAACGCTTCGACTATGTTCTTATGGGTACGTCCTGCTTTCTACCATCTCCAGTGCTCCACCATCCCAGAGTGCCTGATCCCTCGCTAACCCCTGTACAACAATACAGATATCTCGATGCCCGTGATGGACGGGATCGAATCCTCAAGCAAAATGCGCGAATTCGAGGAGGAGAACGCGCGCCCGCGCACCGCCATCATGGCTGTGACCGGGGTGGCGTCGAGCGAGATGCAGCAGCAGGCCTTCGCGGCGGGGATCGATGACTACCTGGTCAAACCCCTGTCGCTTCACGACTTGAAACGAATAATGAATATTGCATGATCTGGATTTTCTGGTGCTTGACCCATCGCAAGGGTGTGGGGAGCTTTGGGGTGGGGTCTTTTGGGGTTTATCAATAATCATAGATTTTTTGGGCAGGGGAAAGGCTATGGTGTTGATGCTTGGAGTCTTGATTGTCGCTCGTTTCGTTCCTATTGGGATTTCTTGGGACTAGATGGATGCAATAGACGCATTTGGTGCTTGTATTCATGCTTGGGCGCTGGTTTGTTGGTAACCATGACTCGAAAATCAATAATCTGTCGATCAACTCACAATTGCCCACAGACACGATTCTCCTAATCAGAGACAAATCATTCGTATGCGATAAGATGAAGGCAAACTGCAATACTCCTCTTCATCCAGCGTGTCCCTCGCTATATTGAAGGTGCCGATCTTTTCCAGGACACAACCTGATTACGCGGCGCTTGCACAGCATCCACCAATTGCAATAAACATCAATACATCAAATTGCAGACATCACATTAACATACAGGTATCAGGCTCGCCATCACAAATACAGACTAATCGATAGACAAGATATAAGATCCAGACAAGACACCAAGGTTCGCACTCATCCTTTATTTCTTCTTGCGGCCAGTCAGGCCCAGGGCATCGGTCAGCGAGGTCAAGCCCAGGTTGCCAAGCAGCTTGTCGAGGCCCAGCCCACCAAGCAGGCCTCTCACCAAGCCACCCAGTCCCAGACCGTCGAGCAGGCGACCGACCAAGCCAAGCACACCGCTCAGCAGCAGGCCGACAGCGGCGATGATCTGGAAGAGAGGCTCGCTGAGCAGACCCCACAGCGGGTTGAGCTCCTTCTTGGCGTGAGGCATGCCGGCAATGCGCTTCTTGCCATTCTCGATGGTGCGCAGCACCGTCTCAGTGAGCTCCTTGAGCTGGTCCGCCAGTGCGTATTCTTCGGGAGAAGCCTCATGTGAGGCGGCGCGCGCCTTCGCAGCGGCCGCGATGTGTCCGTCGGGGTCGAGGGCCCGGATGGCCCCGTTGCATTCCTGGAGGATGTGACCACCTTCTTCGAGAAGGGGCTTCACATCCTTGACCAGCTGCTCCTCGTCTAATTCCTCCTTCGGGGTGCGGTCGGCCCTGTCAACGTGCTGGGGAGAAATGTTAGCGATTGGTTTGCGGCCAGGATGATTAGGGGCGGGCTGATCCTTACCTCAGAGATCATCTTACAGATGGGACGCAGGCGGTCCAAGGTGGATCCGACAATTGCGCTCATCTTCTTAGCCAACTGTCGGTCTTCCTCCTCTTTCTTCTTCGCATCCAACTCCTCCTGAGAGGGACCAGGCTCCTCGGGTTCGGGCTCGGGCTCGGGCTCCGCTTCAGGCTCAGGCTCAGGCTCGGGAATGTTCTCAATCAGGGTGCATTCACCGATCTTGTTGCCATCGTTGTCCACAACATATCCGTTGTCATCGATCTCCTTGCCGATCAACGAGGGGAGATCACCCGAGGTCAATTTGCCGATGAGGTTGCCATCCGCATCGCGCACTTCACCCTCCTTGTTGACCTTGCGGCCGGCCATGGGGTTGATGTTGCGCTTCTTCTCCTCGGGCTCCCAGCGCTCAGCCTTGCCGATAGGGTTGCCGTTCTTGTCGAGGATGTCGCCATCCTCGTCCACCTTGCGGCCCTGCAGCTTCTTAGCATCGCCCTCGATCACACGACCGATGATGCGGTCAGTGCCATCGGTCACCACGCCGTCCTTGCCGACGACAGCGTTCTCAAATCCGAAGAACGGGCCCTCGGCTTTCTGCTCCTCGGCGCCAGGGACGAGTTCAGCCTGGCCAATGACCTGGCCATTGTCACCCCAGATCTGACCCTTCTTGTCGACTTTTCGTCCAGCCAGTCCCTTGCCGCCCGAGACGACACGGCCGTAGACCTTGCCCGACCCGTCGACGACGTTGCCAGCCTTGTTGACAATCTTGCCCTCGAGGATGGAAAGATCCACCTCCTCGGGCTTCTCCTCCTCCGGCACTTCGTAGGGCTCGGCGTGGCCCTTGACACTGCCGAACTTGTCGACGATGTCTCCATCTTCATCGACCGTGCGTCCGCGGAGGTTCTTGATATCTCCCTCGGTGACCTTGCCGACAATGTTACCCTCTTCGTCTTCAACAAATCCATCCTTGTTGACCACAAGACCTTCCAGACCGGCAAACGGCCCCTCAGGCTTCTTCTCGCGCTCGTTCTCGGGAATGAGCTCGACACGGCCAATGGGCTTGGGACCGTCGTAGATGAGGCCGTCGTGGATCTCCTTTCCAGCCAACTCCTTCGGGTTACCCTCGACAACGCGACCGATAGGGACACCCTTGGGTCCGATCACGTAGCCGAGCTTGTTAGGGGTGAGGCCCTCCAGGCTGGAGAGGTCGATTGCCTCGGGCTCAGCCTCGGGCTCCTCCTCCGGGACTTCGTAGGGCTCGGCGTGGCCTTTGACACTGCCGAACTTGTCGATGATGTCTCCATCCTCATCGACCGCGCGTCCGCGGAGGTTCTTGATATCTCCCTCGACAACCTTACCAACAATGTTGCCCTCTTTATCTTCAACAAATCCATCCTTGTTGACCACAAGACCCTCCAGACCAGCAAACAGCCCCTCGGGCTTCTTCTCGCGCTCGTTCTCGGGAATGAGCTCGACGCGGCCAATGGGCTTGGGACCGTCGTAGATGAGGCCGTCGTGGATCTCCTTTCCGGCCAACTCCTTCGGGTTACCTTCGACAACGCGACCGATGGGGACACCCTTGGGTCCGATCACGTATCCGAGCTTGTTGGGGGTGAGGCCCTCCAGGCTGGAGAGGTCGATTGCCTCGGGCTCAGCCTCGGGCTCCTCCTCGGGCGCTTCGTAGTACTCGGCCTTGGCGATCACGTTGCCGTGCTTGTCGGTCACATCACCGTCCTCGTCCACGGGGCGACCCAGGACCTTCTTCGCGTCGCCTTCGACGATCTTACCGACACGCTTGCCGTTCTGGTCCTCCACCCAGCCGTCCTCGACGACGTGCAGGCCCTCCAAGCCGCCGAACGGAGGCTCATCGGGGTACTCTTCCGGAGCCAAAGTCTGGGCTCTGCCGATGACGTTGCCGCGATTATCCCAGAACTGGCCCTGGTCGTCCAGGGTAACACCGAGAGAGGCCAGCTTCTTCGCGTCGCCCTCGATCAATTCCCCAACGGGCTTGCCGGTGGCGGGGTCGATGATCTTGCCCAGCTTGTTGCACCGCAGACCTTCCAGGATGGACAGAGGGGGGAGCTCCTTCTCCTCCTTGCCTTCTTCGGGGGCTTCCTCGGGGGCTTCCTCGGTGGCTTCTCCGGGAGCCTCTTCCTGGGCAGTCTTGTATTCCTCCTCGGTGCCTTCGGGGGCCTCCTCGGGCACGCCTTCGGTTGCCGCTTCCGCGGCGTCCTCGGGGGCCTCCTCGGCCTCTTTGGCCTCGAGATCGGCAACGTCGGAACCAGGAGCCTCCGACTTGTCGTCGCCGAGAGTCTCCTGGGCCTCGGCCTCGGTGCCAGCGGCTTCGGTTCCTGGGGCCTGAGAGCCCTGAGCTTCCGACTTTTCGGCGGCCTCGTCGGCCTCAGTGCCAGCGGCTTCGGTTCCTGGCGCCTGAGAGCCCTGAACTTCCGACTTTTCGGCGGCCTCGTCGGCCTCAGTTCCAGCAGCCTCGGGCTTTTCTTCGCCGACTGCATCTTCGGGCGTGAGTTCCTCGCCGGAGACGTTGTCAGCAGTCGACTTGGGGCCGACGGTGCTCTGCTCCTCTTCGGGCGGCGGGGCAGAGGCCTTGGACTGGTCGGCCGCACTGCCGCCCGCCGCAGAACCGGTAGCCTTGGAGGCAGCCGTACCGGCGACACTGCCGCGCTGCTCGGTGGGAGCCTTGCTGGAGCCGGCAGCACTTCCGGCGGCCTCCTTGGCCTGCGAGGCAACATCCACGCGACCGAGGACATCCCCGTCGTCCCCGAGGATCTCGCCCTGCTCGTTGGGGACCTTACCAGCCAGCTCCGCGGGCTCGCCCTCCACGAGCTTACCCACGGTCTCGCCCGCATCATCCTTGATGGCGCCCGACTCGGAGACAGGCTTCCCCGCGAGATCAGCGATGTTGGTAACGGCAGCAGTCGCAGTATCAGCGGCCTGGTCGACAGTATCGGCCGCCTGATCGATGATACCATTAGTCTGCTCATGCTGACCTTCTTCTTCTTCTCCGTCGTCGTTGGCTTCTTCCTGCTGCTCCTCCTCCTTCTCCTCTTTCTTATTTTCAAACGCCTCGGCAAGCACATCGACGATGCCAATCAAATCGCCATCCTCGTCGAGAATCTCCCCGTTATCGCCGACGGTATAGCCGACCAAATCCTCCGGCTTGCCCTCGACCAACCGACCCACGGCATTGCCATCCTGGTCGTGGATCAACCCGTCCTCCCCGACCTCCAATCCCTTGAGGATGGAGAGATCAAGACGCTCGGGGTGGGACTCGGTCGGGCCCCCGTTCAGACTCGGGGTAGGCTGCTCCTGGTCCTGTCCGTCTTCTTCTTCTTCTTCTACTTCTGCTCCTCCTTCCTCTTGCTCGCCCTGCTGCTCCTGCTGTCCCTCCTCCTGGGTCTCAGCTTCCGGCTCAGGCTCCTGCTCAGGCTCCGCCTCACCCACGCGACTCTGCGCGCGGGATCCGGATGCCGAGGCGGAGGGCTGCAAGGCGGCCTCCTTGGGGGCGGGGACGGGCGAGTCGCGCTGCTCGGACTGCTGGCGCGGGGCGGACTTGCCTTTGGGGGTCGGGGTGGTAGGGAGGCTGGGGTCCTCGTCCTCGGTCTTCTCGGTGGTGCCGGATTTCTGGTGGCGGAGTTTTGGGGGGGTGCCTTTACGGGAGTCGGGGCTGAGGTTGAGTTTGGAGACTTTGCTGATGAAGGGAGAGGACATTTTGGTGGTTGTTGTGGTTGGATCGGTCAAGGTAGCTTAGCTTAGCTTAGCTCTTGTTGTGGTGTTCTTTATTGATACCTTGAAAGGTAATGCAGTAGCAGCAGCAGTAGTAGTAGTAGTATAAGTCACCACCAAATCCGATAGATCAAGCCAATGAACCTCAAACCTCGGAGAGTCGTCTTAAGTATCCTCAACCCTGGATGGAGTTGTCAAGGTATCGTAACACAGGAGGTGAATTAGGTATGAGTCGTGAGTTAATAAGTACAATACTAATATACAAGAGCCGTAGCTGTGTCGTATCTGTGTCGTAGTTCGTGGTGTAGTTCGTTGAATTGTAGTGCAAGCAGTTAAACCGAAATCAAAAAAGTAATGGGGAAAATCTAGAACCCCTTCCCCCAGCTGCGAACCCCCCTTTTTATGTCTGATATCCCCCCCCCCCCCCTCCTCCTTGGAGCTGTGCATCGTGACGAGGAGGAGCACGATGATGCCACCACCACCACCACCCAGTGAATTCACCAACCACCCAGCTACCCAATAACAGCTAGCCCAGCCACTAGCTACCAAGCACAGGACACGCAGATGACGAGATGCTAATGATGATGCATGGTGGTCTGCTCGGCTTGCACAGTTTGACAGCTCCATCCCACCTACGTCATGCGCTACGAGCCCGTCGCAGTGGGCGCGCTCGCTCGGTAAGCCCTACGCGTCACATCCGCAGGGATGCATGGCCTTCGTACCTGTCCGGAGTACCCAGGATGTACTGTGTACACGGACGGTCCTTGGGTACTTTGGTACGATGGTGGGTGGGTGGGTGGCCGGTGCAGGGCTGCGATCCAACGATTCATGAGGGGTGGGGTGTGTGGATACAGGACCGGGGACGATGACGGGCCCCGATGTTAGTATGTATGTAAGCTTCACACAGTAATACACTGCAGGAAAAGTGGGCGGGGTGGAGTGGGTGTAGATGCCGTGCTAGCATCATCGGTGGGCCCGTCTTCGGCCGAGCAGACCAGAAAACTCGGGGGTAAAGGAGGGGGAGGAAGGATTGCGATGGGTTGAAAATGCATGCAAGGCAGACGAGGGCAATCATCATTGCGTCAGGTTATGCAGGGATATTCTACTGTGTAGTGAATTGAAACCTGTCGATGTACCGGTACTTGGGCTGTACCTGTGTGGCTTGGAGATTGTACGTAAGTCTAGGTGGACAGTACATAGAAGGGAAGGGTTAGGGCACGCACCGTACATCAGCGTGCAGGAGCCGGACGAGCAGGTATAAAGCTGCGGATGATGCCCACCATGATTATGATGATGAGTGTGCAACTGATTTTTAGACGATAGTCACAGTCTTGCTGCATGCTGTGCGTTGGGATGAACGGACTACTATAGTAGACAATGGTACTGTACCTGGCAGTACTCTGTACTCCTGTCACTGCCCACGGATGAGATCATGACGGCTCCGTCCAGTCCAGCCAGCCAGGCTCCACCTTTCACCTCTCGGAGAATTTATCAAGCCAAGCCACACCACGAGTTAAATTGGAGCTCCCGCCCGCTCCCCGTTGCGTGGGTGACGTATCGATGTATCTGGGGGTCAGGACTGATGACGGTGGCGTATGAGTCCAATTTATGAATCGGTGTCGGTTCAGGTTCTCGCTACGTGAGTCAGGTTGATTTCATGCCAGCTAGAATTCTTTTCGGTGCAGCAAACAGACTCACTTCCTGGCTCACTACCGAATCACCCGTTAACTGTCAAGGAGTGACAAGCAACAATGGGGGGGCGATGCCAAGGCCACCATCCGGATCAAAAGCACTGACGTAATGGATGGATGGCTGACTAAGATCGCGTGGCGCTGCATTGGCCAAACACCAATGGTCTAGAATGCATGGATGTTAATATAAGTCTTAGTGGGATCGGCAGTGATGGGTCAAGAAGTAGTTTATTTATTCCATGCTAGTAGTCCTAAGTAGCTCCGTACTGCTACTGTGTGTACTGAAAATAATTACACGGCATAATGCTAACATCTGCATAATGTATACTTATCAATGAATGACTTGATATAACTTATATATTATCAATCAACAATCATACCATATCAACAACGCCAAACAAAATAATCTCCCGTCCCATTTCTGTTTGAAACTTACACCCACCACTGTCCTCCGCATACACCACACACAGACTCAACCCTTCCCCTTCATCCTCTCCCTCGATCTCTCTCTCTCCCCCACCACCCTCACATCTCTCCACACCTTCATCGTCTCCCCCCCAGCCAGTCCCTTCTTCACCTTCACCACATGCCCCTTGCGCACCCATCCCATCCCGGAACACCCCGCTTTCACCGCATTGTGCGCCGCCCCGCCCGCCATCGGGTCCAGAAACCGACTGACCTCGGGGTTCCCCGGACTGACGTACAGCGGGTCGTCGGTTCGATAATCGTCGAGGGCGCACTCGGCGTCCGAGGCCTGCAGCTCCAGCTCCGGGTCGGTGATGGTCGGATCGAACGACCACGGGTGGTGGGCGGCCGCGTCGTCGGTGCCGGACTTGGAGGTCTCGGTGGACAGGGGCCTGAGGAGGTGGCGGTCCAGGTCGGATTCGGGGTGTTTGTCGGGGCGGATGGAGGAGGATGGGGAGGAGGAGGAGGAAGCGGAGGAGGAAGCGGGGTGGGCGCTGATGTGGGGGTTGCGTTTTTGCAGTGCCCGACAGATGGGTTTCTGGCGGAGAGAAGGGAGGGCAGTGAGACAGAGGGGCCGTTGGAGGGTGGTTGTACGCCACATGTTTGTTGGGGTTTGAATGGTATATTGTATAGGGATGGTGGGAGCAGGTGTATAGTACTTCTTCGTGGATTCGTAGTATAGTAGACGTATTAGTAGTAGAGACGGACTGCAGTGTGCACTAACTTATTGTATTCTTTGAAGAGCAGTGAAGTCGACTTTGACCTTCGCATCCTGACGTCAAGAGACTCGACCTTCTTCGATGAACCATGGATGGAATCCCTGGCTGGCCTGTCATATCTGCAGTATCTACTCGCTACCACGAATTAAATCAGACGCTTCATCCTGTTTTGTGCAGTCGGGCGGAAACCTGGTTCGACAAGCTAATGTTGGGGAAACCCTGCTGGTCCGTCGCACGGAGTAGTACTTCGGCCAGATATCCAGCGATTCGCAGGGTGTGTAGCATTCCTGCCACCATCCACCTTTCCACAAATATTAACCATTAATTTGGTGATAGTTGCATGGAGGAAAGCGACAGTATACTCTCCAAGATCCAATCCACTATCCTGTGCTTGCTCACTACTGTAGCTCCACCGACACTGTACACATCCATCCATCCAGCTAAACCCTAACCTCATACTCCCTCCGAAACACCGCATCCACATACTTTAGATAATACGTCCCCGGCAGCAACGCCTCCACCTCTCCCTTGGGCACATAATCCTTCTGCTGGTACGCCCCCTCGCGCAGCCGCGACATCTCATCCCACACCTCGGGCTCGACGGACACCCGCGCCGCCAGCCGCCTGTGCAGATCCAACCGCTGCGCCATGCCACTCGTATCCCCCCTGATCGTCACCGTGAACAGGGAACTGGCCAGCCCGCTCCCGTAGCTGAACATCCCGATGCGTTTCCCCTGGAGCTGCTCACTGGGGACCGAAGCCAACAGACTGGCCAGCCCGGAGTACAAGCTAGCGGTGTACATATTCCCGCACTGGGCGGGCAGCAGCAACCCGGGCCTCACGCGTTGCTCGAAGCGGGCCTGCGTCAACTGCATGAGGGCCTTTTCCAGCGGCTTGTTCGCGCGCGTGCTCTCGTCATCCACCTTCCTGTCGCCGTCGACCAGCCCCCGCAGCTCCGGGGGGAGGATGCTCTCGCCCGCGCGCAGCAAGTCATTCCACAGCAGCCGGGCGTACGCTTTGGCCACTTGCTTGCAGTTCGGCGCGTGGAAGAGGAAGTAATCGAACGCATCGATGCCAACCTGTCTGCCCCCGGTCCCCGGCCCGCTCTGCTCCGCCCCCTCCTCCTCCCCCTCCTCCCGGAGCACCTTCTCGCACCACGAACGGTAACACGCATCCACCGCCTCCAAATAACACCTCCCGGACCCCGGGCCATCCACAAAGGGGCCCTCCCGCGCAAAGTCCGCTTTGAAGAAGTCCCACGCATGCCGCATGTACGAGGCGCGCGGGCCCGCCAGACACACCGGCGCCTCCGCCCCGATCAGCATCGCCACGCACCCCGCCCCGCCTGTCGGGCGCGCCGCCGCATCCTCGCGCCGGTACGCGGCGATGTCCCCGCAGACGACGATCGCGTCCCGCCCGTCCCAGGCGGAGGATTCGAGCCAGGCCACCGCGGCGAACAGCGCGGCGGTGCCGCCGTAGCAGGCGTTGGAGGTGTCGACCCCCTCGATGTCCGGGTTGGAGGGGTGGAAGAGCTGCATGAGGACGGTTTTGGTGGATTTGGAGCGGTCGAGGGGGGATTCGGTGCCGACGGAGAGGTAGCCGATCGAGGTAGGGGGGATGGCGTGGTGGGTGAGGAGGTGAGAGACGGTTGTTAGGGCTAGGCTGTTGATGTCTATTTTTTTTCAGTCTTTGTGAATCTTGCCTGGGGCTGAGGGTGGGGAGTGACCAGGAAGCTGAAAGGAAGGGGGGTCCGGGGGTTCTCCCCCGGAACGACTTGTGGGTAGGTAGTATCCCGATCGACAGAGCAGGATGGAGAGGAATAGGGTTAGGATGACTGAAGCATACCCTCGCGATCATCGCAGACACTCATGTTCGTCTGTCCCAGGCCGATGGTGTGTTTGCCCTCGCTGACGCCCATGTATTTCTCCAGTGCGGATTGGGAGACATACTGTTCTCCCTCAAGGGTCCCAGTCAGTCAGTGGCTGCTGTTGAAGGGGGGATTGGACAGACTGCCAGTGGACGACATACGCGACTGGGGAAATACACCTCAATGGCTTTGATGCCAACGTTCTGCGGACGGGTCGGACGGGTCATTTTGATAGAGTATCGGGTTGGAGTGACAGTCACAGTTAGGCGGAGGAAGAATGAAATGAACCAGTTCCCAGGAAGACTTGTTCTCTTTGGATTGCTTGCGCTGCTGCACGACCTCCCACCTGTCACCTTCGCAGTATTTATACCTCGTCTAATGTACAGCAGGGGTGGCTGGATTAGGCCCCAGTGCTCCCAGCTACGGTGTATATCCGAGCATACCAGGCCACTGTCCCTGCCACTGCCACGAGGATCTCGTCGGACCACCGGAACTTCTGATTCGGGCTGGAGGTGCGATGGGAAGAAAAGAGCCTAGTGTAGTGCTTAGCTTGATGCTTCTGAGGTGTCTTGGTGCGCGCCCCTCACGATCAGCCCATTGTCGCCGCAGGAACATCCTCGACGGGATACCTCTGGATCAGGTCCACACATTCTCATTTGTTCATGCGCTTCTAGTAATGCTGCGCGTCCTACGGCACTTAAGCATGCAGGTATTGTGGGGGAAGCTGGTGTTCTGAGACCGTGGCCCGGCGTATTCAATCACGTACTGCAGCTTCCTACGATAACATAGATAGGCCGCGAGTACTACCAGGTTCTGCTCAATGGAAGGATCTTTACAAAGGATACACTCCTCAACAACAGAGAGAAACTGAGCGTGGTTTGGGAGCACTGTGTTGGGGGGTATGCTCAATTCGCACTATGATACGGCCCGCTCGACATGTCTGTCTGATTTATATTACTGTGTGCGGTCACTTTGCGCAGTACTACAGATGATTGGAATGCTGCCATGTCTTGAGATGAGATTCTGTCCTAAGCAATGGCCAGGAGCACTGACTCAACAGCACTGCATTCAGTTATAATGAGTTATGCGGGGAACGCTCAGAACTTGCTTCTGGTATCGTACTCATGGCCAGCTGTGCGAGTATCTTAGACATTGGTCAAGGATATCACAAGATGCACCGGATCGGAATCTATCATCATACGTGCAGGACCACCACTGGCATGGTTTTGCAATCAAGTCGTGACTCGGTCCAGAACATCCACCATTGAAGTACATATATCTCAACATCCAGGTTGCTGGAATGACTGATGTGACCGAATGTCTGTACAGTACATCCTTACGTAGGCACAACCCAATCCAAACAAAACCCACGGGTATAAAACCTCTATGCTCCACCACTCACAGAACTACCCCCCGCTTCACATCACAACTTCGCCGCCGGCGCAATCGCCTTGCGCCTCACCTGCTGCACCGAGAAATCCACCTCCTCCGCCGGCGTCGGCCCAGTCGCGTCCTCGAATAACTTCCGCCCCACGAGGTCGGACATGCGCATCACCCGCGACGAAACCGTTGCACCGTCGCGGCGGTTTTTCCTGGTCTCCGTCAGTATCATCCAGCCACCAATCCGAGTGGAAGACTCACCCCTCCCGGCGGGATTGCGCGATCAACTCGGTAAAGTCCCACAGTCGACCGCGCGGGAGGACCTGGCCAGTTGCCGGGTCGCGCTCCGGAGTCCACTCCGGCGCCAGCCGCACGGACGAGGCCTTGGATTCCTTGCTTCTGGCGATGTGGATGATTCCTTCTTCGGCGAAGCGCTGGTACGAGTTCTTCAGGGTTTCTTTGTTGACGGCTTCGAAGTAGGAGAGGTCGCCTTGGTGGTACAGCGTTTTGCCGAGCTATTCGTATTGTGTTAGTGTTGTCTGCCTCTAGAAGACGTCTTGGAGGCGGGAGGCTTACAAGCTGGGCATTGTCTTGTGCTTTGCCCAGATCAATCCAGACATCTTTGGGAAAGTCAGACGGAGGCGTGAGCCCCAACAGCGAGACAGAACCCAGCCAGCAGGCTTCGATGAACGGCCAGATGAGGAAACAGTAGAAGTCGTAGTTCTCGCGTCCGCATTGGCGCTCCGCCTCGCTGAGCTCAACAGTAAGCGGGTTGCCCGATGGATCGCGACTGACGGTGATCACGTTGTCTTTCTCCAGACCCCGGAGGGTCTTGTCGAGATTGGTCGTCAGTCCTTCGGGAGGGAAGATGAACTCGCCGCGGAAAAGCTGCTGCGATTAGCTAATGCCGGCAACCGAACCAAGGGACATACCTGGGAGAGGAAGGAGACCTGATTCAAGAGGTCAGGGAATGACATTCGCTGGTAGGACGGCCCGCCGCCTTGTTTGATTCGCGTGTACATCGCCGCCGAGACCAGGGCCTCGGTGATGAAGAGATGGATCGTCATGTTGCGGTAGAAGGAGAGCTGGAAGCGGTCGACCGCATAGTACGTCGACTCCACCAGCCCTGCCACCTTACCGACAATCTGCGGCCCCAGAACTTCCAACGCGCGGTCCACAACAACTTCAGTAGGGTATCGGTAAAAGTGCGCGACGCGGCCTCCCTTGGCTCGGACCCGTTCACAGAGCCATTCGACCCGTCGGACAAGCTCTCCCTTGCCCACACCGCGACCACGCAGAGTCAGTAGGACCGTTCCGACCAGCGCAGTAGGCATCATGACAGATACATTATTGATATCAGACAGGACCCTATACCCTAATGATCTCAAAACGCGGCCTCTCTCGGCAGTGCTTAGCTTCTGGCTTCCGATGTCGCCGATCGGATCAGGCAGCCGCGTCAACTGCTGGGTGATGAACTCTTTCAAGCTCCATGGTTCATGGAAGCGAACGTCTACCCGACCAAGCTTCAATGATAAGACTGAAGACGACGAAAGAAAATCCGCCAGGTTTTCCTTCCGTTTCGGCTGACCCAGGAGCTCGCTAATGTAGGACCTGGGTGGTTGTTAGCATACGCCACTAAACCAGGACCCGACCGCCGTACTCAGTCTCGATGACCTTGTCATATTGTGTACTGACAGGGCAGATGATCGTGTCCTCCACACGGCCCGACAGTACGCTATCCAGAATAAAACTGAGGATCCCGAACTTGGGCGACAGAAGCTTCCCCGTTCGGGATCGCCCACCTTCGATAAAACACTCGAAATTGAACCCCTGCTGTAGAAGCGTGTCGATATACGCCTGCACGACGGTGTTATAAAGCGGATCATTACCAAAACTCCTCCGAATCCACATCGCACCTGCGCCCATCAGTACCGCAAAACCAACACGAGGGGTGGGAATCCTACCGGCATGCTGCAAGAATGGGCCCACCAGCGGGAAGTTGAGATTGTCGCCCGCCACCACCACCGGAAGCCCAATACCCAGACGATAACAGATCAACTGCAGCGACACATAGTCCACGTGGGACTTGTGGCAGGGCAGGAACACGATGGACCGTTTCTTCCGCGCGGCCTCTTCCGCCACGGATCTCAAGCGAAGGACCTCCTCGCTGGATACGTGAATGCCTAGACCGATCAGCAACCGCCTCAATAAAACTACCTTACCCTCCCCAGAATGGCAAACCTACCCTGATGATAAGCCCTGGTCAGCAGCTGCGTAGCCACGTAGTACGCTCCGCGAATAAACCTCTTGCTCTCCATCTTGCAAATCATATTATCCAGCATCGAGTCGACCACTTCCTTCAAATGAGCCTCAAGCTCGTTTCTGCGATGAATCTTCTTGGCTTCCCGCGGCCCAGGGTTCACATCCAACAAGCCCTCCTTCTCCTCGACGGCCAGGCGCAGCTCGGCCAGCTCCTTCACTTTGCCCTGGAGCAGCGGGCTGGCAAGAATGCGGGACTTCATGCGGTCGGAGAAGCCCGGGTAGAAGATGGGCTGGCCGATGACATCGTTGTAGGCGCGCCAGCCCGTGCCGGACATGTAGAGACTGACTTCGCGGAGGAAGTCGAAGGGGTTCTCGCGGAACCGCGCCATGTGGCGGACGAGATTGCGCTCGGGGATCTGATCATCCTGGGGTTCCGGGCCGCCGGTGACGCCGCTGGGGTGGATGGTGACTTTGTTGCCCACGATCTCGAGATCGGGGGCTGATTCGCCGACCGAAGGGTTGTCGGAGGGCATCTCGCTCAGACGGCGGGTAAAGGGGACCCGGATAGTGTTATGGAGGTGGTTTTGGTTGGACAAGTGTGACAATCGAGTTGAAGAACTATCATTGACGCATTGAGAGATGCAACATGATCAGGTTAGGGGGCGCGGATAGGCAGACAAAGCCATGATCCGAAAGCGCGTGGACGCTGGGGAGAGAGGGGAAATTGGAGTACCAAAATGGGAGGGAGGGAGATCATCCCCCAACATTTCCCCAGAGTAGCGGGACCGAGGCGTGAAGGGGGGAAAGTAAGCCTGCTCACGTGAAGATTGCCGTGTATGCAGTGTATGCAGTGTATGCATTGTTTACACTGTGTGCACCATCCGTCCCGTCCGCATCAGCCAAGAGGCAAAGGATGAGCTCAACGCAGCAGTCATCAGCACGATCATCCACCTCTTTGACTCGATGGTTTCGGGATGGACCGCAAAGCATCCATGCCATTCTTTCCAGATGTCCTGAGCTCTCAGGCCATCGCCAACATCCAGCCCAACCAGTGACCGGTCGGTCGTACACGACAGCCACTGTCACTTGCACCTGAAACGGTAGAAGCTCCACAGCGGGGACCACCGCCCGCCGCACGCCGCAAAAGAAGCATCTCGCCGAACAACACCGGAAAACCATTCTTTCACCTCAAGGTTCACCCTGCAAACAACACAAGCCATGTTTACCTGGCGACGGCAATTCTCCAGTACGTCTCATCCCATAGCCCCCCTCTTCATCCCACCCACCTGTCTAACATACTCGCAAACAGCCGCCGCAACCCTCCTCAAAACCGCCGCCATGGCCCCCTCGCAACCCACCACCTCCTTCCAAGTCTTCCGCGACGTCCCCCCTCTCCGCACCCTCCGCCGCCAAATCCTGGAATCCAACCGCACTGTCGGCCTGGTCCCCACCATGGGCGCACTCCACGAAGGCCACCTCTCCCTGATCCGCCAAGCAGCGTCGGAAAACACCGACGTGGTCGTCAGCATCTTCGTGAACCCCACGCAATTCGGCGTGAACGAGGACCTCTCCAGCTACCCACGGACATGGGACAGCGATGTGGCCAAGCTGGAGCAACTCAACGCCGAATTGACGGCCCACAACACCCACGGGCGTATCACGGCGGTGCTCGCCCCGACCGCCCAGGTCATGTACCCAACGCTTCCCCCCTCGTCGGAAATCGACGGGGATGGGTCGTTTGTGACGATCACGCCCATCAGCAGGAAGCTGGAGGGGGCGTCGCGCCCCGTGTTTTTCCGCGGGGTGGCGACGGTGTGTATGAAGTTGTTCAATATTGTGGGCGCCGAGCGGGCGTATTTCGGGCAGAAGGATGTGCAGCAGACCGTGGTGATCAAGCGGATGGTGAAGGATTTTCATGTGGATACGGAGATTAAGATTGGGCCGACCGTGCGCGAGGCGGATGGGCTGGCGATGAGTTCGCGGAATGTGTATCTGGGGAAGAGGCGGCGTGAGGTCGGTTTGGTGCTGTACCGCGCGCTCCGGGCGGCGGCGGAGCAATACCACGCTCATGGGAAGCTGCAGCGCAGCCAGATTCTGGAGGCGGCGGAGCGTGTCACGAAGGAGGTGATTGCGGAGCAGCGGGGGTTGGCGCCGGCGGAGCGCGCGCTGTTCGAGGTCGACTACATCTCCCTGGCGGACCCGGATACGCTGGATGAGCTGGAGGTGGTGGACCCCAGCAAAGGGGCGATTCTGAGCGGGGCGATCAAGATGGCGCCGCTGGAGGAGAGCAGGGCCGGCGAGGACTGCGGGCTGGGCGAGGGCAAGGTGCCGGTGCGGTTGATCGATAATTTGATCTTTGCGCCGCGAGTGTAGAGTTCGGTGGTAGGTACAAAGAGCAGACTACACGATGCATACATATACCCAGAGTACTCGATACACATGTTCACAGACAATGTGAACTAGTAGATTTACATACATATAAACATTCATTTATCAGGGTTACTGTAACCTGCAAATCACGGGATCCATCCATCCAAGTAAATCCCCAGAAAAGGAAAATAGGGCACAGCCAGAGGGTTCGGAAGGTGCATCGGCCCGAGGAAAATTTCCCAACCCAACAGCAGCTCTCGAGTCTCCCCCCCTCCGCAGTTCCGCCCCGACCGCCGCAAAACAGAGTCTGGACTCAGAAAAGAAAAGAAGAAAAACTTCAACCACAAAACAGGATCTCCCTTCACCATCCTCCGTCTTTTCCCTATCCACATACACAATCCCACCAAACCCTACTCTTAAAATGGCCGACGACGGCCTCCTCCTAAACTTCACCCTAGGAGGCGACACCGTCCTCAAACCAACCACGACGAAGGTGAAAGGCGGCACTTGGCGCGACCGACTCAGCGCAAAGAAAATCGCCGCCAACCGCAAGACCCCGCGCGACCCCAACGCTCCGAAACCCGAATCCAAGAACCCGAATCGCATTGCCGTATCATCATCGCGACCCGTCAAGCGCCAACGGACGGACGACTCCGGTGCAGCCCCTTCCCCACACTCCTCGCGGCAACACAACACGACCCAAAACCAGTCGGCTCGGCCGTTTGTCTCGTCGCTATTCACAAAGAACCCCGTTCCGCAGAATGTGGAGGAGACTAACAACAAAGACGGGGGGGAGGAGGTGGAGGAGGCGAAGCCGACGAATGCCCCGTTGATTGATGGGTTGGATACGTTCACGAACTTGGGACTCTCCGAAACGCTGGCGGCGCATTTGCTGACCAAGTTGGGAGTAAAGGCGCCGACGGCGATTCAAAAGGCCTCGATCTCCCAGCTGCTGAAGGAGGAGAGTGATGCGTTTATCCAGGCGGAGACCGGGTCGGGAAAGACGATGGCGTATCTGCTGCCGCTGGTGCAGCGGTTGATGACGATCTCGAAGGCGTCGGCGGGGGCGGGCATGCCGTTGGCCAAGGGCAGTGCGTCTGCGGCAGACTCGTCGGTCGTGCACCGTGACAGCGGGCTGTTTGCTATTGTGCTGGCGCCGACGCGTGAGTTGTGCAAGCAGATTGCGGTCGTGCTGGAGGGGTTGTTGCGGTGCGCGCACTGGATCGTGGCGGGGACGGTGATCGGTGGTGAGAAGAAGAAGTCTGAGAAGGCGCGGTTGCGGAAGGGGTTGAATATTCTTGTCGCCACGCCCGGTCGGTTGGCGGATCACCTGGAGAACACGCAGGCGCTGGACGTGAGTAACGTGCGGTGGTTGGTGCTGGACGAGGGCGATCGGTTGATGGAGCTGGGGTTCGAGAAGGAGCTGCAGGGGATTATTCAGAAGCTGGATGCACGGCAGCGGCCGAGTCGCATCCCGGGTGTGCCGACGAAGCGGACGACAATCTTGTGTTCGGCGACACTCAAAATGAACGTGCAGAAACTGGGCGAGATCAGTCTGAAGGATGCTATCCATGTGCAGGCGGACCCGGCCGACGAGGACCCCGACGCCCAGAAACACAAGGACGAGGACGAGGCATTCCGCGTCCCCGCGCAGCTGAAGCAGTCGTACGCGATCGTCGCCGCCAAGCTGCGACTGGTCTCGCTGACGGCCTTCATGAAGCGAACGTTCATGCGCAAGGGCTCCGTGATGAAGGCAATCGTGTTCGTGTCGTGTGCGGACTCTGTGGATTTCCACTTCGAGCTGTTCACGCGCAAGCTGAAGGACGAGGAGGAGGCAGAGAAAAATCCCGAGAGTGACAGCGATAGCAACTCTGACTCGAGCGAGGACGACGAAGACGACGACGACGAGGACAAGCAGAAGAAACAGCAGCACAAGGCCAACGAGCACGGCACCGTCGCACTGGCCACCGCATTCTCCAACCCCTCCAATCCCGTCATGCTGCACAAACTGCACGGCTCGCTGCCGCAGCACGTCCGCACTGCAACGCTCGGCGCATTCGCGCGCAGCCGCGAAGCCTCGGTGCTGATCTGTACCGACGTGGCCTCGCGCGGTCTCGACCTGCCCAACGTCGACCTGGTTGTGGAGTACGATCCGGCGTTCAGCGCGGAGGATCACTTGCATCGTATCGGACGGACAGCGCGTCTTGGTCGGGATGGCCGCGCCCTGCTTTTCCTAATGCCTGGCTGCGAGGAGAACTACGTCGACATCCTCAAGCGCGGCTACCGCGACGGGGGCAAGGCGCTGCAGCGACTGAACGCGGATGACATCCTGAAGCGCGGGTTTGGCGGGAACGTGCAGGCGCAGAGCAAGGACTGGGAGGTCAAGACGACTGACTGGCAGATGGACGTCGAGCGGTGGGCGGTCGACAACCCGCAGTACCTGGAAATGGCGCGGCGGGCGTACCAGTCGCACATCCGGGCGTACGCGACGCACGTCGCCAGCGAGCGCCACATGTTCAACATCAAGGAGCTGCACCTGGGCCACCTGGCCAAGAGTTTTGCGCTGCGCGACCGACCCAGCAAGATCAATGTGCCGGGGCTGCGGCAGAGCACGAGCGACGCCAAGAAGGACTTCAAGGCGGCGCGCAGCACGGTGGGAGGGAAGAAGCGGAAGGCGGGCGATGATGATGATAATTCTCGGGGCGCGACGGATGTATCTCTGGCGGCGCAGAAGATGAGAGCGAAGATGAAGGAGCATATGGCGGGGGCGAACGAGTTCAACCTTGCTTAACCGCTGGAATTTATCATGTAAATAGTCAATGAAAAGCACTCGTTGCAGGCTAATAGATATCCCACAAGGAGATTTTGCCATCCTTGGACCCAGCAGCCACCCAATGGGTGCGTTGGACCTTTTCGTTTCGTCGTCGGTGAAGGACAGCCAGGCTGCGGCTGCTCCCTGTGCCTTCATCGTCGCATGTAGGATCTTTCTCACCACTCTCGAGAACCTCCGCCAAAGCAACAGCATAACACCCCTCCTTATGCCACTTCAACACCGCCACTTCCTTCAGCGTCTTTCCCGAGTACACCCTGACGCGCGCATCCCACCCGGCCGTCGCCAGGATCTTCCCATCACTCCGCACCCTCAGCCCCTGCTGCCCTGCATGCCGCGTATCAACGATCTTGATCGCCTCCGTCTGAATCCCCGCGCTGGCCCTCGGAGAGTCGAGGAGCGTAAGAGGATGCTTGACGACCCGCGCATCCGCCGCCGAGGAACACACCCATTCGCCAGTTGGCGCGATATCGAGTGCCAATACCGGCTGATCGTGGGTGCGGTTCGCATACAGCTTCTCCCATTTCCATTGCTGTCCTTCTTCCCACTTCCATTGCTGCTCTTCTTCGGAGGTTTCCGCGGCCCTTGGGGCTGATAGTGGTACCTGACAGCGCAGAACCAGAACATGCCCGTCCTCGAACGCTGCAGCTAGGAACAACGACCTCCTGGAATACCCCGTAGCATCCCCCGCGCCACCCCCGGGCGGTGCGAGAAACAGTGACAGAGCCATCACCATTCCGGTCTTGACCTGGGAGTCGGCGGGGATCGTGCAGATGCGCTTCTCGGAGGGGAGGTGGAAAAGGTCGATGGCGCCGGAGTTGAGGGCGTTAGGAACGGCGATTATTGCTGGGGTTGCTGCTGGTGATGCTGGTGCTGCTGGTGATGCTGGGGTTGTTGCTGCTATTGGCGCAGTGCTAGGGACCTCTGCTCCGCTCTGCATCTCCCCTGAGCTAGCGCTTTCTTCCACAGACACGAAAGAAGGAGGAGGAGAAGGAGAAGGGAGGCACAGCAACCCAAACGCGCAAAAGTTCAACGCATTAACCGCCAACGAATGCAAAAGCCACGGCTGGGCAGCTGAACTGGCAGCGGCTCCAGCACCAGCACCAGCACCGGCAATCTCAACCGGCAACTCCCTCCCCAGCACCCCCTCCTCCTCATCTCTCCGGGCATACCTCCAAACGCGAAGTTTATGATCGCGACCATGTCTGCATTCATTAGTTAGCATAGCGATCACACACCAGATGAATAGGAAAAAAAAAGAAAGAAAGAAAGAAAAAGCTCACGTATAAACCACCGTCCCCCCGGTCCAGCCATCCATCTCACCTCTCACCTCCAGAATCGCACCATCATGGGCCTTCCAAACGGCAACGGGCCGCTTGGTGACTACATCCCAGACGACGATCCAGCCCTCGGCGTCACCGGAGATGAGGCGGCGGTTCTGATCGAAAAAACGGAGGGCGTGGATGGGAGCCGCGTGGCCGCGGAGGATGTAGGTTGGTGTTGCGGGGTTTTGATATGGCATTCTAGGTTTTTCAAAGGGGGTGTGTGGATTTAAGATATGGGAATATAGGTTGGGGAAATGTCAAGTTAATGGAGGAAACTGGCTCGGGTTTCTGGGACGCGGAATGGAAACGCGTCTTGGCGTTTCTGGAAGCCGAGATCGAAGGGTTACTGTATCTGATTCCACCGGATGTGCTTTTATGACTTTGCGATGGGTTAAGACTGGTAACACCAAACGAGACAGGAAATCTAATGGATTGAGCTGAAATATCATACAAGCACGGTCTATGCACCAAAGAGACCTCCTCTCACCGCAGTACCAAGCAAACGCCAAGAGCCTCAATCTATACTACAACCACTATAACCGACTACAACCCAAATGAAAAGTCCAACGCTCGATGCGGCGCAACATAATGATCCTGATACGGATGGTTTTCCATCGAGAAATCCGCCGTCGCCATGAGCGGATTGACCGCCCCGGTCATCCTAGCCGGCGGAATATGGCTGGGTCGCAGAGCTTGCTGCTGCTCATTGCCGAACATCGCCACAATCTCCTCCGACGTGGCCATCGGCGGGCCATGATGGCTGCTCCAGCCCCACGCCGCCTGTAGTTCGTTCTTGACATTCTCCGCCCGCCACCCCGTCTCCTTGATGATGTTATCCAAGATCTCAAAGACCTCGTGCTGGGCTTCTCGTGTTACGAGACATCCCGCGGCGATGGCGAGGAAACGGATGGACAGGCTGGCTACGCCGCTAAGACTCGGTCAGCTTGCAGGAGCACTAAGTCTAGAGAAAACTCACCGATCCTTGGAGTGCGCAACAATCCCGCAGATATCCCGCGCATGGCCTTGTTGGATGGTCTGCATCTCGGCGCTGAACTCGGACTCGAGAGGATTTGTTTTGGTTAAGAGGAGGCGAGTAGTATGATAAAGAAGTTGCGCCACAATCGTCGAACGTTTGATAAGCCTTCCCCAGTCAGTCTAGCATACTACAGGTCCCGAAACCGCACTTACCAGATCTCCGGAAACACCGACTTGGAGTTGGTCTGCCACGAATGGAGATAGCCCACCGGCATCATAGATCGCGGCACGGCCCTGGCCCATTGGTCGCACCACTCGTTATACATACACCATTCCTGGTAACGCTGGCTTACCTGTGTATCACTCATCGAATCCTCCACGCCCTGGTCCTGACCCGTTGACCGGAAATTCGCGACCTTGGCACAGATAAAAACCATTTTGTGAGTCCACGCTTCTTCGTTGCCGGCCACGCTGGGCTGGGCCTGGTCGAACTCCAGCTCAACCCCCCAAGAGTCTGGGTTCCAAGAAAGCGCCCAGTTGAAGTGCAGACAACTGATCAACTCCATGCTCACATTCAACCAGAAACATGCACCGCCGAGACCTGGTGTCTTCGCATCCCAGCTGCATTCTTTGATCAGTGCTCTAGCTCCGGCGATATGACTCATGCCCTGAATAGGTCGACCCGACATCAGCTCGTAGATGTTCAAGAGAATGGCCGTGGTGGCACATAATGCAGAATCGCGGTCGGGATCCTGCAAGGAGCGCAGAAGATACTGAGAAGCTTCATCATGGAACAGGGCAGCCTTCTCCTCTCCGTAAGACGTGTTGACGTGAAACAGATGCCGCGCCCCACAGGCCAAAATAGCCTTGAAGAGCATTGGCTCCTCCAACGCATGGAATGGTAAGACGTGGGTGAACTGCACGTGTTAGCTTGCTTGAGCCATTCATCAGGATCTGCTCAACTCACATGTTGCACCGCATCCATAGAGTCCATCCACAGCCCAACTTCCTCCACGAACACTTGCAGAAGAAAGACCTCCTCTGGGTTGTTGAGGCACGTATGGTTAGTCGAGTTGATATGGCCATGCCGTGTCGATCTGAAGGGGGCATATGAAGTGCTTGGGTCTGGAAACGGAGATACCGGAGGAAGGCTATTGAGCGAGGCGCCAAGATTCTCGGACGGGACATTCCCGAGCCCTTGCATGTAGCTGTCCTTAGTTGTGATGGGCGTGTTCGAGTTCAGAGACCCCGTCTTGCCTGGAGTCTCGGACTCCTCGGCAACAAGTGGAGGGTACCTCTCAAATCCTCCCACATATTCTGACGCAATGATGCGAGACTCGTCTCGGAAGGTAACCCGATTGCCCTGTAGGCGCACCACACAGTGCGGGGGCGTCGCGGTCTGAGTATCTATAAAATTCAAGCGGATACCACGCCTGCATATCCTGCCCGATTTGCGGCAGTTCTGGCATTGATGAAGGGCCTCGTCACACTTCAGATGCCGCTCTCGACATGTTAAACAGCCGGTGCGGACCCGCCTAGGCTTCGTCGCGGCCTTGCCTTTCCGTTTACCGCGACCAGCCAATGTCCGGGGCGTGTTCACAGAAGTGCTATTGGGAGTTGAAGCCCCTCCTTCGTCAGAGGGCGTCGGAGTCGTCCCTTGAGGGGTGACTTCAGCGGCTAACAAGGGGCTCTGCTCGTCCAGCTCCAGGTCAGGCATATCCGCGACAGCCCCAGCATCCGTCAAGTGCAGCGCAATGTCAAGGTCCAATGTCGGCAAGACATGGTCGTCGACTGTAGAGGCCATAGCAGACCGGTCTATCATATGATGTCTATCCTAGGCTGTAGGTAGTTTATCGACCCGATGCGATCATCCACAAGCCCCAATTCAGCCCCAGAGACGGTGACTCTGCATTGTGACAATATCGACAGCCGCCGTGAAGGCTATTCCTGATCTGCACACCCGATTCACATGTGGCAGCAGTGGCTCGTCGGGAGGAATGGGGTGACTGGCGGGAGTCTGCCGTGTAGGGAAGATTCACAAATGACCGCTGTCTGGGAATTGAATGCATGTGCATCGGCCGCTGAGGTGAGGCTCGGAAACGGTGAGGACGCTTATCTAGAATGGAAAAAAAAGGTCAGCCTGTGAGATCATAGCAAGGGTACTCGAATACGAACATCGAAGGAGATGCAGCTCACACAGCGCCTCTGTATGTCTGGACAAATGGGTGAAAGGCTGAAAGGCTCACTGGCCGAGATCTCAAAAGATTTGCGGGGGAAGTCGGCGAGAGGCTAGTCCCAATTAGTCTAGTGCAAAACACCCCCGGTCCAACCGCGGAAAACAACATCCTTGTATTCTACCTAGTATCTACTACTCCTTATCTACTTAAGTTTCAATATGCTTTTGAAAGGGTATATCACCTTGTACCACCACTTAGATCACGCAGCATGATCTCAAGATCTATGCGACCTCGCAGTCTTGAATACAGCCTCACGGCTGGGACTCTACTCGTTACAGTTGCCAGCGACAATCGCCTTCTCGCAGGCGACGTCATGAAGGATACATATCGGACTCGGCGGACAACGATTACGCCTTGCTTCCTAGTCTGGGCAGGCGAACGCGGAGATGAAGCAGAAGCATGAGGGTACCCCATACCGCAGCGGAAAAGAAAGTTACCCGAAGAGCGGCGGCATACGCCCCGATCACTGCAAAGGCGTTAGTGGCTGCTCCACAAGACCTAGATTCAATCCACTTACCCTGGTGTTGGCTGAGAGGGTCCAAGTTAGCAATAGCTTGCACGGACTTACGGACCAGCAGAATCACTTCGTCCTTGTTGGTGCCAGTAACCCTTTCGTCAAGCTGGTATAGCAGACTGTTCTGGAAAATCCAGCTGCTTGTTGCCACCCCCATGACGGATCCCAGGTTTCTCCACAAGCCCAAGGTTGTCGTAGCCACAGCCTGGTCCTCTTGTTCGGAGGTCGCGAGAACTGATACCATTAGCGAAGGGAACGCAAACCCCTGGCCCAGGCTCGACAATGAAACGCAAATCATGGCAACCACATCCGGAGTCTCCACCCCTATGGTGGCGGCTGCTATACCTCCTAGAAGGAGACACACATCGCCAATCATGACTGTCGGCTTCAGTCGCTTGGTCCAGGTAATCAGAAACCCAGTTAATACACTCGAGAAGGTTACTGCAAGTGTAGAAGCGACCAGCCGAAGGCCAGAGTCCGTAGGCGAGGCTAATTTCACTGCCTGAAAGTAGAGAGGCGCATTGAATACCATAGTATTGACCGAGATCGCCCCGAAGAAGTTCCCAAAGATGAGGCTGGCGCGCGGCTCTTTCAGCAGGAGCGAGATCGGCATGACTCCGCGCTCCACGTTACGCTCATAGCGAACAAAAAGAACCGCGAAGACGAGGAAAGAGATGAGGGAGGTGATGACGATCGGATGGGTCCAGCTGAACACATTGCCGCCCAGGTTAAGTCCCATAATGAGCGAGGTAACCGCTAGTACCAAGAGGAACGACCCCATAAGGTCAATGTTCTTCAGCAGCTCGAGAAACGTCAGACGCTGCGTCTTGGCTCGTTTCCGGCCCAGGTCGGCGGGCACAGTCCAGGCTGCCACGATGAAGTAGACGAAGATGAAGGGTAGCTGTACGAGGAAAGCGCCTCTCCATCCTACTTTATCGCATAGATAACCGCCAAATGCAAGCCCAAGACAGCCACCCAGGCCAAGACAGAGGTTGATGTAGGATTGGTAGACCCCTCGATACTCCAAGCGAACGAGGTCGCTGGAAAGAATCATGCCCATGGAGAAGACGCCACCGGCACCCATGCCGCAGAACGCCCGGGCTGCAATAAAGCTCAGCATGCTCTGGGCAGCCGCACACCAGGCTGTGGTGAGGAAGAAGACGGTGATTGCAAAGAGATAAACTGGCTTTCTTCCCACAGTGTCGGAGATGCGTCCAAACAGAGGTAGAAAAGCTGTAGATGTCAACAGAAACGCCGTCGAAAGCCATGAGGCTGAATTGGAGGCATGGAAGTGCGAAGTGATGACTGGGTGGCTAGAAGCCATCAGGGTGGAATCGAAGAAGCCGATGATGTAGCCCATCATGACTCCCCCGAAGATGAGCCAGAACCGCCATGGAGAGACATTGATGAAGCGCGAGGCATATTCGCTGGCTTGTTGTCTCTGGCCCGCCTCTGGATCATTGGTCCCTTTCCCATCATCCTCGGGTGCTGGGGGAAGTGCCTCTAAACTGGGCTCAATATCAGGCCCTTGAGGTATTGAGGCGACCTTGGTAAGACCAAGCAGTGCTGCGCTATCCCCGACGGTGAGTGCTGAGGGGGATAGACATGAATCAGCCTCATTGTGTCCGGAATGACAGGTATAAGATGGTTGAGTGAGGGGACCATTCAACAGCGGTGTTGATTCTGTGGCATCGGACGCCACATGGGAGACAGTCATAATCGTGAGGAAATGTGTATCAAAGCTAATGTTTGTCCAAAAGTACTTAAGGAACCATGAAAACCCAGAAAAAGGCAGCAAACTTTTTTCAACCAACTTTTCCGTGCGAAGAAAGAATGAGAAGCCTGGGAGGCAGGCGAGGGGTTGCGGAAGGGTTCTTGAATGATAGGATTGATATCCGTGAAATTATAGAGAGAGAAATCTGGCCAGCGGCGCGGGGACACATAAGACTGCATGGGGATGCATCGTGCACGGAGCGGCGGGGACCAGAAAGCCGCTCTAGCCTCAAATTACTGTACTTGCGATATGGCTGCGAAAAGAGGGGAAGAGAGAAAGAAGGGGAGAGTTCCACCCGCCGCGGGTTCCGAAAATTTTTTGACCTTGCCGTTACCGAGTTTGCCTGTTGTGACTCAATTCAAGATGCAGACCGCTGTGTCTCTTCCTGCAACCCGATGTCGGTCCCCAATTGAGGTTGTCTGATTTGTTGGAGATGGAGTCATCCGACCCAGAAGTTGCATCTGGTTCTAGACTGAATGAGGTTTAGTCGCTGGAGCTCTCCGATGCCACTGCCGGCCTTAACTTATACACTCACTGAGGCAATTACTACCTATCGAGCTGCAAATACTGTCAACCTACCAGGTCAATCTGCTTCATGAACAATCTTAGCACATCTACGAACTCAAAACCCATTGATAGCCTGTCCTCAGGGAAAGTCAAAACACTTCGAATATGCCTAGAGAGCTTGTACTTGAAACCGAAGCTTCGGTCCCTGGTAAGCTGTAACTAGTCCATAAGTACCGACACTAGAGACCTGCAGTCCGCATGCCGGGAAATTGGTCTTGTGGTACAGCACCACAGCAAAAGCAAACTTCCGTTCCCACGAATCTGGCGACTTGCATGCGAGCCACATTGTTTCACAGCATACCTTGGTTCTGAGCAGAAAAAGTACTTGCGCACTTTTAATTCTACGATTACCTAGTAGTCATACTCCACCCTTTCCTACAACTAACTTTATCGTAGTTTAAGTCTATGCATAAAATAAGTCTCGAATAGGTTTTTTTCAAAACAAATCACCACTTGCGGGAGGCTTTAGCTTGCTGACCCTGGAGAACTTCTAAGAAATTGGCCAACCTTAGGGATTTTCGCCCTAAATCAAGTTCGACGTGGTCCAGAGTTCCTAGTGAGCTTGAAGGTTGCTCATAGAAGCCAGTCAATTATTCAGACCACGTTAAGGGTATGCCAAGCATAAGCTTAACGTGAGCTAGAATCGCTATGTCGGTGGGTACAAGTGATGGAGTTTAAAAGAGAAGCTGGGCCCTAAAGGCATGCATGTCGGTACGGAGTTATAGCTGGCCAGTCACTAGTACTAAGGCCTTGATGGCCCATATCAACGGCTGTCATGCTTTGTGGAATGCTTGCCGTAGTGCTGAATTATACAGGGGACCTTGAAGCACTCGCCTCTGGGAAGGCGTTGAATGTTGCAGTGTTGGAACGGTATCGAGGCCTTCATACCTAGCTTGCTGGTAATAGAAGTGGAATCTATGAGATTTGTCTGTCATTAGATCGAGGCAATGGTGAATCTGAACATAAGACATAGAAAACGATATATTTGATATGCGACTGCTAGAGGTTCTGGTAAAGGATGCTGTTCGCATGCCGTAGACTTTCCATTCGACTTGGTGATGTGCAAGCTTTCGCGGATATTGAAAGGGTCGGTCAGTCAACTCTTCGTCAATCTTTGTCCACCCGTTGTGTAAAATAAGGCAATCCATTTTCTGGCTGATAGTACTATCTGGGCTTTTTTTACAAGATGTAACATGAAGTAATATTTACTAGAAGAAGGCTTTGAGACATCGCAAAGATAACTAGACAATAGCAATTAGAGCAGCTGGAAGCCTGAGATAAAGATAGTATCCCAAGTACATTTTGACTAGACTAAGTTCAGTTACGTTCCCGACACCCAATATAACCTGCTACAGCACCTATTGCCAACCCCAGCGTGATTGCAGGGCGCGCGATCCCCAATCAGTGGAACAAATCAACAGAATGCAAGAGCGACATCAAGCTTCTGGAAAATCCACGTTGCCTGCCTTGGTCGTTCTCCATATCCACGAAATCCAATTCTTCCCATAAGTCGTGCGCACTGGCGAATGCACCCTTCGTCCAACATCGTTCAATAATTGGACCAAGCCAGTGAGTCTCAGTGCTGGTAAGGGCCTCCCTTTGTGACCCCTACCACTGCTAAGCTCCAACGGAAGATCCTTAAATATGGTTATCAAACTCGGATTTCTCTCCGACCACCACTTCATATATCACAGCTCCCAACTGGCCAATATCTGTATCTATGGAATACCCTGCCCAGTCAGCCGTCTCCATACAGGTGTCAAGAGGCGGTAGCATGGACTCCGTAAAATCACATATCTTGACTTTCAAATCGACATCTCGAAGGAGCTTGCGGGTGGCAATGTCTGTGAAAATAACCCGCCGATCATGAACTTGTGCCAATGAGGGAGCCATGGAACGAAACCAGGAGAGTTGGAGAGACTTTGATGGTTGATTTTGAGTTGAGTAGGAACGTAGTTCACCATTTCCCATCAGGCAGGATTTAGTGGCATTCCTCGAGTAACCCAAGAAGGGGACAACACCGTCGCAGCTATCTCAGCGCTCATAGATAGCTTGCTCATGCTGGACTGATTCGATGTTTGCTTCCACTTCTTCGTCGCTGCTTATGCTCAGCTAATGGGTTCAACATGATGGGAGGGCGTCGTGTAGTGCCATTACTCTTGTAGAGGAGGATGACAATGAGAGGATGAGTGTTTCACAATTGTGTGCTTGCGGACTGCGAGTACAATGAAGGTGTAGTGATGGGGTCCTGGAGAGGCACGTGATCTCCTCTCCCGGATAATACTGGGTCCGTGCATTGACTAGGCCACAGCCTTAACCGCGATGCATGCTTTTACCGAATCTGGAAATTCCGCCCGTCGACGCTCGGGCAGTCCCCGCACTCGCCGGGTTTGCAGTTCGGAGTCTTGGAACTCTTTGTCGCACTTGGCACGGCTCCACATAGTCTCTGCTATGAATACCCTTACCTTTTTACCAGAGTAAGATTAGTACTATTACTATTATAGAACACAAGGGAAGTAGTCGAATTACTACTAGACAGAATGGTAAGAAGATAGAGCTATTCAGAACAATTAAGTACCCGATTAGTTCTCTCTCTTTCTTTGTATGAGTATATCCTAAGCTGCTGTAATAAACACGTATAACTCAACCCCATCTCAGTAGCAATATTGCTCAACGCAGGCTTCACATTATCTTCTATGAAGGTTCATTTAAGCTCTGGTAAACAGACAGCTATTATGGTCAAGACTTATCGACAGAAGTACTATTCTATGATATATAAGGCATTTCCCAATACATAGTAGATCCTTGAGAAAAGAAATACTGTAATATGGTTCAACATTTGTAAACACTCGATGTCTGTATATACCTTGACACGGCGCACTACATGGACCTAGCGGTTCTGAATATATACTTCATCAGACTTGTCGACTTGTAAGCTTAGTAGGCGGCCAGGGAGTAATGGTATATACTGTGTGTAATAATGTCACTTAGCTTTGTTTAAGTACTTCTGCCACAGACACCCTATATTAAAATCAGACAACAGTTTTGACACAACGAAAATCACTGCACAAGTCAGTGTCATTGGATGTCAGGCCCTAGTGCCCATCCAGTAATCGGACACATAGAAGATAATACGTAGTGAATATGAGCAGTAAAAGATAGTTAGGCACAGTACCTTGTCACCAACAATGAAGATTGCATTGGATCTCCTAATTTAGTGGAAATACTCATTGACAGCCCAACAGATTCATACCCTAAGTCACACTCACTCCGGATACTCAGGCATATGAGGCAGAGCATTTTTACAATGGTAGCACCCATGGCCGATGTGCATGCAGCAGAAGCCATCCAGCGGCGAGGCACCGCCGCCCAGACGCGGTATGTGCGGGGTTACAGCAGCTTGCAAGGGAGAGACACAATGCGTGTCTCTCCATCGTCCCAGGCTGTAATCCTCAGCCTCGCCTTGCCTCTCCTCGCAGCTGCCGCCAATGATCCGGGCTACCGTGCTTCCCTACCCTTCCGCCCTGAGAACGTGACACTTCTTCACGACCCGTATTACTGGGTGGGATCGTATTACAATGGGACAACCGAGTTAGAATTGATGCCCTACACGGGCTTAGCAGCGAAATGCAGCACCCAATGCCCGTTGCTCGCCAATACCACGACCACCGTACAATATGACACGATCCTCGCTCTGACTGAGCCAAGCAAATACAAGAACGCCAATGATCCCATGAATGCCTTTCTCCTGCGCTGGGATACTGGCTTTGACTTTTCTTCGATCACTACCTTGGACTGGCCACTCCAAGAGCTCCCCTCCTTACAATGAGGCTATCTGTCTTCCGAGTATGTCACTTTCCCCACCCCCGGGCGATTCGCTTACGCCTGCTCCGAAATGTGGAACCATAGAGAGCTGACTAGAGTATGAGGTAGCCCTATGTATCGTTACGAGGAAGGCGGCGGTGGAGATTGGTTCAATTGGGTACTGAACACTACCACTCAAAGCCCCCCATATCGTCTCTCGAGTACCATTACCGCATACTACAGCGGCAACGCAGACCTTAGAGCCAACATGATCAACTGTACCAGCACAGAGATGGTTCCGTGGTTGGTTGACCCGAGCCCCTGGGCCCCGAACGATAACGTCACCTATGTGTCTCCGTCGCCGGCTTTGTCGGTTAGTCTGGAATTTGACGGAGAGACGGCGAACTACACAATCGTGGGTACTTTGATGGCATTCGAACCTATCCGAACGGAACCCAACGATCTGACGGACTAACTGCCCACGGGCAGTTCATCTTGCGCTTCGCGGGCGTCCTGGATGCTTACCATTCGGACATTTTGGCCAACGACACCGCCACCCCAACCTGGCTGCGCACTGTCGGGGTCAATAACAACTCGCCTAATATTGGGTATACGGGGACGGCGGGCGGGACAAAAGCCGTATAGGGGTCGGCGACGGCTTGCGCTGTAGTCCTGACCCTGGTGGTGCAGCTTGTCCTCGAATAACCACTTGGTGTAGAGCTACCCCGATGTCTCACGGACAGCGCCTAGATACCACTTGATTCTGAGCTTTATGTCATAAGTGGACTATAAAACATACTATAATGTTGACTGTATACCATCAAGCTACTATAGCAGAGATCATACTTACTGGACTTTTATAATATCAGACCTAAGTTTAGACCACTAAGGTATTTCCATACACTTGGAGCTTAACTCATAAGTATCTGATAAGTCATGGCGATTCAAAAGTAGGCTTTTTGATATGCAGTATGCAGATGGCGGACTACCTACAATGACTGAGCAGCGGGATGCTTTCCCGATCACGTCAATCGTGCGGACATCATAAGTAGAGCTCAACCATACTGTGTACGCGCCAGGTTATTATCCGAAAGGGTCAGCTTACACCACGGCATTTTTCGTGGCTTTTCACGGAATTCGATCCCAGCTTAGGTTCGTGACGTCAATGGAGGCAAATCCCAGCGGATGTAGCCGGATCCTTTGTTCGGACCTTGTCTGCTCCACATGCCGGTAAGCCTCCAATCGTCGATCATTCTGATCGATGATTCGGCGGCGAAGTGGCTCCAATAAGGAGGTAAAAAAAAAGTCGACAGTGTGCTACTTGAAGGGCATTCCTTGAAGGATTTCCTCGCAATTGAATCATCGTCTAATCTAACCCCTCCCTAATATCCGCTAAGACCAATCCGTGCATCCGATAATCATGCCCTCTATCCAAGGCTCAACTGTGCTTATCATTGGCGGTAGTTCTGGCATCGGCTACGGCGTTGCCGCGAAGTGCATCGCCGAGGGAGCCAGAGTTCACATCGCCTCGTCCAACGAGTTCAAAGTCAACTCGAGCGTCCAGTCCCTGAAAGACACAACCGCCGGCGGCGATGCCCCAGTATTCGGGCATGTATGCGATCTATCCAGCCGGGATGTCGAACGGAACCTCGAGCAGTTATTGAGCGCCGTCGACGGCCCGATCGACCACATTGTGTTCACAGCCGGGGACAGCCTTGCCATCGCACCCCTGGACACGATCAACCTTGATATGATCCACAAGGCAGGGCAGGTCCGCTTCGCAGCGCCCCTGCTGACGGCAAAACTCGCACCCCGCTTCATGAGACCGGGGTATCAGTCCTCGCTCACCCTGACTACCGGGGCGGGCTCTGAGAGGCCGCATCCGAATTGGTCGTTGATCGCGGGATATCTGACGGGCTTGCATGGACTCACCCGCAACTTGGCTTTGGATCTCAAACCGCTCCGTGTCAACTTGGTGAGCCCGGGGGCGGTGGTAACTCCTATGTGGGGAGAGAAGGGTCCATCAGACGATCTGAAGAATCATACTACGCTCGGCAAACTCGGCACTCCCGAGGAGGTTGCTGAAGCCTATGTCTATCTGATGAAGGACACCAATGCCACTGGGAGTTGTATCAGTACCAACGGGGGGTCTTTGTTGGTGTAGCGGGAAAGCACGCTTAAGGTCCGTCCTCTTCAGCAGGCCGTAGATGATCGGCTGAGGTAAAGCGAATGCACAGTTCTCGCAGTTAAGAACCTCATTGGTAACGCTCAATTTTGGGTACCTCGTCATTTTGTTTTGATGCACTCTATCATATCTCAATTCGAAGTTTCGATCGCGCAGGTCATAGTGAGAAACATTGTGCTTGGCTATCGTGATCATATAGTGTTCAAGAACAGTTGAGATGCAAATGCAGACCCCGCATGGTTCACTTCAATTTACTCTACCCCAAGGCATTACTTCTCCTTGGAGACAACGGGTAACTTAGTATGAGGGGAGATAATGTAAAAATCGCGGGGCGGTGGCAGATCCCTCTGAAGCCGCTTATTTCTCCCCCGCTCGCCGAGGCCACCCCGCCATCCAGCATCTACTGTACACTACTTAGGTATATTTGTCGTACTTACGGAAGACTGCAAGGTTCAAGGTTGTATATCAAAACACACTATATCTCCTTTCCTCCTCCTCCTCCTCCTCCCCCTCCCCCCACCCTTCCACTCCACCCAATTCATCAACATTCCACAATCTACCCCACCAACAATGGCCCCCCAACTCCGTATCGCCATCCTCGAATGCGACACCCCCGTCGACAAAATCAACGCCAAATATGGAGGCTACCGCGGTGTTTTTACGAGACTGCTACAAGAAAGTACGGTCGCCCTCAACCAGCCTGAGCGACTGGACCCGGAGACCGGCCTGGACATTTCCGGCTGGGACGTCGTGACAGCCCAGGAGTATCCCAACCTGGAAGATGTAGACGCCATCGTTCTGAGTGGATCGAGTAAGTGCTCCTACTTCAGCCCCCTGGTCCTCAATGACTCATCCGCACAGAACACGATTCCTTCGCCGACCACCCCTGGATCCTCAAGCTCGTAGACTTCACTCGACGAGCATACGAGGACCCGCGCATCAAGATCTTCGCCATCTGCTTCGGGCACCAGATCCTCGCCCGCGCACTGGGGGTCAAGGTAGGCCGGAACCCGAAAGGGTGGGAGCTGGCCGTGTGCGAGGTAGATCTCTCTGAGACAGGGAGGGAGGTGTTTGGTGTGGATAAATTGGTGAGTTTGGGCCCTCGTCTGTTTACCTATCAATCAAACAGAGCCCCCCACGCAAACTCAAGCTTTTATCTTCTGTCCCTTTTCCTCATGTGGAATGTGCTAATCTATTGATTATCCATTCAGCGCATCCACCAAATGCACCAAGACATCGCTTACGGGTATCCGTCCGAGGTGGTCTCGCTGGGCTCCTCGCCGACGTGCGCGGTGCAGGGCATGTACATCCCCGGGAAGATGATCACGGTGCAGGGCCACCCGGAGTTTCGCGAGGATATCATGGACGAGCTGATTCGGTTGCGGACGGCGAGTGGGCTGTTCTCGCAGGAGATGGCGGCGGATGCGGCGAGGCGGGCGGGGCTGGCACATGATGGGGTGGTTATTACGGTGGCGTTTTTGAAGCTTGTGCTTGGATTGTGATCACACCTTCTTCTCACAGTGTTGATGGGGTTGGGAACGGATTGCTTAGACTATATAATAGAGTTGTCCATATAGACTTACCAGACTGATTTAACCAGACTTGGAGGAGTGCCCGACTTCCACTATAAGCACTTCCCGAGGAATCTGATAAAAGAAAATTGGTATCATTGCTACACAGAAGCGTGGTATCTGAAGCTGAATCGTACATGCTAAACTGTTCAAACCTGCGCACTCCCCCCCCCACCATTGGAAAAACAGCTCCCTACCCCGTAGCACCAGGGTCCTCTCTCTCCAAAAACGACGGATCCATCTCGACCCTCCTCTCAAACTTCCTCCACCAATCCTGAAAACTCTTCAGCGGCACTACATCCTGCCCCTTATCCGAGCTGGCAAAGCTTGCCAGAAAGTTGAACGCATTCCCAATAATCCTCTGCGCCAGGACCTTCGTACTGATCTGCTTCTGCTGTGCCCTGACGGGTGTCAACGCCATCGACATTGCGCCGGAAGCGTCACTGCTGCTGCCAGCCGATTGGTCCTCCGCCTCCAGTGCCGCCAACTGCGGCGCAACCGCCTGGACGGGCTCGATCGATATCCCCAGCGTGACCATCGCGGAGGACAGCGAGGAGATCGTCTCCGGGGGTGGCGGACGGACTTTGAAGATGGCAGAGGGTCGCTCGTTGGCCAATGCGCCGATAAAACGAAACTGCGATGCCCCGGGGGCATTCTGGGCGGTGGGGAATTGGAGGTAGATGGCGGCGGCGGTGTCCGGGGGGAGGACGGTGCCCGGGAGGAAGAACACCACTAACTCATCGAAGGCCGGGGTGTGGGGGAAGGTGAAGGCGAATTTGGTGGGTTGGCCGTTGGGTTGGCCGTCGACGGGGACGATGTCGGTTAGACAGGGTCGGCCGGGGATGATGACGGAGAACATCTTTTTGTTGTTGTTGGTTTCAATTGCTGTCGGGTATCATGGACGCTAGGAAGGAGTGGTGTATATGGTTGTGGGATTTGAAAGCCGTACTAGACAGCAAGGATCGGAAGGGATCTCAATGCATGTTATGAGGTATGTATTTGAGGATTGTTGGGAGTCTTTGTACGACGGGCGGTGCTGTGTACTGTAGAAGAAGAAGAAATTCCTGGGGCTTTCGTTCTAGGATGGAAACGCAAAGAAGCCGGCAGTGACGAAATCGGGCGGGTTGCCCTTATCGATAAGGGTTCTTCTCCCCGGGAGACGGAGACTAAGTTACCTTACTGTAAGATGAAAAGTAAGTTAAACCGCAGTTGCGGTGTAAATACAGGTGACTCAAACATCCCATAAATTGCTGCATTGCTACTGTTGGTATATAACCTAACGCGCACTCGTCTGCAGTCCTTCAAAATGGGCAAATCCAATCTCGACCTGGTCAAAGAATGCGACCGGTATTGACCCCCTTCCCTCCCTTCCCAGACCCAGAAAAAAGCTCACCACGGTAGATTCCCGTATCACCAAGATGACCCCGCCTTCTACGCCTCCCACCTCCAGAACTACCACGCCCTCAAAGTCACCGGCTGCGACGCCGTGCTTGGCTACATCCTCAACTCCGTCGTGCACAAATTCCCCTGGCCGCAAGGCCACTGGGCCATCGACGCCGCCAACCGGACCGTCACGCTCGTGACCGGCCCCGATGCCACCCCGGCCCAACGCAGCGCCCAGGTCGCCCAGACTCTCGCCGAGGCCGTGCGGCAGGACACCTTCCAGCTCTTGCGCGGCTGGCGCAACGAGATGTATCCGGTGTACGGGCCGGGCGGGGAGTTTCTGTTCGAGATGGAGCGGTCGGCCACCCCGCTGTTCGGCGTGGTCTCGTACGGGGTGCACGCCACATGCTATGTCGACGACGGCCACAGCACGGGGGGAGGACTGCGTCTCTGGATCCCACGACGGTCGCGCACGAAGCAGACGTACCCGGGAATGCTGGATAATTCGGTCGCCGGGGGCATGAGCTCGCACGAGAAGCCCTTCGAGTGTCTCGTGCGGGAGGCCAGCGAAGAGGCGTCGCTGCCGGAGGAGGTGACGAGGGCAAATGCGCGCGCCGCGGGGTGCGTCACCTACTTCTACGTGCGGGGCGCGAACGCCGGCGGCGAGACCGACCTGCTGCAGCCCGAGGTGGAATATATCTACGACGTGAAGCTCGGCGCCGACGTGGTCTTGAAGCCGTGTGATACCGAGGTGGAGGAGTTCCACTTGCTGTCGGTTGAGGAGACCCAGCAGGCCCTGGCGAACGGCGAGTTCAAGCCCAACTGCGCCGTGGTGTTGATCGATTTCTTCATCCGCCACGGCATTCTGACCGCTGAGAACGAGCCGGACTTCCTGGAGATCCAGGCCCGGATACACCGTCGACTGGAGTTCCCCACCGCATCGCACGCGATGATATAGGAGGGAAACGAGACTCCGGCATTTGTAGAGCAAACATGACATGTGATAGAAAGATCTCGAGATATTTAGTGGTTCTATTTGATATACCCATTTCACCAATCAAACGCCAGCGCTGCAATCGAAACACCCCAATCAATGCATACAGACTTTTTCTTTCTTTTTCTGACCACCACCCCAGACTCTGATCGAGCCGGAGCGCTTCGACAGCCCACAAGAGCCAGGGAATCCAAAACGTCAAGCAAAAATTCGTCCTCATTTCTTCAGAAGCAGGTAGACATAGTCGATCCTCAAGGGAGCGAGCTTCTTGTAGGGGCCCTCGAGATAGAGCAACAATCCACCGAAAGAGGTGAAAACAGCCCTGTCAATCATCTGAGTTAGCCAACATCCAACATCCAACATCCACCAGCCGTTAACGCCAACATGACTCAAGCGCGTCCCCGGACACCACATACATGTTTCCCGAAGTCGAGCCCTCCTCGAACCGATAAACCTTGCCGTGGCAGACGTAGTCGTAGTCGTTGGCCAGGGTCTGCTCGCCCATGCCCACCTCCTTCCAGCCCGCCTTGCCCGAGTCGTCCTTGCCGTCCAGCGACAGAGTCGACGCCAGAGCCATGTTGAGCGACTCCCCGACGACGCACGGGTACAGCTCGGTGTTGACGTCCAGCGTGAAGGTCGTCAGGTTATCCGACGAGGTGCAGGTGAGGCGCGACACGCGGTCATATTTCTGCTGGTTGATCGCCGTGATGGTGAAAGTGTCTTCGAAGAGGAGTGGGTCCGACATGGTGGGCAAGAAATTGTGTGAGTGAGTGTAGGTATGCGGCCTTGATCGAACGGTATGTGTCGAGGGATGTAATTCTGGATTGGGGGCCCAGGTTGAAGAAAGAAAGAGTTTTGGATTGAGGTTCGCGCGGGAAGGAATCCGACTGACAGCTTTTTTGGGAGAACTTTTAGCGCCGCGAGTCCGCCGCCCGCCGTCGCCGCCTCCGCCGCTTTTACCTTTCCTGCTCTCTGCCCCGCAGCCACAAGCTCCCACGATTGAAGAATTTCCCGCGCCTGCTGCCGGCTTCGTTGCATTGACCACCGCACCTGTCGAACAAAACTCGTCATGTCTTTTCGTAAGAGAAATATCGGTTTGTCGACGGGAGGCGACCGTGCAGCTCCCGTCTCTGCCGCAGCTCAGCCGCAGCAGCTGGCGTCTGCTGCATCTGCGCCAGAATCGACCCCCGGTGTGCGCCCCTCCCCCGACGATGGGCGACCGACGACTTCAACGGGCACGCCGTCGCTCGATAACATCCTCGCTGGGCATGGAGGGCTGCCTATTGGCAAGACGCTGCTAGTGGAGGAGAATGGAACGACGGATTTCGCGGGTGCTTTGCTACGATACTATGCCGCTGAGGGTGTGGTGCAGGACCACAGGGTCCATGTCGTGGGAATGCCGGAGCAGTGGGGGAGAAGTCTCCCAGGACTGATAGGGCCGGCGGATGCTGTGGACGACAAGCAGGACAAGCGGAAGGGCGAACGAATGAAGATTGCGTGGAGGTACGAGCGCCTAGGAGAGTTCGGGGCAGGCATTGCAGGATCCAGAGGTAATTTGCCAGGTTTTTCACATCCCAAATACTGAAGGGGACGCGCGCATTGACGGTTCTAGTGCCTACAGCTACGCCCGGGGAGCAGGCTCAACCTACTGCAGAGGGTAGTCCGGACAAGCGACCTGCGTTCTGTCACGCGTTCGATTTGACAAAACGACTCACACACCCTTCGATCGCCAATCTCAACTACATCCCGCTCGCCCCGTCGAACGAGCCCCTGCTCACCACCGTACACAAAAAGCTTGATGCTGCGATCACGTCGAGCCCTTCCAGCACTGTCCATCGCATTGTAATTCCCTCCCTACTGAACCCCACGATATATCCGCCCGAATCGTGTCAACCTGACAGTGTTTTGCCGTTCCTGCACTCTCTGCGAGCATTGCTCAACAGACCCGGCGTGCGAGCCACGGCGATGATCACAATTCCCTTGTCTCTCTTCCCTCGAGCCTCGGGTCTCGTGCGGTGGATGGAACTCATCAGCGATGGCGTCATCGAGCTCTGTCCGTTCCCTCACTCCGCCGATGCACTCGCAACCTCCGGCGCCGCCACTTCGCACGAGGAGCCGCCCCAAGGAATGCTGAAGACCCATCGACTACCCGTCCTGCACGAGCGAGGCGGCGGTAGTGACCAGAAGGTCGGCCAAGACTGGGCCTTCACATTGAGCCGCAGGAGGTTCGAGATCAAGCCTTTCAGTCTTCCGCCAGCCGAAGGCGACAAGGAAGGCCAGGACGGCGCGGCTTCCGGCGCCATGCCGAAGAAGGCGGATCTAGAATTCTGAGCTGGTGGGTGTGAGGCTCCTTGGATGCAGAAACGCTGCCGCATTACTCCTCGTGGTCAGACCCTCGCATCATGTCGTCCAGCTCGATCTGCTCGGACATGGCGGGCCCGGTGTTGACCATGGTTCGGAGGTAGTGTCGGCCGTACGAGTCAATCCCCGGCTCGGCGGGCGAAGCTGAGAAATACGATCGCAGGCGGCGGTTCCTCAGGCATGACGACAGGCCAAGCCAGGCTACAAGCGTTAATTGGTAATTCGAATTGGGTGAGAGCGGCGTACCTAGCACTAGCAAGAGGGGTGCGAAGAAGACGAAGAACAGAAGTAGCAAGAAGCTCATCTTGAGGCTGGACAGTTTTGTCTCAATCGTCAGGTGCGTTGACAGCAGCAGCAGCAACGGATGTGTATGGTTAACTACATGGTGGGTCATGCCTGACTAATCAGATTCCATCTGCTAACCGCAAGAGGAAAGGTCGCTGCCGGGCAGCTCTTTAAGAGCTTCATCCCACTAAACATTTTTTCCTGATTCTTGCTCTTCCGCAAAGACTCGCCCTGCAATACATCTTCAGTTGTTGACTGTTGCGCATAGTATGCTTATGCGCTATTGAGTAGATGGTAAGCCTCACTTTTTTGTTCTTTATTTGTGATCCCGCTTTGCATGATTATATAACTACTATAATCTGTCAATCCCCTGAAGCTCACCATAATCTCATTAAACGAGCATATGTGATTGAGAAACGTATTGAAAATGATTCGCATTGCCTTTACACTGTTGATTGCCATCACCACACATAAGTGAACTCCAGCTAACAGTGCCTCAGTTCCTGCAGTACTTCAGATCCCAATAAATTTGCCTAAGATGGACTCGGACCCCCTCCTCCCCGTCCCGATCTCGTATATCGCGGGTAGCTACTTTCTCTTCTCCATTGATGCCGTTACGTATCTGAGACGTGAGCACCACATCTGTGGCGTACTCAGCGGCACCCTGCCGCAAATCCCCCAGCAGAATGTGTTTCTGGGGCTGCCGTTGAAGCTGATGCCCGAGGAGGCGCGGCTGCTGGTGGAGAAAGGTGTAGCTTGCATTGTAGACGAGGTAAAAGCGCAGAAGGAGGGCATGCGCGCCCTCCGCGAAGCCGACCGCCAAAAGTATCTCCGTGAGCTAGAATCCCAGGGCGCGCACGCCATGCGCCTGCAGACCAGTCGCAAGGAGCAGCAGCGCGAGGAGGCGCTGCGCAAGGTAGAAGCGAAGAAGGCGGCGGCGGCGGCGGCGGCTGCTAAGAAGACAACTGCCAATGTTGGTAGTGGTGAGGAGCAGCCCGCCTCAGCACATCCAGATGATGCTGCGGATGAGCAGAATAATCAAAATCAAACCTCCCGCCGCGCCTCAACCACATCCAATTCCACCACCAGCGTCATCGCCGCCCCCTACGGCACCACCATGGGCATCACCCCCGCCACCTCCCACCCACCTCTCCCGTATGCTCCTTCTGCTGCACAACGCCTCCCTGCCCCAGCCGTCCCGGCTTCCTACCCGCTCTTCGCCCGCCTCCACGCCGACGGGTACTACCTCTCGCCCGGTTTGCGGTTTGGGTGCCAATACCTGGCCTATCCCGGCGATCCGCTGCGGTTCCACTCGCACTTTCTGGTTGTGGCGGCCGACTGGGACGAGGAGCTTGATCTCATGGCTGTCGTCGCGGGCGGACGGCTGGGGACGGGGGTGAAGAAGGGGTTCTTGATTGGGGGCGCGGAGCAGGTTGATGATGCGGACAGTGTGCGGACGTTTAGTGTTGAGTGGGCGGGGATGTGATGGATGCCTTCGGGTTGATACGATATACGGCGCTCACTGCGGGGTGAAACCCGATTTCTTGCATTGAGCTGCGTCATCTTTAGCGTCGAGTCGAGTCGAGTCGATCATCAGCTGGATGAGATTGCACCTCGAGTGGTAGAGGAAGACTCTGTGCCACCAAGTGGTACTCCAGGGGCGGTAGTCTAGCAGGAATGCGAGGACTCGGCCGTGCTCAGTCGGCCCTCGCGGGTGGGACTTGTCTGGTCCCTACTCGAGGATAATCCTATCATCTGTCTGAGATGCTTAGGTATATGATGAGCTGCGTCGGACTGATACTGATGGCATGGAATGGCCGAAAGCAGTCCGCTTGCTCGCTGATAAGACTGGGACGAGGCCAGCTATGCCGACCATAACACAACTGATACGAGCTACTCCGTACAATAATGACCATGAATGGATATGACAGGAATGATTGGTATCTGGGTCGATCATGTAGGATCAATGAATGAATGGATATGGACATGATGTTATCGGGGTTGATTCATGTAGATCAATGACAAAAGCGCTGTCAATCAGACCTGATGTAGGCTTTCATGGAAGTCCTGAAGACTTCCTCGTCGCAGCCTGTCCTCTGCTAGCAGCATCTCTCGGCGTGAAGCCGTGTGTGTGGCGCGATGCTTGCACATATCGCGCATCATGCTCGCACTGCATCGACCTACCCTGCCGCGGGCACCGGGCGAACTCTTGTGAGCTGCAGACAGACTTATCGCCCCGTGACCAGACTCTGACTGAGTCCAACGTAAGACAGCGCAGCCTCGGCTGTAGAGAGACGTCCGTCTGACTGACTGCAGTGACGCATGCAAGCTCAAAACTATGCGAAGCAGTTCCATTCCCACATCAACCAATCCAACAAAATTCAAGCTCCAAACCGGACCCAAACTCAAACGTAATCCACGTTCCTCCACTTGAACTTCTTATTCGCGCGATCGACCGGTCGATTCTGGAACTGACTGCCATGCAACTCGAAGACGAGCTTCTTCTCTTCCCCTCCATCCTCCTTCCCATCTCCGTCCCCCCGAGAAGAAGGTAAAGGCAAGCAGAAGCGAAAGACGGTATGTTCCTTAGGAATGACTAACACCACAGCATCAGCACAAACCCCAACCTGAGCTGCCCAACACCTCAAACCTTAAGCCCAAGGTAAACGGAAAGAAAGAACTCACCGACAACACGATCCCCCTCCATCACGACCGTAAAAGCAAACATCCCATCCCTCACCACCACGCCCCGCAACCCCACCCTCCCCGCACACCGACTCCTCACCACCTCGACCTCCGCCCCGTGGTAATCGCAACTAACCAGTTTGCTACCGTGCGAGCTCGGCGTGACCACCGCCCCGGTCTTCCCTCCCAGATCCAAGACAGAGACCATATACTCCACCCAGAGTTTGTGGAGTTGCTGGAAGGTCGCGTATTTGTATTCCTCGGCCTGCTTCTTTTGCTGTTGCTGGGACGACTCCTCATCGACAACATTCCCCGTACCCGTACCCGTTCCCTCCTCCTTGTGCTTCTCCTTTTTCTCCTCCTCCTGCTGCTGTTGCTGCTGCTTCTTATTCTTATTCTTCCGTTTGGTGGAGAGAGGAACCCCGAACGTCCCCGGGTTTTCTCGTTTCTCTCGTGCAGAAAGGGGACGCGGCTTCTGCTTCCGGAGAAAATACTCCTTTCTGCGGAGACGGTGCAGACGGCGGCGTTGGCGGTTGTCTTCCGGGGTCGGGGAGGTCGGGCGCACGTAGAGGGGTTTCTGTTTGATGCGTTCAGTAAAGAGCGTGGCGGCTGTGTCGGGGGAGTGCGCGCGGAGGAGGAGGGTGTGGGCTATATGTTGTTTTTGGGTGGACATTTTGTTTTCCTTTGAAGGGGGGAGGGGGGAGGTTCGGGGGGTTCTTGAGGGTTGTGCGGTTCTGCTGTTTGGGTGATTCTGGAGCTTCCGTGGTTTTTGTGGGTAGGCAGTGAAATATGGTTGAGTGTGATTGTGGTTGTTGAAGCTGGGGAGGTGTAGTGGTTTCTGGTTCTTCTGGTTGAGGTATAGTGTGTAGTGTGTGGTGATGGCGGTGGTGGTGACGAAGTTGGAGAAAAATGTTGCGCGGTTTGCTTATCGGGTCGGTGATTGATAAGATTGGATCGGCGACTGCCTTGGTGCCTGATTCCTCGGGTCTCCATCAAATGTGGGGGTTATGGTGTTATGCATACTGTACAAGTGTAGGTTTATGTATACTACTCGTGAATCAAATGATCCTAGCTGGCTTCAATTTCTTTTGTAGCGTCTGGGCTTGGAGCGAAGTGGCGGTGGCTGGCTTTTCACACCTTAATTTTTGTTGCACAGATAACTAAGATTGAGGTCAGACCTCATTCTCTGGTCATGAAATGTGTTCCTACTACCATGGCAGTATGTAATTCAAGTCAACTCCCCGATATGAGCTTCACATTGGAGTAAACACTTCTCACCAGGGTATATCCTCCTCACAATTACTTCATATCACCCGACCTACGGAGTTGACCATCTATGCTCTGCCAGCTAGGCAATGCTCTCCACTGACTCGGGCAGCTCAATATGTCTTCAGTCAACAATCATTTTACTCATGCAAGCAGCACACAGGAATACTGTATACCCTATAGTACCCCCACATCAGCTTGTTCTCGCCTTCATTTGACCACCCTGCTGCCCTCATTCTTTTCCCTTCCCACCTCATCTCGACTATACTCCTTGACACAACACCATGCTCACAGTGACAACACTCCAGAGCAACACCAACCTCATCCTGAATCCGTTCCACCCCTACTTAACAAACCAAGTGAATTTCGACCCCGTGTTACAGACTCACCTCCGACTTTTATATACCCTCATCCACATCCCCTAGCCACCGACACATCCTAGTCCATCACCAGATATAAATGATCACCATTACAGAGTCCGCTCACGTCCGCAGACATGGACTATCGCCCCGGATCAGACGGGTACCAGACACCCCTCAGCAGCCCACGCTCATGCCTCTCGACGCCGCCAACGTCGCCACCCAGCACTGGGAGCCCAAAGCCTCTGTCGGCTCGATATTGCGGTAAGATCAGTCGCTCGACAGCCCGGAATCCACAGACTAACAAGACTGCTGCTTCAGATCCAGGCTCGCCGCCAGCTTCCTTTGTCTCACGATTCCGGAATGTCAGACTTGAGCTTCCGTTTCACCGCAAACCCAGCTCTCGGGGCCCATTCACTACCCCCGAGGAAGCCATCAGCGACATAAAACGACGGGGGGATGATTTCCTCCGTGCAAACAAAAATCTAATCCTACCGCTCCTAGACAAAGTCCCCTCAACTTTGCAAGCTGAAAGTCATATACACCTCCCACTTGAGCAGCGGGACCGGCTCACAAGCCAGCCGAAAGGGTAAGTCCCCATTCCCACACTACCTCTAAAAGAAACAAATATTGACTCCATAGGTTGCGGGCAACCCTTAAGCCGTACCAGCTCGAGGGCCTCTCGTTCCTGATGTACCTGCGACGGAACGGCGTGGGCGGCATCCTGGCCGATGAGATGGGTCTGGGCAAGACGCTACAGACACTTGCGCTGTTCGCGCACGTCCGGGAGACCGAACAGGCCTCGTGCGCCAACCCTGCGCCGTTCCTGGTGGTTAGTCCGCTCAGCGTGTTGGAGACGTGGATCGCTGAGATCGAAAAGTGGACGCCAGGGCTGACTCCCGTTAAGTTCCATGGCCCGCGCGATCAGCGGGCTGAAGTGAAGAAACTTTTCTCCAAGACTCACGGCAAAGAGGGCTGCTTCAAGGAGGATGTGCGGAGCACGGTGCTTATCACTTGTTATGAGACGCTCATGTCGGAGACGATGTGGTTTAGGAAGGTGGCGATTTGGAAGTATGTTGTGCTGGATGAGGGGCATAGGATCAAGGATAATACCTCTAAGCGGGCGCAGTCGATTGGCAAGCTGCGCGCTGAGTATAAGCTCATTTTGACAGGGTAAGTGCCTGGTTTCTCACTTGGTCTTCGCAAAGGTTGTCTGACTGGTCATCATCTCAGTACTCCCATACAAAACAACTTGGGGGAAGTCTGGTCCCTGTTGCACTGGCTCTTCCCGGAAGTTTTCACCCCCTCATCGTCCAAGCTGTTCCACGATGCTTTCTCTTTGAATGCAGGCAGGTTCGACGCCGCCTTCTCTACCCACATAAAAGCGTTCCTCAACCTTATCATGCTGCGACGGTTGAAGGACTCTCCGGAAGTGGGTATCAATCTGCCGCCCAAACAAGTCGTAACGCTCGCCGTGCCGCTTTCCAATCTACAACATGCTTTGTACATGAAAGTGTTGACAGGGCGGGACGAAGCACACAGTGACGAACCGGCATCGACGTTGACGTTCACCTCAGACCAGCACGGCTGGCCGGTCGAGCCGAACCTCGACCCTAGCAAGCCAGTCACTGACAATAGATGGAGAATCTCGGACAACATTCTAATGGAACTCCGCAAGGTAAGCGTCACGACCCTCCACCGATAGACCAACGCTCACCTGCATAGTGCTCCATTCACCCGTGGCTCTTGGATAAGAACCGCGAAGTCGACGACTCGGGCAGTCTCCTGTCGTGCTCGGGAAAGCTTCTCGCCTTGAGCAAACTGGTCCAACACTTTGTCTTCACTGCGAAGAAAAAGGTCGTCATCTTCTCGTGCTTCGTCAAGGCTCTCAATCTGTGCGAGGAGATGTTGGAAACTCTCCAGAGGGGCGACCTATTCGAGTATGTCAGGCTGGACGGGAACACCTCGCGGGCGTGGCGCAGGCTGTGCGTTCATCTCTTCAATAACCTTCCTCAGTACAGGGTCTTTCTTGTGTCAATCAGAGCGGGCGGAGAGGGCCTCAGCATGATCGGATCGTCCGTGGTCATCTTTTTGGACGAGGATTGGAACCCGCAAGTGATGAGACAGGCCGAGTCGCGCGTGCATCGGATCGGTCAAACTCAGCCAGTCACGATCTTCCGGCTGATCTCGAAGGGGACTTTAGAAGAACAGATGAGCCGCCGCCTGCTGAAGAAAGCGTACCTGTCGTCTAAGATCATCGAGGAGGAGCGACAGGACTATGCGCTGGCGGGGATAGACGAAACCCCACCCATGCAACTGATTGCTTCCGAGGGCCTGCCTGAGAACAACCTAGCGGATATGAGATTGTGGAGTTTCGAGTCTCTTCTGAGCCGATGCACGATCAACTCAACCACCGGACAAGACCTCGCCGGTTCTTCATCTTGGTGGAGAGTGTCAGAGCGGGTACGCACGAACATTTTCAACGGAAGAATGGTAGAGAAAATGTCGAGAATCCAATTGTTCCCGGAGGAGACCCCCTGCTTCGCCCGTGCGGAGCGTCGAATTGGCAAGGGGCGGGTCATCACGATCGAGGGCTACGACGTCACCAAGGAGAACCTGCGCATGGACGTTCTGTCTCCAACGAAGCCAAAATCAATGGACATGGAAATGAAGACAATGACCAACCAGACCGTAAGTAAAGCACCCGTTGTAGATGTCTTGTCTGACTGAAGTAGACCTGCGCGGTCTGCCAGGAGTTCGAGCCTTTGAACTGCCAAACTTGTCCGCGGGCGTACCATTGGGAGTGTCTGCAGGAATCGATGAAAGCGCACACCGACGAGGTTCGATTCAGCTGCCCCCAACACATCTGCTCTGGGTGCGAGAGACGGACCTCCGAGGCCGGCGGGCTTTTGTTTTGCTGTGCACAATGTCCGCTCGCATTCTGCGAAGATTGTCTGGATTGGAGCAAAGCTGAGTTCCTTGGGAGAAACCACGCATTTGAGCTCCTTGGGTATCATCCTCAGTCGTACTTCTATATCCGCTGCTCTGGCTGTAGGGAGAATCGGAAGCGGCTTTGCGATGACTTGGGTGGATGGCCGGCGAAGCGCCTGAGGATGAAGCATTGACTAGATCTGGGCGTTTGGAATCGGACCTACAAAGATGAATGGAACACCAACTGCACGGTCTCATGTGTATAAGGGACTCGTAGTGTATTACCGAGACAGACGTCGAATCAAACCGCATTACCAAAACAGGGAACGTACTGACCTGACCTGACCTGACGGTCATTAGTATCACCTGCCACCGGTACGTAACTGGAAGAAAATGCAACCATAGCATCTAAAATGTTCACATAGCTCAAGGGTCGGGCAAGCCAGGCGCCAGAGGAAAGCCTGTGGCGTCTCCGTTTCCAGAAACAGTCACGCCACACGGTGCATGTTGCGTCCGTGACTGAATTGATCCTGGTCGGTGGTGTATTTAGGTAAATGAAAGAGACCGCCCATTTTTGAACGCAAGGCAACCGCTGCATGAATCAAGCGGCATGAACAGCGCAGGTGCAGGGATAATTCTCATTCGGTGCCAATCTGTTGGGACGAAGGATGAGCAGTCATGTACTCGCAGTTGGGGGAGAAAGAGTGCAGGACAGGAGCAGTAACCATTCCGTAGTGATCAGCTCCGGGGGAACTAAGCGGTGAGTAACCATGTTTTGAATATTGGTCAATTTCGTACTCTGCAGACATAGCAGTCAGTCATCAATCCCTACCACATATGTATTTCTCAAGCGCAGTCGACCGTCCGGATGAGCCCTAGTAGAGCATCGTCTCCAATTCCACGGATCAAGTACGGATCGGACCGACTAAGGGTGCAGCCAGAGCTCGATCCGGAGTGAAGCTGCACATGCAATCTTCGAAGACACAAACATTAGTTATTCAGAAATCCTCACTGCATGAAAATCACCAAGAGTCCCACTACCACCATGTAGTAATCTGACGGACTACCATCCTGACGAAATCTTTCAGTACTATGCAACGCAACCTGGCAAGACAACTGGGAGCTCCATGATATCGAGGTGACACAACTTCCCCACTGCGCCATGCCACTTGGCTCCAATCATCCACAAACACTCTGTGGTCTGTCTGACGACGCGATCCCGTCCCTCTAACCCTGACACGATCCGTCAACCGATAACTTGACAACAGCACTCCGGGATCCAGGTTCCACAAACGCCACAATCGCCACTCCTCACCGTTAAGCTTCACTGGATACGAACCGTCGGGAGGTCGACCCACGGGCTGTCATCGCTCGGGCGCCGGTTTCTGCACGAGCAAGCATCCCAGGAACTCCCTTCTCTCTGGATCGACATGAAGAAGCGACAAGGACGCATGCGAATCGACTCGACACAAACCACGGGTATACACCTTGTCCAGTCATCTATAACTATTCTGCGTAACTCAAAGTGTCACCAGCCTATGTAACCACTGCCCCCTCGGAGAATAAACAATCAGGAACCGTCCGCCTGCAACAAACCCAACGATACGGTACGTACTAGTCAGACTCAGCTATGACAGAACTTAAAATCCCTCACGTCAATAGTCACAGACCCCGATATGGACCCTGATCGCACTGGCCCACCATCCTGCACACGTCAAACGTCAGTCCACCGACTGCACCCTTCATAAGACGGTCTGCATCAAAGCAGGAGATAGCTAGTTTCCTACTTAGTAGTGGCCAGCAAGTACTCGGTGGACTAGCCCACCCAATCACCCTGGACAAAGCCAGACCGTCCAGCGAGACAAGTTGACAGCGAGCGCCACAAGTACCGCCCCGGGCTTTGTGCTTTATCCTACAGTTCTGACGCACACAACTCACTGAGTTTGAACTGGACTAAACCGTATCCGACTGAACAGCACAGCACGGATATGATCGACGAATGGACACCGAAGCAAAAATCCCTACCCCATTGGGATCTTGGCACGTCACACGGCGGGGAACCCCGTCCTGGACCGCGAACCCGGTTTCTGTGTATCCACTTCGCCCAGGACCAGGATCAGGATTCAGGACCGAAGAATTGGTACAAAACAACTACCACTTATTACATAGGACGGATTGTGGCTGCTACTGAACATTGGCCTCACTGTCATTGGCCACGATTGCTAAGGAGTACCTACTTGTATCTGGCATATAAAACCGGGGAATGAAGACGATGAGGACCTCGTTTGCATTACAACACACTCACTCACACCAAAAAATAAAAGGATCGCTGCACTTTTCGGTGGTTACGAACTACTAGCACGGGGTTGGTCGATTAGTATTTTTGTCACTGATATGCGGATGATATATGGCAGAAAACAACTTGGGTTTGGTCCAAAAAAATTACGGGATTATGCTACTTACTCCAGCGGACTGGTCTAGGATACGGATAAGATGCTACGTATGCTGGCATCTTAGCGCATCTCTCTCTTCTTGGAAATAATTATGATAGAGTTATCACTTTACTCACTTAATCCAACGGCACAGCAGCCTCAACACGGTGCCTTGGCTTTCTTGCCGAAGCAACTACCAGATAGAGAGACAGGCGACATGGTGAGTATAGAGTAAGTATACTAGGTCGCGTACTCGTACGCACTACACGGTCGTAGCCTTCGGGACGGTATACAGTAGATTTACTGCATACGGTAGGTATACCACTACCAGTACCCCATACAGTGACTACGATGTCCACACTACTACACACTACTGCACAGTACTCCTAGGTACTCCCCTTCCCCCGACTAGACCAGCCAGCCACCAGCCCAGCCCAGCCCAACCGAAAACCCAAGCACCCAACCTATAAAAAGAGAACTGACTAGGTAAGCTAATCAATCCATCCCTACCCGTACAGTGCACTGACAGACATACACAGCACAATCAATACTGTCACTTGTAGTTGGCATCGATTGCCCGGGGTTTATCCGAATAAGGTCTAGTTCCACCGTTCCAAACTCTTCAGGCCCCCGGGCTCCGGCGCCACGGCCCCAAGAGAAAGTTCCGGCCGAGTGCATGGACGTTGGCGGAGATTCGTCGGCCGAATTCCTCCGTGTCTTTCAGGTTAACTTAGCTAACTGTTCGTTCTTTAGATCTGTTTGTAAATAGGTTCGTTCTAGGGTATTTCGATCTGCGAATGAGCTATCTAGTACTTTGCTGGCGATGTAGACGTCTACCTTTCGCGGGCTAGTATTCTGTGATGTTCTGACAACTGCATCTTACTCCAGGTTTGTAGGTAGGTGTGCGGATCACAGCTACCGGGCAAGATGACTCTATAGAGTCCCCGGGTATGAAGTCTGAAGATACAGATGTTAAGAACTCTCCGGAGTATGGCAGACATTCAGTCCTTACCCATCAATCACCACCTGTATGTATGCACTCCCAAAGCAACGGATCGATCATGCAACCCCTGACTGCCCTCGGCAGGCCCATGGGACGACACCATCAGCACCGGGACTCCGGGACCAAACCCACAGCTGGAGCCATGCGGGACCCCAGTGGATCCCCCATCCCCAAAAATTAAACCCGGACTTTGCCGTTCATGCCATCATTTCAACATCCAAAGACAACCAGACCTAGACCAGACTCAATCTATTGTGTACTCCGTGCAGTGTGTACTCCGAATGCATCACTGTATCCGGCCCAGGCAGATGCGTCCCCATGCCCAATCAGTGGCTAAATCTCATCTCCCTCGACTAATTACTCGAGTCCATTGCGGGTCCTGTCAATCATCGCCAATCTATTTAAGTTTGATTGCAGCCAACCCATGGCTGTGGTGGACCTGGTGGTTAGACCCCCGTCGCTAGGTCTGTCTAGTCCTGCTTGGGCTAATCGGGTCAAGGCTCATCTATGTTTATCCCAATGCGGATCACACCTGACTCGTCTTTGCACCTACGGAAATGAAGCAAACACTGCGTAGATCTAGACTGCCGATCGGCCAAACAGAGGGTATCTTCGGAGGTAAAATTGCAAGAAACCAGAATTCAAAGCAGCTTCGGCGACGTAACACCCAGGGGCTGGTTCGTTGCAAGACACCAAAACAAGGTAGCGCATCACACATGCCCGCACAGAGGTGCTTGATCTTGGATCATCAACGCCTGGTAGAATCGACGGTCTAGCCAGCCGTCTAATGGCTTTATTCCATCGTGAGGTGGACTGGCCACGACTCACTGCACAATTGCGTCAACTCCCGCTCACGATCTTCACTCGCTCCAGTCGTTCTTCGACTCGTCGCGCTATCTCCGGGTCGGGTTCTGGCCTTTCCTTGCGTTTCCTGCATGTATCAATCAGTATGCGATGGTGTAAAATGGGCATTCAAGTCACTCACGGTTCGCGTATGGTCTCGTCACCTTTCTCCTGCCCGCAATGGGAGCACACGGTTTCTCTCGCTTGGTATGCATTGTTGCAGCGGTGACAGAAGTATCGGACCCGTTGCCGGGGTTTCTTCCATGTCCGGGCCGGTAACTCCGCGGGAGGCTCTGCGTCTCCAGGATAACCATACGGGTATTTGTTGAGTTTCGCTCTGTGATCCGGTTAGCTCCACCTTGCAAAGCAGGAACACAACGTACGGCTCGCGAGGGCACAGGGTGCATCGAATGTGTTGGCAGGTGCTACATTGCACATCATCGGCCGCGAAGGCGGTGCTGCAGCGATGGCAGGTCCGTCGGATTCTCTGGCGGGGCGGGTGATAAACCAGGTCCTGGCCGCTGGCGCGTGAGGGCAAGGTCAGGCGAGGCTCTCTGAGTTGACGCGGCGTCGGGGTAGCTTCGGGTGCTTTTTGGGACACGATGGTTTGGAGCGCAGCTTCGGTCTGTGCCCGCGCGCTATGGGGCTTCACAGCAGGGTCGGGCGGACAGCTCGTGCAGCGAACATGTTGGCAATTAACGCAGACCTTGCTGGGCCCAAAGGTTGTCTGACAGCGGTGACAGGTTCGGCGGACTCGCATACGGATCGGTCTGATCACTCGCTGCACGGTCTGATCGCTAGGAAACTTCCGTTCTCCCGGTTCGAGCGCTAATCCATACCTTGCCAACAATCCGCGCGCCTTCTGTTCCTGGATGGATCCCCAATTGGGGAGCACGGTCGCACCGGGGGCTGCCTTGATGATGGGTATTTGAGGAGTCGCTGCGAGGCTGGCGTGAAGTCAGCATTGTGGGAAAGTTGATGAATGGGATGAAGATAGGGAAGAGGGAGACGTACGTCGTGATTGGAATGGGAGCGGGCGCCTCAGTAGCCACTTGCGCGCCCGACGTCGGGGCCGCCTTCATCATGGAGCTTCTCCTCATTGCAGTCCGTATACGTTTGACAAATTTGGAGAAACCCTCATGCTTGTTTTCGCGCAATGGGTCAGGGCCCTGATGGGTCGACATGGCGCCAAGCGCACCTTGCGACGGTAAAATAGGTCGGTAGTATTAATCGACAATTCAAGATGTCCTGCAGTATAAAAGACTCAATTCATGCGCCACGCCTGGGACCAAAATATTCTATTCATATTCTCCTAGCTGTGAGCGAGTATGCGGAGTCGAAACAGGCGACCGCCCCGGGACCAGGGGTGGAGGTGGGTGTGGAAGGGGAGGTGGATGTTGTTGATCGAACCGAATGAGTGCCAAATCAAGCAGACAAAACGGGAACCACGATACGATTAAGTATTGGCAGGTCGCACGGGCGTGACCCGAAACCGTAGACTTGGGACTCCCGGCTAGACGGTGAGCTGTTGGTAGGGTCGCAGCCGAGCACCCCAACTATTGGCTGAAGGGCGGTCAGATCGTGTGGATCGGGCGTGGTCGAGGCGTCCAAAGTTGAGAGGGGCTTGTTTCGAGGTGCAAGGGCGAGACGTGATGACGTTGGGAGTTGTACTGTGGTATAGGAGGTTGAACGGTTGTTGTAGGAGGAGTGATGAAAGAAGGAGGAAGAAGAGGAAGAAGAGATAAAAAAGGGTGGGTAGTTGGAATGGTTTCAGTTGATGGCTATGAAAGGAAAGAGGAGATAAAGTGATCTAAGCAGGCAACGAACGATAAATAGAAGTCGAACAAACCTTTTCTAATTCTGAGGGG